GCCCCAGTGTCGAGGTTTGAGTCCTTACGCCTTGTCTGAGCAATTGGCACCATTCTAGATTGCCATATCCACCAGGTGGATGTTCACACAGTATTCTTGAATGGAACCATGGATGGAGACCAGCGCATATATATGAGACGACATCCGGGCTATCATGCACCAGGGAAGGAGGGCTATGTGTGTGAGCTGCGGAAAGCATCTATGGGTTGAAGCAGGCTCCTAGAATTTGGTATCAGGTGCTGCATAAATTTCTCACATCAATGGTTTTTGTACGTTGCAATAAGGAGTTTTGCATCTATGTACAAAAAGTGGGAGATGATTGGGTCATCATCGTTGTATATGTCGATGACCTGACGATCATATCGAAAAGTATGCGACTGATCAACAAAGTCAAAGCGGAGCTATCTATGAGATTTAAGATGAAAGACTTGGGAGATGTCCACTACATCCTCAAAATGGAAGTCCGCAGAAACAGAGAAGAACGGACAATGTCCATCTCTCAACATCAGTATATATTGGAACTACTGAAGAAGTATCACATTGAGAGCACCTCAGCTGTAGCGACACCTCAGGTCTTGAGTTAGAACCTGAAACTAAGATGACTGCGGATGAGATAACAGCTCAGAAATTTGATTACAGAGGTTTGGTTGGGTCGCTGCAAAATCTAGTGAGAGGTACTAGACCAGATATTGCTAATGCAGTGAGGGAATTGAGCAAGTATTTGTCCTGCTACAATAAAACCCATTGGGAAGCAGCTAGGAGAGTACTGAAATACTTGAAAGGAACGCCGACGTACGGTCTATTACTTGACGGAAAGTCAAAGGACGTAACGTATAAGGTGTACTCAGACGCAAGCTTCGCGTGTCAATCAAAAGAACGTAAAACAATCACGGGATATGTGATTAAGATGGCTGGCTGCAGTATATCTTGGTGCAGTAGTAAGCAAGGATGTGTTTCCCTATCAGCTGCAGAAGCAGAGCTTATCGCATTGAGCGAAGGTGCAAAGGAAAGCGAATGGTTATGGCACTTGCTATCGGAAATGGGGTTTCCTCAAGCGAAACCTGTGTAAGTCCGGTGTGATAGCAGGTCTGCTACCAGTATCACAAAGAACCCAGGCAACCCCAAGGCTAGTAAGCACATTGCGATAAAGTATTTGTTCACACGAGACTAGTAGACGAAGGCCGTCTGATAATTGAGTACTGCCCAACAGCTAGCATGGCAGCAAACATTTTGACTGAGGCCCTTCCTACTAAACAATTTACATTTTTGAGGGATAAGATAGGTGTCAACAGCGTACTACCACCGGTGAACTCTTAGTGGGAGTGTTAGAATGAGGTTCCCGAGAGACCGTAAAGGCTCTGTAAAGGCTTGAGGGTAAAGTGTACCCGCTGGCATTAAGGCGCTCTCCCATTGGTTAAGGGAGAGCCAATCATAGGACTACATAACTAGCCAATCAGGGAGCGCCCTGTTGGCGACCGCTCGTGCGATGATGATTGACGGCATTCGGAGAGATCTCACTTCTCCTTTTGCCAACGACTGAGCACTAGTCTATTAGAGGGCATTAAGAGAAAAATAAAGCTTAAGTTTGACCAACCAAAACTGAGTTTTAACACAATCTAGGCGGGAGCAGGTGCCAATTTGGGCGAGACCGCAAGCCGTCACAGCAGACCCTGTGGTCAAAACTACTTTATCAATCGGTAGGCTCAATCAGTAGACCCAGTGCTAACCGGTCTGAGCAGTGGCGGTCGTCCTGGTACTGGGGCCCAAGAGCTGCCACGCACGGCACCTGGAGTCAGATGACCAAGGTCGCGAGCGCGGATACGACGTCTTTGGTCTGCTCGCCGCCAGCAGCAGAGGCGGGCTGAGAACTTTTGTTGCGCTCAACTAAGACATATTGTAGCGAGGGCTTTGTATTTGAGATTGTTACACGCGCCAGCTCGTGGTCCAGTCGCCGAGAAACGCGGACAGGAGCACGAGCTCGTCCGGAGTCCCAGAGCGGGGAGGCAATGCGAGCAGCAGGAGATGGACAAGTGCCCAGCAGCGGCGTCTAAGTGTCCGCACCTACTAGAGGGCAATCGTGCCGCTGCTGGGGAGGAATTGCACCTAGTCCAGTGGTGGTAATATATAGGAGAATGCACTTTTAAATACCTATTAAAATAGGTGTAGACGTAAAAAGTATGAGCACTTTCAAGCTCCAGGACTCCCAGGACTCCTTGGTCCATACGTCGCCGTGCGAACTTCTGGCAAAAGCACTTCAAAGCCTTATTTTTGACCAATCACATCCCTCTATATATGTGTCACCTGGTCTGGTTACGGAATCTCGACACAAGTCATTGTTACCGGTATTAGTTCAGATCATCCTAATGCTACATGCATACGGCACGTTCAGTTTAATACTCGATAACTGGCAATACCACACTTGGACAAATTGAAGCTGACAGTTTTGTTGTTGTTAGATCTTCAGGCGACCCAGACAAAATATGTGTGCGGCTGCACCATGTTTTACCAAACAGAGTTTGAATGCTCCTACGTTGTCGCTGTACGCCGCGGATTCCTGTGCGAGAGGAAGTCCCAGACGGACATCGTCAAAGCGAAGGACAAACACCCGGTGTATCCTACTCCTGCACGCGATCGAAATCTGCTAGACATCAGTTTTGACTCATCAAACTTGAAGCAAATTGCCAGCTTCATGGGGTTATCCTGCAAGCTCGGTTGAGCAGTTATCCTGGCAGCGCTAAATATTCGAATGCACGTTTTACTGGGATAGGAAGCAACGTTAGTGCTGCTATCGCAGACCATATCGGATTATATCCGACATTTTATTGAAACCGATATGAATCCGGTGCCGCACGGGGCCCCCCTGCGTGGTAGATCGCACCGGTAGGATACTCATCACACTGGTATGACCCCGGTTCACGTGGAAAGGTCGAACCGGTACACTACCGACAACACTGGTATGAATCAGTATATGTATGAACGAAATGTGGATTTTTCTACAAGCTCTATACAGATATCAACCAAGGTTTAATAAAAGCATTGCCGGTAGACAGTTTGAACTGGCAAATTTCCGGACAGATGCTGCGGCTGCAAAGCAGGCGCAGGAGATAACCGTAGCTAATAAGAAAAAAAAATAAAAAGAAGGGGTTTATACCAAAATTCTCCTATCCCAGCCTTCGCGGAGCCCTAATTTTTTCTTCTTGTTTATCGTCACCTGCAAGTTTCCGAGCACAACACTGCAATCTAAGCAATACAGGATTCTGCCTGGGCATCAGCGCACATTTCAGTAGCAGGAAAGAAGGAAATTACGTTGATTAGCTCGTTGTTGATTACTGTTCTACTATTAATAACTACAAAGAACTAAAGTTAAAACTAAATCCGTGGAGCCCTCATCCGACGAGCAGGAGAAGGTAGAATCACCACGGTGGGTTTGTCAAACCCAAGCGTTGAAGTGCCAATTCGTTGGAGTGACGATACATGTATATGAACTGGCAATGCCTTTGAAAATAAGCGATCAAACTTGGTACACTTGGTTGTCCAGTGGCAGGTTAGGCAGATGCTGCAGCTGCGAAGCAGGCGCAGGGGATGCCCGAGTACATCGTTTCCCTGTAAGGGTATCCATACAAGTTAGCTTCGAACTGCGAAGCCCCCCGGGTCCACCCCCCGGGTCCCCAATAATATGTACAAGTTTTGTGCTTTGCAATGATTTTGGCAATAGAAGCGATATTGTACAAGACGAGGTTTGCTGGATTTATAGCGGCTGTAAAACTAGTACCTGCTACTGTACACAGCAAAACAACTGCAAAGCGCAATACAAGTTGCACCTACAGTACATGTACCAAAGTTCGTACACCGACGCAGAACCGGAAAACTTCCCGTCAATGCCCAGCACGTGTCCATGGATCGCTTTTGTATGGTCCTTCGTTTTTGTTTTTTCTAATAATCGAGCTGATTGGATGCCGATGCAAGAACGGTGCAAGTTGCCGGTGTGCATTCCCTCCCTTTGGCCACGAATCCGCGGGGCGCGCGCATGAGTACACGTATATCCATTCCGGTGGGTAGATATTCACCGTGAATACAGGTGAATTTCACGGTGCGAAGCAGTGATAACATGATGAAAACAATGACCTTCAACTACACTGTACAGTGCATGGAAGTCCGGACGGCTTTTCAGCACAAACACCCGCCGATTGGTTTCAGCGATTGCGGCTTCAGGCGATACGCAGATACGCAAGTCCAACCCGAGCGACGATGCTCGAGTGTATGGCGAGATTTGTCGTAGCGGGTTGAAGCGCAAGATCGCAGATGTTGCTGGCCTCGAAAGCTCGATGCAACTTCAGCGCCGGTCGAGCGTGGCGGGGGGCGAACACCGTCGAACCCTGGACCAAGCAGAGTTTCTGCTTGGCCGATCCCCATCTCCTCAAAGGGCACGAGCAAGCAAAGCCACGGTGGGGGGGGTTTACACGCTGGTCCAACTGGTACAGTGCAGGTTGCATGCTCATCCTGGCGGAGGTTGATTTCAGCGTTGCTACACCGCCTCATCTCCTTCCGCGGCAACTCGCCCAGCTGGGCGCCGGACAAACCACCACAACACCGACGTGCTTCAGCCTCCAGTCCGCGCGAGTGACAGCGGCTCGTTGCGTCGACAACCAGACGCACCCAACACTGCCGGTGCAGACTGCAACGCGCGCGTTTGAAGTGAGACTGGCGGGCCGGTCTTTGCCACGTCAGAATCCCATGTGCCGCACACAAACGGGCCCATCTGGTTACGGACATCTTGAACTTTGTATGCTTCCCCCAAAGGTCGTGACACTCTCTCTGTCACCGATCGAGGCTGCCGACACCAACACGTATCTTACCCAGCAGCTCAGCTACCTTTGCGGCCTCAGCCACCTCAGGCTCATTCGCGAACTCGCCGCCCAGGGCCCGCAAGCTCCTCTCCGCTGCCTCCCTTGCGCCTCTGCGTTCGGCTCTCGCGCCCCGCCAATCAGCCGACCAACGCCATGCTCCGCTCGCAGCGCCTTCTTGTCGGCCGCCGCGTGGGCTCGAGCCTCACGCGGCTGCAGCAGACGCGCGACGCCAGCACCATCAAGAAGCTCATGGCCGCCAACCGCGGCGAGATCGCCACGCGCATCATGCGAGCCGGCAACGAGCTGGGCCTGCGCACCGTGGGCATCTTCTCCAAGGAGGACCGCTTCACGCAGCACCGCTACAAGGCGGACGAGAGCTTCCTCGTGGGCGCCGGCAAGTCCCCCGTCGGCGCCTACCTGGACATCGACAGCATCATCCAGATCGCCAAGGAGAACAACATCGACGCCATCCACCCGGGCTACGGCTTCCTGAGCGAGAACGTGGGCTTCGCCGAGCAGTGCGCCAAGAACGGCATCAAGTTCGTGGGCCCCACGCCCGAGAACCTGCACCGCTTCGGTGACAAGACGGCCGCGCGCGAGATCGCCATCGAGCAGAAGGTGCCCGTCGTGCCCGGCACGGACGGGCCCGTCCACACGCTCGAGCAGGCGCGCGCCTTCATCGACTCGGGCGTCGGGTACCCCGTCATCATCAAGGCCAGCATGGGAGGCGGCGGCCGCGGCATGCGCGTCGTCACGTGCGCTGAGGAGCTCGAGGAGAACTTCGAGCGTGCCAGCTCTGAGGCCCTGGCTGCCTTCGGTGATGGCACTGTGTTCATTGAGCGCTACGTGGACCGCCCGCGCCACATCGAGGTGCAGATCCTCGGTGACGGCAAGGGCAACGTCGTGCACCTGTTCCACCGCGACTGCAGTGTGCAGCGTCGCCACCAGAAGGTGCTGGAGACCGCCCCCGCCGTGGGACTGGACCCCAAGACCGAGAAGGCCATGATCGACGACGCGGTGCGTCTCACCAGTGCGGCCAAGTACCTCAACGCGGGTACCGTGGAGTTCCTTGTGGACCAGCAGGGCCGCCACTACTTCATTGAAGTGAACCCGCGTATCCAGGTCGAGCACACGATCACGGAGGAGATCACCGGCATCGACCTGGTGCAGAGCCAGATCCGTATCGCCGGTGGCGAGACCTTCGAGGACCTTGGTCTCAGCCAGGACAAGATCAAGCCGCGTGGCCATGCGATGCAGTGCCGCGTGACCACGGAGAATCCGAGCACGGGCTTCCAGCCCGACTCAGGTGTCATTGAGGTGTTCCGTAGCCCCGGTGGCATGGGCATCCGTCTCGATGACGGCCCTGGATTCGTCGGCGCTCACATCACTCCTCACTACGACTCCCTGCTGGTCAAGGTGACCGCCCGTGCTCTGGACCGCGGTGACTGTGCGCACAAGTTGAAGCGCGCGCTGTCCGAGTTCCGTGTGCGTGGTGTGACCACCAACAAGAGCTTCCTGACCAACGTGCTGAACCACCCGGACTTCATCAAGGGTGTTGTGGACACGAGCTTCATCGCCAAGAACCCGGACCTGCTGCTGCCGTCCAAGTCGACCAACCGTGGCCAGAAGATGCTCAAGTACATCGGTAACACGATCGTGAACGGCCCCGAGAAGGCGCTGGGTGCCACTGGCCCCGCTCCGTCCAAGGTTGACCCCCTCGTTCCTACCCTGGAGGCTCCTCCTGCTTCCACCGAGAAGTCTCTGCGCCAGATCTACGTCGAGCAGGGTCCGGAGGCGTTTGCCAAGGCGGTGCGTGCCAAGAAGGGTCTACTCCTGACCGACACCACTTGGCGCGATGCGCACCAGTCGCTGCTTGCTACCCGTATGCGCACGCGTGACATGCTCGCTATTGCTCCTGCTACTTCCATCGCCATGCGTGACGCTTTCTCGCTCGAGATGTGGGGCGGTGCCACTTTCGATGTATCCATGCGCTTCCTGCGCGAGGACCCTTGGGACCGTCTCGCTCTTCTTCGTGAGGCTGTGCCCGACATTCCGTTCCAGATGCTGCTCCGTGGTGCCAACGCCGTCGGCTACACGAGCTACCCGGACAACGTTGTGTACAAGTTCTGTGAGAAGGCCCAGGCTACGGGCATGGATGTTTTCCGTGTGTTCGACTCGCTGAACTACCTGGAGAACATGAAGCTGGGTATCGACGCCGTTGGTGCTGCTGGCGGTATCATTGAGGCTGCGATGTGCTACACTGGCGATGTTTCGGACCCCACGCGTGGCCCGTACAACCTCGAGTACTACCTGGACTTCGTGCGTCAGCTGGTGGCGCAGGGCATCCACGTTCTTGCCATCAAGGATATGGCTGGCCTGCTCAAGCCCCAGGCTGCGCAGATCCTTATCTCCGCCATTCGCAACGAGTTCCCGGACCTGCCGATCCACGTGCACACCCACGACACGGCTGGTACGGGCGTGAGCTCGTTGCTTGAGGCCGCGTACGCTGGTGCGGATGCTGTCGATGTTGCTTCGGACGCTATGTCGGGTACGACGTCGCAGCCCTCGATGGGTGCGGTTGTCGCGGCGCTGAAGGGCTCCAAGTACGACACCCGTGTCAAGTCCGAGGACATCATGGAGATCAACGACTACTGGGAGACGATGCGTGGCGTGTACGCGCCGTTCGAGTCTGGCCAGAAGTCTGGTTCGGCCGATGTCTACAACCACGAGATGCCCGGCGGCCAGTACACGAACCTGCTCTTCCAGTCGAAGCAGCTCGGTCTTGCGGGCCAGTGGCCCGCGATCAAGCGCGCTTACGCTACCGCTAACCGTCTTCTGGGAGACATCATCAAGGTGACGCCTTCCTCCAAGGTGGTGGGTGACTTCGCCCAGTTCATCGTGCAGAACAAGTTGACGGAGCAGGAGGTGATCGACCAGGCTGAGACGCTATCGTTCCCCAAGTCGGTCGTGGAGTACTTCCAGGGCTACCTGGGTATCCCGCACCATGGCTTCCCGGAGCCGCTGCGCTCGCGTGTGCTGAAGGGCAAGGTGCTGCCGAACGGCCACGAGATGTTCGAGGGCCGTCCTGGTGCGGAGATGGAGCCGTACGACTTCGAGGCTGCTGAGAAGGAGCTGAAGGAGAAGTACGGCGCGGACAAGATCCGCGACGTGGATGTGATTTCGCACGCTATCTACCCGGACGTCTTCGCGGGCTTCATGAAGTTCAAGGACGAGTACGGCTCGATGCACTTCCTGGACACGCGCACGTTCCTGACGGGCTTGGAGGTGGACACGGAGGTCGAGCTCGAGATGGAGCATGGCAAGACAGTGTTCATCAAGCTGATTGCTGTTGGTGGCGTGAGCAAGAAGGATGGCCTGCGCGATATCATCTTCGAGCTCAACGGTCGCCAGCGTGTCATCAAGGTCAAGGATGAGGCTGCTGGTGTGTCGACGGTGGCCAAGCCGAAGGCTACGGGCATGGCTGGCTCTGTCGGCGCCCCGATGCCGGGTGTCGTGCTCGATGTTCGTGTGAAGAAGGGCGAGAACGTCAAGGCTGGCGATGCCCTGCTTGTGCTGAGTGCTATGAAGATGGAGACCGTTGTGGCTGCCCCCGTGAGCGGCCGTGTGGTGTCGATCCACGCCGACGTTGGCGACAATATGCTTGGTGGCGACCTCCTCGTGGAGATCGACGAGACCGGCGACGACGAGGAGTAAGTTTATCCAGCCTGCATCTAAGCATCGTAGTAGGTTGCATGTACGAAGAAGAGAGTGCTGGGAAGGATAAGTAAAATGAAGCATTTGCTTGGTATCATCACACTTAAGCATGAACTGGGCTAGCAAACATTTGCCTTTGCACTCGGGGTGGCATAAATTGACCATTGAGGAGAGGGCGCAGGTGGAGGAGGGACAAAATGCTGTTGATTGAAAGCACAAGGGAGTTAATAATGGGCAGCATGGCATGGTAGGCATAACATTGCGTACCGGGGGAATCGTACATGCGCCAGGAGTCTGTGGTAAAACGATGTAGGAGTCCCAGGCTCGTCGAACGGCGATCAATGTGTCGATTGTTAAGGTCTCTGGGTCGAGAGACTGGTTTGGAGTGCGTGGTGATTCGGATAAGTAGGTCTCTTGATGCTGCTTCCTGGAATCCGCCTCTGCCTGTTGAACGTCTTGCCTAACTTCCGGACGTTTTAAAGCAGTATCAGGCATTTGCTCGCTTTCGTTGTCCAGTACCGCGCCGTCGTCCTTGCTCTTGCTCGAGCCCACAGCTCGACGGATGCTTGCTTCAGCACGGCGCTGCTGCTTAGCTCGCTTTCGATAAACCTACACACAACCACCCCAGCATCCGTCAGCTTCCACAACGTCAATACGTCTATCTGTGGAAATCGAGCCCGATGACTACGCACCTTTTTCTTGTTGACTCTTGCAGCAAATGGCCGTATCACTGCAAGCTGTTGCTCAGAGAAGAGACCTGAGGACGCGTTCATCGCTTCGAGTTCCTTTTTCAGTGACTGGCAAACGGCCAGTTTCCGTTCCCTTTGCACTCTCAGCCGAGCCACCTCCACATTCGAGGCTGCGTCTAAGCTCGTACCAGCTCGACGACCTTCCTCGTAGTCTGTACTCAATGACACAAGTCGCTTCTCCACGCCAGCCAATTCCGCTGCGGCCACTTTCAGCTGTTCCGCCAACTTCTGAGCCCGCGCTACTCGGCGTCGTAGCAATCGCAGTGGAGGCTCGTCAACTCCATCTACATCGGCCTTCTTAGTGTCGACCGAGTTGCAATGTGTCTGCCTAAATCCCTCCAGCCAGATCTGCTCTGGGTCCGCGACTGGAGGACGTGGAGGCGGAGGACGAGGAGGAGGCACGAAGCGAGGGAAGTAGCCGCGTGGAGGGCGCGGAGGCGGCGGATAGAAGCGCGGTGCTCCCAGAACTCCACGAGCAGGCGGAGGAAATGGCGGCACAAACGCAGGGCGGGGTGGCATCCATTGCGCCTGGGGCACGGGCGGAGACCAGCGAGGCGGCGGCGGACGCTGCTGCATCTTGCGCTGCTTTGACAAGGCAAAATAAATGTTGCGTGTCGAACACCAAATAGTGTACACGACCCAAACTAGCTCTTTACTGAAGGCAAGTCAAAACTCTCGCCGACAATGACGGACGTGCACGGCGAGCTGCTCAAGTGCGTGCTGCAACTGGCGGCATGCAGCGACAAGGTCTGCTTGTTCCTATACTACGGCTGTTTATGCTCCTGCTGCGTACTGACGTCTGCCCTGCTTTCCGTTGCGTGTGCAGCTCCGCTCGACGGACGCGCTGCTGGGCAAGTTCGTGGGGCGCATGCAGCAGGACCTGCCGGCGTCCGGGATGCCGCTGCTGACGTCCAAGCTGGCGGTGGTGCCGGCCAACCCGGAGAGCGAGAAGCTCACGCTGGAGGACAAGTTCCAGGAGGTCTACGACCAAGGGACGGAGGCGACGGAGCGGCTGGAGATCACCAAGGCCCGCCTCGAGAAGGAGCTGCGGCGTCAGTCCGAGAGCGTACGTCTCGCTGAACTGTACCCATTCTGCTGCGTATTTAAGCGTCGTGAGTGCTGACATTTGAGTGTGCCTTTGTTGCAGTTCCGGGACCTGGTCAAGAGCAGAAATACAGACATCCAGGAGGAGTACGCGCGCATGCTGAAGGAACTGGACGACCAGACGGAGTCGTTGGACCAGGAGATCGCCAAGGAGAGGGACATGAAGGCTGAAAGAGCTAAGCGGCGTCGGGAGGAGGCTCTACAGAAGAAGGCCAGCAAGAAGCAGCACCTTGAAGCGCAGCTGAAGGTGCAGCTGGATGACTTTACGTCGGAGATCCGGCAACTGCAGGAAGTGTTTGCTACGCTGGAAAAGGACAACGAGAACCGAGATAACGAGAATACTATGGAGGAGGAGCAGAGCCCAGAGGAACGACGGCGACTTGAAGAGGAGCGCGCGCAGAACGAGATTGTCGATCTCGAACAGGAAATCGTGCTGCTGAAAGAAGCCCAAGACGCGATTAAGGAGAAGATCGATGTAAGTTGGGGCATGTTTGTTGCTGCTACTGGGCTCGTTCTTGTTGGGGCTTATAATGCTGAATACCTGGTGTCTGGTTTGTATCTGCGTAGAAACAATCATTGAAGGCTCAATACGAAGAGGAGAAGCAAGAAGTGCTGGAAGAGACGGCCCATGTACGTATTATCGAGACTTTTAATGCTCTTGTCCTTGGTCTTAACGCGATTGTTCTACCCTCTGATATTTGGATGCTGCAGCTCAAGAGCATGGTCGAAGACCTCACGCCCCAAATCACCTCCAACAGTGTTCGCCTGCACTCCTTGTTGCGGACACTTGCGCCTTCCCCGGGCATCGGAACGCTCATGACTCGACTATACCAACAACTTTGCAACGATTCACCTTCGACGCCGTCAACTGAATTGCCGCCTACACCGCGTAAAACGGTCGACCTGAAGGCGTTCCTCAATGTACGAAGTGTTGACGTATGCTCGTTCCAGCTACCACTTCATTTCTAACGATACGATGTCATTCGTTTATTCCCACAGAGCTGTCCAAGTTTTGAAGAAGGCAATCGAGCAATTGACGAGCTCAAGAAGCTGCAACTGATTCATTGCTACGAGTCAAGCGGAATTATCGCGTTGGCAGATTAGCATGCCCATTATCTACGACAGTCAAACAGTTTTGTACCACACAGCTCGTGTCACTTCGGTTATAGCCAACTATCGAGTGAACTCCGCTGGCAACTTACAACTTGCTGGCGCTTTTAGTCTTGAACTGCTTCTTGAGCTCCATCACGGTCGCCAGGAACTCACCAGACGCCGCGCGCCGGTCCAGCTGCTCGAACTCGTAGAACAGCGCCTCGCGGATCTTCGGTGCGCGTTCACGGCGCAGCAGCGACTTGTACACAGGAAGACTGGTGCGGTTGAAGCGGTTCGTCACCAGCGGCGTCAGCTCCGCGAGCACCGTCTCCAGGAAGCCGTTCGTGGGGAAAACCTCGCCCACAATCTTGGCGTCCAGCGCCTCCTGGGCCTTGTACACCTTGGAGCGGATCACCAGGTTGTTCGCCACGGTGGGGCCCAGCAGATGCGGGAACGTGTAGGACGACGCGAACTCCGGCACGACGCCGATGCGCAGGAACGGCGTCCATAACGTGGCGCTGTCCGCTGCGTACACGAGGTCGCAGTGCATGAGCAGCGTCACGCCGATGCCGATGGCCGGGCCATTGACGGCCGCCACCAGCAGCTTCTTGCAGTCCAGCATCTTGTGCATGAAGGCGTGCGACGGGCTCTTGGAGGGCGGGCGGATGGTGCCGTCGCCCAGGATGGCGGCCGTCTCCTTCACGTCCGCGCCGCTGGTGAAGTAGTCGCCGTGGCCGGTGAGCACGAAGGCCTGCAGCGAGTCGTCGGCCTCGAACTCGTCCAGTGCTGCCGTCAGCTGCTGGTACAGCGCGTCGTTGAAGGCGTTCTTGGCGCGGGGGCGGCGCATCTCCGCCACGTAGATGCACCCGGAGTGCACGTAGCTGCGCACTACCTTCTCCTGCTGCTGCGTCGTCGCCATACTCGATCGATGTCTGGGGTGCGCGCTGGATGGCCGATTGGTTTATGCCTTGTCAAACGAGAGCTTCAAGCTGCCGGATTTGAAGTTGCAGGTCGTGACGTTGACTCGACAAAAAAGCGTCGTGGAATTCTATTTAACGTTTTTTACCACACACCGACACCATTCGCACTCTGGTTAGCTTGGTTTGTTTTCCTGGTTGGGCGAAGGGACACCACGGCCGAGCACCTGTCCCAGGCCCTCTGTATAGCGACCTAACCTAGCCCATGTCAGTACCGCGTGAGAAAGAAAAGCATAAACTTCAGGTTCGTGGACGCGAAGTAAGTAAAGAGAGGGACGCCGAAAACTGCATGCAAACTCACAGTATTACTTTAGGAACATTCGGAGATAAGGTTTTTGCTTGACAAAACGATATTTCTTACGTGTTCTAACTTCACAATGCTCTTCAACAAGGCCATGCTCTGCCCGGAACAGCTCTGGATTTTACGTCGCTCTTGGGCATATAAGTTAGTGTACTGCTGCATCTTGTTTCTACGTGCCAATGGCAGAAAGGAGTAGAGATTTGGTATTGGCCACTATTAGTTGAATTAACGGATTCATACGAATAGTGGCCGTTCTTGAATTCACTAGAGGTTTGGGCTGGTAGTGCATTTTTGAAGTGCTTCAGTTCTGACATTTTTAAGTGCAATTTGAAATAATAGGACGAAGGCACAACATAGTCTCTCCATTTAGCCACAAGCGAAACGACCAAGTATTCACAGAGCTAGAGGTGTTGATTACCGGACGTACTGCTGCGGTACTAGGGCTTCACGTAGGCTAGGATAGGTAAATGACAGTATTTTGTTTTTCAGAAAGCCGTTGCACATACATAGCTTATTTAACTACCCGACAGTTGCCGAAAAAAAACTAAAATATCACTCAAACCAATGCTTACTGATTCTCTTATCCGCCATATCATCGTCCATAATAAAGCACAACCTGCTCAACGTGAATTCAATCAGCTGGGCAACGTTAATGGTGATCATGCAGTAAGGAGATCGCTAACTGAGTAAGATGGAATATGTACTTCCAGCCGACCGATCAAGTGCACGAATTAAGACCGTTTGATACTGACTAGGAAGGTACAAAAAATCATTTGGTTATACTTCGGTATAGTGTGACCCGTACGACCCAAGGGCATCTCCTGAGCCTGCTTCGCAGCCGCAGCATCTGCCCAGAATTTGCACCGCTATTAGTAAGGAGAAACTGATTTACAACATAACACACGGGAAGTTTGGGATTGTAGCAAGCTAGCCGACCCCGACGATCTTAACGATGTTGATGTCGTCTACGTAGATGTAGCCGCGATTATTGACGATTCCTGTCGAGTTGAACGGGGTACCGAGCTCATCAACTTACTGGAACGCGTTCTCGAGAGACGGCATCAGCTCACGGCTCCGGTGCTGAAGCTGCCTGCGCACGAGGCCTGAGTCGCATGACCTCTGGGTCTTCACTAATGATGCCGGACATAATGGCTCTTGCCACAGGCCATAGCTAATCATGTAGCTGCCAGTGGCCGATGCTTTCGTCGTAATGCCTAACTAATAAGTCGTCACCGTTGAAGGCGGGATCCCGTCGGCATGTTGTTGGAGCGAAAAAAATCCGATGGATGTCGCTTGAGTGGCAGATAAACTATCTATCACAGGTATATATACTTGATTAACGGGTATGTAAAATAATAGGTAATTTGACTTCATCTCAACCGGATGGGTCAGCATAGCAGCACAATTTGATTAGATCGCAGGCTATCCAGTATAACAGGTATTTTAGCTATCAACATCAGCAGCGCTCAAACCCATATGTAGCAGGTATTTGATGTGATGGACTCTGGATAAAATCCAGATGATACCCCCCAATCTGGGAAGTATATTTAGGGCTAGCTAGGATTGAAGCTGCAGGATACGCTGATAATCGCGGGGGTGAAGTTGCTAGGATGACAGCGACTTATAAGACACTACCTGTTATTATTTTTTTTGAAAAAAAAATTCTAGACGGGCATGCCGAGAGAGGTGAGGCCATGACCTACAAGCGCCAAGGGCGCGCGTCCCCGCATTCAACGAAGACTTGGGCGTGCTCTCTATTGAGTTGTCTTCGCTCCGACCTAAAGCTCGTGCGGCTACGGAGAGCTGCAGAGAGTCGCTGGCAGCAGTATCTGTTAGTAGGATAGGCAAGGGAGATCGAGACTGAGCCTCAGTCTCGAATCTGCCCAGTATATAACAAGTGTCGTTTAGTGTCGTGAATTCCTGTTGTTGTTCGTCCCTTGTGCTGAGCGTGGACGCTCGCTAGCTTGCTTTCACATTTCAACAGTCGTGCACTTTGTCGTGCAGCTCCACGATGTAGGCGGACTTCATGACGTACTGCGCCACAAACGTCACCTCGGCCTCGCGCAGCTCTTGCTCGGTATGCTAGCGTGGGCCCATACTTGAGCAGCAGGCCCTAGTGTACGTGGATACTGCAAAGGCCACGACCCCTTGCACAAGATCTCACAGCGCTAGCCAGCTCGTCGATGCTCCAGCCGCTGGAGTCCAGCGTCACCCATATTTCAACACACCCCTCTCAAAGAGAACAACTTTGACCTCACAGAAGCATGCTGGTACACGCTGAGTCACTCGATGACTCGCATTCCACGACAGACTCTCGAACCGAGCCTTCGCCAATGGCTTGGTGAACAAATCCGCAGGATTGTCCTCACTTCGGACTTTCCACAGGTACAAATGCTACTTTTCAACCTGCTCACGAACGAACTGTCACTTCAACTCAATGTGACGGGTCTGTCGACTGAAGGTCGGACTTGTAGCCATTACAAACGATGATTGATTGTCGACACCAAGTGTCAGTTTGCTTTTCATCTACTCGTCCAAATATTCATCAGTGCTCTGCCCTCCATCTCAGCTTCACAAGCTGCAACATACTCAGCCTCTGCAGTAGATTGAGCCACAATTGTTTGTCGCCGCGACGCCCACGAGATCGCGCCACCTCCTAGAGTGAAGACAAACCCAGTTGTGCTCTTCCTGGAATCACGGTCATTTCCCCAGTCACTATCCGAGTAGCCATCCAAATGTACTCCAATATCGCATCGATCCGACTTGCGATAAGTGATGCCCTTGCTAGTCGTATCCAAAACGTAGCGAAGCACCCTCTTTGCAGCTCCGACGTGCTTCTCCGTAGGATGGTCAACATACCGACTTAATTGACCGACTGCATACATCAGATCTGGCCGAGTGCTGGTTACCAAGTACATTAAGCACCCCACGACTTCACGATAAGCCATCTGATCCAGGTTGTTCTTACACTACGAACTTTTCTGCTCACACGCTTCAAGACGCTGCGTCGTCTCCATCGGAATCGCACTGCTATTCGACTCCTTGCTCAAACCAAACCGCTCCAGCAACTTCTCAGCATGGTGCTGCTGGTCGATCGTAATTTCACCAGGCTTCTGGCGAACACATATACCCAAGTACTGATGCAGGAGCCCCAAATCCTTAATGCCATAGTCCTCTCCCAAATCATTGAAGAGACTGCACTTGAACTCCTCGGAGTTGGATGCACACAGCAAATCACCCACACACACCAAGACAAATGCCATCGTGCCATCCTTGCTGTAGAAATACAGACACGGCTCCGACTTACACTGGATGAACCCATGAGCTTTGAACCACTTGTCCAGCTCGTAAACCATACAAGGCCTTGTTTACTTCGTACAAGCCTGCTCCACTAGGAAACCCCTCAATATCCTTGATATACTGCTTGATCTTCAGAGCTGCATTGAGGTAGGCATTATTAATGCCACCCTGCCACACCTGCCAGTCCAAATGAACTGCAAAGGACAACAGCAACCTGAAAGACGGCAGACGAGCAACAGTAGAAAATGTGTCATCGAAATCAACACCTGCAATTTGTCGAAATCCTCTCGCCATCAGTCTAGCACGAAATCTGATCACATACCCCATCTCGTCCACTTTCACGTCAAAGACCCACTTAGCCGTAATGAAGTGCTGTCCCCCGGGCAGTGCATCGCTCTCCTTGAGAACACCTTGTGCGCGCAGTACCTCCACCTCCCTCATCATAACTGCCAGCCATTCACGAGCTTGCTTCGACCTCATTGCTTGCCGAAATGTGAGAGGTATTTTTACGTCCCTCTCACGCCACCTTCGCAACATCGAGCTCACAAACAGCAATGTGGAGTTAACCACATAGCCATCGAGGTATTTTGGCCGCTTTCGCTTACGGGGATCGTAGAGAGGTCTCTTATCTTCATCATTGCGCCGACTGCGCTTGTCCAGTTCTTGACCACGATTCTTGCGCTTCGAATTTTGCGCCGGCACTGGCACCAAAGACACAACTGATCCAATTCAGCTGTCTCGTGAGCTACACGCTGCTCCTCTGTTTCTGCCAGTTCGTACGTCTCAATCTCAATGGGCGTGGCTTCATTCTCGTGATCATCGCTATCATGGTCGTCATAAACATCATTTTGACCACCACCACTCTCAATAATCGCACTCGGATCATCATCATTATCACTCTGCACCTCAGAATCACTTCCAGAGTCTGATTCGCTCTGCACAGTGTGCTCACTCGAACTTGTACTGCTAGAATCTGGATCATTTGCAGCTTCCGAGCCATCAGACGCACTACTCACGTCGTCGACATCGCCGTCAACGTCACTGTCAGCGCTATCATGGGCACTTTCATCCTCGCCATCCGCAATATCACTTGCCTTTGGCACTGCAGAGCGTAAATGCACACGAAATCCACCCGGACCAGGTCGGTGCAGCGGCCTCCATACCGCCGTCGACCTCTGCGGCGAATCAGCATCATCTTCAGCGTAACTATCTTTATCTTCAGAGCCAGATTCAGCATCCGAGTTCACTTCGGCCAAACGAGAAATGATTGAAGGTGAAACTTCTGCTCGATCTCGATACAAAATAGCTTCATTCACTCGAACATCGAACACCACACGTGCACTGCGGGAAGTAGACCTTCGTACCTACGCGATCCTCTGCGTAACCCAGCGAGTATCCGACCTCGCAATTGTTCGCCATTTTCTCCCGCAGCTTGAGAGGAATGTGCGCATACGCCAGTGCACCAAACGTTCTGATGTGGTGAATATCAGGCCGCTTACCGAAAAACAAACGTACGGCGTCCGAGACGCAATACTTCTGCACAAAACGCGGTTCTTCACGTACGTCGTGTTCTCCAGCGCATCGGGCCAGAGACTGCTGGGCAATCCAGACGCAACCAGCATCGACTTCATCATACCACGCAGTGACTGTATCGCACGCTCTGCCAAATTCAACGACGACGCATCAGGAGCAAGTTCTTCATACTCGATGCCTATCTGTGCGCACCAGGCCTTCACTGTCGTTTGCAAATGCTCCACCATCGTCAAAGACCACACGCTTCACTTTGCGGTCCAGCTGGCGCTCCGCCCACGCGATATACTGCTCCAGCTTCTCATTAGTCTCCTTCTTGTCCTTGAGAGGAAAGGTACGAATCAACCGTGAGAATCCATCAATAACCACGAGTACCTGATTGAATCGTGTCTTGTTGTGCTTGCCAGGGTCCATCAATTCAACGAAAATCTCATCGTTAGGGTCACTAATACCACGGTCCAGCGAGTTCATGCGCTTCTTACGCTTCTGCTTCGCTAACTGACAAGTCTCACACATGGGTAACTCTCGTCCCTTCAGCATCATACCGTCAACGATGCTCTTATCAGACATTGACTTAGGTATTGAGCATTTGTGCCAAACACGAATGTGAGCTAGCCCATCCATCGTTGTGAAGTTCACGACTTCAGCAGCGCGCGTCGCCTGCCGAGAGCCATCCTCCGTAAACGAGTTGTAACTACGGAAGCTCCACACGTTGGTCGGCTGCAGCGTTGCAGCCAACAGGAACCTATCACCATCATACATGTTGTACGCGCCCGAAACCGGATCCTGCACCTCTGTGAGACCCTGGTCTCTCGCAATTCCTGCCGAAAACATATTCCATCGAGCGCTCGGAACATACAGCACTCGATCCAAAGTAAACTTTTGCAGCTCGCCATTTTCCGACTTCGTTACTAGTTCAGCTACACCAACACCGACTGCATGTGTCAGCATATTTTGTGCAAACCCACGACACGGATCCATCACTCATAGGCCACGAAATACTCCATCGTGCCTACGATGTGTGCACTTGACAACGTATCATAGTGCCACAATCCAGAGTCATAGTCATCCTCCAGCTCTTGGCGGTCAGGTAGAACGTCTACCTCCGACACAACTGGAGCTGTGAGCACGGGTACCACCGCGCAACTCACACCCTGCTTCGTTGCACCTCCACCTCCAGCCTTGTGCTGGTTCTGGCCGTGTTGCTTCTGCTACTGCCTGCCACTTTCAACTTGCACAACTCCAGCTCAGGACAAAAACGCCTAATGTGCCCAAATTGATGGCAGTGATGGCACTCAATCTGCGACCTGTCCTGCTCCTTCTTTTTCCACTTCTTCGCCGAACTTCCATGCTGCTCTTTACCATTACCAGACTTGCCATTACCACTAGCAGTCCCACGAGCGCCAAGCACACCACCAGCTTCATCCTTAAGCTGTGCTTCTGCCACCAAAATCAAATCACGAACTTCCTCGGGCTTTGACTGACCTCCAATACCAAAGCGCACCATTTGTGTCAATTGCTGGTACTTGTCATTCTGGGGCAAACTATTCAGCAAAGCGTCGACCATGTCGACGTCGTGAACGGTATACTTCAGCGCCGTGAGCTGATCCCTGATATCCATCATTTTGCCGATATGTAACATCATATCTTCGCCCTTGCCTGCTCGGGTGTGCCACAGCTTATGCAAAAGCTGGCGCTGCTTGTGTACAGCCAGCACCTGGTTACTGGGAGCCTCGTAATATTCCAGCAACGCCTTCCACATATCTGTGCCCGTCTTCTTCTTCATCACCCTTTGCGCCAAGGCAGGCGACACAGAACCCAGCACCATCCACTTGATCTGTGTCTGCTTCTGCTTCCACTCCGAGCGCGCCTTGTCGTCAGCATCCTCCTTCAGAGTCTTCTCCCCGAAGGCCATCAGCTCGAGGTCCTTCTCCTCGAAGCAGCTCACCATCAGCGCCGTGTAGTATTCCCAGTTTTCACCATTCCAGTTGATAGGAACGCGATGCAAACCCGGCACTTCGTGCATATATTTTTGAAACCAATTTGGTAAAAGTATGAGTGTGTATAGGATACTTGGCGGTGCTGAAGATACAACATTTTCCGAAGCAATGCCCCTCTAGCAACCGGGGCGGGATCCCGTCGGAATCCGATGGATGTCGCTTGAGTGGCGGATAAACTATCTATCACAGGTATATATACTTGATTAAAGGGTATGCAAAATAATAGGTAATTTGACTTAATCTCAACCGGATGGGTCAACATAGCAGCATAATTTGATTAGATTGCAGGCTATCCAGTATAACAGGTATTTTAGCTATCAACATCAGCAGCGCTCAAACCCATATGTAGCAGGTATTTGATGTGAGAATAATGGCACCTCACCCATGGACTCTGGATAAAATCCAGAGAACAAAACTCGAGTTGATGTACAGGTTGACCATCCAATAGTTTCGTATTTAGCGCGATAGATCGCTAACAAGTCACCACCATGAGCGCTCGCTCCATGGAGGTCGCGCAGCCAGCGCAGTGCCTTCGACCACTCGTGGGGGATTATCGTGCTGGACCGTGAAGACAAGGCTCTGCTACTGCAGCATCGCAATGGCCAGCACTGGTCGTTCTGCAAGGGGCACAAGAAAGACGCCGACAGATCGGACATTCACACCCGAAGAGACCCAACTCTATGTCCCCATGGTGTGGATGGAGCACGAGTCTTGGGGGGAGTATCGCAATACCACGGATGTGTTCTTCAACGAGCATAGTGCCGATGAGGAGAAGGAAGGTTACATCGACCGTATCACGCCCCAAGACGCGACCCGACCCAGGATGTTCCGCGAGGAGTACAGCTTCTGCAAGCGCAACAGGAAGATCAACAAATGCGTCGATTTCTACGTCGCGAGAGTCCGAGATCCAATGGCTCAGCAAACCCAAACCGAAGAGATCTCAGATTTCTGTTGGCTGTCACTGGACCAAGTCGCGGATCGACTGACTTACGACGAGGACCGCGCGTTGTTCCAGTGCGTCAAGCAAGCGATCTTAAGCCAAACACTATAGCAAGGGAGAGCGCGAATGCTAGATGGTAGCGACTGAAGCGACGCAATACATTGATACTTTATTCTTGGCGTAGTGACGGATAAGAGCGAGAAACAGGATTGATGCGATCGATCTAAGCTCAATCGGGCTACGACGCCCTTCCTCACAATCGTACAGTGAGATGTCTCCACCGAGCTTGTTGTGTCTCATGCCATGCTGTAGGTCATCACGGGTCGTGCATGAGCCTCGTCCGCCGCCTCCGCCACTTCCAGACCCCAAATATCTCGAAATCGACGGCGTCTGCAAGATTGAGTACGTCGATGTCGAGCCAACTCAACTCAAAAGCAGTTGTTCAGCCACGGTCGTGTGTGTTCACGGCGCTCCTGGAAGTTTTCGCGACTATCGATACGTTATCCCGATGCTTGCCGAGCAGCAACCCGGTCTTCGAATTATCGGAGTCAATCTTCCGGGCTACATGGGCTCAGAAGTGGAGAAACCTCGTTACCTCGAGACAGTTTGCGCTCTCCGAGCTGCTGAGGTGGTGCTGCAAGCCATTCGACAGCTTTGCATCTCTGGCGATAATGACGGAGGTGATATATTCCTAATTGGCCACTCGTTTGGAGCTCACACGGTCATCAACATTGCATCATTGAACGAGACGCAGCGAATGGCTGGGGCTCCTGTCAACGTACTCAAAATCCGAGGCATTGCGCTGATGGCACCGGCAGGATGCGTGCCACAACGAATGGTGAAAGAAATACCGATCAAGATGATGGTTGTTCTCTTGAGATCTCGCAGTGCAGTCGTTGTGCGCCTGGCGACGCGTTTCGTCAAGTATTTGTATACCGAGATACTTGGGTTTCCCAGGAGGACGCCGGCTACATCCTGCGTAGCAGCAATAATCAGGGCGGGCACAACGAAGTTCCCATTGATTCGAGCCCAGGTTACCATGCTGAAAGAAGCCAGCATGCCTGTGCTCGTCGCGTGGGCTCGTGACGATGTGCTGGTCGAGCCGTCGATTCCGGAAGAGCTCGGCAGACTCTCCCATGTTGGCCCACGGCTCGAGTTTGCTGGTGGAGGACACAATATCCAGAAGACTCGAGTCGAGCAGATTACGGCTAGCTTGAGCTCGTGGATCTCCGCGATCTTAAGCGGGTGCAGTTCTAATGAACTCGGGATGAGTCAGCACTTCCATGAAAAAAAAATACTTCGAAGTAGTATCCAAAATTTTTGATAACCATTCCAGTAAACGGTGCACAAAAAGTATGAAGACCCTCCGTCAAGGCAACAACAGAACCCGCCAATACTCATCGGTACTCAGTTTCCTTCGGCGCACACACTGCGATCAACATTGCAGCACTGAATGCAGCACTGATGTCGACGCCGAACGCTACCATTAATGTCCGCGGTACGGCTCTCTTGGACCCCGTTGGCTGCAGTCCCCTGACCATCTTAACGATGTCGATGCCGTCTACGTAGATGTAGCCGCGATTATTGACGATTCCTGTCGAGTTGAACGGGGTACCGAGCTCATCAACTTACTGGAACGCGTTCTCGAGAGACGGCATCAGCTCACGGCTCCGGTGCTGAAGCTGCCTGCGCACGAGGCCTGAGTCGCATGACCTCTGGGTCTTCACTAATGATGCCGGACATAATGGCTCTTGCCACAGGCCATAGCTAATCATGTAGCTGCCAGTGGCCGATGCTTTCGTCGTAATGCCTAACTAATAACACTGTAACTTTATATGCACAAGAGCGACGTAAAATCCAGAGCTGTTCCGGGCAGAGCACGGCCTTGTAAAGTTTTATCCTAAACTGAGGTTTTGGTTATGACATCGTCGATCCACTTGGTCATGGCGGTCGCTATTTGGTCCGCTCGAGTCTTTTGCAGGTTGTGGCCTGAGAACTCAAGTCGTGGGCCAACAGAGCACAGCTTGCACAATTCTGTCGGGATCTCTGGCTGGATGTGCTCGTCGTCCTTGGCCCACGCAATGAACGTCGGCAGTCGGAGTCTTTCTAGCAGCTTGGCCTGGTCACGGATCAAGTCGAAATTGGTTGTGCCCGCTCGAACCACAGCCGACACGAACGGATCGGCGGACGAGTCGCTGCTTGGAAAGCGCAGTACTTTGGTGTACACGAACTTGGTGACGTGTGTTGCTGCGCTCACTGCCCACGAGTTCCCCGACTTCAACAGCTTCAGCATCAGTGATATGGCGCCCAAGTGGAGACTTTGATGCGGGACACAACCAGCCGGGGCGATAAGTGCCAGTCCGCGGATGGCTAGAGCTTCCTTCGCTACGCTTTTCGACTCGGTACCGGTTGCATTCAATGCAGCCATGTTGATGACGGTGTGCGCTCCAAAGGAGTGTCCGATCAAGAAAACGCCTCCACGATCCTCGCAAATGTGGCGAATGGCGTCCAGCACCACCTCTGCGGTTCGAATGGCATCGACCGTTTCGAGATAGTGAGCTTTCTTGACTATAGATCAACCGTAACCAGGGAGGTTGATGCCAATGATGCGAAGCCCAGGTTGTTGAACAAGCAGCGGGATCAAGTAGCGGAAGTCTCGATAGCTGCCGGGTGCACTGAGGACCAGCACGAGAGTCGCTTGGGTGCGTTCAGGTGAGCGAACGTCGACGTATTCAAGTCTGCAGTGATCCTTCTTCATATCCAGATACTTGGGCGCTGGAAGTGGCGGGGGTGCAGCGCGATGCTCACGAGCTCACTCGTTGGGGGGAAAGACTTGGAACCGCCGTGACAATCTTGACGCCCAGCAGACTCGAAGCAGCCTGAAGAGAGTGACAGGATTCGAGTTCCAGCTGAGCTGACACGACTCCACCACAACGCCATACCGTCCTGGGTTGGGTGCCTGTCGGAGACTTTGATTGTGACGCTGTGAGAGGCCTCGCTTCAAGGCACCTGGCTTCCTCATAGCGGCCGTCGTAGGTTTACTCGACACGAATAATCGTTCATGCAGTTTATTCCCTGCTATCGCACATCAGGCGAGCTACGGTAAACTTTGAGTTAATTGCTGATCCCCTGCGCCGTCTTCGCCTAAGACGTCCTCGATCCACTTGGCCAAGGCCCCCGCAACTTGCTCTGCTCGCGTCTTCTGCACGTTGTGGCCTCCACCAGCAAATGCAAGACGCGGGCCGGGATGGCAAAGCCGCGCGAGCTCAAGAGGGATCTCTTCCTCCATGAACTCATCGTTCTGTGACCACGCAACAAGCGACGGCAGCTTCTGCCTGCGCAGCATCTCCACGTGCTCTCGGATCACTCCAAAGTCGGTAGTTCCTGCACGTACAAGACCGGCGATGTAGTGACCGGACGGTGCGTCACTGGGGAAGCCCAGTAGCCTGGTGTAAACCAACTTGATGAAGGGCGGGATGAACGCATTAACCACGGGGTTCCCCGTCCGCATCAACTTGACCACCATTGCGCTCTCTCTGGGCCTCAACACCTTGTGAGGCCGACAACCAGCAGGGGCCAGCAACGCCATCCCTCGAACCTTGACGTCCTTGCTCTCAGTCGCATGCAACGCGGCCATGTTGATCACAGTGTGGGCTCCAAAGGAGTGGCCAACCAAGAACACATTGTCGCTTCCTTCTTGTCCCGCGTAGAGCTGCTTCACTGCTTCTAGAGCCAAACTGGCAGTCGGCAGCGCGCTAATGTCCTCTAGATAGTGTTCCTTCGCCACCTTCGAGCCTGCGTAGCCTGGTAAGTTGATGCCAATGATCCTCAAGTGCGGGTGGTGGTGCTCCAGCACAGGAATTAAGTGGCGGAAGTCGTTGTAGCTGCCCGGTGCGCCATGCACCAGCACGATCGTCACGGAAGCCTCATGGCCCCTCAGAGCTTCCTCCAGCGGCGGGACGTCGACGTACTCGAGTGTGCATCGACCGCGGATGTCCAGATACTTTGGCGACGGAAGAGGCGGCGGCGGGGCTCGAGCTTCGCGTGGTGGCGCCACCTCCACTCGAGGCAGGAAGTCCCAGCGGCTGTACGACTTGCGCGCGCACGCAGACGACAGCAACCGAGCGCGAGGAACGCGCCGCAGCATTGCCCGACTGCGAGGGTGATGGTCAGGCCGAGTCCGACGTGATGTCGACTCGACACTTTGGATCTATGCACAGCTGAAGTTGCATTTCTGAAGAGAGCCCTTCCACCTATGGGACTCTATCCGATATCTCCCATCCTTGCAGGCGCGTCACTCGGGAATCAGAGACCAAGGAGAAGCATGAAGGCGGCGGTTAGCGTGGCCGCAAGAACTGCAAGGCAGCGGAGCGTTTTGACTCTCGGCCGGAGGTTCCCAGTCTCGCTTCGAGCGCAGCAGCAGTTGAGGCCATCGTCTCACCCCCTTGCAACCAGCGTATCGTTCTCTACTGCGACGGAGTCCACCTCTGCTGGCAAGTCTCGTCGGTACTCGCCGCCGCCGCTGCCAGAGCCAACGTTCATCGACGTGGACGGCAAGTGCACGATTGAGTACATCGACGTCAAGCCTGAGGATCTCACGGCTACGACGCCCACGCTCGTGCTGATCCATGGCGCGCCAGGGACATATCGAGACTTCCGCCACCTCATCCCGCTGCTGAAGGACCGCGGCGTGCGCGTCGTCGGCGTCAATTTGCCCGGATTCGCAGGCTCGACGATTTTGGACACTTCCAACTACTACGAGCACATCAGCGCATTCCCCTCCGTCCAGCTCACGTACAAGGCCATGCAGGGCGTGCTCAAGGACTGCGACAACGTGTTCGTGCTCGGCCACTCGTTCGGCGGCCACGCGGCCGTGCATTTCACGGGCATCAACGCGGACGAGCAGCAGATCGGCATCAAGGGGCTGGTACTTCTCGCTGGGGCCGGCCACCGGCCGCATCATGCGCTGAACCCCCGATTGAACGATCTGCTGTGGAAGATGCTGCGGTCGGGCGTGCCGGTGGTGGAGGGCGTGTCCAAGTGGCTCGTCCGCCAGCTCTACATCAAATCGTTCAAGTTCCCGGACAGCAAACTGCCCGACTACTTCACTGCGGGCATCGTGCGCTGCGCCACGGCCGACTTCCCTCTGTTCGCCCAGCATTTGGAGAAGAACCGGTCGCTGCCCAGTTTCCTCGCGTGGGCCAAGGACGACGCGCTCATCGAGGAGGAAATCTTCCTGGACGTGAGCGCAGTGTGCCACCCCGGGCCGCGTCTGGCCTTCGAGCGCGGCGGCCACAACGTGCAGAAGACCAAAGCCAGCTTCTTGGCCGATGAGCTTACGGCCTGGATGACCAACGTGGTGCAGGGCAAGGAGCTGAGCGAAGTGTACTCGACCAACGTGGAAATCCACCCCTAGATACATACAGAGCCTCGCATGTTGACCATTCGGGTAGACTCCAGCGGTTGCAGTATGCACTGCTACATACTTGACCACCCCACGCAAAATGTAGCCATGTGTGCAACCCACCTGGTACCCCTTCCCCTATCCCCTCTTCATTCGCTGAAAATCAACCTCAAAATTCGCTCATTGGTCAGAAATCCATGATGTACCATATTTCCGGCACAGCTGTCGCATGGGAGGAACCAGCTTTTCCTTCTCCTTTCAGCGAGATCTCCATACAAATCGGCCGGCATTCGGCCTTCCGGTCCAGTGGCTTCATCAAGCACTCTCTCAATGACGCTCTCGTCGCCGACCTTCCCAGCGCGCGGCAGCAGCGGCAGCGACCACGCCAGCTACGTGCCCAAGCCGCGGCGCGCGCGCGGCAGCATGGACTCCACGGCGTCCTCCACCAGCGGCGGGGGCAGCACCAGCAGCTCCGTGCTCCGCGTGTCCCGCGAGCTCGAGAACATCGGCGCGCGCGTGCCCATGTCCAAGAAGCGCGTGACGTGGCGCTTCGTGCTCGCGGGATCGGAGCAGGTGCACACGGTCATGCTGGAGCATAGCCGCATCTCGGCCAAGAAGCGGCTCAAGCTGGACGGCCGCCGGCTCTACAGCTCGGACGCGTACGCCACCAACTGGCACTACGACTTCCACGTGGGCGGCGGCGACGCGCTCACGCCCTTCCGCGTGACGATCCGCGACGTCAAGTCCTCGGTCGTGGACCAGCGGCGGCTCGAGACGGTCTACGACCTCGTGGCGGAGGGCGTGAGCTGGGACCAGCTGGGCGAGAGGTTCCTGCCCGTGGCGCACCGCCACCACACGGCGTCGGTCTGGAGCAGCGACATGTACGTGCGTCGCGTGGAGGACACGAGCGGGGAGCTGCTCAGTGACGGGGACCAGCGTCCCCCGGGCACGCTGCTGACCTGGACGTTCGCGTTCGGAGTGAGCGGCGGCATCCACAAGCTGGAGCTGCGGGACCTGGAGAAGGGCGAGTTCGTGGTCGTGCTGGACTGCAGAGAGCTCAAGCGCGTGAGCTTTGACGACATTGAGGGCGAGATGTGGGAGTTCGAGTACGACGTCGAGGACCAGCACGAGCTGGACCTGGTGGTGGCTCTCACAGACGACAACAGGAAGACGTACGACTTGTTCATTGACGGCAGCGCGTGGAGCGACATCAGTCAGACCAACTTCGTGCTGGAGTCGGGGTGGTACCCGGTCTACTCGCGCTCGAGGAGCGCCGTGTACTTCCGTCATGAGGGCACGGGCAGCACGCAGTGGGAGAAGCCCATTGTGGACCGAGAGGACGTGAACGCGACCCGTCCGCTGCAGCATTTCGAGCAGGTGTCGCCCGGCTCGCAGGGGCTGGAGGACCTGATCCACGACATGCACGTTATCACATCGATTAAGGAGGAGGCTAATGAGGAGCCAGAGAGCGAGCACGAACACGCGCCGCAGCTTGTGCCCATGAAGCAGCCGCTGCAATCAGTTCAGGAAGTGCCGGAAGTGAATCTGATTGACTTTTCAGACGATGCGGTACACTCGTCGCCTGTAAAGAAGCCGCAGCAGAGTGGATACGATGGCTTCGATCCGTTCAACCCTGCCACGCACGCTGGCTTCGTCCAGAAGGAGCAGAGTGGCAACCAGTCGCAGCCGCAAGTGGATCTGCTGGGTCTTTAGAGGGAACAAGTCGGGTACAGGTCCAGCGGGTGACTGCTCTGCGTGCATGAAGCAGTGCGTTATTTATGTTTAGGAGAAGAGGTTCGTAGTTGCATTCGTGGGAGGCTGGTGGTTAGGTAGAGTCTAAGTAATACCTAACAAGTCGGCTAGCTAATAAGGTGAGGTCTCTCTGATTGTTTTGTGTGTTGTGTGTCATCTAGTTGAGTAGCTTCTTGATGAGCTCGTTGAGCGGTTCCTGCTCTCTTTTGTCCACGAGGTCGAACTGCGTGACGAACGCTATGAAGTGCTTGAAGCACGAGTTCAGATGGGCCTCAGCGCCGATGCTGACGATCTTGTCGAAGTGCGAGTAGTACACGTGCGCGTAGACCCGGAAGAGGCGGCGGAAGATGTTCTTGACCACAGACTGGAAGCCGCGGCAGTACGGAGCTCCCTCTCGAGTCGGGAAGAGCGCTTCGTCGCTGAGCAGCTCCTCGACCCATGTCATGAGCATGTCGATGTACTCGGGGGCGGCGAGCTTCACCGGCGTCTTGTACTCCTTGCCGTCCTTCCACAAGTACTCGAACTTGGGCCCAGCGCGCATCTCGGGGCAAGACGCGCACGTGCAGAACTCGAGGATCGTGCCGTAGATGATGCTGATCTCATTGAAGAAGTCCACCGCTGAAAGTCACGAAGAGGAACACATTGGTCAGCACACACTTTTAGCCGAACCGTTGATCGGTTGAACGTACTGTGGACAGCGAGCCATTCGTTCAGGTCTTCCCCCTCGGGCAGCGCCACAGCATTCCTCATATCCCCACTAGTCACAAAACAACATCCAAAAGGTTACACACTTTGAAAAAGGCAACTACAACTTCAACAACGAGAGTGATGGTACGGTACGTACTTGCCCAACGTGGCCTGAGCTTGCTTGTGCAGGTCGTAGCGCTTGGTGCCGTGGCTGTGGCTCTTTTGCGGCCGGAAGGTCTTGTTGCGGTTGAACAGGTTGTTCATGGCTACACTGCTTGCTTCGCTTCGCTTCACTTCAAGCTGGCAAATGAAATGAACGCATTTTGCACCAGCAAGCAAAAAGTGCAGCCATGAATAGCATCCGTTACACTGGTCGAATCGTACTTAGCGCTATTTTCGGTCTCCTGTAGCTAAAATGATCCGCAGCGTGCGGGAGCTCGTGGCCCCTGAGGACGTGGGGGTCGCCCTCCCCCACGACCATGTGCTGCACAACATCGGGGCTGTAGCTGCAACCAATGGGGACCTGGAGATCCGCATGGAAGACTTGATGGACTTCCGTCGCGCGCCTTTCGCCCATGGGGGGCGCAACCTGCTGCTCCAGAAGGAGGACGAGGCGTTCCGAGAGCTCGAAAGGCTGCAGCAACATAAGCTCCACAAGCTCAAGCCGTTGGTGGTGGACGTCACGCTGCCGACTGAAGGACGCGATGCACTGGTGAAAGAGCGGCTGCGATTGGCCGAGAGGTTGAAGGACCTGCATCTACTGACGGTCGCGACGTTCGAGGTGGAGAAGCTCAATGAGAAGTTTTGTATCGGGTTGTCGCCCCAAGAACAGAGTGAACGCGTTGCCAAGACGCTGGAGGCCGAGCTGGTGTTCGGTATTGAGGGTGCGGGAGTGGTGGCGTTCCCCGGGGCCATGTACCAGCAGATCCACGTGAAGAGTGGGGGGCTACTTACGGCGAAGGAGGAGATTCTGGTGCAGGGACTCGCGTTGGCCCAAGCACGGACCCATGCGCCGCTGTATCTGTCGTTTTCCATTGACGAGGCTGCGGGAAGTGCTGAGCTTGAGCAGGCGATTCGAACTTGGATTCGGAATCTACTGGATGCAGGTGCGGAGAGCAAGAAGCTAGTCGTTTGTCACGCTGATCGCTGGTGTCGAGGAGACGTTCAAGGAGCTGGTTATGCGTTTCTGCTCGAGTTGCTTGGATTGGGTGTCTCGGTCTTGTTTGATCTCGTTGGCCTGCTGGCTGTGAGTGACGTGGTGCTGGTCAACCCGACCTTGACGGCAGTGTTGAGCGCTGGAGAAGCTTCTGACCAAGAAACTCACGAACCTCCACCTGATAGCCGCCTTGTAAAGTGGATTGCAAGCCTCGTAAGCGAGTCAAGATATGTTTCGCAGATTCTCCTCTCAACCAACGTTTATCAGCGGATCCAGTATCGCCGCTATGGTGGAGGGGGATACACATACCTCTTTGAAAAGTTTAAGCACCGTCTCCTACGTCAAGGCGTCGCTGAAATTCAATGGGACGAGATTGTGAGAGCCAATGTTGTGAACTTACTGGCCTGGTACGTGCCTCCAGAGGCCCCACCAATCCCGAAAAACTACCTGCAGTGTTCCATCTGCGAGAACTACTTCGAGCCGATCGAGGGAGAATACTTCACCAAGTTCACGTTCACGTACTGCGGAACCAAGTGTCTTCGCCGTCATAGTCGGCAAAAGTTTGCTCCGCTTCCAGCTAAGAAGTGAGGATGTAAAATTCCACTAGCACGGACTCCAGATAACTTGGGTAGACAAATTAATAACTGCGAGTTCTAGAAACCAGTTGTCCGAAAAAGAATTTATTCGCTAACTTGTGGCACCTTCTACACTGTGGCAGGATGGAGTACGGAACGGCAACAAAATGCCCGACTCATGTGTGACACTATGTAGTACTTCGTAGTGATTCAACGAACAGTGCATCCTCTACTCGATGGTTGAAGTCGGAAATCGATTTCTCCCACGCTCGAACCCACCTTTGGTAACATGATGCTGGAACTAAACTCGGGTCTGGCAAGTTGTCATGGTGTGAGGGTCTGTCGAGATCTGAAATCTGGCAATGTGTTCGCAATATCGTTGTTGCTCCACACGCTGTTCCACCGTGCTCCAGTACTAGGCGCGTGGTCTCACGGCATGCTGCGATGAGTGATCCGTGGAGCGGCTCCACTTGCATACGAGAAATGAACACTGTTCGGTCTTCCTCGATGTATCGTCGAACAGCGATGTGTACTTGAACAGACATTTCAACTCCGTGACGTGCGATGGAGATCATGAGCCTTCTCGTATTGGTGCCCTCTCCTGTTTCACATTGCTAAAATAGTGGTTTTCAGTAAAAAAAAATCATATCGAGAACGGTAAGGAGATTTTAATAACTTACCTCGGACACCATCGTATTCGGAGTGCTGAGGTGGGCAGTTTTAAGCGCCCAGACCACCTTCTCTGTTTTTTGAAGGTCGAACGGTACGACATAGTTGTTGAACACCTCGACAAATATGCGGCTTTGTGGCTGCTTTGCTGAAGCCCCACAAGGTTGAGCCTTGTGCATCTTGATCCGCTCGAAAAAGCTGCCGAGATCAGCATATACATCGTCCAGTTCTTTCACCAGTGTACTATGCACTGGACGCCAGTGGCGGCTGTCAATGGGGAGGCTGATCGAGGTGTTGCAACGTCGCTGATCACAGGGAGCAAAGGGGGCAAAATTCTTCGTAAACGCATTTTGAATGCGTTCGGCCTCCACCTTGCAGCGTTTGACTGACTCACGCAGTTTTGCGCCTTCGTTCATGCTGGTCTGTAATCGTTGAAACTCCAGCACCGCAGCGGTCTTCCAAGATGACCGAGTTTTATCTTGATACATTGTCACCGGTGTAGAATTCTTCGACCGCACTATTGCTGAAAGTGTGATTAGCTCTTCGCGTAAGCGCAGCATTTCCTCCTTTTGTCGCTGGCTCCACGATTTCCTCTTTAAAGATGGAGCGAAAACCTTGAACTTCCTGGTATCGCTGCGGTTAGCGAGAATTGCAGTGTTGGGCACAGAGGTTGGCATCGCTGGTCGAGTTTGAACGGCGGTAGCATCTTGCATCCCGTCGAACTCCTCGAGGAAAGCAACTAAATCCGGGTCCACATCCAAGTCGAGCTCGTCCATATCGAGCTCTCCACTATCGCCAACACTAGCTGGGATAAAGTTCATTCGTATTGATGAATGAATACCGACTCGTTTGAGGTCAAACCTTGAGATGGGGGTTTCATCTGCAATGTTAGCGTATCGCGGCATGCTAGCACTGAGGATTACTGCTTACACGAGTGATCGTCTGAGGCAGCCATCAACACCAACATTTTGCTCGGATCAACAAACGCGTGTTTGCGGGCACTGAGGCTGCTGGAAGATAACAAGAGACTCGTTCTGGAGCGATGAAACAGCACACCCTGGCTTGTACTGGGAAGTTACTCTATATGGAGTATGCTGCTTGGTCTAACTGAAATTCTACTAAATCGATGGGCTACTATTGGAATGGTAGGAACAGTAGGCGGAGTAGCCCACCCCGTTAAGTTAAAGATTCCTATCACTTAGTGTTTAGGTGACCGTAGACATATATGAGCAAAGGCGTGAGCTCTAACAAGAAGTCGTAGCAAAACAAAATAGACTTAAGTCATCTGTTGACTCGTTGTTTGAATTCAGGCTCGCGCATGGCGAGCCGACGGCAACGGTGCTGCGGCACAAACAAATAATGTAACGCCGGTGCGAATCGCCCCATGAACTTGAGTTGACTGCTGCGCAACGAACGAGCGCGTGAAATTGCATACCGAAACAAATCCGTTTCAATCAGCTTCGCTTCTGGAAGACTTAGTTCCAACATGCTGACCCGACAAGAACAATGCATATTAAATATTCCTTTTCTAGCTGCAGCAACTTTAAATCGAGTTCATTCTTACTAGCAGTACATGTGTGTACGGTAGCGTCAACGACAAATCTTCAACGACCCTGAGCCTCCTGGATGGAGGACGATTACCTCGACCAGAATCTGCTGTCGGTTTGGATGAGCAGGGCGCGGCCTCGTTACCGTGCTTCAACGTCGCCCTTGAGAGCGGTAAGGTGCCTTACATGTGCTGTAGCAGGTCGCGTCAACGTAGTTCTCCAAAACATACAAATTCGAGCTCAATACATTATCATGGTACATGCATATGCCCCAGTAAGCTTACATGAAATGCTTCGTTCGGGTTCCTCTCGTGCATCAAGCGCCTCGCTTGCACCGACCGCGCTGACGTCACACTGCAACATGCCGGTGCTCCAGGCGCATCACCTGCTCCGAATTCGTACCACTTCGTTTAACTTTGTGTACTGCACACCAACCATCTGCACTTTCCCTCTATCCTCGCATTCCCCTGCACACTCGTCTTCAACTTCCACCGGTTCTCGCAGGTTCGGCGCGCAATCAACGTCATTGACATACACGCATCACCAGCTTCAGTCGCCAATCCGCCGCATACCCCCCAGCCCCCCGAGTCTTGATGCTGTCCAAGCCGCTCCGCCGCCCGCTCGCCGCCGCGCTGCGCAGGCCCCAGAGCGCTGTCATGAAGTACCACGTGGGCGTGCGCGAGACGCAGCGCGGCGCCGACGCGCTGGCCCAGCAGAAGCAGCAGCTGCGCACCCAAGGCGCCTCCGCGCTGAGCCTGGACACGCCCGTGTTCCAGGTCTTCGGCAGCAACACGGACATCGGCAAGACCATCGTGTCCGCCGGCATCTGCCGCAGCGCCGCCACCATCGCGGCCACGAGCGGGGGCCGCGTGGAGTACATCAAGCCGCTGCAGACGGGCACGGACGACGACATCCCCGGCTCCTTCCCCGGCGACGCGTCCTTCGTCCAGAAGCACGCGCTGCTCGAGGACAAGTCCCAGGGCGCGCTCGAGTGCTCGACGCTCTTCTCGTGGAAGAACCCGGTGTCGCCGCACCTCGCGGCGCAGATGGAGGGCCACACCATCACGGACGAGGCGCTGCTGCAGCTGCTCGCGGACAAGCTCAAGGCCATCAACGGCGTGAACGGCGATAAGGCTGCGGACAGCCTCGTGCTCGTGGAGACGGCGGGCGGAGTGTGCAGCCCCTCGGCCTCCATGAGGTTCCAGGTGGACGTCTACCGCGGCATGCGTCTGCCCGTGGTGCTGGTGGGCGACGGCAAGCTCGGAGGCATCTCCACGACCATGTCGGCGCTCGAGACGCTGCTGATCCGCGGATACGACGTGGCTGCGATCTGCCTCATTGAGCAGGACGGACTCGACAACGCGGCGGCGCTCGAGCCGCGCACCAGTGAGCTCGGCATCCCCATCTTCACCATGAGCGCCGTTCCACCGATGCCCGAGCCCCTGGACAAGTGGTTCGACGAGCACGAGAAGGTGTTTGCTGGCGTCAACAAGGCGCTCAAGGCGTTCCACCAGACGCGGCTGGAGAGCTTCAAGCGCATGGAAGAGCGCGCGGAGCAAGTCTTCTGGTGGCCGTTCACGCAGCACAAGAAGGCGGGCGGGCTGTCCATGATCGACTCGGCTCATGGAGACGAGTTCAGCGTATACCGCCCGGACAGCAACAGCGTCGAACCGCTGTTCGATGCGTGTGCCAGTTGGTGGACGCAGGGTGTCGGGCACGGCAACTCGAAGATGGCCACGGCGCTGGCGTACGCTGCTGGCCGCTATGGCCACGTCATGTTCCCAGAGAACGCCCACGAGCCCGCGTTGCAGCTGAGTGAGAAACTCCTGGCTTCCGTCGGCAAGGGCTGGGCCTCGCGCGTGTACTTCTCGGATGATGGATCAACCGCCGTGGAGGTGGCGCTGAAGATGGCGTTCCGCAAGTACGTGCTTGACCACAAGCTGGAGTACAGCGAGTTCATGTCGGATGAGGCTACGGGGTCCAAGATGGTCACGCTGGCCCAGGCCAACTGCTACCACGGCGATACTCTGGGCGTGATGAACGTCGCGGAGAAGAGCGTCTTCAACGAGAAGCAGCACCCGTGGTACCGTCCTGAAGGCGTTTTCCTGAAGGTCCCGATGATGGCACTGCGCAACGGCGAGTACGTGATCTCTATCGACCCTGAGATCGCTGGCAACACGCCGACGGAGGAAAAACTGCCGTCCCTCAACGCTGCATTCGACGCTTCTCGCGACCAGAGTCCTCTCGCTGATGTGTACCGCAAGCATGTGGCTCACATGATCGACTCGACCGAGGAGAAGAACGTTCGTGTGGGCTCTGCGCTCATTGAACCTGTGCTCATGGGCTCCGGTGGCATGTTCCTGGTTGACCCGCTGTACCAGCGCATGCTGGTGCAGGAGTGCCGCGCGCGCAAGATCCCGGTGATTTACGACGAGGTGTTCTCCGGTTGGTGGCGTCTCGGAGTCGAGTCTGCGCGTGACCTGCTCGGCGTCGACCCTGACATTGCGTGTTACGCCAAGCTGCTCACTGGTGGCGTGGTTCCCATGGCTGCTACGCTCGCTTCGGAGGAAGTTTTCGACACTTTCTACGCGGACTCCAAGGGCGAGGCTCTGCTGCACGGCCACTCCTTCACGGCGTACCCGATGGGTTGTGCTGCCGCCGTGACTGCGCTAGACATGTACCAGATTTTCAACAACGCCAGCGCTCCTACCAAGGATGCTACGCGTGCGTACTGGAACGTGGACGCCCTCACCGAGCTCTCTACCCGGCCGTACATCGCGCGCACGTTCGCTATCGGTACTGTGGCGTGTGTGGAGCTGGCGTCAGAGAACGCCGGCTACGCGTCCACGGAGGCTGCCGAGCTCATCCAAGTGCTGCGCAAGAACGGCGTGTACGCGCGTTCCCTCGGCAACGTGCTGTACCTGATGTGCTCACCCCTCACGACGCAGGAAGACTGCAACAAGTACCTGGACACGCTCACTCGTCAAATCGAGATTTTGCAGGCCAAGAAGTGAGCGGAGCTTAGTGCTGTATGAAAGCGAGTTAATGTACGTGATGAAGTTGGGACTTTTTGGGGAGCAGCTAAGGAGCTCCCATTTCCGGAGCTCCCATTTCCGGAGCTCCCATACACAAACAGGCCAACCATATGCATGTGTAACTCCATGTGCCAGCACTTCAAGCTAAACTAAAGATCGAAGAGGACTAGTATACCCATTATAGTTTTTATAGCAACGGGGCCGGACGAGCTTGTTTCAAACGCTGATGATCCTTACGGCAACGTAGTACGTGTCGTCGGCGCGAAGTTGCATCATGCTCTCTCCTAAATCTCTAGCGAGTGTCATAGTTTTGCTTGGCGCGTTCAACGCTCACCACTGCGGTAAATTTTGGAAGACTGTGAGCAAGTACAGGTGTGCCCACGCGACAACGAGTCGACTATAACTTTGCTGCATACTGGTCGCATGTACTACGTAGTATAACGGAGCAACCGTTGTCATGTATATACCTCTAAAGGTGAGAGCCGAAGCCACACGCATGTACTCTCCGAATTAAACGGTCTTGTCCAAGACTTGTAGATTGCGCAGTTAGTCTCGTTGGTGTTCTAGCAGTACCACCAACTCCTTTTGAGAAGTATTTTCAAACTTGACGCTCGTGTTTATCTTGCAGGAGTCGTCGTAGAAGTTACCATACGATACATTATTTTTTTAAATGTATTTTTTTAAAGTAACCAAGTTTTTCTACGTATTGATGCCTTGAACTCTTAACACCTGCATTAGAATGCTACTTGGTCAATTTGTTGTTGTTCCTGAACCAGCACATTGCGTCGAGCGTGCTACCGACAGAGTAACTGACCTCTAGGAAGACCGTGCCGGTAGCTTCCCTGTATGCGAACTCGTGATCGGTGAGGGTTACAGGAAATCGCAAATTGCTAGGGCCCACGTGTAGTGGCAGTAGAGTGTTCATGCGAGCCAAAACTTTGGTGACATCGTGCCCGACTCCGTCGCTTCGAGCAACAAGTAATGGTCAGCGGAGAGCATCGATGACGGTGACGACGCCAAGATGCACCTGTCCACTACGACCTGAAGTCGAAGACATGCGAGGACATCATTGTGAGTGGCACTGACCCTAACGAGCGTGTCCCTCACGTTGCCTCCATCGGCAGCGACAGCACGCTCGTTATGTGAGATGTTAGCTCGTCCGGCCCCGTTGCTATAAAAACTATAATGGTTATACTAGTTCTCTTCGATCTTTAGTTTAGCTTGAAGTGCTGGCACATGGAGTTACACATGCATATGATTGGCCTGTTTGTGTATGGGAGCTCCGGAGATGGGAGCTCCTTAGCTGCTCCCGACTTTTTGGAGCAAAGTACCAGTGTAGTATCGGGATGAAACTTTTTGCGGGCGCCTTTCGACGAACATTAACCTCTGCAATCCCTACGAAGTGGAAGATCGGTTTACGCCAATGCACTCTCCTCCGGCAACAGATACTGTACATACATGTACATACATGTACAGTAATGTGCGTCAATAAGGGACCTCTGATACGAATAGGAGTGTAAAGGCTATTAAGGCGAACAAGTGGAAAAAGAAAGAACAATGTATTGATTTAGTTAAGAATAAATGACACACTGCTTTTACTAATGAGCGTGGAGTGCAACCAGCACTTCTGAATCGTAGAAGCTGACACATTATCCCACGCAGACTCGCACCACTTCATGGCAGTTGGTAAGTCGACTGTATGTCTAGGGGTGCCCAACTTCTTGGCTAGCACCGTAGCATAGAAGACGATCATTGCACCGCTGAGGCAAATGCCCTCCGCCTCTGCAAGCATGATGAACTCGACGATGTTTTGATCGGTCTGTAGCTGGAACGGAGACGGCTTGTTCTTGCGCTGAGCACTTTCGTGAGGCTGGCGCAACAGCGCGATACGCCCCGAGATGATGCGGCCGATCGTGGCTTTCCCAGGGGGACTTTGCAGACCGAACTCGACTTTGGCCCAAAGGGCCAGGTCTTCATACTTGACAGTGGGGGAGCTCTCAGCCTTCTTGATCAGACGCAGCTTCTGCTGCTGGGTGAGGCGAGTTCTAGTCTTAGAGGAGGAGCTCATGAGGTGGGTGGATGGGTAGGGCGCTGGTGTTGTGGTAGATTCCGTTGTGCTTGGAGATCGCGCTGAGCGGGTTGGAGGGAAGGAGTTATGTTCGCGCCCGAATTCAAATGGTAGCTTCAATCACTGATTGGCTAGATCTGACCTCACTAGCCAATCACGTAGTCGCGCTCGTTGCGAAACCAGCCAATAGCGCCAGGATCCTGTCGAAAGTTAACTTAAATCAATGTTAGCTGTGTTCTTGACTGACAGCGGTATATAATGTATGTAAGGATATTAGTTGCCACACGTCCCTTATTGACGCACATTACTGTACGGCATGCTTTAAAAATCTTGCTCTTGATCCATGTTGTTCGTGAATAGGAATCTCGCGCGGCGCTACGCTGTATGTCACCGGTTGCATCTCCTGCGTGGCCCTGATCGAAGGTTTCGAAGCGCAGCGAATTGACGATCCGCAAGTGCACCAGAGCCCAGCATCTCTAGCAAACAGGCGCAGAAGACTCGGGAGGATCCCACCACGATGCACGACTCTCCCCATCGCGGCCGCACCAGCACCGCAGAAAGTGTTGAAGCCGGCGACAGCACGTCGACATGGCGCAGGGTGTCCAGGTTGTCAAGGTGTGACTCGTAAAATGACCCCGCGCTTTTGGACCGGCATCGGTGCTGCAGCCTGCAGGCTCACCTTACAGCTCGCCGGTAGGCGTTGCAGCTGCCGATTGTTCTCTGCTAGGGAGCATACAGATGAGCCTCTTGAGTGAGGCGCAGCTGGGGCTGGATTTGATGCGCTTGTTCTCGTCGGAACAAAAGTTAAAAAGTGGTCGACACTGCGCGGTGTAAGAGCGCAGCAATGCCCCCAGCTATGCGCTGGTAGCACTTGCGGCGCGGCTGCCTCGGTCTCGATGCAAAGTGGGGCAGCGGACGCCCTCGAAGCTGCTCGAGACCTGCGCCAAGGGCCTACAATAGTGTCCGCTGCAGCTTAGTCCGGTGCCGACGATCCACCAAAAATTGCAACGTCAACCGTTTCAAAGGCGCCGAGTAACGACCGAAGTCCACCCCTTCCGATGTCCTTCAAACGGCACGCGCTGCAGCGCCCGACTAGACGGGTCCTTCAGTCGCTCTATATCGCACCCGTCCTTTTCCATTCTCTGTCCAAATGATTTGATCATTCACAAACGTAGTCAGTCGCAGCAGCGGTCACACCAAAAAAATTTCTTTGCGGTCTGATATGCTCAGGAACATCCGAGGAACGCGTTACGCGGGCTCACTTGGACCGATCAGCGCACTGCAGTGCCAAGTTGCATCGCGGGTCTCTGCCGACGTTCGCCTGGCTGCAGGCGCCTCGCGCCCGATGGGCACCTCGCCGTTATTGCCGCTGCGGCGAAGCTTCCGCGGCGGGCGTCGCAGGGGGCAAGGCGGCAACGGACGGGGCGAGCGCTCTCGCTCATTCGCTGGCTTGCGGCGCGGCGCCCCGAGGTGTCTGCCCGCTTGATTGTTCGTCCTGCGCCCGAGGCATTAGCGCTTTGCCGAGAGCCCCTCGCACCCGTACTGTACGTACCTTAGCTGCCTTGGAGGCCGCCGCGAGGTGCTTGCTAGAGCCCCCACTGTCGTGATGGGGAACAGCGGGAGCCGCCCAGTCTACGACGGGCCCGGCGGAAATTTCGTCCGCGCCGACGCCGCACTCGACTGCGGTGCCTGCCCCTCGGTGTCGACAGGTGACTCCTCCTGGCTCATCTTCCACCTCCTGCTGAGCTTCGTGCTCGTGGCCTACGTGCGCTGGAGCCGCGTCACGATCCACAACCACGCCTGCAACGAGCGCGAGCTGCCGCCGTGCTGTCGACGACATCTGCAGCAGCACCACGCCAGTGAAGAGGTTCCTGAAAAAGTGGGGGAGGAGGTCGAAGCCGTGGAGGAGAAGGAACCCGAGGAGGAGAAGGAAGAGGAGGTTGGCCAGCCCAAAGTGAATGAAGTGCAGCAGCCCACTATCACCACACCGACTCCGATGCCTGCGCTGTCGGCGGAGGAAGAGCAGGCTGCGGCCAGATTGACAGCTCTTCGAGCCGAGTACGCGGCGTACTTGCAGATGCTCAAGGTCGGACTTCCGCGAGTCGTCGTGGACCACAAGATGCGCGCTGAAAGCAAGGACCCGGCCGTGCTGGACGAACTGATCGCGACGACGCCTAAGGCGAGGAAGGTGCCGGCCCCCATTGAGATCCCGCCGGTGGAAGAACCGGTGGAGGACGAGGACCCGGAACACACCCAGAAGATCGAGTCTTTCCAGCGCATGATCAAGGTGGGCGTCCCGCGCCACGTTGTGGAGATGAAGGCGAGGAGAGAAGGCGTGGACCCAGCCGAGCTGGACGCACCGCGTTCTGGTGGAGCACCTTCACTCGCCGCCCTTCAGTCCGCCGACGACAGTGATCTACCTGCGCCTGCAATGCTAGCGACGCGCTCCAGACGCTCCAGTATCAGCTCAGTCGTGTCAACTGCACCGTCGACACCTGACGCGTTGGCCATGCGCTCTGCGTCGACTGTCGCGACCAGCAACGGCCGTGCATTGGCAATGATGGCGCTTCGCAAAATGAACACGGGCATGCGCAAGAAGCTGCACTGGTCGACTACTCCGAACACAGGCGCCATCATCCCAGCCCAGCGACGGGATTCGCTGTGGAGCCGAATTCACGACAAAGCACAGCATGAATGCGTGTGCATCTCGACGGAGAGCAGACGCTGGATGGAGAAACTCTTTGTCAAGGTCGTTGCCAAGGCCAAAGTGGGACGTCGGCGACGCACAACCAGCGGAGACAGCGCCACTTGCAGCCCAGCCAAGACGAAGCAGACGTCAGCAGCACGCTTTGGATCGCCCAAGCGTGAGCGCGCAAACTCTGACCCAGCGCTGTTCGATGGCGAGCAGGACGAGATGGAGGTTGAGCCGGATCCGGAGGAGGCGCAAGTCGCAGAGAAGGACCCCGGCAGTGCGTTCCTACACCGCAAGTTGTATGTCGTGCTGCTTGACCACAAGAAGTCCCAGAACATTGCCATCGTGCTCGCGCGAGTGAAGCGCACGTTTCCGGAGCTGACCCACGAGATTTTGACGCTGAACTGCGACGTGTTGTCCAGTCCAGCGCTGCAGTCGCTCATCGACATGTGGCCAGACAGCGCCGAGCAAGAGGCCATTGACCAGTTCGGTGGGGATGCCTCAACTTTGGCAACGGTGAGTGCAGCTTTCATATTGTAACCTAGTGGTTGCTTGTTCTAAGGGTCAATTTGTATGCTCCAGGCTGAACAATTTTTGATGGTAGCTCGCAACATCCCCAGAGCGCAGCAGAAGCTACGCTGCTTACAGTTTAAGATGGATTTTGCCCCGCGGGTCAAAGAACTCCGGTGAGTTGGGACTGATCTCAGTGTGGTGTGGGTGCGTGTTCTAACAACTATTTGTGTTGTTTTTGGCATTTCAGTGGTAATCTGAAGCTGCTAATTCGCGGCATCCAGCAAGTTTGCTCGAGCGACCGGTTTGCTGGTGTACTTGAGTACATCTTCCACTTGGGCAATCTGCTGAACTTCGGAGAGGGAGTGGAATACACAGCATGGGTGAAGAGTATTTCCATCAGCTCGTTGGCGAAGCTTTCCTTCACCAAGGCCTATGATGGGCGAATTTCATTCTTGCACTATGTTATCCAGTCCGTTGAGGTGAGTTGTGCTGTACCCTGGAAGTGAAGGGCGAGGATGTATCTGACAGTATTGCGTTTTGCTGCTATTATAGCGCGACGAGCCACACCTCGCACTATTCGGTGACCAGCTACCGCTTATCACCAAGTGCAGCAAGCTATCGGTCCAGAGCCTCGTCGCTGAGCACCAGTCTCTTAAGAGTGGATTGAGAATGCTCATCAACGAGACACAGAAGGCGGCAGTATTCAAAACGGACGACGACGATCTGCGCGCAGAGTTGGCCCAGTCGCGAGAAAGCATGAGGCTGTACGCTGTGGAGGTCGAGCAAGAGCTCAATAGCGTACAGGAATTGGTCAATCAACTGGAAAGAGAGGTAAGCTCCGCCCAACTGCACTATTCAACGGTATCGTTTACAAATACTAACTCCTTGGTTGCTGTCCAGAGGAAACACTTTTTGAACTATTTCGAAGAAGAGGACACGCTGCCGATCGACGAGCTCTTGGGCTTCATCGCCTCCTTTACGGAAGAGTACTCGCGTGAGCGCCAGCAACTCATTCTTCGAGCTCGACGCGCACAGAAGACCAACCACAACCGTTCGGCGTCCGTCAACACGTTGCCCCTAAAGCGTCACAGCCTGTAAGCATGCACCCCCAGACACCTTATCTAGTAAAACGCCCGAGATTGGCGTAATTAAAGTACCTAAGTATCGCAAGTGTGAATATATGAGACCTTGAAAGCCAACTGTGTGTCTCGAGTCATCAATTCATCCAAGTACATTAACGCACGCGATGGACACGCCACATTTGATAAATGGACCAGCGCGCCTGGGTCCCAGGTCTCGCCATTTGCAAGATGGCGTATCTGGTCTGCGCCGTCCTCGGTGTGGGGGTCACCTTCACGCTGGAGTTTAACATGGACGACCTCGTCGACGTCTTCCCGGAGAAGTTCATGAAGACGGCCAAGGAGACGTTCGACCCCCGCGAAGTCGTGCTGTATCCTGCGAAGCAGAACGGCAAGTGGCTGAGTGCTCGCGATGTCGCCGCGCTGAAGTGAGGATCCATCCCTGACGTCGCTAAGGCGATCACGACGCCAACCAACCAACTGGACCCCAACTCCGCGGTTGTCAAGACCGTTTTCGGGGGAGAATTCGCCACAATTCACCGTGAGCGCGACCTTCACGTTCTCGTCGACGTCCCCGAGTACATCAAAGACCGCCTGCGCATCCGGTACGCCGGACAACTTATCCACCGCAAGTGGTTCTACTACGATCGTAAGTCTTGAGATTTTGGACAAACGTTGTTCATGCATCGCCACTAGCCACCGTGCCTAACTTGTTGTTGTTTGTGTATGAAACTAGGGTTTCTGTTTCCCCTCGGCTGCATCTCTTGGCTACTCGGCGCCGTCGCCATCGCCTTGGGCATTTACCTGTACAATCAGGAAGAAAACTTGCTCGGAGGAGTCATTGCCGGCTGTAACCCGGCCAACGGGAAGCTGCTGACTGTGGGCATCCCTGGCGTGGTGATGTGGCTTTCGGCAGTGTCGTGCGTCGTGCGTCGTGCTGGAACTGGCCAAGTTCTATGTTCAGCGGAAGCGCGATAAGCACGAAGAACACCTCAACAACGGGACGTTTCAAACCATCCATGGCTTGCTGGTGTAAGTCGTAACGCTGTCGACACCGAACAACGAGTGCACCACCAATATTACGAGTGCACCACCAATATTTGCAGCGTAATGAATGATGAATGTTTTTTTAACTGGTTTTCTCTCGGATGCTCTTCCTGTTCACTTACTGATTAAGGCGTGACGATGCTCGTTGAGGTCCGAGCAGTCGAGCGTCTGCTTCTTCTCTTGATGAATAGCGACAGAGAGCTTTCGGTTCTGTGGTCGCCACCCAAGTTCCGGTCGAAGAAGCCCAATACCCCTGTACAGGGGCGTTCAACGCACGGTTTGACTAATCTATCGGAGACGACCCCGATCACGAAGCAATTATTATTCGGAACCTTGAGCCAATGCAGTTTCTCGATCGCGAGGAACTCGGCGCCGCCTTCCTCCACCACCATCTGGATCCCGAACGCCCTCAGCGCCGCCTTCTCGATGTAGAGCTTATCTCCATCGTGTAGCTATCCAGCAATGTCATCCTGCAACGGGGCCCCAGTGTCATATCAACACAACAAGGTGCTGTGAAGGTCCCACGTTCGGTTCCTCCAAAACACGTAGACGATGGAGATTGTTGCTCGAACCACGAGCAGGTATGTCGTGAGGACGAGAACGTAAACTGTGTGCCAGACGAAGCTCCAGAAGTAGTAGGAGACAGCCAACGCGGTTGTGTTCGATTTCTTAAGACCGGACCGGTTGAGTGCCACCAAGAGATGGTTCTGAATAGCAGCCGTCAACTCGTAGCTGAACAGGAGCCGCTTGATCAGCATCCGCGATCTTTCGCTGAGCCACTTCATGCTTTCAACGATTTCCCACAACAGCAAGAGGAGCCCCGATAAGTTGTAGCCGATCGAAATGTACTGCGTCTGAGCGCTGAGGCCGTCGTGCGCGATCAGCAGGAACAGGTCGCTCATTACGCCCTCCACGATCAAGTACAACAGCGCAAACCGATGATAGTTCCTCGCTCCATGGGCCGACAAGCGCATGCTCTCGTACGCGAACACCACGGACTCGTTTCGATGAAGCTTCTCGCCGATCCGCTCGCATTTCTGCCCATAACGCAGGCATGAAAGAAGCTTCGACGCAGTACGAGAGCGCGATACAAGATCCAGATTCCACCGACGATGCCATACCAAAAGGAGTACCGATAGAATGTACTACCAGAATCGCGAGCCAGAAATATGCCATTGATGTCGTAGGTACCAACTCCATTCACAACCGCATAGGCAGTGTCGTCCTTGGCACAGTATGAGCCTTGGGCTTCTTCATAGAACGCATAGTAGCCAAAGCTCCCGTGATAAAGATATTGCTCGAACGGATAGCTGTCGTTGCTGCAACTTGATGGCGTCGTGTGGAACGGGGGTAGTTCTGGTGCTTCCCACTCGGTAGCCTCCGTGGAGATTGTACTGCGGCACCACGACGTGGCAAATCTAGCCGAACTCGGTGTTGTAATAGTGGGTTGGGACGACATTCCACCACACTTGAGCCATGAGGAAGCCACTGGCGGAGCAGTACTCAGATAAGTTGGCAGTCTCTCGCACTGCACCAGGAGGAGCCACGAGGTTTTTGATGATCGTCACCAACTGCAGATAGCTGCGGACTTGGAGGATGAATGGCACCATTCCAACGCCAACCCACGCTGCCATTAGCATCCGACGAGCCGTCATCAGCTCACGAAGTTTCGCGATAGCCGGACCTGTCTGCTCTCTTCTTGGCCCCTCCTTGACGGTCTCCATCTTCATTTCCTCCATGGTTGGCGGTAGGCGAGCTTCGGACTATATTCGGAAGGCAAAGACGGGGGTCGGTCTGGTTACGCTGGGGGATAAATGAAGAATGGAGAAACTCAAGCGCAGGTAGCCGTGACGTGCCAAGAATATTTTTCTAGCTGTCGGCTTGAAACGAATGGGATTTGCCCCACTCGGCCGGTTGCTTGTTTCGCCATCGCTTAGCTGTTTCACCAGCGAAGAGTCTAGAGTTTAGCCGCTGCACGTGAGACTGTCACGCAGTAAGTATGATGCCGTCCGTGTCGTCAAGCTTCTCCACCGGCTGAGGTAAAGTTGGCCAAGCTTTCGCTGCACCTTCGACGCAGGAGCCACAACGGACCTGGCCGTCAAATGGTGAGCACTTTACACAACTTCTCTTATCATCATCGTGGGGCTGTTCGTACATGGGACTTGGTAACTGCGGCAATGAAAAGGCAATCATCGTCTCGACTTCAAGGATCGACTTCAACTTGCCTTTATGTGGTGCACATCAAACACATTTTGCGTCATCTCAGAGACCCCAGGAAATAGTCCCCGCCGTCGCTATGGGGAATGCTCAGGCCGGCAAGGGGTTCGTGTACTCCCCCAACGACTACCAGCTCGCCATCGAGGCGTCCAAGGAGCTCGAGTACCTGCTGGAGAAGGAGTTCGGCGCGTTCGGCCAGGGGCTGCACGAAAGGGTCTCGTCCGTCGAGAGCGCCATCCCCGCGCCCACAGTGCGCTCGATCCGCTACGTTGCGACTCTGCGCAACCGACTCATCCACGACCGCGACGTGAGGGCGCTGCCCGACCGACAGAAGTTCATCCAGAAGTTCGACGACGCCATGGTCGAGCTCAACATCATCATCGAGAAGAAGCGACTCGATGCAGGCGGACGCGAGCCGCCCGCTGCTCCCGGGTGCGTCATCTCGTAAAGCGTCTAGGATTCAGACTCGTACCGCTCGAACTTCCAGTCTGGAAGTGCCACCAATATACCCAAGCGGCGAGGAGGAGGAAGACTTTCGGACAAGCGCATGTCCTGCATTGCAGGATCCTCTGGTCGAAGTCCTTGCTAACCTTTAGGGAAGATATATAACTTGAAAAATAGCCTCCTCGAGACGACCGCTGGGTAGCCTTGAAAGAATACAACCATGCGTAGCAGTACTGTAGTGCCGGTCAGCTCACAGCAATGCAGGGATCGAGGTCCACGGCAAGAGTTCCACAGCAACTTCGGCGATGCGACGTTTCTACTTCTACCTGATCGAGTTACTATCTGATCGAAGCAGGTCTTCAACCTTGGCCCTGCTTTGGTTGCAGCCGGCGGCGCACTGATTGCGCCGCCGAGGCTCGGTCGGATTCACGCCGGCCGCGCTCGCAGTTGCCGACGCTGCAATTTTGGCTTTGATCCAGGTTCACATCCTCCCCCAGCGCGCCCGCGCTCTGCTCTGAATCAGTTCAGCAATCGCCGATCTCTTCAATGTTGCCGCCGACGTTGCAGGGCGTCGTTGGATTGCCCAGCCAAGCACCCGATTGGCTTGCATGCGACGAAGAAGGCTTCAAGTCACTTCTGTTGACCAGCGTCTCCGTTAAAAACTCGCTCGGATAGGCCTTCACAGGCCTCGATTTCAGCCTCCTGCTTCCCCCCACTGTATAGGGGAGGGAGCTCGTCTCGACGCGGTTGAAGCGTTGCGAGGCCCGTATCAAGGCCCTCCCTCGCGCCGCCGAGGCAGCAAATGGAGAGATACGGTACAGGGCGGCATAGTGCTGTTCCAGTAGGTTGAGGCGTTGTCGACAAGGAAAGGCTCTGCTGTCGTTTAGAAACGCGCACTATTACGCGTACAATTCAAGTTTACAGTCGTTTCCACGGGTATGATTTCTCAGATCCGGCATGTAAACCAGTAAACTTAAATTTTGGCGAGTACTTTACTCATTCTAAACCTCATACCTCATTTGTTTATCATTTCTAGCAGGTGAATCTCCGCATTTTCTCCCGTACTTTAGAGGGGGGAGTCAGAGCTCGACGTCATTCGTCGTTCGGCAAAGAGAGAGCTCGGGCCAACCTTCGAGAGTGATTGTCCTTCCGTGAAGCTTCTGCTTATCTACCGGGGGCCACCATGAAGGACCTGTTGATGGTCGACGCCGTGGACGAGGCCCACGTGGTGGACGAGCTCGTGACGCGCTACCGCCAGGGCTACGTCTACACGTTCCTCGGGCCCGTGCTGATCGCCATGAACCCGTACAAGCTGCTGCGCCAGCCCAACGGCGACTCCATCTACGCGCGCAACATGATCGACGAGTTCCAGGGCAAGGAGCTGCACCTGTGCGAGCCGCACCCGTTCGCGCTGGCCGAGAACGCGTACACGAGCCTCATGCGCTTCGGCCTGGACCAGAGCCTGCTCATCACGGGCGAGTCGGGCAGTGGCAAGACCGAGACGTCCAAGCACGTGATGCGCTACCTCACCACCATCAGCACGCGCTCCAGGGCCAAGAGCGCCGTGATCGCCAACCGCCGCATGTCCGTCGCGCAGCGCAAGGAGGCGGACGACATGACGAGCCACGTCACGGACGTGCTCTGGGGCAGCAACCCCGTGCTCGAGGCCTTCGGCAACGCGCAGACCATCCGCAACAACAACAGCAGTCGCTTCGGCAAGTACATCGTGCTGCAGATGAACCGCGTGGGCCAGGTCATCGGCGGCTACATCGACAACTACCTGCTGGAGCGCAGCCGCGTGATTCGCCAGGCCGAGGGCGAGCGCAACTTCCACGCCTTCTACCAGCTCATGTCCGGCGCTACGGCCGCCGAGCGCGAGGCCTGGCAGCTGCCTGAGAGCGCCGAGGAGTTCGACGTGCTGGGCAACGAGGATGCCACCATCGAGGGCGTGGACGACGCTGAGAACTACAAGAACGTGCGCCAAAACATGACGGCGGTGGGCATCACGGACGACGAGCAGGCCGACATCTTCAAGCAGCTCGCCGCCATCCTCTGGCTTGGCAACGTGCAGTTCGAGCAGACGACTGACGAGGCGCACAACCCGCGCGCCGCGATCGAGAGCCCGGAGGCCCGCGAGGCTCTGGCTAAGGCAGCGAGCCTCATGGGAATCGACAAGGACAAGCTCGAGGCCCTGCTGACGTTCCGCATCGTGAACATTTACAACGAGGACCAGAAGGTGCTGTTCGACGCCCGCCAGGCCAAGAAGGTGTGCGACTCGATCATGCGCTCGCTGTACGAGAAGATCTTCGACTGGATTGTGGCGCGCATCAACACGAACGTGACGTGCAAGAAGCGCGACATCAGCAACAGCATCGGCATCTTGGATATCTACGGCTTTGAGATCTTCGAGGTCAACGCCTTCGAGCAGCTTTGCATCAACTACGTGAACGAGAAGCTCCAGCAGCTATTCATCAGTCAGACGCTCGAGAGCGAGCAGGAGGGCTACCGTCGCGAGGGTCTGAGCTGGCAGAACATCAAGTTCTTCAACAACCAGGTTGTGTGCGACCTGATTGAGGACCCCAAGCAGCACGGTATTTTCCCGCTGCTGGACGAGCAGTGCGCCATTGCGCGTCTATCGGACCTGGAGCTGATTGAGCGCTACAACAGCGAGCACTCGAGAAACCCGCACTACATTGCGTCCCGCGTGCGTGGCCCCACCTTCGGCATTGTGCACTACGCCGGGAAGGTCGAGTACGACGTCACGCTGTTCTTCGATGCCAACGTGGACACGTTCTTCAACGACCTGCAGGACGGCATGGAGCACTCGTCGAATGCTTTCGTGCGCGAGGTTTTCCTCGACAAGCGCACCAAGCAGCAGAAACTCAAGCGCCCGCCGTCGACTTCGCAGCAGTTCCGTACGCAGGTCGCCGACTTGCTCGAGAAGCTGGATGGTTGCAACCCCCACTACATCCGTTGTATCAAGCCCAATGAGAAGAAGCAGCCGCTGGCCGTGAGCAAGGAGCTCGTTGCCGAGCAGGTTCGTTACCTTGGTCTGGTGGAGAACCTGAGCGTGCGTCGCCAGGGCTTCTGCTACAGCCAGCCATACGGCCCGTTCATCAAGCGCTACAGCTTCCTGTCGGCGTCCACGTGGCCGAACCCCGTTGCCCACTCGAGCCGCAAGGCTGCCGTTGACCTGCTTACGACGGCTGGGATTGGTGTGCGTGACCCGGACAACAAGAACGAGCTGATTCCGTTCCAAGAGGACTCGGACACGCTTGGATGCTTTTGCCTTGGTCGTAACAAGATTTTCCTGCGCCACCCGCAGGCGCTGTCAGCTCTGGAGATTCTGCGCGAAGAGCGTATTCCCGTGATCGTCAACATTATCGAGAACGCTTGGCGCCGCTACAAGAACCGCATTGCACTTCGTGCGTTCTCGGCTGCATCCAAGCAGCTCTTCACTGCGTATGGTGCCGTGTGGAAAAACTGCCAGGATCGTCGCAAGCGCGTGCCTGGTGCTGCGAACAAGGAGAACGTCGCTAAGATTTACGCCAACTGGGATGTGGTTTCTACCAAGCTGCTGAACGTCAACAACAGCCGCCTGGTGAAGAACCTCAAGCAGGAGGAGGAGCTGAACTCGGTGGTCTTTATGCAGAGCTTCGTTCAAGCGCGCACCGAGCGCCGCAAGTTTCTGGAGCTCAAGCGAGCGCAAATAGTGTTCAGCAAGCACTTCCGCGGTCTCAAGACGCGCAAGCAGCTTGCGAACGACATGTGGAGATCGTGCAAGGTCGCCCTGCTTGGCGTTCGCACCGAGTTTGAGCGCTACCTGGGCAAGAAGAAGCGCCGCCGTGACTCGCTGGACCGTACGTACCACGGCGATTATATCGGCGTGAACAAGTTCCCCGCGTACGCCTCCATTATCCAGGCTCATACGGAAGGCCGTGGTGCCAAGGCTGGCAGTGGCCGTGGCCAGAAGGAAAAGCTGCTGTTCTTGGGCACGGTGGAGAAGGTGAACGAGCGCTGGGCCCACCAGACCCGTGTGCTCATGATCAGCGAGAGCCGTGTCTTCAACCTGAAGGCTGACAAGATCCAGCAGCCCAAGGAGCGCCGTGTGTTCGAGTTGGCTCGCCTTACGGGCCTGGCCATGAGCACTCAGCCGGACAACTACCTCATCTTCCGCGTGAAGGGCGAGATCGACCTGATGGTGCAGGTTTCCCAGAAGACGGAAGTTGTGCAGGCTCTCCGCGCTCGTATCCAGAAGGCGTACGGACGTGAGCTTCCCGTCGAGTTCTCGGACGAGTTGGACTTTTACGCCGCGAAGGGCAAGCAGCTCAAGGTCAAGTTCGCGTTCGATCGATCGATGAAGGACTCGGAGTGGAGCAAGGTGGACCGCCACACGATGCTTGTCAAGGTTGGCATCATCTAAACCGCTGACAAGTAATGGAGGAAATGGTGGCGATAAAATCGCAATCCTCGGGTGAAAAGCGCCTGAGACCAAAAGAGAAAGAAAAACAGTTTACTCGAACATGTGCAGGAAGTTCGTGAACTCATGCCACGATGAGGTGGTGTCGGCGTAGCGTAGCAGACCCAGCATACAGACAAACAATTAACGCTTCGTTTGCTTGTTACTTTCTCTTAGTGCAAGCTAAGCTGCCTTCGTTCTGAACAAAGTCATGCCAGCATCAGGGCACTTTGCACCAAGTGCCACGCCGTGAGATTCATGATAATAGCAACGACGTAATGGCACCCTTATGAAAACGCAAGAAACGCGCTCTACTTATGCAGAATACAGCGCCGCCTTCGCTCTATATTGCTTGCCCATCCACCGTTCTCTAACGCATTCACCTCTTCTCTTTGCACGCAGGCTTACGCGGAAAGTTCGGCCACCTCATCACGCAGAGCCTGCTCGGTCTTGAGCTTCTCCAGCTGATCGTCGTTGAGCGAATCGCCGGCCTCCTTCTTTGCCTTGATGGTGTCGATCTGCTTGAGCTTCTTCAGCAGGCTCTTCACCTTCTTGGCCTTCTCCTCGGGGGTCATCTCAGCCGGGCTCGGCTTAGCCGGAGCCTGCTCAGCAGGTGCCGCACCAGCGACCTTCGCAAGTGCCTCCTCGACGGCAGCCCTCGCCTCCGCGGCTTCCTGGGCCTTCTTCTTGCGCGCGCTCTTGCTCAGCTTCTTGGGCGCAGCAGCAGCTCCCATACCAGGAATTGACCGGGGCGCAGCCATACCAGGAACCGTGGGGGCACTGCTACGGGGAGCCACGTACTTGTTGCGGTCCAGCTTTCTAGAGCCACCTTCCTCCTTGCGCATCATAGCAGCGAGGGCGCCAGTCGAGTTAGGCGGACGGTAAGCCTGCGGCTTCGGCGCTGCCTTCGGGGCTGAAGATGAGCCGAAACCCTCTTCCTCGCCCTTCCGACGCGGAGACTGAGGTCGGTTCGGGTACACGTCCTGCGCGGCCGGACGGAACTTGAGATCGTAGAGCTCGCCACGCTCTTCCTGGTGGATGGGGCCAGTGCCATCGTAGCGGAAGACCTTGAAGCCATTGTCCACACGCAGACGAGGGAACGTAGTGGCCGTAGCGAAGTAGCGACTGTCAGGCGACCAAGCAAACGTCGTGGCCGAGTTGGAAGTCGCCGAGCCCATCTTTTTCAGCTTGTTGCGCTCCCAGAAGTCCATGTCACCGCGAAGGTTGCCGAATCCAGCAAGGCACAGGAAGCGTCCGTGAGGGCTCCAGCTCACGTGGTTACGAGGCGCTGCGCCGAACTCGAACACGGGAAGCGCCTTGTTGTCGTACAGGGTCGCATGAGCAGGCATCGTACCAGCAATCACCACGAACCCGCGGCCCGTGGGGTCCCACGCAACGTCGTGCACCGTGCCCTCCTTCGTCAGCGGCACGATACAGTCATACTCACCGTCGCTCTGCAGGAAGAAAAGGCCCGTCTCGCCGTAGTAAGACTTGCCTGAGGTATCAATGTCCGTGCGCGTTTCAATAATGAGCGCGCTGCCAGTGGGAGACCACTTGAACGTCACGTCCTGAGCCTTGTAGAAGCTCTTCGTGGCCGTGGGGGTGTCCAGGCTGCTTGGGAACTGGTAGATCTTAACGCTAGCAGGCTTGCCCTTCTTCTCCGGCACAAAGAGAGCCACCTTGTACGGAGCGCTGCCAGGAGCCACGCTGAAGTTCGCCACATTCTGCACCAGTCCCAATTAATATCGTCAGCAAGGCATATCCACGAGCAACACAATCCAGCACGACACGTACCGGGAGGTTAATCTGGCCAATCGAGCCCGCCGCAATGTCGCGGCCACTGTAGAGCACGACGCCGTTCGCGCTCTGGCGCGCGCAGATCGTCTCGTCCGAGGACCACTGGAGCGGCGGCCATTTCTGTCAGGATGAACGCACCATGCCCACAATGGTTAGTCCTAGCTTGAAACGCTTCACTCAGTCAACCACTCAGCATAAATGACGTACGTCGCGCGTGTAGGACTTGTGGTTGAAGCGTTCCACCTCCTTGCCAGTGGCAGCGTCCCACACGATGAGGTTGCCGAGGTCCGAGTTCTTCTGGGGGCGCTGCCAGGTCAGTAGCTGCGAGCCCAGAGGCGACCAGGCCACCGCGTGGATGCCCGGGTTCTCCGCCTCCACCACCACGGCGCCGGTGTCCGCGTCGCGCACCGTGAAGCCCGAGGCGGTGCGCACCAGCACCACGAGCTTGCCGTCCTCCGTGAACTCCATGAGGTCCGCGGCGCCCGGAGCGTCGAAGTTCTCGTCGCGCTCGATCTTGACCTCGTCCTTGCTGGAGGACGGCGGGCCCCACATGGACTCGATGCCGCCCTTGCCGCGCAGGAAGAACTTGGTGCGCGGCACGTCGTTCGCGTTGTTAGCTGCGGTACAGTACAGGCAGGAGCAGATACGCATTGGGATGACGGTGAGACGGAGGAGCTGGCGGGCGGGGGATAGCAGTGAGGCATTGGAGCGAGGCTCCGGGCACTATAGGCACTAGGTAGGCATCTTGCAGTCGTCGATATATAGCTGAGAGGCGGCGCCAAGGGGGGATCATCAACTCACCTGTCGCCATGGTAACGTGCTTTGGTGGAGTGGAGTGGCTCTCGTACTTCATGCCTGTAGCCATGTACCATCTTTCAGGTACATTCGTTTTAGGGGAAATCCTGGGTCCGTAATTTTGAATTAATTCGGTTTGGGGTCCGTTATCTCACTGATTTGTTAAGTTCAGCGTTTAATTGAGCATTAAAGGTGTTAAGACTCATAATATGAGCCCTATTCTTAAGCCTGGTGGGGTATTGTGAGAACCGGCTAATACGCCCATCTGTAGAAACCCCTTATACTGGGAACACCCGAAGAATGACAGCTCCCAACGGATTAATTGGACGCGTAAGCGTAACCTGGCGCAACCTTCGTGCTACACCAGCCAGAAGGATGTCGACCGAACAGGTTCAACGGCAACAACAGGAAATGCACGTCAACAGACCCATGCACCAGCTTCAGAAAGTGAACTGCGGCACGCGCGATATTCATGGGTGTGGCCCCGCAGGGGCCACGCCCTTGAATCACGCGGGCCACAGTTCTCCCTTATCATGGCAATTAGCACCGGTACCATCACCAGCGTTTATACCACTGGTGTTCCCAGCCAAGTCGAAGACGACCTAGTTAGATCTCAATTATCCACCCTTCGGACGAGACGAATCCGAGACGCGTCTCCGCCAAAATTAGGGAGACAAAAAAACCTATGGAGATAGTCTCCTAAGGTTAAAAGGCTCCCTTCCGACGTGACTACTCAGAAGGGAGACGGCTTCGATTGCTCACAAAACTCCCTCCGTCTTCGTTTGCTGCATTATTATTGGCTTATTTGTGAGGCAATCTAACTGGTTGAAACTATGTCCGAGCAACCACGTTTTAGCGGTGATAGCTCGATCATTTAAGCTAAAGATCCAGGTTTGCTAACAAGATCGCATGGAGAACGTTCACATACAGGAAGTCGAAGAGGAGCTCGTCATCGTGCGCAGCAGCCGTGAAAGCGCTGTGATCGATAGCCGGCGGCTTGGGATGGCCATTGCCCATGTATCGGCGCAAACGAATGTGTTGGCTGACCAGCACGAGCTTCTTCAACTACGCCAAGATCAACAAGCCCATGAACAGCAATACTACGTGGACACAAGCGTTCAATACGTTCGAGCCGAAGCTGAAGCGCGGTCAAACGAGCTAGCGTCGCTGATCTTCCAAACTCGTGCGGACCCAGGAGCAATCGCACAACACATCGATACTCAACTCCGCGCAGCACTTGCCGTGGCACGCGACGCAGCGCGTGCCGAATCTCGTGATGTGGCTGCAGAGAGTGCTCGTATGCAGCAAGAAACTGAGCGCAGGTTTCAAGCAGCCTTGAACGAACTCGAGAAAGATGTAAGCGAGCAATCTGAACAGCGGACCAAGGAGCTTCTCATAGCATACTTTCGCCACTACAAAGAGAAAACAGATGCTTCTATCAAAGACCAAGTGCATGAAGCGGCGTTAGTGACGCAGCACCAGCTTCACAGCCTCGAACAGAAGATGGAAGCGAGTATGGAGCACGTGGTGAAGGCTGCAGAAAAAATCCCGTTCTGCACCTCGCAAGCGCCAATCTCGCCCGTGAAGCAGCTTTTCAAGCCCGGTTGAGCTCCGCTCTGGCTGAAATTGAGTCAAAGGCGATTGCCCATGCTGAAGCACGTGCGGAAGCGATAGTTGGAAGGTTTCGCAATAGACAGCTGACCGACGCAGCGTTGTTTCGCCCGCCTGGCATCGAAGTTCGTGAAGAGGACGCAGAGGAAGAAGTTACTGGCGCTGCTCCGCTGAAGATCGCAAAGGATACCGACGAGGACAGCAGCAGCGATACGGAAGTTTGGACAATGTCTCCTCTCCGAGACACATCCACATCAAGTAATCACATGGCGAGATCTGATCGTCCGTCTGGGCAATGCACTACGCGTAAAAGTTGCATCTGAAGCACCCCAGAGGCAGGTTGCGGATCGAGCTCGCAAACGAGCTAAAGCGTTGATGCTTTCATCTGCTAAAACGAAACTAGCGAACAAAAAGAAGAATGCACACAGTCGACACCGAGCAATGCCGCCGCCAGCTCCATTAAGTAATCGAGAGTGTGTCGCTTTGGCGAACGAGCTTAGCAAGGTCCGTAAAGTAGCACGCAAAACCCAGCAAACCTGAGCACGATCACCACCCCATTTGATAGTAGCATCAAGCCTTTGAAAATCTCTCAGGTTCATTTAATAAAACTCTCATCCATTGAATATTTTCGCTAAGTCTAAATACTGTTATCTTCGTCGTCGTCCTCGCTGTCACTGGAAAAATATTGCTCCAAGACATCGTCGGCTTCCGTATTCTCTTCGACCGTCACGGGAAGCAGCATATTGGCAGGGATATATGCGGTGATTGCGCTGGCCGGAATTTTAGGGCATTGAGTGATGTCGACGTAGCTTCTGCTGCAGTTGATGAACGTCGACATATCAATGTTGTGTGGTGACAGTGACGAGCGCTCGGGTGTCACCATTCGACCGGCTGTACCAAAGTCACGTTCTATCTGTGCTGACGAAGCTGGTACAGCAAAGAGAATCTTGGCCACCAGTGGGAGGAAGCGATAGGTATTAGACGCAGCCTCTCGGCGCCAATACGACAACACCGACTCAGCTTTTCCATTGGCTGCCAGTCGAAGCGAAGTTGGCGTCGCCATCTACAGTCGTAGCTCTTGCTCCACGCTGCTGTCGTGAACAGTTTGCTGGTCCTCGCGATCCACCTGCTGCGAGACGGCTGAGTCGTCAATGAGCTCCATTAGATCTTCGGAGAAGGCAACGTTGGGAAAAGCGGGGGGAGGTGTTTCCTGCCGTCGAGATTCTGCGGCCACTGTTCGCATCAATGCTATCGTCTTGGTGACAATTGAATATTTCACCTTCCAAAAGTTGACTTCACCTGCTCCCTTGTGTGACGACACTTTTGGAGAGCACAGGAGGACAACGTCCTTGAGAATGCTGTCCAGATTCTTGAAGTTCCGGTGCAGCAGTAGCTGCATCTCAAACAAAAACGAACATTGGACAATTTTCGCTCGATCCGTATACCGGGAGAAGAACACACACTGGAATTCTTCTTGAAGCTTCAACCGCGTCTCCCGTGCCAGTTCAGTAAGCTGATCAAGTCGAATGTACGTTTCCCTCTCCTTCGTAGATCGATAGTCGCGGAGAACCTTGTCGCAGTTGAGCGTGGAGCGCCGCAGGTCGAGCAGCGTCAAAAGTACTTCAACCTGGGTTGCAGATTCGCTTTGAGCCCTTGTATTTAGTAGCGTGATTGGCTCGAGCAGCGACAACACCTGAGTGAGGTTGTCGTAGTCATTAGCCAACGGAAAAGCACACGGAGGCACCTTCCCTTCACGATCCGCTTGAGCAAGACGCTCCTCGTACCAACCCACGAGAGGTGCCCACAGGATTAAAATGCGGCGAACCACACGGGCAGCGATATTCTAGCAGTTGCTGCGGCGCCTTGTCGCCCATGCTCTCCATTGCGCACAGCTCGACGAACAAGGACCCCATCACTTCGACATGTTTTGTCTGATAGACAGTCTTAACAATGCGCTTGATCAGAGCTGTCATAGCTGGATTCTTGGACTTGCTGGCATTGCTGACCATACCACAAGCTTTCTTTGTGGCAGCACTCGCCATGTGCGGTATACACCACTCCCAGTTGAGCTACAACCCTTTGGTCATCATCCACTTCACGTCAGGACCCGCATCACTTGTAGCTCCAAACAGGTCCGCCCGAGTCAAACCAAAATCGATCAAAATATCATCAAGCCACCGCCGAAATGGCGCACGAATTCCACCAGACCTCTCGCTGTACTTCGGGTTGAAGTGACGGGCGCCGAGCAGGATAGTCTTGAGCTCGTACTGCTTGTTGATGAAATACAACCGGAGCCCCAAAAACTTAGCACCCTTGCCTTTTGGAGTCCAAAAGTCGGGGACGACCGTGAATGTCGCTGCGTGTCCGACTCGGTTGTCATTGATTTCACGACAAATAGTACTTTTGGACGAAGCGTATAGCTCGATCGTGGCGTGGACGACGACTTTTGCGTTGACGGCAGCATGCATTCCGTCCTTCATTACAAGCTCTCGGATCGAGATGGACTCTTCGCACTCCGCCAAACGGTATGGCAGGTTGTTGTTGATGATCCGAATCGTTTCAAGGAGAACGTAAACGTGTGCTGGGTCATCACTGAACATCTGAGAGTGCCGAAGCCGATCCAATTCCTCGTCACGCCCGCGCTTCTTTTCCAACTCGCCCGCTGTCTTGCCAGACACTATTGCATGGGCTTCACGCAGATGTTTCGTCGCCTTGGATGTTTTTCCTGTTGATAAAGGGTAAAACACATCCGCTCTCGATCGACAGGCCTCGGAGGCGAGACACATCCAGACGGCGGGAACTCCTGCGTCCACGGAAGTTGCAGGTGGCGCTGGGCCTCCGCAATTCGAACCCCATAGAAGATTAGCGATGTCTCGCTACGTCTTGGCGGGAGGACCACAAATCCAGCAGGGGGTTGAAAGTTGGCGACCACGTCTTTGACCGTAGGATGCACACTAGACATGCTGAGCGTTGAGGATGAAGGCGCGGCAGGCGGTGGCGAGGGGGTGGGGGGCTACTGTGGGGCTTGAGCGTAAATGTTGTTGTGAGGGAGAAGGGAAGGGTGGATGCGAGCTCAATGCAGAGGTAAGGCTTACGTATGGATTGGGGACAGGCGCATCTTAAGTCTGCTTGCACGATGTGGTGCCAGGCTTCCGGGACAGGCCAACCAGCATGATACGTTACTAAAAGCCTCCAAAATGACAGGCGCAACACTAAGAATTAGCTGTGCCTTTTCGGTAAGAGTTGCACGATAACTGAAGGGTTTTTGTCCAATCCTAGATCCCGGCAAGGGAGCCCCGGGCCCCCGGCAAAGTACGCCACTTGGATACAGGAGACGGTGAGGGGGGAGACGGTGGTTACATCTCGCTTTTTTCGCGACTTCTAGTAGGAGACGGTATTCCGGTTCAGGAAACTGGTCTCGAGCATAAAGAGACGGTAAACCGGTAATATCGTCTCCGTTTTTCTCGTCTCGTCCGAGGGGTGCAATTATCTAATTAATCAGAGTATAATTCGGGTTCGAAATCAATCCTGTTCCATACGCATCGCTTGGCTACGCGATTGCCCAGTAAAAGGTGGGCATTCTGCTCCAAACGCGGCTATATCGGATTGGTCTCCAAAAAACGATCGCCTAATCTGCACATCCACTCACATATGCATCGCAGGGGCGCGATCAATTTACAAATCGATCGAGCTCAATCAGGGTGCTAATCGATCGATTTACGACCAAAATAGGCAAAAGAAGCGGTTTTCACAATACTTGCACTCACATCCTATCTGGTCCAAAAAGCTTTGCCGGCTCAAAACCTGGAGTTACCGTATTTCGCATGTAGAAAGCTGCACCTAATGTTCACCTGGCAATGATGACGTACTTAAGAGGGCTCTATACAACATCCTACATATGGTATTAGACACAATTACAATATGGTGTATGATTCTTAACTTTAACGGAATCAGAACACCAGGCCAGATTTTGGGGTAAGCCAAAATCCAACTTTGCTAATATTTCTGAAGGCACATTGACACTACGTGTTGCCTATTCTTAAATGCAAACTATTCAGAGTGGACACTGCTGATTTCTTGTTTGAAAGCGAGCGAGCGCAGAATTTAAAATAAATGGTATCTTGCATTAGATTAGATCGTCAAGATTTTGATGATTTGTCTCCGGTTGTTTTTAAAGAACTGCAGCACCTAAGGAGAACGAATAACGTCTATGGAATCAGCGCAATTGGAACTTGGTGTTAGGAGTACTGTTGGAGCAGTTGCATGCATGCAGTTGCTACAGGGAAACCTCAAAGACACCAACTTCGAGGAGGAAACCTGGTAAGTGCACTTGATGTGCAATACATCCTCCTCAATCGTCACGTTGAAAACTATGTGGACTGCTTGTGGTTACTCTATACTTGCTTTTACTATGGGTTACTGGTTACACAACGCAGTTACACGGTGCAATCTGACAAAACGCAAGTGATATAGAAAGACATGGACCAAAGAGGTGAAGACATCTCGGCCTTGATGGCGGCAGGTGCCAACTTTGAGCCCGAATAGCTCGGCCGATATGTCGAACTAGACAGAGTGACTACCCTCACTTTAAATGGTTAGCGTGGTTCCTTCCATATCTATTAACACTAGCTAGGATCTTAAATGTCGATCTTTTGGACCCACTCCCGAAGACCTGCGTTTTGTGGTCTGGACTTCTGTGTCCCCCAGAGTTAATAGCCGGGTATGATAGTTAGATATGATTGGACAAATATCGGTGGGTACCTTCGTGTGATTGGATAGTCCAGGTGCATCTCTTAGACCAGTGCAGCTCTTTACATGCGAAATACGGTAACCTGATCCCTGCGACTGATTCTATAAGACGAATCGAAGACGCACCTTGTACCACTAAAATGTACATTCTGCTGACCCCAAAACGAGCCACTAAGCTACGCATATAATCAGACCACTTAAAAAGTGGGACAAGTCACTTTTCCCACATTCTATCAGGAAGTGACCTCTTCTGGAGGCAGGATGTGGGAAAAGTGGAAATCAATACATTAACACTGATATTCCGAAGATGGGTACAGCTCAAAGGTGGGAATGTTACTAATATTTGTTCCCACCCTATGTGGGGCGATATTAGAGATTGTATCGGATTCTCAATTTGCCAGAAAGTGGGAAATGTGGGAATTTTTAAAAATTTTCCCACTTTTGAAGTGGTCTGCATATAATTAAGCAACAGAAACCATAGCTTAGGACTCCTTAGTGCCCTCTAGATCATCTCTAATGCGCAATAAAACGCTCAAATTAACATATCAGTTGGATAATGGTCCCCAAACCAAATTTGTTTTAAATTACGGACCCCAAAACGGACCCCCCCCTGCTCTATTGTGCCTGTCTGTTCGCCTGTACAGGTTCCCAAGGAGATGTACCGAAGGTCAAGTGGGACCGTCGTTTGACTGATGTGCCAATATATCCGATTTGGTCTGCGATAGCAGCACTAAATGCAACTTTCAATCCCATTATATATATACGCGTGACGATAAGCGGTGCACGCCATACCACCTACTGCCGTCTTCAGAGTCGCCGTACATGTATCACCAAGGGCACAAAACCGCTCTAGCATTAGGCCGCTCGGATAACGCCACGTCTAGGGGTCGGGACAGGTGTGTCGTGCTTGCTGGCAACGCACCGATAATGATCCTATACTCAACAGAGATAGCAGTCGCCTCTCCATCACATTACTGCGTTAAACCATATGTGAAGACAAAAGTTATATACTTCCACCGCTTAGAGCAATCTGCGCCGCACTATTGTTCATGATCCACACCACCGACTTCGAGAGGTGGGCAATATTCTCTTCAAAGAAGCCTGTCATTGCACAAAGATCATCGGTCATGTGGAAGCTTGGCTCCGTCTTCTTGCACCAGACGCTGGCTTGGCCGCTCCCAGCGACGACTTATCGCCGCGCTGTCTTTGGCATGAACGAGGTCCCGTCCATATAAAAGATTGGCGCGGCGTCAATTATCACCCCAATGAATATCTCGCCTACGTCCTACCATTCCTTAACTATCATGTTTAAATTCGTCATGCATTTGCAAACATCCTTCAAGAATAAGCAAGTCTGCTTCTATTTCTTCACACCACTTCTGGACGAGCCAATCGAACACTTTTTCTGTCAGTGTGGTACAGTGCGGAAACATGAAGACGGCTACCCGAACCTCTTTACCGTAATCCTTATGTACTAACTGACAAGCAAAATTATTGAAGGCACCATCCCAATGACTCAGAATAAAAGTGACCTGCAATACATAAATTGTGTTTTGACTTGTGATTTGTATGCTGTCAGTAAGGACTTAAACTACAACGATGCAATATTTGAAAGTCTATAATTGGCTCAGAGTTGTCGGTAATGACTGAACGTCAGTAAGTACATAAGGATTACGGTAGCCAAGTACTTGCACCGCCTATGTAACCTCGCTGACGTACAGTGGCTTCAAATCGGGGACGCTGGTTGTTTCATTTATCAGAAGAGCCTGAGCGCCTACTGCTGGCTGGACTCGTTACGAAGTGCAACATTCCTTTTTCGTTCTGCGAGGACCCGGCTGTGGAGAAGTAATTGACTTTGAAGCGGACTGGCACCGAGCTGCTGTTGAATCACGCCGTCTTGGTTACCAAGGAGGCCAACCTTAGCGCCAGCGCGTTCATCCCCTCCAATTCGGTACCATTCTTGACAGTATACCATCCACTCGGACCACTACGTCGCCGCTTTTGGCGTTTTGATCACGGCCAGCGCTCCGAGATGGTTCTACAGAACTGGCATCCATTGTGGACGAAGGCGTCGAGGACAGACTGTTGAGAGTCATGTCGCTTTCCGGACCGGTATTCTATATTTGTTAAGTGGGACATTACCCGCATCATCTACCTAGCTGCTGACAAGCTCGGTCAAAGAGGTGGGCTGATTTGCTTGTGCTGCCGTTCGTTGCCTGCACCAGCCATCTGTTCAATTTGGCGGCTAATTTGCACCTCTCCAACTATGATCTGGAGCAAATTGAGTAACTCATGCGCAAGCTGCGAGGACTGAACAAGGCGAATCTTCTGGTTGGCGTTGCTCCAAACACGGCTTTCACAGCCTGCCCGCTTCGACCTCGTTGCATGCTCTATTCGGTCCCGATGTTGCCGACTCTAGCTCGGAAGGTGCGGTTCAGGCTGCCAAATCGCCCATTTGGCTGAGGTTCGCGCTGGTCTCGACCCTATGCACCAGGCTGTGGTTGGCTCCAGTAACCCAGCACCGAGCCCGGCAGGTCGCTGTGAAAGAAGGGGGGGGGAGATCGCTATAGCTTTACCAATCAGGGCACCGGAGCAAGTAGTAACGATTGTCGGTCATTTTTCTGAAATCGGACAAGAATTGATTGAGCTATGAAAATTACGCTGAAATCCGACAGATATAATGAATCCGACATACTTTATACAACTGATCGGACAACAAACCAAACGTGTTTTTATGTTTTTATCCAAGCACAGCAATTAAATTACAAAATATCTACCAAACGCCGTACAGTAAAGTCGCCCACCCGAGAATTTATTTTCACTGCGAGCTCATCAATCTAAGTTTGTACCCACATCAAAGTCAATGTAATATTCTTTTACCAATCATACCTCTGTATCTATCGTGTATGCAAGTGGCTCTCTCGGCGTCGCCAGAGCGCATTGGGCGCTTCAACGGCTCAACAGCCCTTGTGTAGCATGGCCCCGCTTGGGGAGGTCGTGGCACCATCGATTGCAGCGTCGCTATGGAATTCAGTGGCGGCGTTCTGATGGAGAAGACGGTGTGATGGACCTGAGCGCGGAGGAGGATGACATCCAGCATCATTCGCTCGTACTCCTACGCCGACGTCTCTAATATGGATAAAACTAGTATATTCTATAACAACATTCCGAGAGGATCGCTGTGCATCAACACCGGCCCGTCGCTGAAGCAAGACAAGGTGCAACTCACGCTAGCGGTGTGCGCAAACGCGACGGGCACTGACAAGATGCCGCTGTTAATTATTGACAAAGCCTCCAAGCCTCGCTGGCTTAACAGTAAGCCTGCGATACCTTCTATGCGTCTACTCCTATGTGGCTACCGAACGTGAATTTCGACTAACAGCTTTCGGGGCTAGCTGCGCGACGTCGACCAGTCGAGGAGTGCTCAACACCGCAACATACTGCACTTCATCGACAACGCTTCCTCGCACAGTGATGAAGGCGTCAAGCTCAGCAATGTTCGCGTGATGAAGTTGCCCCCTAAGACGACGACACCACATGTACTCGAGCGCCATACTCGACCAGGTAGGAGTCAAGATTCTCTTTACTCATACCTCGCATACTCATGATGTGCCGTTTAATTTTAGTCTCCCACCGCATTTCAATGGTATTTGTGTGTGTGGGTGCCGATGATGGGGCGGACGTAGTTGAGGCTGTGGTTCACCGTACTGTGGGTATAGTGCATACTAAGCAGTAAGCAGTTGTACTCTCGAGCATGCTACTTGTAGCCACGTTCACAGACATACGTTGCAACATGCCCGACATGATTTTAGTTCTAAGTTTAGCAACATACAAAATACATCGGTGACATATAAATACGTGATAGAAACAAACAAAAAACTTACCGAGGCTTGATAATGTGTTCTGATGATAGGGAGCAGGGTTTCTTTGGTAGGCTTGTCGTACACAATGTGCCCGAACCAGCATCCAGTTGAGCGGCCACCACCATCAGCAAATAGCCAGAACTCTTGATAGTAACGACCGCGGTTGTATTTACGTCTCTTAGCGAGACTGGTCTCATCGATCTCAACGATATGTCCTTCTCCCCCGATCTATAAAGTAACTAAATGCAACATTATCGCAATATTAACTTACGTAGCGCAGCTTTTCTGTGCCTTGAACTCCGCGTTATGCAGCTCAATCCGATTTCGATCGGATTTAACTCCGGGTAGTACGGGTAAGAACAAAATTCTAACTCCAGTCGGGTGTACAGCTTGCTCCAGCTCGCTGTACATACGATTTGTTGCATTGGTTAAGGTGACAATGGATCTTGGGAGAGGCCAGGGATTAAGAAGAGGGATGGTGTTCTTCATGAAAGCGGGATGGAATGTAGACCGAGTAAAATTCCTTTCTGGCGTCGGCTCCCACGCTGCGAATCCTTGATGCTCTAGTGCTGCAAATATAGGGCGCCGCTGATTGACAGTTTTACGATGCACTTGGTGTTCCGCGCGGGCCATCCTTTGGTACCATCGTTTGAGGTCTCATTGATAAAAGTGAGCTGCTCAGGGTAGGAGTAGATTGCGAGGAGTTTCTCTTTGTAATTTTGCACCTAGCAGTTTAAATACAAACCAAATCGATGTTAGATTTTTTTTGTTATAACAGCCTTGAAAATTACTATACCTCCTCAGAAACACTTTCACGATCCGCACGTGTCAGAACTTTCCGAGTAAGCCCCATATCAAAGTGATGAACACGGCAAATTGTTGAAGAGGATACCCATCGGGGTGTTCTTCTTGTAGGTACGTCTGCAGTCCTTCAACATAGAAAACAAGATGCATTTTCACATACTTGTGAATGTCAGCAACAACCTCTGGTGGTTATCTTGAACTACGAGACGGCTCCACATGTTCATCAATGAGGCCGTTCTCCAAGAAAAGGCTGTACCAGCAAAATTTCGTGTTAGGATTAGGTCCAAAGGTGTCGCTGATGAAGTTCACGTTGTTGCCGTACACGGGCAGCAGCGATACTGCACGCCAGCGAAAATCAGCCGAGTAGGTCATGGCAACAATGCAATTGCTGCGCTGAGGTTCTGTCCTCTGTCTTAGCGGCGGGAAAATCTGAAATGCACTGGTGGTTGTGCTATTTGGGCGCGTGTGTGAAAAGCCAACATGGCAGCTACGGCCGAGATCAACATACGACGCGCTGTTGGACTACTTTGTTGTATTCAGCGTGTGCCACAGCTGGGTTTTCGACCAAGGGATCAAATTTTAAAACGCGATGATCCGAGCGAGGAATTTCCATAAATCAGTGATTTTTCACTGATATTTGACAAAATGATAGTGATAGCTTAAAACTACTTACTCAGTGCTTTGGTAAAAAGTAATAATTCAGTAGTATTTGTGCAGCCTGGTGGGCATCCGTTACTCTATGAGTCGTCAATATACTAGAAGTAGTCACCATATCACAATATTTACAGTTGCATAACTGTAACCCGCTGTTTCGTAGCTCTTTTTCCAAGTAGTTCGCAAAGCTATTTGCTAACGATCAGGGCTAAGAAAGCCCAAATAATCACTGGTGTTCTATCTGAAATAATTTACTGGACATCGCATTTTTTGCGCAATATGAAATACCAGTACGAACAGTATTTGCTGTCATGAGCATGCGCAAGTTGCTGCAACACTGTATAATATCATCCTCAACGAGGTGTTTACACGAACTGCATTTATTTTTTTTGGTAAGATGTCTCTATTTCCAAACTACATTTATTCTGAGATAGCAGTAAGGCTGCTAGCGCAGCCCAAATCCGATCATTTGAAGCCGATCAGATGAAGCCTCCCTTTAAAGTTAGGTTTTAACTATTTAGAGGGTTCTAGACTCAGAAATTAAGATAAAGGAATTGATGAAGGTGAAGATCTCACATCAGAATCTCTTACTCAACTCCAAAAGCCCAATCTCGTTCAACTCGAACGCGGTTCATTCCTTAGTTTGCAGGAGAAGGCTATCCTATTGCTACTTTGTCGCTTTAATAGGACTGGGTACTTGGCTTCACATAACCTTGTCTAATGAAGATAACCTATTTTATCTAAAGCTATTATGGATGCATGGAAGCCAAATGACAACTTTATTTTAGAGAATTCACCATCTCCTGGGTCCGTTGAGCTTATACACTTTGTTCTATCGCGAAAAAGCTGGGTTATGTCGGCGGAAGGGCAGATGCAAAACAATAGTGGAGAAGCTTAGACCCTTGCATTTTGTTGAGTCCTCAAGACGACCAACGAATAAAGTTTCTTCAATAAAGTAGTCAATATTAGTGCAGAATAACAGACAAGTTGTATAGTGCAAAAAGCATAACCACCAAGCACTACTATTTTATATAGTATTTTTGTAGAAGGTAACACGCTACCTACGTGCACTGTTTGTAGTATTACTATAGTTTCAAATTTGACTTGAAAATTGTATGGATGTGCTAGTACTATAGTACTATACCTCCGTCAGTGAATTCAGGCAAACTGTCACAACAATTTTGTCAAATCTCAGTGAAAATCACTGATTTATGGAAATTCCTCTGATCCGAGCATAAATACGCACCCTAGGAGCCCATTATCATTCCGCGGCCGGAAGATGCCTAATGACAAAAGTACTGCGCTGTTACCGTGCTCTACTGCCGGAGTGGCGACTGCAGAGATCGATAGACCTCGCGTGATCTAAACCGTGCAACTAGTTCTTTTTTTCTTTTTATGCATCGTCGCCAGCATCTCTGGAGGTGGGTGGCGCCTGTCACGGCGATGATAGGTATCGCATCCATGAACCCCATCAATTGGACCAACGCACCGAGATCGCTTTAATTCGCGGTGCTAACTTCGAGGATGTGAAGAAGCTAGAGAATCTACACATGCAGCTCGCAACGGCAAAGCAAACGATAAGAAGCAAGGGCGAACAAAAGTGGGAAAACGCTGCCAATATGGTCCAGTTTGCAATTGGAGACTACAGATACTATGTAGATGCGTGGAGACGTCGTCGGTCGAAGCTCCGCGCCAAATAGTGTGGCCCACTCGACCGGTAAACACTACCCCGGATTGGGTGTTCGAATCGGAAACCTCCCGACTCGCGGAACCAGAGAAGCCCACGTAAGTAAGCTGAAGTTTTACACCGGGCTTTCATAAAGAATAGACCCGTCATTTTAGAAGGTTCTATCGTGGCTTGTACGCATTTAGCCGTCAAATCCAGTTAGATCGAAAAATAACAATGAATATATAAACAGACCAGCACCCATAATCGATCCTCCTAGCAGAGCCTGATAGACTGAATGCATGTATATGTACCTTATAACTAGCAGCAGGTATTTTTCCTGGGCTCGAAGTGCCAATTCAAACGGAATTTCCAGTAATCTGACGCTAGATCAATCCTGAAGTAAAAAGCTGGTCAAAGCTCAGCCATCAAATCAGGGTTAATGTCAAGATGATGTGCTCGTTTTGTTATTATATCCACTGTGCTTTGCATCTATTTTGACCAAACAGAATAACAAAACTCTGTTTAAAAGTCTGTATTAGATCAACGATCTCTGAAATAGACTCATGATTACGAGTTATAAATTTTAGTTACAAAGTGTCAGGTCGAGATTAAAGAGGCACACGTTCGAAACGAGTACATACTTGCCACCGCTAACTCCGGTACCTTATACAAGGACTCCTGATGGGGTTGTTCGTTTGGTCGCTCAGCACCAGCAGCTGGACTGGAAAATTGCCGTAGTCAGCGGGTACCCCATGGACCCGGTCAGTGGGGTTTGATGCAGTGCTCGCCCCGAGTGCTATCGACGGTAACCACAAAAAAACAATACACAAAATAGAGATCTGGGGAAATGGTGGCTCATCGGATACATTGTGTGTATTGGAGGCACCGCGCAACAACCTGCCTTGGAACCGCCTTCATATCAGACAAGGTGTATTTCGACACAATGTTTGTCGGCTGTGCACCTCAAAAATGACCAATGATGCAAATCTGGAGCTAAGTTCCGGGGCACCAAAAGGTTACCACACTCGGTCCACGTTATCACCCAAGACTTGATCGTCGCCGAGCTTCAAATCTGCTGGAATATCCACGGCCACCGATTGAACTACTATTACCCACTCCTGTGTTGACCATTGAAAAACCGAATCACGGGGGGGGGGGGTCTGCAAGTGATATGAGCAGCTGCCGTGGTGAAATATAACCCTCAGCTAGACAAAAGGTCATGCCAGCCGTTCGAGTCACCGGGATGGCTTGGCTTTCATACATCCGCAAAAGTGACCAGCGATGAAGCTTGTCAGCTTGTCCGCAAACTGCCAAGGATATGGTCGTGGACGCAAAAAATGGAGCGCAAGCTTCTGTGATTAGTATATAGACTGAATCCAGTGGGTCGACGAACTAAATAGCCAGCACACTTGGAGGTCTTCACTATCACAAATGTATCTTTTTTTCACGATCTCCTGCGTTTGGCTCCACCCAAAATGCGCCTCTGACATCATTAGCCGTTTGTGACACCGAGCTCCAAAATTATGTTGAAGTCGTGCGGCGCGTGGGTTAACGCGGCGCTCCAGTGTTCGTCGCTTGTATCAGCGAACTCGCACAAGCGCTTATCAGGATCGGGGTGGCCCAACGTATAATGCAATGCGTTAGTATATCACGGAAATCGTCATTTATGATTTGGGGTAGTTTACGAGTCGGATTACGGAAGATTAAGGGATATTTTACGGGGAGTTCCCTATTTAGTTTTCTGGACATTGTCCCATCAACTAAATTACATGTCGCAACGGGTGGACATGAAATGAGTAGCTAGTCGAGGATACAAGACCATTTGGGAGACGGTGGACATCTTCAGCCGCGCTATTAACGAGTCGTTTGCGACTTCTCACCCAAGCTTGCTCACGTTCCTTGCCGTGATCAAGACCAAGTTCAAAATTATGTTTTCTGCCACTTGTGACCGATCGCGTTTACAGTAATACGCAATAACATACTAATGAGCGCGCCGGAGGAAGACACGGTCATTTTTGTTGCAATTGGACAAACGCTAGCTGAGTTACAAACAAAAACGCTAGCACGGGGTGGCGAAAAGGGTAATGACGAAAGATCATACTGCGTGTTTCGATGACGCTTTGCCTTATAACTCTGCGAAGGTTATTGTGCAATGTTTCGTAGCTTACCGGTTGCTTAGTATAACAAGGTTTTATAGAGTGTTTTTGAGGTGGACCAATTCCGATAGAGAGCATTCATTCACTGACTTTCCGCTTGTAATACTGTTAACAGATCGGCCTATTAACGTTGAACTGCAAGCTTTGGGTACTAGCGATTTTTAAGGGGTTTACATCAAATGTTGATTTGTTGGCCAATCTCGCCAATCTGTTATATTTAATTTAATGTGCTTGACGTCAGGATTGAAGGAATATCACAGCTACAGCTACAACATCAGCAACAACTCGTCGTCAGAAACCGACTCAACACCTACTTCCTCGCAAGTGCTACCAAATCGCAGCTTAGACTGAGCTCGCGTTAGCGTGAACTCAGCCTAATTCTGTGACAAGTCCGAAAACTTTCATTGTGTCAGCTCATATTGAGTGATTTTGACTGCAATAGATGGTTCCAAAACATTTCCGAGAAACGGTGAGCGATCTAGACTACGGAACTTCCTTTGGGATTTCGCACTGAGTGATTTGGACTAGGTACGTCGATCCGCAAAAAAATTCTGTGAGTGATCTAGACTACGGATCCTTCCTTGAAGAAAACGACCACAAACTAAAAGAGGTGGACTCGTCCTCAGTTCAGCTTTTTCGGTCGCCACAGCAGCCAACCCCCCCCCGTGCTCACGGTAAAAAAATATCACCACCTGTACGTCGCCGCGCTACCTACCGAGCCTCGCTTCATCATCTCGCCATCGCTCATGCTATCGTAGGCGCACAGTGCTACATTTGTATTAAACTTCAGCATTATTCTATATTAGTAGCAGCGCGCCAAACACTCTCCGCGCTTTCGTAGATAGATCAAAATCGCTGCAGAAGCCACTTGCATAGCAACTAGAAACCCAGACTGCCCGCTATCCGCAAATACCCTCCTCGGAGAAGTCCTCCTTCATCCAAACATTACAGAGCTGGTACCGTCGTACTTAACGTTTACCCTTAATATCTGGAAACGAATATCCTAGTCAACTAGTTTGCTACTCCACCGAAAACACCTCTACTTTTCCGTGAATTTCAAGAAACCATGCGATTTCTGAGATTATTAAATGACTTTACTTGATTTCAGTATGCGTTTACTTCATGTGCGCCACATATCAGGTGCATAGAATTAATCCTGATTGGGCTGCCCATACTTCGTAACCGAAGCACTATTACTGTAATACTAGAGTCCACCAATGCATGTTGGAGGGGGGGGGGGGGTCCTAACTTCGCGACGCAAAGTATTGGACTCGCCCCTGCCTTGGTGAGGTGAAGCCCAGAAGCATCTCCTACATCTTGGCGAGCAGGTCGTCGTAGTCGTTGTTGAAATATGGGTGACGCTGGAGCATCGACGAGCTGGTCAGCGCTGTGAGATCTTGTGCAACGGGTCGTGGCCTTTGCCACCTAAAGATTGTGCGGCTACGGAGAGCTGCAGAGAGTCGCTGGCAGGAGTATCTGTTAGTAGGATAGGCAAGGGAGATCGAGACTGAGCCTCAGTCTCGAATCTGCCCAGTATATAACAAGTGTCGTTTAGTGTCGTGAATTCCTGTTGTTGTTCGTCCCTTGTGCTGAGCGTGGACGCTCGTTAGCTTGCTTTCACATTTCAACAGGGTTATGAGCCCAAACCTACTGTGTTAGACTCGCTACGTGTGTACAAGGTGCTCGGCATGAGTGGTAGACAGCGCGCGGGTTCCCAACGTTGCACACATGCTGATCAACTAGAACTTGCATGTCCGAGTCATCCGTCGCCGCCATAAATGAAGACAGGGAAGAGGCTTGACGTAACAGCAAGGGATCTCGTGCCGCATCTCGTAGCTTTCGACCTCTTTCAACCGTAAATCAATGTAATAGTCTTTTGCTTAGTCCTGGTTTCCATGCTACAGTAGTAAATAAACACTTTCCGAACCATTATAAGTGGCTTTGGCGTTGCCACCGTTGGCCGCTGAATCGATTGCAACAAATTTCCGGGTGGGCATCGTTAAATATCCCCCACAGTACCAGGCTAGCAAGCCAATATATCAGTACATAGCTTATTTAACTACCTGATAGTAGCCGAAAAAAACTAAAATATCACTCAAACCAACGCTTACTGATTCTCTTATCCACCATATCATCGTCCATAATAAAACCCAACCTGCTCAACATGAATTCAATCAGCTGGACAACGTTAATGGTGATCATGCAGTAAGGCGATCGCTAACTGAGTAAGATGGAATCTGTACTTCCAGCCGACCGATCAAGTGCACGAATTAAGACCGTTTGATACTGAATAGGAAGGTACAAAACATCATTTGGTTATACTTCGGTAGTGTGACCCGTACGACCCAAGGGCATCTCCTGAGCCTGCTTCGCAGCCGCGGCATCTGCCCAGAAATTGCACCGCTATTAGTAAGAAGAAACTGATTCACAACATAACACACGGGAAGTTGAGGATTGTAGCAAGCCATCACGTCATGCGCCCTCGGGCTAACGCGCTGGTGATCAAGATGCTGGGGTCGGGAAACCCTGTTCTAGCCTCCATAGCGTCCCACGCTGTCAAAGCTATCTACACCAAGCTGCTGCGCTTCCCAGCGGATTGGCCCGTGGATCCGTTCGTCGCCGCAGTCGTCCGCGCAAGAAGCACCGACTTTGACCTGGTGCGAGACCAAGTCGCCCTCCTGCACAGTCTCAACATGCCAACACTGGTCGCTTGGTCGCAAACCGACGAGTACATCCAAGAAGAAGTTCCGTTGGAGCTGGAGAGGCTGTGCTCTGGTGGTCCGCGCCTTGCATTTGCGGGTGTAGGGCACAACGTCCAGAAAACGCGTCGACCCGATTGGAGACGCTATCAATGCTTGGATTGCGGATGTGCTGGCTGACAAGTATGTGCTTCCTACCAAGCAAGAGACGCAGTTTCTGCCGTAGCATGAGCGGTAGACGAGCGAAGTCTTCTTGCAATTGACTGGGACAGCAACACCTACTTACCACAAGCAGCAGTAAGCCAAAATCGACCAAACATCGTTCAACAGGAACCACACACTCATTTCTTCCACGTCGTAGTTCTTCTCCCTAACCATTGCGTTCTCTTGTAAACAGCACGCTATGATTTCAGTCACCGACGGCATTGCGATCTACGTGCTTGGATCTCCACGACAGCGCATCCGGGCAAACTCTATGACTCGTTGAAGATCGGGAGCGTCGATGCCATTGGCAAATGCATAGGCTGAGAGCTGAATGGCAGCTGCAAGTGCATCTCCATGACTGAGCGACTTCACTTCACTTTGCTCGTCGTTCTTCTCCTCCGATTCATCATGCTCCTGCAGTGTGTGGGTCGCACGTCGAGACCGCGGAGCTGGCGGTAATTCTTCAGAGAAGGGCATCCATTCCGGTACATTCTCCTCGGCGTTAATATACTCCAGTCCGGTCATCGGTTCATTCGGTTCAACCATCGCGATGATTCTGTCCAAAATCGACGTGTCAACTGGGATCTTTGGCACATTTTGCTGTTGTATCAACAGCACTGTATCTCCCGAAACGATACCGGTATGGGCCCAGCAGTTCCTAATAAAAGGAGGAGGCATGTGCTGCCAGGACTGCACAATGTGCTTCACCGCAGTAAGAAGACCCATTTTTGCTTCGCCATTGCCCAAATTCCTAGTAGAACGTTGGTGGTCCAGAATCCGCTGCACACCAAGCGCCTTAACGTGAATTTTGAACTGCTGGATGATCCCCGCTCGCATCGGCTGGAGGTGGGACGGAGTGTTGGGCGGTAGGAAATACACCCGAACATTCGACAGCTCAAACTCCGTCGTGCCATGACACGGCGCGTTGTCCACCAACAGCAGCACATGGCGATCTTTCATCAGCGCGTTGAAAGCTTGCAGCCAGTCGGTAAAGTTGTCCCCCGTCATCCAGGCTTGAGCATTGGCATAATGTCGCACTGGAATTTGGGTCCCGTCGAGCCCATTTTGCTCGCTGTGGATCACGACGGGCTCCAGCTTCTCGCTGCCGTCCATGTTGCAGCACAGGCCGACTGTCAAATGTTTTGGTCTTTTGGTCTTGCCACCTTGAAGTTTCCGCGGCGGCATCTGGTAAAATAGTCCGGTCTCGTCCAAATTGAACACGTCTCTAGGATTATAGTCGTCGATCAGTCTGCGCAGATTTTTGAGCGCACCAAAAGCGTGGCGCTGCTTGAAGCGGAAGACCCACGATTTGGTCACGGACTGTTGCCCCTGGAGCAACTCGTTGGCTTTTGTGCACAGGACCAAATCGCTCAGATCGCCCAAATCGGGCGAATTGAGCACAAATTGGTACAGTTCCCGCTCCATTTCGGGGAAGCGCCCTTCTTGGTTGCGCTTGGCGTCCGGATTGAGGCTCGAGTCCTGCGGCGCCCGCAAGATGGAGCCGACGGTGGAGCGGCCGAGCAGCACGGAGAAGCGCAACTGCGCCCAGCGGATTATGTCTTCATGGGTCAGGTCCGGGTGCGCGCGGTAGTACAGACGCAGCTCGGCCTTCTGCGCCACGGACAAATGGGTGCGGCGAGGCATACTTTTTGGGCTTTGAAAGGCACAAGGTGCGATTAATGATAGGGGACTTTTGATTGGCCAGGGGATAAGTAAAATGATTTGATTGGTGGAGAGTGATTAACGGGTATTAATAACTGTTAAATGCAGTGTAGCCATAATGAAGACGACACATCAGTACGTTTGTCGGGCAAGTAGCTGCTTGTATCTTCCTCCTGGAAGCTGCATGAGTTCACCATGCGTGCCGATCTCGACAATGACAACCTGTTCCGTCACTGCGATCAAGTTGGCGTTGCGAATCGTGGAGAGCCGATGCGCCACGATGATGGTGGTGCAGCGCTTGGTCTTGAGCAACTTGTTGAGCGACGTCTGCACGATTCGTTCGCTTTCGTTGTCCAGAGCGCTCGTGGCTTCGTCCAGCAGGAGGATACTCGGGTCCCGCAGAATCGCTCGCGCCAATGCAATCCGCTGCTTCTGGCCGCCTGAGAGTTGACCTCCTCGATCGCCAACGTCCGTGTCGAAGCCGTCCGGGAGGTTGCGGACGAACTCGAGCGCGCTTGAGTCTGCAGCGGCTTGAACGATCTCCTCGCGACTCGCAGTGGGTCTACCAAGCGCGATATTCTCAGCAATGGCTCCGGCGAAGAGTACAGGCTCTTGACTCACGAGCGAGATGCGGTCGCGAAGCCACGGAAGGCTCAGTTGACGCAAATCCACGCCGTCCAACGTAAATCTTCGCTTCCGGTCGGGACGGGTACGCGAAGTGCACGTCGTGGAATTCCAGCTCCCCGTTCACGGATAAAAAGGTGCGACCAGAAGAAGACATGACGTCGATGGCCGGTACTCGATCGATGACTTGGAAGATGTTCTCTGCTGATTGCTGGGCTTTCGTCGGGTCTGTCGCTCCCTGCGCTGCAGAGCCGATGGAGAAGGAGCTGAGCGAGAAGACCATGAGCATGTCTTCGAACGTGATGGTGCCGCGCGGAATCCACCGAGAACTGACGTAGAACAGCAGAGCGGCGACGAGCAGCATGGAACCGAGAGAGAAGCCGAACGCAGCCCCAGCAACGAGGCCAGCGCGCAGATCCGTCTCCTTTGAAGTATCGAGCAGCTGCTTGTACTTGGCGTTCAAGTTCTTCTCCATGCTGAGAGACGCCACGGTGTACGAATCGAGTCGACTGCGTTGGTGAACAGCGCACCGGCCTCTGCATCCGCGTCGTTATTTTTCTTGGACGTCGAGTCCCCGTCGGCCACGGACTTGTTGACCATAAAGGAGGAGATCGTAAGCACTGGAGCCACGGCCAGGAAGACGAGCGTCATCTGCCAGCTGAAGAAGAAGCAGACAGCGAAGACGATGCCCAGCGTCGTCACGTTCACGACCAACCGATTAAGCGACTCGGACGTCATAGCCTGTAGCGTCGCTGCGTCGGTGGACAACCGAGAGAGAAGAGCTCCCGAGGCATTCTCCGACTTGTCGAACCACCCGATATCCTGACGCAACATTGCGGTGAATGCAGCGAGGCGAACGCGAGCTACCAATCTCTCGGAAGCTACGGCGAAGCAGTAGTGCTGTAGCAATTTTGAGATACCATAGACGAACCCCAGAGCGACGAAGCTCAGCGACCAGTACCGCGCATCGTGGACCATTTCATGCTCCGTCTTGTCATAGTCGAAGAAGAGCACCGTGATCTTGGCCATCATGACACCCCATGCCGGGAATACTGCGGAGTTGAGCACGGCACCCACACCTCCAGCTACCAAGAAGGCCCATTCCGGTGAAGCCATCTTCCTCACCCGAGACAGCACCGTGGCAGATTGATCAGGAGCCCCCACACACTCGACCTTGTCGTTTGAAGACTCCGTGGCAGCGCTGGTCTGGACCGAATTGGGCATGTCGAGCTCTCTTGGCGCTCTCGAGGCAACTACATCGCTGTCAGCATGAGCCGGTGAGCTCTGAGACTCGACCAAATGGCGATAGTGTCCGTTGGGTATCTCCATGAGCTCGTCGTGCGTCCCGATCTCGACGATTGATCCGTTGTTGTGTACCGCAATACGGTCCGCGTTTCGGATGGTTGAAAGTCGATGCGCGATGACGATTGTGGTGCGCTTGGACGAAGCCAGGAGCTGATCCAGAGACTGTTGAACGACGTACTCGCTCTCCGTGTCCAATGCGCTTGTCGCTTCATCCAGCAGCGGGTTTTTCACGATGGCTCGGGCGAAGGCGATACGTTGCTTCTGCCCACCCGACAACCGCGTCCCGCGCTCCCCCACTTCGGTATCAAAGCCCCGAGGAAGCGCCTGAATGAACTCCAGCGCGTTCGACATCTTGGCGGCGTGAACGACCTGGTCATCCGATGCTGACGGCGCTCCATAGCGGATATTCTCCATACTCGTCGTCGGAAACAGCACTGGTTCTTGACCAACGAGCCCAATCTGCGGACGGAGCCAATTGACGTTCAATCCACGAACATCCTCCCCATCGACGCTCACTACGCCGCTCAAGGGATCATAAAAGCGCTCCAGCAGAGCGACAATGGTGCTCTTCCCGCTTCCACTGGGTCCTACAAGCGCCACGGTCTCCCCCGCTCCGATCGTTAGCGAATAATTGCTGCACACTTGAACGTCCGGACGAGAGGGATACGCGAACGTCACGTCCTTGATCTCGATCTCACCCGATACGTTCTCCAGCGTCTTGCCCTCGGTACTCAGCGGATCGATCAGAGACCCTCGACGAATTGTCTCGAAGATGTTGTACGCAGCAGCTCGAGCAGCTACGAGAGCCTCGATACTCGGCGCCGCTTGCCCGATTGCCATGGACCCCGTCAAGACTGCTGCAAATACCACAACAACGCGTCCTCCGTCGTAACACCCGGAGCCAACGCACTTGTCACCATCAAGCTGGTCGTTGGCGACCTTGTACGCGCCGTAGAACATGCCAACCGCATACGTGCAGAGCATAGTGAAGAACATGAGTCCGGTGCCCTATCCAACTGCCAACCCTTTGCTGATCCCCGCTCGGGTTGCCACGTCCAAGGCGCTCGCGTACTTGTCGATGAAGTGTCTGCAGGCGTTGAACGTGTGGACCGTCCGCACATTACTCAGCGATTCTTGAGCGATCGCGCCGGCCTGGCCGTAGGCCTCGATCCCGGTCTGCGTGTCCTTGGTCAGCACCTTCATGGACAGGAACGGCATCAGGGCCAGCAGAATGAGCGCCAAGTCCCAGCCTTTGATGAACCCGATGACGACTCCAGTCACCGCCATGGACAGGTTGCGAATCCCATCGCTGATCTTGCGGCCCATGCCTTCTTCAAGCTTCACTGCCGCCTCCACAATCCGCGTGGACAACTGCATGGGCTCGTTCACGTCGAACCAGCCGATCTCCTTCGCCAGAATCGAGCTCATGTAGGCGCCGCGGATTCGCTTCACTTGGCGCGACGCTGTCGTGGACCACTTGGAGGAACCCAGCGACCATAGCGACGACCGCGACGTAGACGTAGTTGAGCACAGCGTCGTCCACCTTGCCGGTGATACTGGAAGAAGAGTCCGACGGGTTCATGCCGTTCAACACGTCTCCGATGAGAACGATATGCAGCGGTTGAGCCATCCCTGCCGCTGCGGCGCCCAGTGTACCGGCGATCATGAGCATGCGGTCCTTGTCGTCAGCGAACGACAACAACTCGCCCATGGACACGAGCTTCGCATCTTCCTTGACATCGGTGGGCCGGTCTTCAAGGGTGGTGACTTCGCTGCCGTCACGGAGTCGCTCCTTCTCGCCCCTCGGACCCTTGGTCTATGGGAGATTCGGGGGCCGACAGGCCCCCGAACTCCGATAAATTAGGTGAGATCTCCGAACTCCGGCCGCAGCCCCGGAGGGGCGCAGCCGTTTTCCCTTTATCTACCGAGAACTTGTAGCTGAGGAGTTCGCAGTAAGCATGGCCTTGTCAGCAGCGCGCAATGATAACAAGGCAGCAGTGGTCGAGGCGGTTGGACGGCGCTCATTCCCTCCCCGTCTAGTTTATCCTGAGGAAAAGGTGGATGACATGCAGTTGTCGCGGCTGTTTTCACGTCCCTTGTTCGTGTGGACCCCGGAGTATCGAGGAGGCAAAGGTCTGCCGTCGTGCATCAGCCGAGACTGCAACTGCAATCCGAAGGTGAAAGACTATTGCCGTCGTGTGGTGGAATCTGTGGAGTGCAAGTGCGACCTGGTATTTGTGAAGTATAGGTGCGCTGTAACAGGATCATATTTTTTCACTGTGAGCTCGGATTACTTTGCACAATGGCCCGATATGATTTTTCACTTTCCATTTGTTCTGAGCCAAAAGCTAGTGTTCTCGAACTCACTCATGGAGATGGTTCATGACGATATTACCGCGCAGAATGGGTTGCAACGTACCATGGCCAATATGGAGCGTAGGCGCAAACAGCGCTACTACAAGCTTTTGGGTCTGTTTTCCAGTGGTATCAAGCGAAACCACGAGCGTTGCTTCACCTATCTGGCCCCCACTCCAATATCAGAGGATCAGTATGCAGATCAAAACAGAGTTGTTGACAATCACACGCTTACGACGGCATGGCTACACGCTACAGAGCTGTACGGGTCGCTGTGTGAAAAAGTGATGAAAGACTGTGTTGTAAAGAGGGTCATGAGAATGGATCACTCTGTCAAGTTCTGCAAGCGGTTAAAGCTGCAACTAGTGCAAATGCAGACGACACACCTCCAGCAAGACTACAACCGCAGGTTATTTGTCGTGACACTGTTGGGATTGGTGAAGATGCAGGACAATCAAGTGTTCCAGCAAAACGGCCTCGGCCATCTACTATCGCACCAGAGCACTTGGCTGAGTTGCGTAAACTGTCTGATTCGCTGGTGTATACTCGTGGAAAATATATATTGCTGCAGCAGGAGCTGAAGAAATATTACCCTGACGCGAACCTCACGGATAATCAACTACGCTGCCGCCTTAAACGACGTCGAACAGCAGAAAAAAATTGTCCCAAGCCAGCGAGTAGCGGCAACGAGATATCTGACAGCATTGCTCCACCTCTCGCTCCAGCTAGCAAGGCGACTTCGTGTTCGAGCTGCCGCCAGAAGCACTTAAAGTGCGGTGAAGGGTCTCAAAATCCTGCGTGTTTGCTAGCGAAGAAGAATACTACTCGTACGATAACAGAGTTCTTTAGCGTATAGCAATAAAATCTAACTTTCATAGCACATCTGTTTTTCCACCAGGATCGAGACATACCATCGAGACAACATTGTGGTCAAATGTGGTCGAATGTGGTCAAATGTGGTCAAAGTGGTCGCGAGACAAATCCCACCATCTCCCATGCGCCCCCCCCCCCCGGACCCTTCGGTGAGTTCGCTGCGATGTAGTTCGTCGGAGTCATCGGTGAACTGAAACAGGGAGACGGAAGTTGCGAGTGAAGTTTTTGTTGTTGTTGTTGAGTGGAGAATGGAGCAAATTGAGGAATGAGGTTGAGACGGAGACGCGAAAGGGGTTCAATTGCCACGATCTAGTGAAAGAGCTCAACATTGGCGTGGCCTAATCTAACTGCTTACTCAACTTCGCTAGCCATAACATGCATTATAGCAAATGCGTTTTATCTATTCAAAACCGATGTGTTTACTCTGAAATAGTTGATGCAAGTAGCATAACCCAAGTGATTATTCCAGTGTGATATGTATTCGCGAAAGTTTGCCGAAAAAAACACTCTCCAGGCCGGTTCCTCACGTCATTGCCACCTACGTCCCCTCGTGATGAAGAAGAAGAAGAAGAAAAACCTCTGGTTGCACATGCAGCTTTCTTAACCCCAGTCGGGCACTTTGCTAGGACAAACCGAAAAAATGCTAGGACAAATCCGAAATTCACGGAAGTAAAGTATAGTGTACCATAATTTTTGTCCTAGCGTCTGTCTAGGACAAAATTTGTGGTACACTATACAGAAATCAAGTAAAAACCGATTTTGTCCTCCCGTTTGTCCTAACAAGAGGGGCGACTGGAGTTAAGCGTGGTCCATAGCGTAAGTCACTCTTTTGCTCCTATCAAGACGTCGTTGAGTCGAGCCCCGTTTTCTTGTTTTCTATGGCGCAACGGCGGTGGTCGTCTCATGGAGCGAAGGTGCTGGCGAAGTCGTCGGAAGGAGAGAGGTCGTGGAGACAAGTGAGGAGAAGCTGCGGAGCAGCAGACAGGTGTTGAAGTAGTTCGAGTGGTTGGCAGAGTACTGCAGCCACAGTGCATTGAACAAGTAGGAGCTCAGACTCAATTCGGCAGGGTCAAGCGCAAGAGCGCGAAGACAGAGTGAGCAAAAGGAAACGTTGTGTATTTGTGCATTTACGCAGCTTGGCTACTCTATCTTCCTTATCGGTGGCGGGTGCGGCAAGAATTGAGCGGCAAGGTCCTCGAGGAAGCGCGCACACAAAAAGCAAAGCGATTCACGCAATCCCCTCCAAAAAATCCATCCAGTTTGCCATCTCGAAATTCGGAGAGTTTTCATTGAGCAAGTAACACTGTCGCAGCGGATCGTGGCAGCCCACAGATAGGATAGGCCCAATCATAACAACGAACACCGAAGGCCATGCCGATCCACGCCCTAAACTGGTCTGTCCGTCTTACGGAAGGGTTGCTAAACATCTCAGTTTCACTTTTCCTCCTCGGCGACCAAGTCAACTTCCAACTCCATCAAGGGATCCGCTAAGGAGGACCCTCATCGGGAGGGCCCTCGTAATATAGTCGACATTTGGGAAACAGCTGATTGTGACAAACGCACATTTGGGTCATCCGTAATAGGTACATGTACCAAAACGAGAGCTCGGTTCTTAAAGCACTCTCCCACCTCTCGTGCGTGTCCACCGCGCCTTCTTCGCCTGGGCATCCCAGCTAAAGCAAGGGCAGGGAGTGTCTGCCCACGCGAAGGTTTTCGCTCAAGAAGAGCTCGACGGCGCGCATGAGGCTGCAGTCACCAAGGCATGGCTCAGCAATCGCGCCGGCAAGGACCTGCGCGCGAAGTGGAAAGCGCTAATGCCAGAAGAGAGAGAGAGCTTCTTGCAGAGCACTGCTGACGACACGTTCCTTCTGGAAGAAGCGCCCAACGGGGTGCTAGACGAGCGCCAAGATGGCGCTCGTTACCCACATCGAGCCCGCGCTGCTATCACTTCGACTGACTCGCGCGTTGGTAGAACCTGCGACGCCCCAGTTCAAGCGCCCGAGTCGGCGGCCGACCAGGCTCTGGCCAAGCTTCTACGACAGCGCAATCAGCTCTGTGGCTCTGTGGCGCGAGCCGCGATGTCGGCAGAGCTGGCTGCTATGGCGATGGCTGTTCGGAAGCGTGATGCCGATGGTGTTGCTGAGTCTGCTGCCGCGGTTATTGAGTGCTTGGGGGCGCAAGTGGCTGGCAGCTTCTCGGCAGGAGCACGAGACAAATTACTCGTGTTGATGTGGGATACGGCGGCTCATGTATCTGCCACGAGATCGTATAATTTGTTGCATAGTGACTCTGAAGCGATGGAAGCTCATGAAATGACACGAGACTCGGCTCGAGAGGCCGTCGCAACGTGGCGCGACTTTACAACCGACAACAGCGGCGTCAACCCAAGATTTAAGGAGGCTGTGGACAACCAAGTGCCGTTCAATCCCCGATATGCTAGGTATTGGGGATCCCTCGCTTGGCAGAGCCAGCTGTACTCGGGTGGCAACGCTGTGCCGGTAAATGGATCGGATTCTTCCTGTACTGGTGATTTGGGAGCAGAGCCTGAGCTGGATAAAGAAGCTGCCTCCTCGCTGCATTCTGCATCTGAGCCAGACCTGCCGGTCCCGGTCCCAAATTCTGACGGAGCGATAGCTGATCCCGCCCTCTCGATGGCCGTCATGAGCGACAAGACCGCTAATACTACGCCATCTTCGGCGCATGTGAACTCATCGCCTCGCCCTCAACTTCCTCGCAGCGGCCCAAGCTCAAAAAAGCGAACGTGGCCTCTACTGCTCATGCGACTGGTATCCGTCGGGTCGAAGGAAATAGCGTGGCTTCAGTCAAGAAAAAGCCGAGGGCTTGTGTACGCAAAATGTCATCCGCACACTATTACTTCGGATGAAGTCCGTCAGCTAGGTTAACTTACACGTAACCTGTAGTGAGAAAGTTAACACGGAAACCATGCTACACTTCTGATGTTTTGATAGGCTTATTTATTAATTTTACTAATACGTAATGCATCAGCAGTGTTACAAAGGCATAAATTGCAGAAGTGTAGCATAAGTGCATCATACCGAAGTGGTACATATTTGTACATTGCAGAAGTGTAACACTTCCGCAAGGTGCATTTCTGTTACACTTTTGCAACACGCGCAAGTGTAACACTTTTGCAACACGCGCAAGTGTAACACTTTTGCAACACGCGCAAGTGTAACACTTCTGCATCTAAAATATAAACGACATCTACCTGCATGTTTAAAAGTGAAACATACGAGAAAGGTACTTATGCGTTGGCGCTTACATGCTTGCGCACTCGAACCCTTATAAAAGTTTAAAGTACAAGGTATGGTGCAAATCTGCAAATTGCATATCTGTGAAACTTCTGTATGGTACAGTGGTACAACTTCGATTGTAGTACATACTGCCCTAAACGTTGTGGGTGTGCTTGTACACGTTAGGTAGACTTGATAGAATACGTGTTAAAGTTAAAACGGGTGTCTGTTAGCGTATCCCCAAGTGCGTGGATGTGCGTGAGACGTTTGGTAGGTCCCGGCCAGGCTTGGGTCGACTCTGAAGCCGTCTTGTTGGTAGGCAGTGGTGACATGAACAAGCCCATTACTTGGGAATATCCCGCCATTCGTGATTGCGTGGAGATGAAGGCTTGGTCGGCTTGAACTGGTAATGAGATGGCTCGTCATCCCTCGCAGAAAACTTGGTGCTGGTTCTGGATTGTTTTGGTCAACTCTTTCTGCAAGCGTGGGATCTCGTGCTGTACCACTTGCCCCATGGTTGGCACGATGCGATTGGGCTTTCCTGCGTTTAGTGCGAAGACTTGCGGGTTCGATGATGCGTGGACGCCAAGCCTCCATTCGGTCGCAGTAGATCCACCAGTGTGGATCATACATCGTAGGAAGTAGTTTCATCCTACCGTTTGACTGAATGATCGAAATCAATTCATGTACACAGGGCCTCCCATTCACGATCCGAAATACACCAGTGCATCCACGGCACGGTTTAGCTCCAGTCAGCATTTGATTAGCCTCCTTCCAGAGTTCGTCAGTTGCTCGCAGAGCCCATACCGTGATAATCCGGCCTACTTGAGTGTATCTGTCGTTCTGAAAGAGGTACGGTAGAATCGTAGCAGCACGAGCAGCACGAATGCTTACAGCACTTGCTGAAGAGAGCCACCATGGTAGTAACCGAGTAAATACGGTGTACAGGTCACCATTGCTGTCCTGTAGCCAACGCTTGCATTGGGCATGGGTACCCTCCACGGCTGAGGTATCACGATACTCAAAGTGCTTGTACTTGTTCGTCCAACACCGGACGATTTTAGTCTTGTACTTCCACCAATGAGCCTCCAAGTAGGCCGCCAGAACCGGAGACAAGTCTTTCAAAATCACACATTGCAATTCAAAGTCACTTTCAGTGCTTGCTTCCACTGCCCTATAGAAGAATGACATGAAGGCCTCGGTCTGCCAAGTATTTTCCCACTTATCTTGGCCAGGAAGGGGGTTCTCCACTTGAACCTGGCCGAGAACACTGCGAACCTTTGCCAATACGTTCTGCTTCAGATGCCATCTGCAGACTAGTGACGGAACCTCAGGAAACACAGAGTCAAGAGCATTCATCACGGCCAATTCACGATCGGTTAGATTGACCGATGGAAGTTGGATAACATGCTCGTCAATCAATTCGCGAAATCGCATCAAAAACCAAGTGTAGTCATTGTCTTTTTGTCCAGGTAAGAAACACTGCGCCACGGGCAGAACAATATTCATTCCAGTCATTGCGATGACGTTCACTAGTGGCAGGTCGTACTTGTTTGTCTTGAACGTACCATCCATTATCAGAACATCACAGTGTAACTTGTACAGGCGAAGTGTAGCAGGATGCGCCCACAGCAAATACAGAAGCTCGGTTGTGGCTGGGTTGATCTCATATCTGAAGAAAAAATTGTGATTGTTCAACAGAGTAAAAAGAGCTTCAAGCGGGGTCTGCGTCGCCATGGCCTGCTTCCTCGCCCTCATTTTGAGGTTTCCAATATCTTTCGGGAGCACAAGAGAACCAGGGGTGCTGTGGAGGATGGCCGCTCGAATCTTGGCCACTGGAATACCGGCAGCTGTCTGACCGACAATAGTTTCCTCCATGCTCTGTTGAGTAAGCGATAGACCTGCTGCAGCACGCTGCCGGTGTGCGGCGTGGACACGAACATCGTCTACCGCAGGGTGATTGTGTACCTCACTGTTATCACGAGTGTGTACAATTTTCCAAGGTCCCTCGATGTCAGACTTAGAGACCGCGCACATTTTTAACCGCATGGGGCATCCACAACGCTTCGAGCCACGCATGGACCGCTGTCGCTCGCTATCCACCAAATGCTGCGTGCACTTTGGCCACCCTGCTCGATCGCACTCATGGTTGCGCGCCCACACAATTTTGGTACCAGGTAAATACCGAACCCGTCGTCGAGAGACGTTGTAATGGTGCTCCAATGTCCACTGATGTATCGCTGCCTCAGCTGCATCGTACGATTCGTACGTAAGCTGAGGTGGTGGCGGAAGAATGTAGATTTCGTCCACCATACGGAGGTCGGTCCCACTCATTCCGATCTCACCGGGCTCCGTTTGCGCTACGTTGTCTGCAGCGACCACCGCTGAGTTGTCGAGACGCTTTTCCTCCTCCTTAAGCTGATGAGTACAAACCAAAGCCAGCAATTTGTCGTCAACCCAGTCCAACTCCGAATCTATTTCATCACAGACAGGTAGATCATCGTCCAAATTGAAGTCAGGAAAGTCGAATTCGTGGACGTCGCTGGAGATGTTGAAGTCTTCTCGTATCAAGTCCATGATAGAGTCTTCGTCTTCGCCATCACTTTCCCAATCTCCGTCGTCGTCAGAATTCCCATGGTACGCCTCAGCGTTCACGCTAGCGGCTACTCCATCGCTATCAACGTCGAAATTACCCAGAACGCTAAAACCCAGGTCACTGACATCAACCGAGACACCGGTCGAAACTCCAGCCGAGACACTAGCTGAGAACTCACTTGCTGCGCAGCCGACAAAAGCTGCCTCGTAGCGAGCATCAGAGTGGCGGTAAGGCATCGAAACTCGCGTCTGGATAGGTGTTGTTGTTCGTAGTGTGTTGGTCTGCCGACACCACGTCGGATGCTGGATGTGGTAGTAATGCACGTTTCGGAGTAGATGTTGGTGTTCTTAGAGTAGTGCCTGCCGACAACGCGGGTGAAAGGATGCTGGGGGTGCTAAGACGAAGAAGCACTGCCAGCTCTAGTGTCTTATCGGGTACAACTATGTTTATAGCATGTAACGGCCAGGTAATTACCTCGTAAAACGACCGAGGCGAAGAATCTAGCAGTGGTTCCAGCACAAGTGATAGAGGTATACATCAGAACGTGGCAGTAGTCTCTGCGTGTTTTAAAACAATTATAGGTTTCAAATTAATTAAAGTGTACATATCGTAACCAAGATAGTACGCTTTGTCTTATAAAATATTCTGCTAAGCCGTAGTATTTTTGTAAGCAAAACGCATTCGCACTCGCATGCCAAAAACAAAGTAAATTTACCTAAGTGAACATGTATTTGAGCTTAAACATTATGGCTAGAGGTCGAACCGTCTTGAGCCAAAATATGAGAACGAAGCGTGCTTTGCACCTCAAAAACTTGGCTGCAATAGTTGCAGGGATACTCACCGCGGCGATTTTGCTGCTCCCGCCGAGCGATACGATGCGCGAGTCCATCCGGCTTCTGCAGGCAGAAATACCGGTGCTGCCGAATTCGGGCCGAAACTCGTTCGGTGCGACCGCAGTATTGGCATACTAACAGCGAATTTGACACCACGTCTGGTCTCCAACCAAGGTCTCGAAAAAACAAGTAGCAGTGAAGCCTATAGTTGGAAGTAGTATACCCCACACCACTATGAAATAAATCGCCACGAAACACAACTGCATATCCAGTAGGGATCTCCAATTCAATCTCCATTTCAGGGCGGGCAAAGTCAAAGCAGCGGGGAAACAACCGCAGTCTTGTCCCGGGTTGGATGGCAATAATAACACTAGCCGGAATGCTGCCCGGGTAGCGGGCATGCACAGCAGCTCGCACTTCGTCTGCATAGTCTTGATGAGGTTCCTGGTATTGTCCCCCAGGTCGCGAGTGCATGTACGAAAACACACAGGGTCTGTAGTTGGAGTCGCGGGTAGCTGCATCCTCAAGGATTGCAGCGGAAACACGTCGAAGGGGAAGTGTCATGCGCTGAACTCGTGATTGACTTCTGAATATGTCATCTTCGGCTCCGCCTACTTCTCGAAACACAGGTCGGTAGGTCCGAGACTCTGCTTCTAGGTAGAGCTCATCAATAGTCGCTTGGGAAACTTGCAGGTAGAACACGGCGTAGCCAGACGCTGGGAAAGCAGGGCGCACCATCAGCACAACGAGATCTGAAAAATGGCAAGCACTCAATCCCTCTTATTATTTGCTGGTAGTCTAAAGTAAACTTCGCCTCGGATGCTTATTTATAGTAGAGCTATGATCGTCGGCAACGGTATCATTTCCACAGAGCGTTGCCGACGATTTCGGTACATGCACCTATTACGAATGACCCAAATGTGCGTTTGTCACAACCGGCTGTTTCCCAAATGTCGACTCTATTACGAGGGCCCTCCCGATGAGGGCCCTCCTTAGCGGATCCCCTCCATCAACTATGCGCATTTTCGCCCTCCCTCTCGTCGCGCTCGCCAGCCTCTTGGTCAGCAGCTCCACCGAATGCTCCTGCAACGGCCCCGACGCTCGCACTCAGCCGCCTGCCAATGCCATCGTCGGCGACCCCACGGGGGCGTACAGCGGCAGCTTCCGCAATGTCTCGGAAGCTGTGGGCAACGTGCCCAACAATACCGACGAGCACACCATCTTCCTCTTCCCCGGTGTGTACCGCGAGCAAGTCCTCATCTCCAAGTTGAACGGCCCCCTGGTGCTGCAGGGCTACACGTGCAACACGACGTCGTACGCCGCCAACGAGGTGACTATTACTCACGCCAAGGCTCAGCGTGACATTCCTCCCGAGATTACTAGCGGTCGCAACGACCTGACCAGTACGCTGCGTCTGAAGACCAACAACGTCAAGGTGTAACTATCGTCGAAGGCAACAACTACGGCTTCTACGCCTGCAACTTTACCTCGAACCAGGATACGGTCTATGCTAACAAGGGCAAGGAGCTCTTCGCCCGCTCGTACATTAGCGGTGACGTCGACTTCATCTTCGGCACCAAGGCGGAGGCGTGGTTCGAGTCGTGCGACATCGAGCCTGTCGGTCCGGGCTGCATCACGGCTAACCGTCGTGTTAACGAGTCCAGCCCGTCCTTCTACGTGTTCAACAACGCGCGCGTCTTCAGCTCCATCGGCAATGGCACCGCGTACCTTGGCCGCCCGTGGCGTCCGTACTCGCGCGTTGTGTGGCAGAACAGCGAGCTCAGTGACGTGATCCACCCGGACGGCTGGCAGCAGTGGAACAAGGACAAAAAAACGGCCAACGTACTACAAGGAGTTCAACAACAGGGGCCCTGGCGTGGCGACGGACAAGCGCGTGTCCTTCAGCGGAGTTCTGGATGCGCCGGTGCCGATCACGCAAATTCTTGGCGACAACTACACGAGCGAGTGGTACGTTGACCACAAGTTCTTGTAAGCGTCAGGCCTTGCAAGCATCACGCGCGGTAGACTTAGGTAGGAAAACCCACTTTCTTCATTCATTTTGATAGTTAGTTGTTTGATAAACATAGATGTTTTAATGCGGCTTTGGTTTTGCCGTAGGAATGTAAAGACCTAGACTCAACTTCCTTGCAGTAGCTAAGAAAATTGGGGACCCGGGGGGTATCGCAGTTCGAAGTTGGCTTGTACGGATACCCTTGCAGGCAAACGATGTACTCGGGCATTTCCTGCGCCTGCTTCGCATCCGCAGCATCTGCCTAATCTACCACTGTACAACCAAGTGTACCAAGTTTGATCACTACTTTTCAAAGGCGTTGCCAGTTCATATAACGAATTGACACTTCAACGCTTGAGTTTGACAAACCCACCGTGGTGACTCCACGTCCTCCTGCCCGTCGGATGAGGACCCCACGGATTTAGTTTTAACTTTAGTTCTTTTGTGGTTAGTAGAACGATTATCAACAACTGGCTAATCAACGTAATTTCCTTCCTTCCTGTCACTGAAATGTGCGCTGATGCCCAGGCAGAATCCTGTATTGCTTCGATTGCAGTGTTGTGCTCGGACTTACAGGTGGCGATAAAACAAGAAAAAACCGTGCATTCGAATATTTAGCGCTGCCAGGCTAACTGCTCAACCGAAGTTGCAGGGTAGCCCGATGAAGCCAGCAAGTTTGATGGGTCAAAACTGAGGTCTTGGAGATCTCTATCGGGTGTAGGAGTTGGATACACCGGGTGTTTGTCCTTTGCTTTTACGTTGTCCGCCCGGGCTTCCTCTTGCAGAAGAATCCGGGGGCGTACAAGGTGCATTTTAAATTATGTTTGATAAAACATGGCGCAGCTGCACACATATTTTTGTCCGGGTCGCCTGAATATCTAACAACAACAAAAACTGTCAGCTTCGATTCGTCCAAGTTTGTTATTGCCATTTATCAAGTATTAAACTGAACGTACCGCATTCATGTAGCATTAGGAGGATCTGAGTTAATATCTGCAACAATGTACTTTGAAGTTCTATTGACGAGAACAGGATAAAGAAGTAGATCATTAGCCTTTTATCCGGAGAACCAGGTGCAGCTCTTTTTGAGTCTCCGATAAATGAATTCGTTCGCCATCGTATAGGACGCCACCGCGTTGTCGGCGGATAGAGATTGCTTTGGTTAAAAATATGTTGACCGAAAAAAAATCAAGCTATACTTCCCATCTTGGTTCGCACAACCTTAAAAACTTTAAGTAGCTTTTTTGCAAAGTTTTAGTGGAATGTTTTATATAATTAATCTAGACTCATTCCAATGACTGTGGGGATTCACACAATATCAGCCTGACGACAATTTATGTCACGGCAAACTCAGGTGACCACACGATTTTCAATTAATCTCTCTGAAAATCTATACACGCAGAAGAAAATTTGTGTCTGAAAGAGGAGGGTATAAGTTATGACTCATAACAGATCGAATCGATAATTGCTAATGGAATGAGTCAGTGAGTGCTTTGAAGCTGCATGTTGAGTGCTTTGAAGCTGCATGTAGTATAATACGATGCAGTGATGTAGTAATGACCAGTTGTACCCAAGGTCGGCATCATACGGTGTTCGTCGTAGTAGTCTCTGTCTCTGATGTTTGTGATGGAGCTCCACTTTCCCTGGTGGCATCGTGTGCATCTGACATCAATCTAGAAGGAAAAGAAGCTCCGAGGCGAATAGGCATCCATCTAAACCTGTAAGAGTCATTCAGACCGGAATCGATCGAGTGTTGTCTGATGTAGTGTGAATGTTGTTCGATGACATCCGCAAGCTACAGGAGTAGCTTGAATGTCGTTCGATGACATCCAAAAACCTTCCCCCAATCGACAGTTCTTCGAACTGCGAACAATGCTGGTAACTACTAGTAGTACGAAAAACACTTGTAGACATGTGAAGGGCCAAACCGAGTGAGTACCTCAAAGCTGCCGAACTTTCAAGAGACGATAACAAGCAGCGCATTCGCGCGAGTTTATCGAGCGACAAGTGACTTTATTCGCCACACAGCGGAGCACCAGTCGCCCTACCAGTGACTTGAAGGTGCTACATTTGCTTTTTATCCCTCCCAACTTGGGCGTCCGAAGAGGCGATCCTCTCACAACTTGGAGCCTCCACAGTTGTCGAATGATACTCTTATCGCTTCCTGTTCGTATAATTTTAAATTTATTGTCCAGAAAGGAAATACTTCCAAGTGTTACGTTTCCGGGCAATAAAGTATAGCACCAGTCGAAAGATAACGTTCTTTATTACTTCAGCAAACGTTAGTAAAAGAACTATGATAGTACGGTTAACAAATCTCCATTGTTTATCTCGCGGCTCTCTTCGCTGTGAGTGCAATTACACGAACTTACAGTTATCGTCTATAGGCAACCCGGAGCGTTGCTCCGGGAGGGTACACAGGTCGACGGATAGTTTCATGGACGATGATAACAGATAATAATTGAGTAAATCCCATCGTTTTTAATACTTAAAAGCACTACCAGCCCAACCCTGTAGTTGATTCTAACGTGGGCATCTACTGCCCGGGAATGCGTAATTGAACAAATAGTTGCGCACATCGAAGTGTATCGGTACGGAAATGATGTTTCAGCCAAACCTTTTTTGTGAGGCTGGTAACCAGCAAGCCCCGCTCTTCTTTATCGTGGTCGGTTCTCAGGAACCGAAAGTCCCCAATTGAGGTTGCCTGGTCTGATGAGGCCATCAGTGACATAACACCCTGGTCAGCGTCCAATGGCTGCGTTGGCGCCAGCAACGAGATAGCTATTTCATTCATTTTGCAGGTAAGGTATACTGTGCTCATTTTTGTACTATGTTGTGTGCTAACAATCAGACGAGAGAGCTACAGTAGCGGAACGAAGGAGAGACGCATGGTGCGCTGATCTTGACCTTTTAACTGAGGATGTTAGTTAAGTGACAATAGTGATCCTCAATTCAAAAACAAAACAAACAAACAAACTTTTAACTTGAGGGCTTGGGGGGTAAATTGTGGGATGAGAAATACGCTAATGGGCCAATTCCTTGGAAGTGGTTGCTTCAACGCAGGGAAAAAGTCTTATTCAAACGAACGATGCTCGTGTCACCGTCGAGTTAGCTGGTTGGTTTGGCGATAGCATTTATCGACGGGTACCCGATTCCGGCAGATATTAGCTTTAACATTACAATTAAGAAAGAGAGACCCCATTGGGTACCCGGTTTTTGAAGTTTTTGCCGGGGCCAAGCACAGGTCTTCGACCTGTAAATAGGCGACCCGGAGCGAACGCTCCGGGGGGGGGGGGGGGGGGCACAGGTCGAATTAGTCAAAAGTTGATCTCTGAAACTGGTATTTACCAGCAATAATGGCTCGATCTCAGCGAAACATGTTCAAATCGCAAGTTAGTTTTGTATGCGAGCCCGACTTGGAGCCATTTCTGTGTTAATAAGGCTTCAGAAATCAATTGATGAACATTACAGTAGCAAGATCCGTTGTTGGCAAGAATGAATAGTTGCTAAATAAACCGTTTGCTGACAGTCGGCTAAGTCGAGTTCTTGAACTACGTCAAGAAGATTCTGAGGACGACCAGTGTCTCATTTTGGCCTGGAAACTTAACAAAGTGGCCATTAAATGCTCTGGGTCGGAGCAAAAACTTGGAATCCACTCACAAACTATTGAGCTAGGCTAGCTAGATATACACAGAAAGAGACAGAGTTAAAGCTACTGCAGAACCCTGCTGATATGAATTTTGATGCCACTATCGTATTGAGTGGGGAAAGTATCCAGAGAGTGCCTGGTGCGCAGCATGTGCGGCGCACCGAAGTCACTTGCAATGCGGATTAGACAAGTCTGGACGAGCTATTCCAGCACCCGCGAAGCCTTAGTAGTCAATCGTCAGAGTTTCGCGAAATGAGCGGCATTTGCTCATCCAACAGGTAGATAGATCGCTCTCTCTCTCTCTTTTTATTTTAATTTATGCAACTCATCGCTTCGTCTACATTCGAACCAGAGCTCGTTATGGGCCAGAATGTCACCTATAATAACATGCAGGTATCCAAATCTGCAGTGAAGACAATATTATCACCCTCCGTTCCATGTTTGGCGAGCATGTCTAATGTGAGACGATGTACTAAGCTATCAACATTTGAGGCGTACAGCTTACGTAGCTCGAGCTAGCAGACATGATAGCACGAGATATTGACAAGCCTTGCCCAGCTATAAAGTATGCTTCAGCGGATGCATAGCGTAGTTTATTTGTGAAATTCTTAGCAATCTTTCACAAAAGTAGTAATAACTCGTAATTTTTAGTCTTATCTTAGATTTTAGTGCTAAATTAACCCTTTCGCGAGTATCCTCAATAAATTATAGTATACAACTCATTGATACTTCCTTCTAAAAGGGCGCTCTAGGCGTCCTTTTACAAAGTTACGGAGCCTTTTCGGTGTGTATCATGGGACATGCCATCTACGGTGATTTGCAGAATGCATAGAGTGTATGCGTATGATTAGCATTTGTATAGACAATGATTACATGATGATTACTCTGCGTACTGATTATGATTTGTTTTAAAAGAAGGTTGATTACTAGCTTGAACTTGTGCAAAAGGGCACAGGATGCGCCCTTTAAGAGGGTGTACACTCTACCGTGTTTTGGAAAATCATCTAAAGGGCGCTTTCTGTATCCTTTTACCGCGAAAGGGTTAAGCAAACAACCCCTGAGCTACAGAGTAATACATGTAGTCATTCGTAGCTTTAAATGTAATTGTTTAGATTATAAAGTACTCTATTTCGGTTAGAAAGGTACCCGGTTTCGGTAAGTTACAAAATATTTCTGCCGGCCAAGCACAGGTCTTCGACCTGTGAATAGCTCTTTAATCGTTCGATATATTCTTATATTCTACCTCGAAGTACAGTTTTACTTAGAAAAAAAAAGATATTCAGATTCACGAGCTCTCAAGTCTGTTACTACAGTTACTACAGACTGAGAGCTCGTGAATCTGAATATCTTTTTTTTCTAAGTAACTACAGACTGAGAGCTCGTGAATCTGAATATCTTTTTTTTTCTAAGTAAAACACTAGCCTTAGTCAACGCCATAGCAAACGGGATCGTTTTCAGGCTGGGATGCGCTTCGTTGAGTTTTTTCTTTCGTACCGATGAACGCAGCGTAATCGTGGTAAAGTGGTCTTCTATTTGAGCTTAATTCACTGGCTGATCCGAATATCTTCCTCTTCCTGCAGCTCAGCCGCTGTTGACGGCTCTGTCGCTGGTTGGATCTGCATCGGTTCGACTTCCTCGCTCGGTGGCCCCTCGTCAGCGATTATCGAGTCGACTTCCTCAGATTGTCAACGATGTTCCAACATAACTCCTTTAAGCTCGGTGTGCAGTACGAGACCATTGAGCCACGAAATTCGGCTTCTACTGTCAAGTCTTGTCCATAGATTCGCTCTGGATGCTGGTTACACGGATGGTGGTGTGTGGATATACTATTAAAACACGGGTTCAGCGGCATTTCTGCTACCAAATGGCATGCACTTGTCATCAAATTGGTTTCTGCGTGCAAACCTTGAAACTGGTTTGCTGTACAGTACGAGGCAAAAAATGATATTCGGATTGGTAAAAAAGAACCCCACGGTTGATATTGTTCTTGGATTGAACCAAGCGAAAAGGCTTACAGCATAGGAGACCATACACGCACTATAATATAATGCATCGGGCGACTTCGAGAGGAATGTGTAATAACAATACACATTCCTGCCGAAGTCGCGCAATCATCGATTGTCCAATCTTAAAAGGGATACATCCAGTTTTGGCACCAAAATGTGGGGTCTTCTTCATCACAGCGTACAGCACGCAAGTAAACGCTGTCGCAGCGTTGCTGCCAGTGGGCATGGTGCAATGGGCACGACAGCCCACACCAAGAGCTCGTGCTCGAACTCCAAACATCTCACTTCAGGTTTTCCTCCACCCACCGACCCACTGTACTCAACTTACCAACGATGCGAATTTTCGATTTACTCCTTGTCAGCTTCGTGGCGAGTGCAGCTGCCGATTACACCTGCTCCGGGCCCGACGCTCGCACTCAGCCTCCTGTAGGGGCCTTTGTTGTCGACCATACTGGAGCGTACAGCGGCAGCTTCCGCAACATCTCGGAGGCTGTTGCGCACGTCCCCAACAATACCGACGAGCACACCATCTTCCTGTTCCCCGGTGTGTACCGCGAGCAAGTCCTGGTCTCCAAGTTGAACGGCCCTCTGGTGATGCAGGGCTACACGTGCAACACCAAGTCGTATGCTGCCAATGAGGTGACTATTACTCACTCGAAGGCCCAGCGTGACATCCCTCCCGAGATTACAAGCGGACGCAACGACCTGACCAGCACGTTGCGCCTCAAGACGAACAATATGAAAGTGTACAACCTCAATCTCGCCAACACGGCTGGGTATATCCAGAAGAACGGGCAAGCGGTCGCTACTATCGTCGAAGGCAACAACTACGGCTTCTACGCGTGCAACTTCACTTCTTACCAGGACACCGTTTACGCGAATATGGGACGCCAGCTCTTCGCTCATTCGTACATCAGCGGCGCTATTGATTTCGTCTTCGGTTTGAGGGGGGAGGCGTGGTTTGAGTCGTGTGACATCGATACTATCGGGCCTGGCAGCATCACGGCAAACGGTCGTGTCAATGAATCCAGCCCGTCCTACTTCGTGTTCAACAACGCGCGCGTGTTCAGCTCCAGTGGCAATGGATCGGCTTTCCTCGGCCGTCCATGGCGTCCGTACTCGCGGGTTGTCTGGCAGAATAGTGAGCTTGGCGATGTAGTCAACGCGGAAGGCTGGCAACTTTGGCACAACGATACGAACATCGCCAATGTTTATTACCGGGAGTTCAACAACAGAGGTCCCGGTGCGGCGAAAGACAAGCGAGTGTCCTTCAGTGCACAATTGGATGCTGCGGTGCCTGCTACGAAGATCTTGGGTGAGAACTACACGAGCGAGTGGTGGGTTGACAACGCGTTCTTGTAAGAGCAATGCGAGGTAAACGCATTGCTCCATGCATTTACTGATAGCGTGGTGGAAATCAATAGATGTTTTTGTGTTGCCAAACATATATTGAATGGGTGCTTCTATTTTATTGTGGCTTGCAGCGATTTTGGCAAATCAGGGCATCATTTATCCGATATATCGGGTCCGATTTGTTAAAGTGGTCCGATTTGATGGGATCCGATTTGTTAGCAGCTACTGTACCCGAATTGCCGCTTTAATGTTGCAATTCTGAGGGGCAGTGATTATCTCAGGTCAGCTGTGGCAAATCCACTACAATCGGGGGTGCATGCACGGCAGCGTGCCTTTTACGGAAGAGTAGTGCCATGGCAACATACACCGCGTCGATTCTTTCAGCTAAGAAAGCAGAACGAACAAGTAAACAACCCGCTCGCTGCGCTGTCACCTAAGCTATCTCTGCACCTACTAGTTAGAGTAGATGGACATTGAACAGTGTAGAGCATGCTATATTTGACTTCACTATGTATATCACCTGCTTTGAATGTTCGATCCCTATTTCAGACCCCTACAGCTCCAATTTATATAAATCAGGGTCCGATATAAAGTTGAAAATGAGAGGGCAAAATCCCTGCAAGCCGCAATGCTTAAAAAAAATCTGAATACTAGTGTTTAACGCAGTACTTTGTTGTAGTAATATTGTTTCACTCTTCACCAGATACTACTATTATGTTAAAGCACTACTATTTGGTGTAGATATTACTACTATGTACTACTGATATTAATGCTTGTAAAATATTAAAATCATATGGGAACTTGTCCGTGGCAATGATGGTCGCTGCAAACTCACAGTACCAGTTGCGGTCCACATCTGCGAGTAGTTATGATAAGTGTTATCTGAAAAGTTGAGCACGTTTGCTCCGGTGGTCGTCGCGCATCGTGCTATTGAGAAGGCGCTTGCCTGGGCAGGTCGTCAAAACCTTACAATGAAGCTCACAGAATCGCATGGTTTTCGTTTCAAGGCTCGTCTAGTTGATGGTCAACGTGCATAAGGCCATTCTCAACACTGCAACAATGCTGTGGTGTCGGCTGCTTTTCAGGACGTGTCAACCCTGTATCCGCGGCGACAGCTTCAACTTTTACGGACATCAGTGCCAAACGGAAGTGCGGGATGTTTGAACTGGATAAGGTTGCTGCTGTACAAGAAATGTTAAGTTGCAGATGCTAAATGGTAAGGCTTTAAAGAAACTCGTATCCTTGGGGAACAATTAACACTTGGTGCCGTGTGCCACGTGACAGCGCGAGATAATGAGAAGAACGAGCTTTCTGTGTTAATAATTTATATCACCAATACTTATCTTGACTTCTTTCTTATTTGGAGCTACAATTGTAATCCCGGATCTCTGGCCTTCATGTACTATTGGCGTCATCCCCGCTAATGCACACCAGAATTTGTACGCGCAAGCCCATCTCAAGATGTTCCGTACGGTTTGCCATATCCAACCAGCCCACACTGTCACCAACCATGCGCATTTTTGCCTTGCCACTTGTGGTCCTCACTACTCTCATAGCGACCGCTTCTGCCGGCTACACCTGCGCCGGACCTGACGCTCGTACTCAGCCCCCTGTTGGCTCCATTGTTGTCGACCCCACGGGAGCCTACAGCGGCAGCTTCCGCAATGTTTCAGAGGCTGTGGCAAATGTAGCAGGGCTACACGTGCAACACCAAGTCGTACGCTGACAATGAAGTCACCATCACCCAAGCGAAGGCGCAGAAGGACATTCTTCCCGAGATTAAGAACGGACGCAACAGCCTCACCAGCACGCTCCTGCTCAAGTCCAACAACGTGAGGACGTACAATCTCAACGTCGCTAACACGGCCGGCAAGTTCCTGCAGGATGGTCAGGCGGTGGCTGTGGACATCGAAGGCGACAACTACGGCTTCTACGCGTGTAATATCTCTGGATATCAAGACACGGTTTACGCTAATAAGGGCAGGGAGGTGTTTGCCCGCTCGTACATCAGCGGCGCCGTCGACTTCGTGTTCGGGTCTCTGGCTGCTGCGTGGTTCGAGTCGTGCGATTTTGAGACGCTGGGTGAGGCTGTATCGCTGCTAACGGCCGCGTCAATGGATCCAGCCCGTCGTACTTCGTCTTCAACAACACGCGCGTGTTCGGCTCGTACGGCAACAGCTCGTCCGACCTCGGCCGTCCGTGGCACCCGTACTCGCGTGTTGTCTGGCAGAACAGCGAGCTCGGTGACTCCATCAACACGGACGGTTGGCAAATTTGGGACAACTCAAACAGCACGGCTAACGTCAGCTTCCTCGAGTTCAACAACAGAGGTCCTGGTGCGGCTACGGACAAGCGCGTGTCCTTTGGTAAAGTGGCTAAGGCTGATGTGGACATTACGGAGCTCTTTGGAGAGAACTACAAGAACGAGTGGTGGGTTGACCACACGTTCCTGTAGGTGACTGTGCAGATACTTCTTTGGTTGTTTTTCCTGACAAACATGGATGTTTGATGCAGCAACAGCTGCAGCACTAGCAACTGTTCTCTTACTTCGTTGTCAATTCTCATGGGGTTCCCTAGCGGCACGCACGAAAAGTCAAGTGCACTTGAAACGTGAAGTGATAGGGTAGTAGTAGTAGTAGTGCGTTAGTAATAGTAGTAGTTGGGGCATAGCCCCCCCTTATAATGAAATGTGCATAAAGACTTTTTATTGTGCCTTTCAGAAACTTTGGCCAATCTGACCTCAAAAAGGTGGTCTTAAGAAGGAGAGGGTAGGGTTAAACCTAGGATTTGCTGCTGGCCCTGCATCGAATTACGGAAGTCCTACGTAGGAGCTCCGTCTTCATCTAAAGGGTACCTTTTTGGAAATAAGGACCGAATGGCCATGTTAAGCTGGCCATTCGGGCCTTCGTAGGACTAACGAGCCCTTCGTAGGACTAGATCAGGCCAGTGCGCCTGAAAGCATCTGTGGCAAATGCATAGTTTGGCCGCACTCGTACAGGCGGAGGCTCAGGCAGCACCGCAACCAGGTCACCGTGCCAGCGTGGAGCTACGTACGTGTACATGTGTTACAGGTATAACGGTACTGTGCACAATTTGTTGGCCTCCCTTCGCAAGCAAATCGCTCAGTTTACATTCAGTTATTGTTTATGCACGGTTTTACTGGCCTTGGTACTAACTTTTATGAGGTCTTACGTAGGAGCAAGAGTCCTACGTAGGACCTCAAATCGGAGGGCGTTTTGGCAGAAAGGCACAATACCCTTTTTACAGGTACTTTTTACTCCAATTTATGAACCCCTGTATTACAATTGAGAATAGGGTAGGGCAAATGAACTATCATAGCCTGCCGGGGGGCGATTTCGGTCGAACTTTGCCTCTTTTTAAGAACACACGAACTCATGTTGAACGGCGCTCAAACGCGACCCTTCAAATGTTACCTTGTTCGAAGGTATAACAAGTTATTAAACTGAGGTCAACTTTTTATCGAACCGGAGATCGCCCCGTTTGTATCAGCAAACAAACGATTGCGTTATTGTGGTTTTCAACTATTTTGCCGCCCGATTTGACGTGTTATCTCGGAGTCCGATTTATATAAAATGGAGCTCCTAGATGATCGGTTAGTCCAACTTAGCTATATCTGACCTGAGTTAGTAGCATAAGGCTCAGAGGGGAGGCATTCCAAGTTGGTCATACCTCCTCACCTCTCATGACGCATTAGAACTCCAAGGCATTGGGGACAATAGTACACTGTTATAGCCACTTCGTAGCACTATGGCCAGCTAAATCACCTGTGTGATCATCTACGGCCCCTACAACCTCGTGTCACGCCGATCTGAGAGGGCCCCAGACATGTTTTCGCGGCGGTCCCTTTTGCCGGCGAAAAGCGGCATTTCTGGCCCCTGCTTCGCAACTCGCAGCCCCCAGACGCAAGTCGGGCCAGATATAGTTTGCTTCCCTCAGTCCCTCCTGCTAAATCGGAGCCCTCCAGCAACTCGGGCCCGATATATCGGATCTTGGACCACCCGATTTGCCAAAACGGATGAAAGCCGCAATAATCGTTGAAGTTTAAGGTAAGAGTTGACGACCGACGATTTATGCACATGGACCGTGGAACCCTTTTCAAGGGGTGGCTGAACTCCGGTTAAATGTGGTACATGTAACGGAGGCAAATGACAGTGGAGCCCGCCGTAAAAAACATATGAGAGGTCAGGCAGCTTCGTAAAAAGTCTGCGCTAACGTACGAAACAATGTACTGAAGAGTCGTTTGGATTAAGTTATTCATAGATAACCTAATTCAAGGAATCGGTCAGTACACTGATAGATCCTTGGCAAAACTGGCATGGAGCAGTGAAGTCTAAATCCAAAAGCTATACTATGCTACCGCTAACTATTACGAACCACTCATGCGGAAGCAAGAAAGCAGCACTAGAATTAGTTGGCATATTAGTTGCTGCAATCGTTGACTGAAGAAATCTATAAATCGCTTGCTACACACAGTTCTGCAGCAGCGGGGGCAACCGATTACGAAGATTGGCATGATACAGAAAGCGGTGACTAGGCCAGACGTGCCATAAAGTGAAGACAATAGCCAGGATGTATGCTCTGTATCTGTGAAGAAAACGTGGAGAATTCTCTTTTTGCCCTGGCATTTGGTATATTACTGGGATAGGAAGCAACGTTAGTGCTGCTATCGCAGACCAAATAGGATTATATCCGTGGTACATCAAGTCAAACGATGACTCCTCTTGACATCTAACTGGTACATTTTCTTGAAACCGGTACGTCTCCGGTGCCGCACTGGGCCCTCCAAAAGCGTGGGCAGATCGCACCGGTGCACTACCGACAACACTGGCATGAATCAGTATATGTCTGGGTACGTATGAACGAAATGAAGTTAAGACTGAAGGTCAGCATTTTGATTTTTCTACAAGCTCTAAACAGATATCAACCAAGGTTCGCATTTTTAATATTGTAAAGCATTGCCGGTAGACAGTTAGAACTGGCAAATTTCCGGGCAGATGCTGCGGCTGCGAAGCAGGCGCAGGAGATGACCGTAGCTAATAAGAAAAATATAATAAAAAAAGTTTATACCAAAAATCTTTTATCCCAGCCTTCGCGGAGCCCTAGTATTCTGACAACCTTGATAAATAGACGAAGTAATGTCATTTGCGCAGGAAGTAAGACGTCGTTGCTCTCCAAAATCGCATGCTATTTCCTGAGCAAGTTAAAGTAACAATGTGCAATTCTGACACCAACTTTTGGTCTTGCATGTTCACACAAACGCTAAATGTATAGCTAACACTAGCGTTTGTTAAATGTTTGTTACTGTATAGTGAATGTGGCGAACATGTATGGGGAGTGAGACGTGTAGTCGTTCATCTTGAAGCTCTTTTAAATCACTTACAGTGAGTTCGTGTTATTGTGAAAAACACTTACGTGTTGGGGGGCGCACTGCTGGTCTCGCTGTTTCAATGAGCTTTAAATTAATGTAATGTAAGAGCAAATGTGCATACCGGTGGTTGTTGAATGTAATGTGACTGAATTTTTCGCCATGAGTTACAATTTTACTGATATATTGGCTTGCTGAATTCTCGAGCACGATTTAGCCTGGTGGATATTTAACGATGTCCACCCGGAAATTTGCTGCAATCGATTCAGCGGTCAACGGTGGCAACGCCAAAGCCACCTATAATGATTCGAAAAGTGTTTATTTAATACTGAAGCATGGAGACCAGGACTAAGCAACAGACTATACATTGATTTACGGTTGAAAGAGGTCGAAAGCTACGACGGCACTACCAGATGCGGCACGAGATCCCTTGCTGATACGTCAAGCCTCTTTCCTGTCTTCATTTATGGCGGCGACGGATGACTCGGACATGCAAGTTCTAGTTGATCAGCATGTGTGCAACGTCGGGAACACGCGCGCTGTCTACCAGTGCTCGCTGCGCTTGCTCGTGGCATCGGTCCCCGTGCTGCCTATACCGTTTCCATATTAAACTCCAAGCCCGGTCCTTTTAATAAAATCTGATGCAAACCCGGCATATTTTTGAAACCAATTTGGTAAAAGTATGAGTGTGTATAGGATACTTGGCGGTGCTGAGAAGCTAAGATACAACATTTTCCGAAGCAATGCCCCTCTAGCAACCGGGGCGGGATCCCGTCGGCATGTTGTTGGATCGAAAAAAAATCCGATGGATGTCGCTTGAGTGGCGGATAAACTATCTATCACAGGTATATATACTTGATTAATGGGTATGCAAAATAATAGGTAATTTGACTTAATCTCAATCGGATGGGTCAACATAGCAGCATAATTTGATTAGATCGCAGGCTATCCAGTATAACAGGTATTTTAGCTATAAACATCAGCAGCGCTCAAACCCATATTTAGCAGGTATTTGATGTGAGAATAATGGCACCTCAGTGGCCTTCACCCATGGACTCTGGATAAAATCCAGAGAACAAAACTCGAGTTGATGTACAAAAAGTCTACCTACGACTTAACTCGCTGTCCGAATTAGCTGGTCCTCCACGTCGTTGTTGAAGCGCGTAATGTTCTTTTCCCAGTTTTCGAGGCCAACCGTGTGAATACTAGGGAGGTTCTGAGTATCAAACCCCGAAATCACCCCACAAGCTTTGGCCTCTCGATGAGTCTGCATCACTGTCGTGGGCCCTAAAGCTGATAAATCACCACGTTTCAAGACCATGCGACTCGTCTCAACGAGTGTAATCGACCCTGCCTCGTAAATCGGCTCGATCAACGCCCGCGAAATGAACACAACCCGGTCTTTCTCCACGTATCTTCGAGTCACATGGCGTATAACGACACGGAAGTCCACTCCTAGCATCGAAAATGCAAAGCAGAAACTCGTCATGTGGGTGTTGCTCCCCGCCGTAAAATTCTGCAAGCAACCACAAACCATTGTTAGTGCTAAAATCATATCCAAATACACGATGCAGATACTGTAGAAACTCACCTGTAAGTAGTACAAGTTGCTGCTGGGCTGGTCCTTCTCCGGGGTCCAGATCACCTTGGCCGTCTTTCGAAAGTCGAACGGCAGCGCGTAGCTATCCAGGAACTCCATAAACTTCCCCTTAGCAATGTCATCCCCCGAGTTGTTTCTCCGTCCAGGACAGGGCAGAGCCACCATCCCCGCCTCCTCAAAGAAAGCGTCCACGCCCTCATAAACCTCATCTAGCCCCGCCATCAGCTGGTCAAACACCGTCTTGCTGTTCGAAGGAGGGGTTACCCCTCTCGTATCCAGGCGATGCTGCTTGATCAGATCCATCGACGACGACACGAGGTCCTCCCTCAGCTTCCTCTTAATGGCGCGCTGCAGACTCTTCGCCTGTTGCAGCTGCAGCCTCAACGCTTCACGTAGCTTGCCGTTCTCCTCTTCACTTTGCTGTCGCAGCATCGACTGGCGTCCAGCCACTCGCTGCCACATGACCGACGCCTCCGTCTTGCGTGCGTGGACTGGGGTCTTATGTGCTGCTGTCTCAAGTGCACTGGGGAGCGTCGAGTGCACCCCCGCGGCCAGTTTGAGGCGCTCGAGCTCGGCCGAAAGTTGCTTCACGACCTCCCTGAGCATCAGGACTTCCTCCTTGCGGCGCTGACGCCACGACTTCTTCACAATGGGCTTCTCCGGGGAGCTGGCGGAGCTGCTGCTGGTGTCGGACCAAGTGGCGGTTAATGTGTCACATTGTGTGGGGGTTGACGTGTTACTGGAGGCTGTGGAGACTGGCGCGGCCTCGTCGCCCATCTCGCAGTCGGCGAGGAACGCCAGCACCGACGACTCGTCCATGAGGAAGTCGTCCTCCTCGCTCGGGAGCATGGCGGACATGCTGTCGGGGGGTCCTGGTGGTGCTGCGTGCAACTTAAGTTGTCTTGCCAGTCGCAAGGGCGGTGACTGAACTTTTTTGTGATGGCAGTACTGGCACCATGGGATAACCTTATATTCTATAACCTGCTATAGCCGTGATTAAACTAATCGATTTATATCAGTAAATTTAATATAGGACCACATACCCTGTCGTATCGAATATGCTACATCGAAGACGTATACTACGGTACACCTCACATGGGCAATCATTTTGAACGAAAACTTGAGTAATCACCGTAGCACAAGAATCCACAGTCACGATGAGCTATTAATATAATAATAGCTCAGCGACAGGTACAGTCACGATGGGCTATTAATATAATAATAGCTCATCGTGACTGTACCTGGTCGCTGGACTCTTCAAAGCAGTCATCCGCGTATAATAGCCTATTATGCGCGGATGACTGCTTGGACTACCACGACCCGTTCACACGAGGCAGAATGGACTCGCGCACCAGCATGTCCTCGACTCTTTGGTTGAAGTCAGCGATGGAGTTCCCCCACGCGCGCACTCCGCTGTCGTAGTACGGGGTCTTCTTCCAGCTCGCGAATCCACACTGGGCTTGTCCTCGACTCAGTGTTTCGTGGTCCATAGCTCGGCAGTGAGTCTGCACCACTGTCGTGGGCCCTGTGGCGGAAGGTTTGCCGCGCTTCAGCACCAGCCGCGTCGTCTCCCTGAAGGCAACGGCGAAAAGCTCCTGGATCGGCTCCACCAGCATCCGCGAGATGAAAACGATGCGGTCCTGCTCCACGTATTTTCGAACTACGGCGCGTGCGACGACTTGCATCGGCTTTCCCTCGCGTACACTTGTGGCACAGACGCTCTTCATGCGGGTGTTCTCATCTGCAGCAAAATAACACTGTCAGCATGTAGAACCCACCGACAATTGGAGCAACTTCAGTACCTCAGCAGAAACAGCGTCGGAGCCCCCTATTGGGGTCGTTTTGAGCGCCCAGATCGCCCGCTCCGTTTGTCGGAGGTCGAATGGAACTGCGTAGCAATCCAATAGCTCCAGGAAGACGCATCTGCCCCGGTACTTTGCCGAGTTGTTTCGTCGTCCTGGGCACGGGACTTCGTGCATCTTGGCTTGCGCCAGGAAATTGTCGAGCCCCGCGTAGATCTCTCTCGTCCGTTCCCGCGATGAGGTCGCTAAAAACCTGAATGTTTCGCAGCGATAGGATAGTATCCGCCGTGCTCAGTCGAGGCTTGAAAGTGGTGAGCATGTTGGTTGCTCGAAGCCGCCTCTTGAACCCTCGCTCGATGGCCTTAATCTCCAGATCGTTGTGGCGCACTATCGCGTGTTTTCCTCGGTGCTACTTTGCAGCCGTTCTAGCTGCCACCTCGCTAGACTTTCCATCAGTGACGGTGTTCCTCCCGCTGTTTGGAAGCACGACCTCACGCCGCTTTTCGCTCTCTCCTGCCGAAGTGTCTCCGATAGCTCCTCCACTACTCCACGCAGGTGTACAATCTCCTCCCGACGGCCTTCTTTTCCTCTTTCGACTGCTCTCCTGTGCCAGTTCCAGCGGAAGGACCTGGTAGTGCGTCGTATTTCTCGAGCATAGTTGACAGCCCTGGGTCCAGCTCCAAGCGATTTCGTACTCGCTGTCATCCCCGGCGCTCGGAGAAAGAAGATTCATCTCGCCGGCCTGGATAAACGTAGAATGAGGCCACGACAGTCTCGAACGACTTTGGCGTAAGCTTTTCACGTGGAGAAGGTGCCTGATCATCACGGCTGCGCAGTTCTGCGATCGTGCGGGGCTCACTGGACTCTTCTCGCTGTTGAGCGACCTTGGCAGCAGTAACGAATGAGCCGAATTTATCCACGCAACACTTGACCCCTGCATCGTTGACAGCGCTCGGCCACTGTCCTTGCGGCTTCTAAGCCATTGAGACAAACGCCAAGTGGTCTCTGCCATGGTGCCTGCCGGCATGTGAAGAAGCCCCTGCTCAACATGAACAGCCAGCACGAGAATGTAGCCATCTGGCGCGCTCTCTCACTGGATGGTAGAAATGGGAGAGATGCTGCTCGTGTTCCTGGCGACAATACTCGCCCAACGCCAAGTGGCTGGTGCCGTGTGGAAGGTGCAGCCCAGTTTCCCTCTGCCAGGCACGCAGCAGCACTACTGTAGCACCCTCTCCTTCTACAGTACTTCAGTTTTACTTTTGAGCGCTTCAGTTACAAGGCCCAAAGCGATGGTTCGGTCCCCACCCCGACGCTATGAGGATGAATCGGAGACGTCGGCGTGCTACTACCCGCCCAACGACATGGGCCCGTTCCTGTCGACGTCCTACAGCCGAAGCGTGGCCCCACAGAAGAAAGAGCGCTCGAAGCTGCTCATGAAGGCGATCCCAGTCGTCTGTGGTGCGTTATATCGACCTCAACGACGGTCTCCAATATCTACTTACCTCGTATATAGGTGTCGTCGTACTCGTAATTGTCATCGTCATAGTAGCCGTGACTGTGCACAAATCCAGCAGCTCCGACGACGAGTCCAGCGCTGGGAACGCTGGGAATTCCAGTTCCTCTTCGGGTTCTTCATCGTCCTCAACACTGTCGGAGTCTTGCCCCGTCGTCGCTGCTAAAGACCGCACCGTTGCCTTCTGGCAGAGTGAAGTGGCTGGGTGCGACACTGTCCCGGACGGAGTCACGCACGTCGTCTTCGGGTTCGCCCTTGTGGCTGACGGCGTCGTCGTGCCTTCGTTCCAGTCCACGGACGCCAACATTTCGCAGTGTGTGCAGCAGCTCCACGATCGGTGCATTCTGGCCATGGCGAGTATTGGTGGGTCAACCAACAACCAAAACATATCGGATGTTGCAAATGCTACGCTGTTCGCACAGTCTGCAGCGGCTTTAGTGTCCAAGTTCGGGTTTGCCGGGATCGATCTGGACGATGAGACTGTCGGGGCGGAGTTTAGTGCGGATCGGACTGTTGGAATGCTCAGAGCTACGCGAGAAGCTCTGGATGCGGCTGGTGACACGTCGACGCTGTTGACTTATGACGCCTATTTCTATGAAGGAGACGCGTCCGTTTGCTCAGCGGAGGCGACTGCGGCGTACTCGCGTTGCTTCCCCACTGGAGTATTGGAATACGTCGACTGGGTGAACATTATGGCGTACAACGTCAACTTGGATAATGAAACGGCCGCTTCGATTTACGCCTCTGCGGTGAGCACGACGTTTGCTGCGTGGGGGACGCAACTGGGTGGGAACTTCTCGCTGGCAACGATTGGCCTCTGTGTGGGTGGAGGCTGCGCGTATGGACCTGGACCGAACGCGACGGTTATTGCTGAGTGGGAGACGTTTGCGCGTCAAGAAGGGTATGGCGGCATGATGATTTACTCGGCATCAGCAGAGGTGAGCGATGATTTTCCAGTAACGCGGAGTATCGTCAGTACGACTCTCAGCTCAAGTTAGTGCAGATGCATTGGCAGGCATCAACAAACTAGGCACTTGGTACATAAACAATCCAAAGTACCTAAATGGAGTTTTCAAAATGTCCTTGTTTAATTTAATTCTGATTGGACAAAATACTACAATTTTGTGTGTCCTGGTCCTGTAAAATCCGTTCAAGAATCGTTAGGCACAATATCCTAGTTTGTTGATGCCTGAGCATTGGGGATGTATACTAGAAAAATATATACACGAAATATATATTTTTTGAAAGACCAAGCGTTAAACTGAAAGAGCTAACTACCGCAATTCGCATGTAGAGAGCTGCACCCTATGTTCACCTTGATCTGTATTCGTACTTAAAAGTATCTTATACAAAATTCAACATGTTGTATAAGTCACAACTGTAATATTGTGGTTATATCTTATTTCTGGTATAACTAGAGAGCGAACGAGTTTAATCTCGAGTAAAATTGGCGATACTAAGAGTAACACACCAAAAAGAGGCACTACGAGTAATCCCAAACAACTAAAGCTATTCAGAAATTGGTTACGAATGAAGTATTGCTAACAACGAAGAACTGTGAATAAAATGTAACGAAACGTGTATTGTTGTCTACGAAAATGGATCGTAGGACTCGATATGCAAAATGAAAAAAATGCTAGCTACAACCTAGCACGTTCGAGTTGTTCTCGCCAGCCATTGATCGCCTTAATAGGCCACGGCTCCAGCAACATCTGCACCATGGGTGTAGGTATGTTAAGACACTCGGCTAACTCTTGGCACTCCAGCTTGACTTGCGCACCGTTGGAAAACTTCGTCATCCAGAAGAAGACGCCGTTGGTCTCTCCCCACGAGATCCCCTTTCCCAACAGAAACTGCTCCACCTCACTACCGGAGTCATCGGGAATTTTGAATTCCTTCATGAGGTTCCAATGTAGGGGTCTGGCAGGGTACTTCAAGAACTCTCGAATCAGCACGTCGACGGAGAATCGGTGAGTGTTGTCTCCGCCTTCTGTGAGCGGACCCACGCGCTTGCGCTGCCCACCACTTAGCTTTCTCGTTGGTAACGCCTTTAGCATCCCTTGAATGCTGATCTCCTTCTGCAATGTCATGGCAGCGACGACATGGGAGCATTGCCACCCTGTTTGATAAAAGAGGGCGCAGTCGCACACATACTTCTTCCGAATCGCCTGAATCTAAAACCGCAGTGACAGTGTCAGATCCAAATCGCCTAAGTGTGCTACTACCACATATCAAACTGAACGTACTGTTTGGGAGGGGATTGATGGTGCAGCCGTTATCATTCCACGATCGAGCAGTGGATCTCAGCTCAGTAATCGAACTTGGTGAATGGACAAGCAGTGCCATTCCACCAGGTTTACAGCCATCCCTGGCGGTAGTTTGCCGTTGATGGAGTTCCTGTAGCTGCCAAAATGAAACAAATACATAGTGAGCTTAACAACTTTGACTCGCACAGCTGTAATACTCACATTGTGGCACGGTCGCGGTTCAAAACAGCACTGTGAATGTTCTTGGGCGATACCACGAACTTGGAAGCGTTAAACAAGAACGCCTTCACAAACTTCGCCCGTGTGTCCTTGATCATGTAGTGATTAGACTTCTCTTGGACAAGCGTTTGCGCGCGCGCTACTACACCACTCATGAACGGACCTAGAATGCACGAGATACACGAATAATAAAATCAATCGGTACACACCATTAGCAAATGATAAACAAACGTCATCTTACCTTCCGAGAAGTGGTTTAGAGCTGGGCGAGCCGGCTCGCTTTCTTGGAGACCAAGAATACGAGGAATTGAGTCGTTCAAGACGACCGATGTGCTTGCCCGAAGCGTCCCGACACACACCTTCTACACCTTTGCCAATCCAAGTTGGCAGTAGTGTAAGGCAAAGCCGAGAGTCCCGTAAATACGAAAAATATTTTTTTCAAAAATTTATTTTCGAGGATTAGTACAGACCAATGTGGATTTAGTCCACAGCAAACATCTAAGTTCCATACTCCATGGGCTCGCTACGAATAGCAGCGGCGACAGACCTTGCGTCCGCTTACAGTACAGGTTGTGGACGATGTTGCGGGCAGTACAGTACAGTACTGCCCGCACAGTACAGTACAGTACTGCCCGCAACATCGTCCAGCGCCAAGCCGCTGATGTCAAGAAGAGAGGCGGCGCGCGGGCGGCGTGCACGAAGTGTACTCCAGAAATGGAGGAAGCTCTCGTGGGCTACCTGGAAGACAACTGCCAGTACACACTCGTGCAGATGCAGGAAATGCTTGCGTTCGACTTCAGGGTGCACATCAGCACTTCGTTGATCAGTAAGAAGCTTTGCGATAAGCTTTACACTGTTAAGCAGGTACGCCTTCAAGTTATTATGCTATCACTTTTACCATCTACTGTACTAAGTATGTTCCCTGTGATAGGTTCGCGTAGAGCCCGAGACCTGCAATAATGCTGTAAATATCGAGAAGAGGAGGGTGTTTGGTGAAGCGTTGCTGAAGCATGAGCGGAACGGTGCTTTTATCGTGTATTATGACGAGACCAACTACAACCTGTACTGTAAGCGGACGCAAGGTCTGTCGCCGCTGCTATTCGTGAGCCCATGGAGTATGGAACTTAGATGTTTGCTGTGGACTAAATCCACATTGGTCTGTACTAATCCTCGAAAATAAATTTTTGAAAACAATATTTTTCGTATTTACGGGACTCTCGGCTTTGCCTTACACTTCTGCCAACTTGGATTGGCAAAGGTGTAGATCACGCGGTGATGAGCCTCAAGGGCATTCTGGGACGGTGTAATGCCTACGGCGGCGGCGACGTAGAACCAGTTCCCCCACGTGTCACCCAAGTAAATGTCCTCGAACCACTTGGCGTAGTCTCGCTCGTTTTGTTGGATCCAAAACTCGAGAAAGAGTTTACTGAGCGCCTTGAACTGCTTGGCCGAGCGAGCTTTACTGAGATAGCGAATGTCCGGTAGCACGTTGTCTTCGTAGAACGCAGGGTCCTTGAGTAGCTTGATCTTCTCTCGACTTTTCCGCACGAGGTGCGGGTAGCAATTAAAGAGAATTACATCAGGCCAAACCTCCTTACAAGCGTTCGCAATGCCTTGGGTCCTATCGAGGCTGCCATAGGCAAGGGCTAAATCGACTCCGAAAAACAGTCGGGTAAAGTGCTTGGCAGTCCGAAAAAGCGTTGCGTACGCCGTCTGATGCTCTGTCTTGACAAACATATACATCCAAGGGACAAATGTTTTGGAGTACTGTTTTCGCGAATAGTGCGTCGTGTAGGTCCCAAAGTCTACGAGGGTCCATCCACCTACAAAAACAGAGAAAACGGTCAGCTAATGCACCTTGCCACGACTAGTAACACACCTCGAAGCTTACCGAAATGCAGTTTATATGTTCCATCCGTAGCACCCAAGACGCCAATATCCCGCCGGCATTCGTAGGCCTTGGGAATGTTCAGGAGCATGTGACGCGAAGTCAATATGAGCCCGAAAGACTTTGCTACCTTGCCATCCTGGTCAATGAAGTCGTGTTCAAAGCACTCAAGAACGATCACACCGTGCTGAAACTGGCGGGACTTGTTGGCAAACTGCGTTGCGGCGTCCGCAGCGCTGATGTCGTCTTCGTGACCAAAGAAGTCACTCTTCGATGTACACAAATGTGTGTACGCCCACTCTAGTAGAGTCGCAAAGTTGTGAATCTCCCACCCACCTGTGGCAGAACCAAATGCAAGACAACCACAATTGTTCAGAATTATTACTATCAACCCAAAATAAAGTACAGAGCTGCCAAAAACATCATACCTGACTGTTTCTTCCGGAGTCCAGCTTTTCGGTTCTTGAGCTGACTTTCCGTGGGTAAATGCTGAAGCATGACTGGGTTGTCTCCGTGATGATCTAGCAGCAGCTACCGGCACTTCTTTGGTCCAGCGCCGCCGAACAGAATGCTGCCGATCTCTCGCTTCAGCGCACCGTGAATTCCACGGCGCTGAGTGTCTTGATCTTCGTCTCCATGCATGTCTGTCTCCTCCAAAACCAACTGAGCTCCGCTTTCGTCCTGGGCTTCGCCTTCCACCTTAGACAGCCGCAGCCGTTTGGGGCAATTAACATGGGACATGCAGCAGTAGATACGAGTACCGTTGCCAGCATTGCCGTAGTTGTGTTTGTACTTGTAGTGGAATCCGTCTAAGACGTCGATGCCAATCTGCGCCTCTTCAAGGGTTGGGAACACCTCGCACTCTAGATCTCACCTGTTTTGACTTTACGCGTATCCCCGCCGTGATTTACTCCAGGATAAGCCGCAACCACTAGAGAGTTGGGCTGGTAGCGCTTTTTGTAATGCCGAACTTCCGGAAGTTTTCGCGCAGAACAATTATAATGAAATACTTCCGTACAGAAACTGGGGCGATATTAGTTTTACGGACCGCACCTATTTGAAGCCTCGAGAAGACCTACGTGGAGGCCGGGATAGCTTGGGGTGCGAATCGCTCCACTGTACAGCTCCGACCAGCAACTTGTTGCGTACAATTTAACTATTAGTGACGCACAAAGTAGATAAGCAACAATGAAAACGCAGGCCCAGGATGAATTATCGTCCTAGAGGCTAGTTGAAACACAAAACGCGAAATTTTGACAGGCCAAAAGCGCATAGTATAGAGTAAATAAACACAGCCATGCTTCATGAATTATAGTACCATGGTACCATAATATGTTGCTTTTTGGAGAGGTTACACATCAGTTTAAGAACGGAATCAAAATATAAAATATATTCCGGAAAAGTGCTGAGAAGAATTCCGAAAGATCCTGACTTGACGTTGCGCGACTTTAGATGTCTCGGATCGTCGGCGAGTATTCTCGCTCGGTTGCTGCGGTGGCCCCCACCCTCCGCGGGCTCAAACTCGCTGCCGTGGCACTGAGCGCGCTACTGTCAAGAACACGTATCTACCAAGCTACCAATCTACCATGCAACCTATCAACGCGGCGTGCTCGGTCGCTGCGGTAGCCCCCACCCTCAGCGGGCTCATACTCGCTGCCGTGGTACCGAGCGCGCTGCTACGAAGAACTCATCAAGTCCATTATATGCCAAACATTTTTTTGTTCGTGTAGTTTCTCAGTGCCCAGATCGATCTTCACGCTGTCCACTGGGACTGCAGCATCATCTGATACTGCAGCGGAGGCTGATGCAGATACCGCGGCGACGTCTGATTCCTTGGCGGCCACAGCGAGCGGCGTGGAGGTCACGGGGGACGACGATGACGGCGTCGACGAGTTTCAGCGCGCGGGTACAGGCGCTCAACGCGCACCAACTGATCATGGAACTACGTGTAAAGGAAGTATGCTCCATTCGGCTCAAGCGCTGAAGGCTGTGTGAACTACTGGGACCGAGGACGACCACGAGAGACTCTACTAGGCCGGAGCTGAAGATTGAATAGGCGGGGCACCGCGATCCCAGAGCTATACTCAACTGATTAGAGGTTTTAACTAATCAAGACATTTTCAATTCAAAACAGCTACTATTTTTCGTTAGACGTTGAAGTTGGTCCCATCCATACTGTAAACGATCACTTTACTCCCCGATTGTTTTCTCAAGTAAGGTATCCAATACACCCTAACACAATAGACCAGATAATATCCAAAACGTTAACGTAAGATATCATTTAAGCCTCCACCTGCTATATTTCGTAATAAACCTGTGTAAATAAGTAGATTTGGGCTTTCAATGCAAACTTTTAGATTTAAAAGACCCTTACACTTGAAATTTGTATTGGTCCAGTACCTACTTTTTCTGTGGGCCACACATTTGAAGCCTCAAATTAATCCCTATTGGGCTTCTCGTACTACAGAGTAGCACTACCAGGATAATTGGTCTGATTGGATAACAATATGTAGATCGCTTCATATGATTGGTTGATGTAGATGCATCTCATAAGGGGCAACATGCGAATTGCGGCAAGGCCCGATACACCCCGAGACCAGAGATATCATTGACGATTCCACTCCGGTCGTCAGCAGTGCTGGCTCAGCACCGTTACAACGATAGTTATGCTGGTAGATTAGTTGGGAATCCTCTCGTGACTTCACGCAGCTACACCGTTCACGTTATTGAGTCGTAGTTCGTCAATAGTCGTGCTTCCGTACTTTTTCGTAACCAAATTTACTCCAGGACATTGAAACATCACAAAGACGGCGGTTTTTGGACAGATCTCGTTGGGCCGAAGCCAATTATGGTCTTAGATTTCTGAAATACTGAATATTGACGTCACTAGAACATTTTGAAATTTCAACTTTCCCCCTCAAAAATCGTACACCACACTTAGTCAGGGTCCGACTAAATAGCGTGAACGGTGTATTGAAAATAAACCCCCAGTTTCAGAAAGCAAGCCACACACAGCGAGTACCCAGAAAGAAAGAAAAAACTCTTGGGAAGCAAAGAAGTCCCGCAAGCAAAGGACTCTTAGGTTGCTTTTCTAGGCAAGCTGAAATAAGGCGGATAAGAGTTAAAACAAGCTTCATGTAGCCGATTGAAGACAGCGCGTTGATTAGAGTCATTATGCCTGGCCAAAAGTCGTGAGAAATGAACACTGTACTCCGAAAACATGTTAGTGATACCGGTGGCATTCACAATACACTAAGTCACTGTAAGAGCTGTTTGCAAACGCGTTGTATGCTTGCGCTCTATCAGTAGCACTTGAAATCCTCAAACGAATTGGAATCGGTTATCTAATCCATACGCACCACCGCGTGGCCAGAGTGATCTGGCAAAAGGATATCAGTGTTATCGAGAATAAGATCTTCTCATTTCACTCAGCTTTCGGCAACTAATAAAAAGCCTCAAGATGAACTCCGCAACCATATTTAATAGCCAGGTTTACACTTACAGACAATTTGTTGTCGCAAGTATCAGCTACTATGCAGTTAGTGTTTGTGCGAACACTACATGTACAGGACCTGATCGGGTTGTGCTTTCTTGTCAGAAAGAAACACTATAGAGCTAGTGATGCCTTGGAGACTGCTTGTTCTTTTTCGTACGGAATACCTCCTAGCCGCACTTTGAAAATTCACGCTCTAGTTCCCGCAGCCCCTTCATGCGACGCTCACAAGTTGCTTTGGTCATCACGGCTTTCTTTTTGGGTGCTAGCGCACTCACGACTCCAACCAAGTAGGGGTGATCTCTTCTCTCAATGACTCCTAACAGATCCCTAATCCAGGTTGGTAATGGGGAAGCTGAGACCGAAACATGGGGCCGCTCTCGGAAGACCAAGGGAAAGTTGATTGCAGAAAGCTGAAGGCTGATCCTTTGAACCAGCAAAATCTCGAGAGGTATAGCGAATGTCTACAAAAGATGAACATAATCCTTTTTGAGTAGCAGGGCTGCCATTTGTTTAATGATGACGATGGCCACGGAGTATCGGCGCCATATTGTAAGTTAATGCGTTAGCTTCTGTACTCAGTGTTGGCGTGATGGCACCGCGTGATGGAGTTTCAGGGGAAAAAATCGGGTCGAGTGAGGGAGTACTCTTGCGCTAGCGAATGACACACCCAATGGTTGACCACATTCATTCACCGGGTCTGTATGGTAAAAGCCTAAAACTAAAACAAATACTTCTATCGGGTTTCGACAGCAGTATATCTACACTTGACGAAGAGCTGTTTCACGCCGCTATCGTAAAAGGTAAATAGGATTTGGCTGGTCCGATTCTCAGCGATCAAAAACGCGAGTGCCCGAAATTGTTGTCCATAGCTTTGTGTGTTCGTCAAGTCAGATGTCTGCCTTTGCACAGGAGAAAATAGTTGGCGATATCCCTGTCGTAGCGAGTAAAGATCAGCGGCTTTACTGTAAAAATAAGGAACGGAATTCTTGAAATGCAAAAGAACTAGGTCCCGCTGGTTAAGGACTCACATGCGAACTCGCCCCGGCTGAACATTGCGTTATTGAAGAGCCATTATTGTAAGCCTATGCGAATAGCAGAAATTGTATCGTGGGCAAACCGCGCTAATGCTCCTCGTTTTTGTGGATTTCGGTCGGATCGAACTTTCGAGTAAAGACACGAGGATAGCTAATCCAAAAGTGAGAAATTGAACTCGTGCTACTACATGTAATAGTAGTAGTACTTCGAGAGTAAAGAGCGCTGCTCTCCACAAAATTATGCTTAGCAAGACACCACAATATTTTTCTCGAGACACGTTCAGTTATTCGTTTAGCCCTACGAAAATCCATACGTGCTATCTCTATTCTAAACGATACGGTTCCACATGCTGTTTGTTCAGGACTTGGCAGGCACTTCGCAGCGATAACCTTGCTGGCTGGTCTTGAGAGAAGTTACGGGTTCTTGTAAACGGGGGCACCCTTGCTCCTTTGCTTCTCAAGAACATTGTTCATCAGTCTTTGGTACTCCGGGTACTTTTCGTGTCTTAGCAGGTGGTTAAAGTCAGCCTTGACCTTCCTCCGATCGATGCCCACCTCCTTGACAAGCGCCTTCATTTGCTCCCTCGAGAGCGGACCCCTCTCTTCGGTCTCAGCTTCATCGTCGGCAACCTTGTAATCGGGGTGGGTCCTCAGAAGTCGCTGGGAGCCGAGTGAAGTCGTCTTCTCCACCTGGTTGAAAATCGTGGCCGTCGAAAGAGCCTCACTGGTAGCCAGGAGGGAAGCGACGACCACTAGCAGAATTTGAGAGAGATGCATGGTAATTTTGGGAGACTTGAGTGCTGGAGCGTGAATTTCAAAGTGAGAGGCCGCACCACCCACGACCAGTTCCAGGACGCCCAAGCGAGCGGAGCCAGCATTACCCATACTACCCAGTGCAGTGCTGGGCCGCTGGGCACGTGCCCCAGTACTGCATTATGTGTGCTGCAACACGGGAACTAGCTCCAATAATTGGAAGGCGATATATTCACTTGCGATTCGCTTCGGAAGCGTGCGTGATACGTTTTACAAGGTATTTTATAGCGTAATACAGGTAATGTTCTGTGCATTGTTCTGTAGTATGAATTGAAGGACAGGACGTACCTAATCAATGTTCTGTCCGTCTAGCCACTATCAGAAAACTACGGTAACATCCATTTATAAAAATTACTGATGCACACGCACACATCTCGATTCCATTCACCACCGCAGCGCTTCCGGGAGATACTTCTCCACGAGCCCAAGGTAGTACGGAAGCTCGCCCTCAACGCTGATCTTCTGCACGGCATCGTCTGACACACACGCCGCTCTGCCGAGCGAGCTGATCCACTCCTTGGTGTCCATGTCCTGAGGCGCACACAGATCATCGTAGTTGTCCTGCTCGTACCAGGTCTTGAAGGACCAGAAGCGCACGACGTCCAGCGCTTCTGCAGGCAGCGCCGTCTTGTTACGAGACAGCACGCGGTGCAGATACTCGTCCGGGGTCCAGGGCAGCACCACGTTCTCCAGTCCGCAGTGGCCCGCCGCACCACCACCACCTTTCTCAGCATTGGAGTGGTCCAAATTCAGCTCGTTCAGCTCGGGGAACTCGATCGAGCTGGGAATAGGTTCGCCAACGACCCACGTCGAGTTCTTGGTCATCCACTCCTGCGCCGAAATACTGCGCAACACGGCGTTGTCGTCGTCCGTCCAGCACAAGAAGAGCATGCCCAACGCTCGCAGGAACACTGCGAGTTGCAGCCAGTCCGGGTGTCCGTCGTCCTTCACAGCAGCGGCAGTGGCCAGCATGTACTTGATCACCCAGCTATTCTGCCTCTCCGCATCTCCCGTCAGCTCCATCACGCACTTGCACGCTTCGGGCACCGACATCCGAGCATGACCCAAATCCCCATACTTCGTCACTTGGGTCTTTACGAACGCAGCGGTCTGGTACTTCCTCATGATTTTCACGAAAAGAGGGTGCGGGTCCGCCTTGTTGCAGACCAACGACATGATCTCCCCTCCATCCCATGGCACGGGGTGGTCCGAGACTTGCACCTGTTTCTCCAATGGATCAATGCACAGATAACTCCCGTGGAAACTGCGAAGTGCAACACCTCCAGCAACTTGTGCTGCACTTTCGGCATGGTGCGGCACAACTTGGAACGTCTCCCACGTGGAATTTAAGGGTCGGTCGGCCAGAATGGTCCCGTCCTCCTCCACGCACAGAAATTTGCCATGCACACTGCGCAGGAAAACCTCCCCTGTTGCACCTAAAAGGGTCTGCCACATGCACCCATTGTTTCCCTTTGAGCTCACTTCAATGTTGCCGTCCTCCCCCGCTACAAGGCACGTGCCGTCCGGGGTCTGCAACGCCATCATGCAGAACCAAGTGCTTTCTTTCGGTCGCACGGGGAAAAAAGTGTTTTTCTGGAACTCCGACACCATCGGCACTTTACGTAGACACTCGTTGCCGTTGTAGAGGAAGAGCACTTTAGCGTCGGCAATTTCGGCAAAACCCCAACCGCGATAGAGACCCACCAATCGGTCGTGGCGTTTCGCGTCCTCCTCAGCCTCCAAATAGAGCGCCCTAACCTGCTTCTCCTCCAGCGTGGCGAGGGTCGCTAGATACAGCACGCGCGCCAGCCCCAGGCCACGGAACTCCTTGTTCACCACCACAGACTTGACGTGGGCTGTGTTGTTCTTCTCCAACGTGAAGATGAGCTTCCCCACGGCGCCGCGCTGAGTGGCTGCAATAGAGTTTTCAAGTTAGCGTTAGAGATGGGTACACCCTATTTGCATTTTATTTTAGGGATGGTGTCGGCACGGCACGTACAGGCGAAGAGCACCCAGCGCAGCTCCTTGGAGCGCCGGTCGCCGGTGAACTGCAGCCGGAAGCGCGCGGCGGGCGCGGGCAGTGCCTCCGTCACGGGCGCGCAGGCCCCCAGCGGCGGGGACAGCGATAGCGACACACTCTCCATCCTTTCCTTTGGTCGGCAAAATAGCGAATGAAAAGTGGAAATGGAATGCTGTGCCTAACCGCAACGAAAAAGTTCAACCACTTCCCAAAACCATACGACGCTTGGGCGGATGGGAAGATGAAAACTTCAACACCAACGGTTCGTGCAAGGCAACAACAGCAAGGGTGATAGCGTTGGATATGACAGGGGTTTAATTAAGTTAAGGTTTCGATGTGGAAGGTCTGCGCTGCAACTTCCACATGGCGTTAAAGTCACTTTTGCTGTCATTGTCTTGCCTTGGGGTGCATGCGTTCGTGCTGGATCTGCGCGGACTTGGGCTCACTGATAGAGTAGATGCCGTCGACGGAGGTCGTGGGGCCAATACACTCGTTGCAAGTGGTTTTGCCGTGTTTGGCGGACTGAAAAATGCAACAGATGCGCTGCCTGACGACGTCACAATTGCACTTTTAGGTTGGAAAGACCCTCCCAGTTGGCTTAACCGAGTCGGGGAGGAGGAAAAAGTTGCCGGCGTGAACTGCGCATTCTCCTGGCGTGTTGCAAAACGTGGCGAGGATACTTTCGGTGGACTGGTGCCATACATTGGGGGCCCGCGACTCGATAGAGTTGCCGTATTGCGCTCGGTGGAAATGTTGGGAACGCATGGTCGTCCGCTTGGTTTGGTTAGAGATAGTGGAGCAGGAGAAAATAGTCGCGAGACGGCGTTGTTGTGGCCTTGTTGCTGTTGTTGCTGCTTCTTGTCCTTTATCCGTCGAGCCAATTGAGTCGTCGGCAACGGCTCCAGTACCCGCGTTTGAGAGTCTTTAAGGTCTCCAGCGGCTTTTTTCGGGGATCCGGTAGTCGTTGGACGGGTCACGGGCTGCCACGGTTTGTCCACGACAAAGAAGGATGGATTGCCCTGTTGCTGCTGCTTTTCCACTGTTTCGAGATTCCAGCGGTGGCGTTCGAGGAGAGAGTTGCGGATACTGTGCAGACTTGCCAATGGCAGTCGTCTCCACCCGCGTTCCGAGAGTTCCAGCATTTGTACGCGGGTCGAACACATGAAGACGGTTCTGGCAAGGTCAACGTTGGTTGAGGTGGATGATGCAGCCGCGCTCGTGGGCGTCACTGACGCTAAGGTGGCGGCGATATAGTTGTTGTTGGCGTGTGTTGTTGATGATGCAGCAGGTGATGTTGGTGAGGATGGAGGAGGTGGCGATCCAGGGGGGGCATTGTTCGATGCAGGAGAAGTGGCAGCTCCAGCTGAGGTGATTGCTGCTGCCACTGATCCACTGGCTGATAACATGTTGGCACTTGCAATCGCAACGCCGAAAAACTCTTGCGGTCCGATGGTGGCCACTCGAACGAGCACTTCTTTAGTTGAGGTCGAGTCAATTGCTCCGGAATTCACTGTGACCTCAGCGACCGGCACAATTCGACGCAGATAGACAGTCACTTCTCCACTCTTGACGATGTAAAGTGTGCGCAAGTGCACGGGTTCTTGTAGGAAAATGTGGCGAGGTTCGTAGAATTGGTCCTGGAGGTCGTGTGCCACGCGGATGCACTGGGCGAAGTCGCTATCGCGAAGAAAGCTCAGCGTTGCGAGGAATTCCGCGCACTCGACCATGGCGTGTTGCACGGATACGCCGGGTATCATCTCAGTTAAGGCTTGCAAGTGCGGACGCTCCAGTACTAACAAGTCCACTTCACATGCCGCCAGAGCCGAGGCCGATCGTTGAAGGCGAGTGACAAGGGACAACTCGCCAAAACTGTCTCCAGCTGATAGTGTGGCCAGTACATCGTACTGCTTGAGTGCAAGTCCCGGTTGCAGCGTGTTGACGTCCTCGTTCACAATATTCACGTTCCCTCTCAAGATAAGGAAGGCGTGGCTTTCGATCTTGCCCTGTCGGAACAGGAACTTGTCCTTCTGAACGGTGAGGAAATTTGCAAAGCGAGCGATTCCCCGGGCAAGTGTCAGTGTATCCACGTGGGAAGGACGATCAAACTTGTTGACGAACGCTGTAGGTTCGAGTAGGCGAGCCATGAAGCTGATCTCGAACGGGGAGCGCTCGGCTGGAGGTAACGACAGAATGCGTCGAGTCTCCGCGCGCGTGATGCTGAGTGAAGATGCTGGCTGGTCCCAAGCCACGCGGTCCGACACGAACGGAAACTCGCCCGCAAGTGTCGGCTCGGCGTTGATCCTTCTCAATAGATCCAAGTACAGCGTTTTTCCTTCGAACTTCTGCATGTAGGCCGCCTTGAACTTCTTGACGAAAGTCTCGAGATGGCGAGATACTGAGGGGTTTGCCAAGTGCAAATTGCGCGTCTTCACAACGAGATTCCACTCTTCCTTCAATGACATGGCAAGCAAAGCCTCGGCATCAGCGTCCAGCGCACTAACCCCATTCAACTGAGAAGCGCCAATGTACCCCTTCCGTGAAATACCAACACAAATGACGCTTCCCGCAGCAACTACGTGCGCTGTTCGAGGTCTGCACAGGATCCCCATTTCTCCAAATCCTTGGTAAAGTGTCTTCCTGCACACGACCGACGTTCTCACTCCCACCTTCGCGTCCTCTTCTTCCACTGCTTGCTCTCCACCCACTATCACTGCGCTTTTCGGTCGTCTCGGATCTCTTAGAGGCTCATCCAGAACCACATCCACCTCACCTTCAGCCAAAATGAAATACCGATCGTCCTCCTTGTCGCCTTGCTGTATAATCTTCCCTCCTTCTTCATAGTGTTCCAGCGTGCAGCGATCCAATAGATACTGCCTCTGGCGAGCTGAAAAATGCTGGAACACTCGCTGCTTCGCCAGGACTCCATGCATTCGCAGCAAATGACGGTGCAACATCAATTCGTGTACAGGCGCTAGCAACCTAGCGAAAGCCGCCTCAGGCAGAGCAAAACACGATACATTCCCACTGGCCACAGCATTGAGCGTCCTCGACACCAGACCTTGCAGCAGCGATTCTTCGCCAAAGTACTCGAGCTCCTCGTGCGTGTGCAACTCAATCTCCATCTCGGCTTCAACCTGGGAACGTCTCCACGAACTCCGTCGAGCGAAGATGACTCCACCGGAGCTGTCCATGGGGATAAACCCCACTGGTCGAGCATTACTCATAGCGCGAGAGCGTCGACGCTGCGTGATCAAAACTTTGCCTTCCTCGATGAACAACACGTCACGTTCGGGCTGGCCTTGGCAATAAATGTACTCTCCATCAGCGTAAGTCACGGGCTCCAGTGATCGCAGCAAAACACCTTCCGGACAGAGTCCCTCTTTCACGACATGCGCCAGGAGCGGGACTCGACGAATCAAGCGGGCTTTCCGCACGGCTTCGGGCGTAGCAGCTTCACTCTCATTACTGCTGTCCATGGCGTACTCACGCCGAGTCAAAAGTTTGGCCACAAGCTCATCGAGCAAGTGATCGTGTCCGTTTCGTCAGTGTCTTCACCCAGCTATTGCTGGCGGATCAACAGCGTTCGATCTGGTTTGTACAAGCTTCTTTCTCATAAATTAATGGGCTTCCTTTGGTCTGTAATGCGAGTTGCCAACGTTGGCGCTCCTAGTGCTTTTCGTCGACTGCTCACGGCTCCGTCTGCGTCTCCTTCGAGTTGGCATCTACGTCGATAACTTTAGAGTGTAATGGTACAGGTGCGGGTGGCGGTGCGGATGCAGTGTCGTCGTCTTCAATGTCAATGTGTGCTGCAGTGGGAGACGGCGCTGACGCTGATGAGATAATACTGCCAGTGTCGTCGTCAGCCACCGTCGGCATTGGTTGTTTCAGCAGCTGCGGCGCGATGGAGGAACGAAGTTCGAAGGCGACCTCCATAGCTGTCGGTCGTGCCGCGGGATCCAGGCTCAGGCAGCGCTGAGCTAGTGCGCGGATTGCGGGGGGACAGTCGTCACGGAAATTGGGCAACAACTTGCCCTCCGACACGAGGTGAACGATCTGCATACTGCGCATCTTGGCGTTGCGACTGAAGCCGTACGGAAGAGCGCACGTGTCGATCTCGGACAGCACCACGCCAAAGGAGAAGAGATCGCTCTTCTCGTCGTAGCGCTTGCCCTCTAGCACCTCCGGCGCGCTCCACAGGATGGTGCCGATGCCGTTAGTCATAGTGTCTTCCACCGAGCGCTCACGACTCAGTCCGAAGTCGCTCAGCTTCGCGCGCAGTCGGCGATCCAGCAGCACGTTCTTGGATTTGAGATCACGATGAATCACGATAGGCACGAGCGAGTGCAGGTACACGAGCGCCTCAACGATGTCACTGCTAAGCGTGAGCTTCTCCCTGCTCCAGCTCAGTTCCTTCTGAGCGATCGGGTTCGCTAACAGACTCTCCAGATCACCGCGCGGCATGTACTCCGTGACCGCACAAAGGTGTAACAGCGACTGCCAGGCCACGCCGCAAAACGCGACAATGCGCGGGTGAGCTAGAAGTGACGCCATCCTGATCTCCTCCGCGAACTGTTCCAGCGCCTCTGGGTCCTCCCGCTTCGTAGGCAACAAGCACTTCATTGCCACGTAGCGAGCCTCATACTGACCCAGCCACACCTCACCGCTGCCGCCTTTGGCAAGCAGTCGCAAGAAGTGGAGCTGTGCGAACGAGATGCGCTTCGTCACGATGGCTGGGTCTGACACAAAACCGCGCAGGATAGGGCTTTTCCGGCACAGCTGGTCGTTGGATAGCGTGATCTCGGCCCGCGTGGTGGCCACGAGGGCTGAGGTACCGCCGCGAATGCCTGGGGAGCGTCGGCTTCTGGGTCTCGCACCGAAGAACACCTCCATCGGAGTGAGTCGTTCCTCGTCAGTTGCTCCCGCCGTGGCCAGTGTCGGAGCGAGCGGTCCACCCAGCAAGTGCGAGGTGGGGGACCAGCTTCCGTCGTCCCACGATCCTTCCAGAACTGCGCGGTCGTACGCGTCCTGTAGCCACGCGCGCGAGCGGCTCAGCCACCACACGGACGTGCCGAGCACCAAACAAATCAGCATCGCCACCGACAGCAGCACGATGGCCGTCGTGGAGAACGTCCCCGCCGAGGGCGTCGACTCGAGCTCCAGCCACGCGTCCATCGCCGCGCTGGGCGAGGCCTGACACAGGTCGATCTCTGTAAAGCTGCTGCCGTTGACTGTGAGGCTGGTGCTGCCGCTGCTGCTGCTGATGTCCACGTCATCCGCCACGCCTCGACACGGCAGAATAAACTCCACGTGCGGCTGGCACGACTCGGTCCCTGTAAAGCTCGCGTCCGTCAAGTGCACGGCGAAGAGCGCGTCGCTCGGCTCTGTGTCCTCGGGCGTATGCCGCCTCACCACGGGCTCAGGCACGGCCGTGCTGCGTCCGTCCTCGACCCAGTAGACCCCCGCAAACTGTTTCTGGCCGGCCATGGCCGACGCGTACACCGCACACCTGGTGAGGGGGATCACCTGCTCCGCGGGGCAAGCCGCGGGCAGAAAGTGTCCAATAATGCCGCAGTTCTCGACGCTGCAGGCGCTGCTGTTGTCTGTGGATTCCTGTATTGTCTTGACCTCCGCCAGCGCCGGCAGCAGGTCGCCCATCCCCTGGCTGCAGGCCGTGAAGATCTGCACGAGCTGCACGTCGTCCCCCGCGCCCGACGCCGACGAGCTCCCGACAGGTGACGCGAACACGAAGCCCGAGTCCCACAGCAGCGCGCGCTGCATGAGCCCCGACAGGTCGCTCCACGCGAGCGAGTAGCTGGACAACCGGTCGCTCACGGCGCTGGGCAGCGCGCTGGGGCTGAGCGAGAGCTTGGCGGCCGAGCTGCCCGCCGTCTCCAGGTTGTACAGCCGCGCCACGAGGTCCCCGGCGGCGCGCACGTCGCGCGCGAGCAGCAGTAGGCATGTGAGACACAGGATAGCGCCCAGGGGCGTGCGGCGCCGTCGCCGCCGGTAGCGCGCGAGCAGGAAGAAGGCGCCGCGCCGCCGCACCGGAACCATGCGATTTGACTGCGGACTGCGCGCAATGTTGGGGCCCTCGCCGACTTGACTTGAGTGGCAGAGTCGTAATTTTGGAATGACCGAGTCGGGGCCTGCTGCCGGCTTTTTGGGTCCAGACGGGACCGACCTCGAAAGTACAAGCGTGAGCGGATTGACAAAGGTTGCAGCGATTTGCGATCGGTGATCGCCCTCTGCAATCGGGCGACCGTCGCGACGGACTCGGCTTGCAGTGCTTGCTGCAAGTTGTACATGTATGTTTGCCTTTGTGGGGCGAACCTTGCTATTAAGGCTTTGGCGTCCTCAGCAGCAAGCGTGCCGGAAACGCCGTGTAATACATGAACCTGCGAGCGTGCTAGGCTCGTAAGCATGGTGCCGGTGTCACATCTTGTTTTCTTTGTGTCTCATCACTTGAGCTCAGTTGCGTAGCATTGCCGAAGCTACATTGATACTCCACACAACTTCAGTCGCCATGCAAAATATATCGTTAAGAAAAGTTATCGTACAAAAAGCGTCAGCGGTAGCATTGAGAATCCGCATCAACCACGAGAAATTCAGCTTTAGTGTGGCGGGTGCGCAGTCATATACATCTCGACGTCGGCGCCAAAACTCGGTGGCGCACTAAGGTAGCGAGCGTGGTTGTACACGTACATGTACGTTCACGTCAAAATGCCCAGCCTCGTCGTCGTCGTTCATCCTGGTGCCGTAAGTACCATCGTTTGTCAAACATAGGGACCTTACTTTCCAGGGTACTTCATAAAGCAAGTCGCGTGTAGCCGCATGTGGTATTGTGCTTTTCAGTTGTTTAGGCAAATCGGACGTGTAAAACAGCTACCTACTAAGATGGGGCTAGGTTATCGGAGCAGATTAGCGGGCCCCTCATAGGGAATTAGGACCAAGAATTGCTAGTCCGATGGAAGCATCCTACAAACAGCCGAAAGCCCGAATGTCGCCCATTCTCACGGCATTCGGGGTTTGAGGTCTTACCAAGGACTCCTGTCAAGTCTTGTGGCAGGACTTTCGTACGAGCTGACTCTAATACGGTGTATGTCCGACGCAGAATAAACCTAGGTAAGCACGATGCGGTCGATACATTAAACAACCAAGTCTTCTCCCTTCGCCTTCGTGGGTTCCAGCACTGATTGCTTCCCCAAACAAAGCTTGCTTGGCTTGGACGTCCATTGAACGGAGAGCCTCCGGGAGACCGCTCATCAAACTCGTCCGAGATTTGCATCTCAGATTTAGAGACCCCCAACCTCAGATTAACTGACCTCCAAAGTCCTACGTAGGACTCGGCAAAATGACCGAAAGGCACAATAAAGGGTTCAATTGCGAGAGGGCGGGAGGTGGGACCACCGACCGCCGCCGCGGTCACGGAAGGCACGTAGACTGCCAGCGCGCCGAAGACATGCTGTCGGACACCTCGGCATGGCAAGCTAGGTGGCGGCGGCGATCGCTTTGGCTGTCTTTAGTACCTAGCTTAGGCAAGTGAGCTCGAGCTCCAAATTGACAGTTAGGTATAGTGACTAGGGTTGATGTGACTTGCCAAATGTATAGGGAGGATGGGGAGATCTTTGGCTTTCGGCCATAAAACGACCACGAAATCACACGACCTGCACGATGTCGTTGCGGTCCGCTCGGAACCCTCACCTGCTTGCTTGGCAAGCTTTGCAGAGGCCATCGGGCGAAGTGGCGGAGCTTCTCTAAAGTCCTTTGTCACTTTGAAGAGCGGCAGCAGTCGGGAAGTTGCGTATGTAGGCGCCGATCGTTGAAGCGTTGCGAGTCTCCCGCCGCACAAGCAGCACCGCAAGCCCGCCTCAGAAGAGCCGCCGCCGCCGAGATTAACTCGCTTTTCGTCATTGCCCTCCTCAAGCTGCCTGGACCTTGAAGCTGTTCATCATGTCGGTGCCGAGCGCTAGCCTCGCCGGTTGCAAGACTTTGGTCATTTTTGAGAACTATCAGCGCTAGGCAACGACATTGTGACTTGGATGTAGATCAAGCAAAAAGATGCAATACACTTTCAGTGTGCGTACGTTCGCTACGGCCCATCACTACACGTAGCTATTATACTTGACATGGCTTCAGTACGGCTGCTTCTTGTTAGCTGGCAGTGTCGTATCTCATGTTGCGGGCGATGTTGCGCAGCGTGAAGACGATCTCCAGCGCGTTGGGCCGATGGCTGGGCTCGAAGGAGGCGCAGGCCGTTGTGAGCTGCTGCAGCGGCGCGGGGCAGTCCTCGCGCAGCTGCGGCTGGACCTGGCCCGACGTGGCAAGGTGCATGAGCTGCATCGTGGTCAGGTGCCGCTCGCTCACCTCCGCGTTGAGTGTGAAGGGCGGCAAACACGTGTCCAGCTCGGATAGCACGATGGCGTACGAGTACACGTCCGCCTTCTCGCTGTAGGCCTCACCGCGCAAAATCTCGGGCGCCGTCCAGAGCAAAGTGCCCACGCCGTTGGTCATCGTGTCGTCCGACGAACGCTCGCGACTGAGACCGAAGTCGCTCAGCTTCGCGCGCAGCCGACTGTCCAGCAGGACGTTGAGAGACTTGAGATCGCGGTGGATGATGATCGGCTGTCGGCCGTGCAGGTACGCCAATGCCTCGGCGATATCCGTGGCTATGCCAAGCTTTTCCTTGCACCAGGACAATTCATCCTTGCGCTTTGAGTTGAGCAGCATGGACAGATCTCCCTGCTCCATGAACTCGGAAACGATGCACAAGTCGCACACGCGGTTCCAGGATAAACCGACAAATCGCACGATGTTGGGATGCTCTAGAGTGGATGCGAGTCGCACCTCATTCGCGAAGAGCATGACGTTATCCTCATCGTGACGCTTTTCCGGCAGGAGCTGCTTGATGGCCACGATCTGAGACCCGCAAGTACCCTTCCAGACTTCTCCGTTAGCTCCACGGGCAATAAGCTTGTCAAATGTGAGGCAGTCGTATGCAATGCGCTTGGACGTAATTCTCGCGTCGATGCAGAACGTTGCCAACTCAATCGACCGCCGCCGTCGAGATTCATTGAGAGAATTCCGAGGGCTGTTCATGCCGTTGGTTTTCTGCTTCGAGCGCGTTGTTGTGGCGCTCGCGTAGACCGTCGGAGATGACACGGTGCTCTTGTCGTCGTCTTTCTTCTTTCGGTTCACCTGCACCGCGATAAGAGCTCCCACGGCCGCTGCGAGTAGGATGAAAAGTACCACGAGAATGACTGTATCACCGGAAATACTCGAGCTGGCGTCAGTCGAGAGCGCTGAGGCTGACGTTGCTGAGCTACCAGTCGACATGTCCTCACCCGAAATCTCGCTCTCGAGCCACAGGTCAACAAACCCGCCCCGAGAAGGAAGACACCAGGGGTTGAAAGGGTCCTCGTCGGGGGTTCCGAACTCCACACAGGGAGCGACGAAAAACGAGTCTCCCGGGCAGCTCTCGATGTTCCACGGCAGCGGCGCGATCTGGTTGATCGTGAAGAGAACGTCGGCCTCAATTGTGTAGTCGTCTTCAGAGCCTGAACCGATGACTTCATGAACGCCAGCGGAGCCTGAGCTATTGTCCTGTACGTGCTTGTACAGTCGAATATCCGGGACGCCCGCCAGATCTCCGTCTTCAGACCACAACGTTGATGCTTCAGCGTTCTCAATATCCGTCGCGTTCTTCTCCACTGCTGCAATTCCGCACTGCGCCGCCTTCCACACGGTCGTGCGCGAACATGTCGAACCTGCAAAGTACAGCCCCGTCAAGTCGCACGTTTCCATCCGACAGTCCTTGCCTTTGTACGCGTCGAAAGGCGTCAAGATCACCGACATGGACTCGTTGCACGGCGCGTACACCTGCACCAACCTGCCGCCGCTGGTCATCACGAGTCCTGTATCCCAGAGCAGCGCGCGCTGCAGGTAGCCGGAGAGTGAGTCCCATCGGACCGATTTCTCCGCGAGTCGCACGAGCAGCGAGTCCGGTACGTTACTAAGCACGACCTGGGGCGCGGCGGCGTCCGCTGCGCTCCCACTCGCTGCACTGCGCTGCTGCATCTGGTGGAGCTGCGCGGCGACGTCAATGACGGCGTCAACTTGGCACAAGGAGGTCGTCACCAGCAGCAGCGCGCACACATGCTTGAGCTTGGCGCCAGGGGATTTCCGCCGGCGGTGGTGGCGCACGGGCTGCATCCGGGTGCGCGACAGATAGAGAGAGTTCTTCTGAGCTCAGGCGAGTTGAGTGCAGCAGTAACACCCTCGACCGAGCAGCTCCGAACATGCATGCAACCTTGCGCCGTTTCATGCGTAACGAACGGTCCGGTTGTAGGATCGGGCCGATCTACAATGCTACCTATATAGGTTTCAACCTACAACTTATATTGAAAAACGTATGTCGGGTGTAGGTCGCAACGAGTGGCTGAGCGGCTCTGTAGATTGTTTTGACCCCCTTTGGGTGTGGTCGGTCAATCATCTTGTGTTTGTATAGGACGGAGCTGGAGACGATGGCGCCCACGACGTTCGAGCAGAAGCTGGCGCAGCTCAAGCGCGAGGCCGAGCACTACGCTGACTACCTGAGCGACGAGGAGGTGGAGGATGAGGTCACGAGCAAGGCCCACGAGGAGGCGGACTTCTGCAACGACTACAGCATGTCCGTCGTGGTGGGCGGCCTGCCCTTCGTGGACGAGACCAAGCACGGCAAGCTGCTGAACGTGGTCAAGAAGATCTTCGGCCAGGTGGGCCCCGTGGTGGACATCCGCATGCCCTTCGGCGGCGGCGGCAAGACCACGGGCTTCGCCTTCGTCGAGTACGAGCAGGAGGCGCACGCCAACGACGCCGTGCGCACCATCAACAACTTCGCGCTGGACAAGCGCCACACGATGCTCGTCAACAAGTACGAGGACATCGAGCGCTTCCAGAAGACGCCCGCCGAGTTCGCGGCCCCCAAGGTGGACAAGTTCGTGGAGCCCAAGAACCTCAAGACGTGGCTCGCGGACCCGGCGCGCCGCGACATGTTCGTGCTGCGCCACGGCTCCGAGACGGAGCTCTTCTGGAGCGACAAGGGCGAGATCGAGCTCGACTACGCCGGCGACCGCGAGAAGTTGAACGACAAGCAGTGGTGCTCGCAGTACGTGCTGTGGTCCCCTCAGGGCACGTACCTGGCCACGTTCCACCCGCAGGGCATTGCGCTCTGGGGCGGCGACAAGTACGAGAAGGTGGGCCGCTTCGCCCACAAGAACGTCAAGCTCGCGGTCTTCTCGCCCAACGAGAACTACATCCTCACGCTGAGCGAGACGGAGCAGGACTCGGCCATCATCATCTGGGACGTCAAGACGAGCAAGATGCTGCGCGCCTTTCCCGCCGGCAAGCCCACGGGCGCCAAGGGCGAGGTGGTGCAGGGCCTCATGACCCCGTTCAAGTGGAGCGCCGACGACAAGTACGTGGCGCGTCGCGGCAAGGACGTCATCAGCATCTACGAGCTGCCGTCCATGAAGCTGCTCGAGAAGAAGTCGCTGCGTGCCGAGGGCGTGCACGACTTCTTCTGGTCGCCGACCGACCCCATCCTGGCCTACTGGGCGCCCGAGGGCAACAACGTGCCCGCGCGTGTGTCGCTCGTGGAGCTGCCGTCGCGCCGCGAGGTGCGTCAGAAAAACCTCTTCAACGTGAGCGACTGCAAGCTGCACTGGCACCCGAACGGCACGTTCCTGTGCGTCAAGGTGACGCGCCACTCCAAGTCCAAGAAGACCATGTACACCAACTTCGAGCTCTTCCGCGTGCACGAGCAGCTGGTGCCCGTCGAGATGCTGGAGGTCAAGGAGAGCATCGTGGCGTTCGCGTGGGAGCCCAAGGGCACGCGCTTCGCCACGGCGCACGGCGAGGGCCAGCAGCGCCTGAACGTGTCCTTCTACGACATGGACGGTGGCAGCAAGTCGGTCAAGGAGGTGACGCTGCTGTACACGCTCAAGGACAAGGCCTGCAGCCACCTGTACTGGTCGCCGCTGGGCAACAACATCGTGCTGGCCGGTCTGGGCGAGATCAACGGCCAGCTCGAGTTCTGGGACGCCACGGAGCAGCAGAGCATCACGGTGCAGGAGCACTTCAAGTGCACGCACGTCGAGTGGGACCCGTCGGGCCGTGTGGTGGCGACGGCCGTGTGCCAGCCGCTGGACAACTCGTACTACAAGTTCACCATGGACAACGGCTACACGCTGTGGACGTTCCAGGGCAAGCAGCTCCTGGAGGAGAAGAAGGACGCGTTCTACCAGTTCCTGTGGCGCCCGCGCCCGCGCACGCTGCTCTCGGACGAGGAGTACAACAACGTGGTCAAGAACCTCAAGAAGTTCGAGAAGCGCTTCGACCAGATGGACCGCCTCAAGGAGCGCGAGCGCCTGGCCGCCGAGAAGGCGGAGCGCAACCGCCAGGAGCAGGAGTTCCAGGAGCTGTTGGAGAAGCGCCTGGCCTCGGCGGCCGCGCGCCGCGCCGAGTACGTGGCGCTGCTGGACGGCTACGACAGCGAGGACGAGAGCGAGTACATTGTGCAGAGCCACACGTACGACGACGTGCTCGAGACCAAGGAGGAGGTCATCCGCAAGTAGGCGTCTGCCGGTGTAGCCACCTCTCGCATGAGGGTGATATTTAACGATGCAACTCGGTGCAACTCGTTGCGTGGTTTGATGTGTTCAATTCAATTGCGTGCCTCGACACTCGTGCTGCCTGGCTCTCGGCTCCTCTTAACAGTGTGGATTTTGCCCATGTCGCAAAGACTGAGGTTGTGGCAGGACATGTCCGACGGTCGAGATTTTCTTGTCGGCGATCGAGCACTTGCTGCGGCGCAGACTACTTTGCGGCCATCTGTGCAGTGCCCCAGCTGGGCTCCGAGCGCCTCGATGGTAATGTATGTTTGTGGGACTGCGTGGTGGTTGAAGCGAGCGCAAACGCCGGCACGGACCGCAGCCCGCGCAGTGTTGGCAAAAAAATGATTTAAATATTTTTATCGCTTATAAAAATCCATAAAATATTTTTTCGATTTTTATTCATATAAGTGCGATTTCTGTTATCCTTCTTTTTGTAAAGACGAAACCGCTTTCATTACAAGACTGGGTTCTCTATTCGGGCACCTTTACTGCAAGCGACACGATGGCATGGCCGCTGGCAATCTCTACAGCAGAGCTACTGTCCTACAGACGAATCCAGACGAAGACGCTGTCGATAGCGTCGAACCGCCCACCAACACAATGCCACTTGACTCATCCCGCTGGCAATGTCGCGTCGCCACCATCAACGACAGACAACCCCACCGACAAGCTGATGCTGCCAGCCAAAGCAGCACCGCCAGATCCAGACGCCGAGCCTGACGAAGTCCACACGCCGCCCGTCGCCGCGCCGGTCGTACTGTCCAGTCGCACCAGCACAATCAGCCAAAGCCACGTCGTGCGAGCTGCGAGCGCCGGACACTCGCACCGATCCGTGAGCACTTGACGCCTCGCTGCCAGCTACGCCGACCAACCCGCTCGACTGTGTTGATGAGCGCCAGACCCGATCAAGACAGCACCAGCCGGACCGGTTTCGCCATCAGCGACTCTGAGCACTTGCGCCCCAGACTCGCCTCCGCCACGGACGAACAACGCAAACGGCGCGCCTCGAAGCAACAGACTCGAGGTACATTGGCACAGTGATGCCGCTGACCGCTTGCTCCTCAACTACTGCTTGTTGTCTACGCTAAGCCGCCCGCGCTACATGTCGCCTGTGCTCTGATTGTCTGCAGCGAGGATATAGGCTACTATTAGCGCAACTACGGTTCCTCTGCAGCTCCCGGTTTATTCGATTTGCTCGATAAAAATGTAAAAATCGGATAAAAATAAAAATAAAATATTTTTATTTTATTTTATTTTATGTGGATAAAAATCCTTCGATATTTTTTTGCCAACACTGGCCCGCGGTATGAGCTGAGCAGACGTGCTTTGCCCGATGCAACTTTGTTGCCAGCCAGCACGCGCCGGGCAAATTTGACCTCACACAGCGCGGCTGACGGCACGGCAAAGCAACTTTGCAAGAGCGCTGCCGGCGGCCTGCGCTTTTTGACGTGAGACCTTAAATCAGTGCGCGATTTTGGAAGATACTGTGCCCCATACAAAACATCCCCGGCTCTGCACACTACTGACTTAGCGCGGTCTCACACCAAATGTATGACGTTGAAGTGCTTTTTCTATCCCCGCTTGAAGAATCGCTATGAAACAAACTGTGTACAGTGGGCGCCCTTTCGCTCCTGTTCCTCTGCCAGCCGGCTCGTTTTTCGTTTCCGCGCTGCTTCGTTCGCATTCGCAAAAGCGATTTTACCAGACTCTGCAACGACCTCCTGGCTACCTGCACCACACACACTCCACCTCACTATTACATGGGAGTCAGCCGCGTCGTCAGCACCGCCGTCCGTGAGGAGCCCGCCTCGGCCGTCGTCGAGCAGCTCCACGTCGCCCCCGCGCCGCGTACGTCCGCCCTCGTCGTCCTCTCACCGTTCGCCTACGTGCCCTAACTGTTGTGTACTTGTACGCTGCAGTGATCATCCTGGACTGGGACGACACGCTGCTGCCCAACACGCACCTGGCCAAGCTGGGCTTCACGTCGGAGGACGAGGCCTTCGAGCTGCCCGCCGAGTGCGCGCCCGTGCTGGAGGAGCTGGCCTCGGAGGTGGAGAACTTCCTGAACGCGTGCCTCAAGCTCGGCGCGTGCTGCATCGTGACCAACGGCCTGGCCGGCTGGGTGGAACGCTCGTGCCAGCGCTTCCTACCCAATGTGCTGCCGCTGCTGGAGCAGATGACCATCGTGAGCGCGCGCTCCAACTTCGAGAGCGTGTACCCGGACCGCCCCATCGAGTGGAAGATCGCCGTGTACCGCGACCTGCTCGCCAAGCGCGGCTTCCTGCAGGAGCCCCCCGTGGAGACCCACGGCGTGTACGTGCAGCAGCAGGAGCGCGCGCCGCAGCAGGTCATCGCGCTCGGCGACTCGCAGATCGACCGCTGCGCCATCCAGTACGTGGCGCGGCGCACGCCCAACACGCAGCTCAAGTCCATCAAGCTGCTGGACAACCCGAGCATGACGCAGCTGCAGAAGCAGCTCCACCTGCTCGGCGTCTTCCTCGTGCAGCTCAGCGGCCACGACGAGACGCTCGACCTGGAGCTGTCCAACGAGATGCTGCAGTGAGTGAGTCCAGTCAAGCGCCGTACGGTCACCACGCCCAGCCCAGCCAAGTCATTTTCCATCCATTTATCTATATATCTATAGGACCAACGAGAACCAAGGCAAGTCGACAGCGACTGCAGTAGCAAAGTAGCAAGTGGCAGTGTCCCCCATTTCCATGAAATCTAGAAACCAGCGCCAGTAGAATACACACCAACCACTATTTAACCCGTTCTACGTGTACGTGTGTGTCGTGTATGCGTGGTTGAAGTGGCACTACCGGCGTTCTGCTTGGACGCGAAGGCTGAAGTTTCGTCGCGAGATCTGGCCAGTCGACGCGCGTTTAACACGCTCCTCCCATCGCCTCGAGTCCCATCGCCCCCCATACATAGTGTCGAGCCAAGCGTCTTGGCCCGACGAGAACGAGTGGTGAGCCAGCCTTCGGAGCGCGCCATCCGCCGCCGACATGTCTTTCTCGCCGGCATCTCGCTCTCCAGCACCCGGGCAGGAGACCCTATCTTTGGCCGGCACCGGCGACTCTACGTCGTCCGTTTGTTGCGCGCTGCAATAACGAGCGCAATGCCAGGTGAGGGTGTCGGAGGGATCAGCAGGATGGGCGTCTCTCGCACGCCGGATCTAACGCCTGCTTTTTGCTTCAAGCAGGAAGACGGCTGCGGCACGCGCCGCCGGTGGACGAGGTGCTGCTGCCGCCGCTCAGAAATCCAGCGAGGTGCGGCGAGAGCAATCAGCTCGACGCTGACGCCGGCGCGCAGTGGGACGATGGTCGGCACCGCCGGGCTCGGCGACGGAGGCCGCAGCTAGCCTACGTGGTGCTGCCGCCGGTCTTCCCCCTCGATAAGCGCGGCCGGCAGCGGCGCCACCGCAGCGGCCGAAACAAGTCGCGGCGCAGTCGGAGATATCGGAGCAGCAGTAGCGACGAGGAGTCCATTAGCGGTAGTGATGCCAGTGACTCCAGTCATGAAGAGACCGACGACCGTGTAGCTCGGCCGCCTCGAGCCTCCTCCATGCGCAGCCAGCGCATGCGCTCGATCGCGGCGATGTCCAAGCTGCAGCACGACGCCGCCACCACGATCCAGGTTGGCTGCTTTATTCTAACCTATGATGCAACTCGGTGAAGTTGTCACCTTACGCTCTTCCTTCGAACGTTGGTGTGCGCAGCGGGAGTATCGGTTTTACCGGCGGCGGCAGGCAGGCCGGCATCGTCGGAACCAGCGACTCGCACGGCAGGCGCAGGACCTGCTCGACGTTTTTCTGCTTCAGGAGGTGGCCAGCATCGTGCCGACTTGCTTGCTTGACGTCCTCCGAGAGACATGCATGCAGGTGGGTGGACCTACTTTCGTGCATGCAGCCTTCCCTGCCTGCATGCTCGTTCGCCTCCATCCATCATCATCTAACTTCTTACATGTAGGAGGCTGAGACGACCAAGCGCAGACAAGACCTCGCGACCTCGCTGGCCGGCGGTGTGCTCTCGTCGCTGATCGACGAGTGTATCCACGACGTCTTCCATGACGTGCTGCAGGCCATGGTCAAGTCATACTTCGCCCAGAAGATCGACCTGTCTCGAGCTGCGACCCCACCGGCGCTCGCCGTGGCTGCCGACATTCTCGACGACTGGACTAAAGAGCTCGTAGCCGACTTGCTCCCAGAAGGTACGAAGAGCGTCAACGCTGTATTTATTAAACCACGCTCTGCTCACTCTCGTCCCGTGCTGGAGCAGCACTCGCGGAACTGGCGTCCGAATACACCGCACGGCAACAGCATGAGGTCGTATGGGAGTCCCTAGTGCACGACCAGCTCCGATCCATCGCATCCGATGCCATCGTCGAAGCCACACCTGACTCCACCATAAGTCGACCGAACTCCCCAAGCTCCACTAACCCAGTTTCAACTCATTAGCCGCAGCGCTCGCTTAGGGCGCCGAAAACTATTTTTTTCTTGGTACGTTTCGAGCTCCAGGACAATCGTTACGTGGAGGCACATGATCCCTTGGTCTATTACCGGACTGCGAGTTTTATAGCGACATCGCGCTATACTCCATGCTCCGTTGTCATGAAGTCGGGACGAGTGTTTTCGTTTCGAGATGGAGTCCACGACCAGATGAAAGCGCTAGCCCCAGGATTCAGCATCATGACAGCCCAGCGGAAGCTAATGACGGCGTTGCTGCTGCTCGGTGTGATCCCCTTCGTTCTGCAGATACGAGGCTGCTTGAAGCTAGCAACTCCGCACAAAATCACGAAAAGCCTGATCGAGCTTCTACGTCGGGCCGGTGTGGTGGAGTGTGGACATGACGCACTATTACGCGTTGGAGCATGGATATCTGCGTCATTTCGTAGCTCCAGAATACAATACGCACGGAAATTTGGCGATGAAAGCCGCAGAAGTCGAAGCATGCGCGAGCGACAGCTATTCTATTGAGATGTTCGTTTACCACGGCAGTCTTGGGTATTTCTCCTTCAATGATGAGTTCACTGGGACATACTGCGCTACGGACGGAAGTGCATTCGCCCATGTCGTTGGTGTCGGGACTTTTGATATCAATGGAAATGCCCTAGCCGAGCATCTCGGCAGTGAAGGCTACAGGTGGTCATATTGGTACTGCACCGTTGGCGCAACGTGGATAGTCTTTAGGGGCCTCGTGTTACGAAGGTGCTACGTCGCATGTAAGCGCTATGGGGGCAAAAGCGACCAAATGGGCGTGAGTCTTGGGCAAAGAGCAGCTATGATCTTCGTCCACGAAAATCTGCGACTATCAGCACATGGAGCAACAAACTACCATCGAGTGCTGCTGCTGTATTTACTCCTTGAAGGCCTCATGAGCGATCTGTTCCTGCTTGGAGCCACCGACGGATCTTTTGTCTGGCTGCAGTACTTCTCGCTAGGGTACAACTTGTCCGGTGTACTGCTGGTGCTGTTCGAGATGATCGAGAGGATGGGGTGGCTGGGCGAAACTTACCGTCTTTTTGTGAAGCGCCTGCTTTTCAGCTACGAATCCTCGCTGCTGGGAGAAAGTTTGAGTGCAATTGTACAGCCCTTGTACCTTTCGTCAGTCAATCGGTCGGATATGAGGAATACGCATCCGGCTGCTCTTGCAGTGTCATACTATGTGTGGAGCTTGGTGGGGCATATCGTCATCGCGCTGGGCCTCATCGGGTTCATTATGCTCGTACGAATACTCCGCGCAGTCAGCTACGTTTGCTGGAAACATGGCCGCATACGTGATATCTTCTTGGCACCTTGCTGCGTCGACACGACCTTCGGAGCACGCAACAAAATGACGAAGCTGGGTGGTTACCACTGGGAGAACGGAAAGCTCTACTACAAAGCCGACGCCTTGAAATCCTTCGGGCTGCTCAGAATGGAGGAGGAAGATGGCAGCCAGCTCCTCGTTTTGAACAAATTCATTGGTTTGACGCACGGATGGAGAACCTGGTGGTGATCGGCTCGGTGACCGACGAGCGTGTGGATACGTGCGCTGAACGGCCTTGTACGGGCGTGGTTGGCTTCTTTGATCGAAACTTGGGTGGGCCCCCAGCGGATTCGGAGCGATTCCGCTCAATTATCGTTCGTAGGAGGAGCAGAGTTCTGCCCTCTCCTTCACATCTCAACATCATTCCGACTTGATCAAGTCGCAGTGTACAAGGTGCTCCATCTTGCTGCGCATCGAGCAACCTTGGAATTTACCGTGCACTTACCGCAAATTTTACATTCGAGTACGCGGCAGTTAACTCCGTGGATGAGGGCACCTACGAAACCGGTGAAGACTACCGGTAGTGCAAGTCGTGGAGTCTCGGCGTCAGTTTATTACGTTCCTGCATGGTCTTGTTGGTAAAATCATAGGAGCAGCGAGCGTGGATTTGTGAACTTTGATGTGTTTCAGAATCGGAAGTGGCATGCTGACGAAATGAATCCAAACTGCTGGGCTCATCACCTTTCCTTGTCCAGTGGGCTGACACAGATTCTAACTATCAAGCTAACGTGTCAGTGACAAACGAACGAGTATTCAGAAACGTATCACGAAGATTATGAACTTTGGTGCTACAGCGCGCGCGCGGGAAGGGGGGTAACTACTTTATGCACCGTGAACGGTGGTGTAGTTGTAGTACACCTCGTTCTCGTACTCGCTGTCGCAGTACGGGAACGCCGTGTCCGAGTCCGTCGGAGCGAACAGCGTCTTACCCGACGTATACGTCACGTAGCAGCCCAGGAAGCCGCACACGACAATCACCATCAGCGCCGGGATCTTCTCGTACATGGGGATCTCGTGCCACAGCTTCTTGAGCAGGAAAATAATGGGCAGCAGGATGCTGATGAGCGTGATGCACGAGGCGCCGACGAAGTCCACCATGTCCGAGAAGTGGTCCTTCAGGAGAACCGACAGGACGACCAGCACCACGATGATGGCGACGCGCAGGGTCACGTACTTGACCGCGTTCGAGCCCCGGTACTCGGCTGCCTCCGCCTCCACGTCGCCGTGGTACGGGCTCTCGGCGTCGGCGTTCGAGATGTATGACATCTTGGACGAGCGACGGTCGTCGGTGGCAGCATCCTTGCCGGGCGTGTTGGCGGCGGCGTACGAGAGGGCGTTCTCGACGTCGTCCTCCTCCCTCTTCTTGTGCATCTTGAGCACCAGGCACTCGGCGAGGTAGAAGGCCGGGTTCAGGAGGACGGAGAAGGCGATCGTGATGTGCAGCTGCATGAACAAGTAGGCCATGACGACGGCGCTCCAGCTGGACTTGAAGCCCAGCGTGGTGAGGCCCGTGTCCGAGTCCGGGTAGATGGAGTAGAGCAGGTTGCCCGTGATCTGGCAGCCCACCGCCGAGTACGCCGTGCTGGCCAGGATGAGGAAAAGGCACGAGATGAAGGCCATGGTGACGAACACCACGCCCGGCATGCGCGTCGGCTCCCTGTGCTGGCGCTGCAGGGCCGGGATCACGATGCCGGCGTTGTAGGCGAGCAACAGGTTGCCGAACATGCCGGCGACTTGCGAGAACTTGAGCTCGGGCGACGGCGGAGTCGGGTGGCCGCGCATGCCGTACATGACGACGGCCACGCCGATGACGTCGGCGATGAGCGTGGCAGCGCAGCCGGCGAACGCGGCCCCGGCGCCTTCCTTGAGCGTCGGGGTGAGGCACACGGGCAGACACATGAGCGCCATGAAGCAGACCCAGTAGCTGGGGCTGAAGGCGTCCGGGAACAGGCCGTCGAGCAAGGTGCCGCCCAGCACGAGGAGGACGCAGGGCACGAGCAGGCACGTGGCCATCTGCGAGACGACCGCAAGCCAACGGTCCCACCTGCCCATGCAGGTCGCTGTAGGTCTTGACGCTTGTGGGCGCCAGCAGCATCACGCGGCAGATGGCCACGGACGCGTACACGTTGGCGAAGGCCATGAAGGCCATGCCGATGACGGCCAGTACGGGACCGGCGCGCGAGAAGTTGCCGGACATACCGAGCGTGCCGATGCCGTAGACGCAGCAGAAGATGTTGAACGCTACCTTTAGATCCTCCATCGTGAGGAACTTCTTGTCGCAACCCATGGTGGATAGTCGACGAGCGGAGCTGTGGTGCGTACCAAGAGGCAAAAGAGAAAATGAGGAGGAGAGTATCGGAGACCCGGTACCGCAGTGCTGTATCGTTGAGAGACTTAGGTGCAGTACATGTAGGGAAGTCATGTTGGCCGGACAAGACTCCGAGATATACGGAACGGAGCTCGTCGACGATGAGGATGCGCTGGCCGAGAGCATCCACACAGTGAGTCGGGCAGGTACATATCCATCCAATCGAGGCAGACTTCCATGATTTGGCAATCAACGTCGAATCCATGGAAGTGCACTGGGGCAACTAGATGCGCAGATTGGTCCCCACGGTGTCCCCATGCTATTGACTCATCGCGCATAATCTCCTGGGGGCGCACTATGCTACATGCAGTGCATTGTGACGTGTCGGACATGCTTCATGCTCCGCCCCGCAGACCTACGCGGTAACGAGGGCGAGAAGCTGAAGCATTCGCTCGAAGTACAACCACGTGCCGCACATCGGGTTGATCAGGCGGGACAAGAAACACACTGATCGTTATCTAGTTTGCGGCACTTCGCAGCAGCAAGTCCTGCTCGCCCGCTCACTACACTCGCACTTGTCCTGCAAGTTGAATTAGCGTGCGCAGTTACGGTGCGGTGTACACTGGTGGCCGGTGTCTGCCGTTCGTGCTCTGAGGCAGGCGCCGGGGGGGGGGGGGGGGGCTGCTTCGAGTATGCCTCCCGTAACTTCAAAAACCGCAACGCATGGCTTCTACCGTAGGTGTGTGCTGGCACGGGGATGGCATTTGAAGGCGGGATTGCAGCTGAGAGCGATCCTGGGAGTAGATAGCCATCTAAACCGCAACAAATTCAAATTCAAATACTTACATTTAGCGCTTCATGCAGCGGCATTACCCAAGTTAGATGTAGGGCTTTCCGTCCATGCCAGTCTCAACTCCTCTTATTGAAGAGTTAAATTCGCCGAAATCGCTTTCCGATTCATCAAGGGACGCCCAGTTAAAAACCGCAAAAATACACAAATAACATATGGTGCACATCCCATTTTCTGTGATCCAAGATCGGATTTCACATGACTGAGTTATCAACACTGAGCATACCGCTGAAACAGTAAGCCTTTAAACGCTTTTGACTGTAAGACCGCGGCGATGGAGGAGAAAAGCTGGCACCAAAATGCCCGCTCGCATTGCGCTCCTTTCTTTCGAGCCTAGTGGAGAGGAATATCACCAACTCGTGTCTCCGGTGGAAGATTCCGCGGCATTTCGAGACGCTTGCATACCCGTAGGGCTGACGGTGGCTGCCGACAGGCCCACCGGGATCGAGGAGATGGGAGTCATCAATACGTCGGGAGGCATTCTCGAGCAGCCGCCCGCGCCTGCCTCCGAGCACGAACTTACTGCGATGTCGCCGCTGGAGGCACCTTCTGGTGAATCTGGTATGTAAATGGAGCTGAACTTGAGAATTCTGTGCTGAGTAAGATTTGCACATATTTTCATTTTGAGTCATCTTTCGGGCGTGCTTCTTGTCCCGCCAGATCAACCTGATGTGCGGCACGGGTAGTACGAACGAAGTGCATGCAGAATGCTTCAGCTTCTCGCGCCGGAATCGCCACTTCCTCCTCATTGCCGCCTAGGTCTCCGGGGCTCAACCGTGGGCTACGGTACATGCACGAGCATGAAGCCCGACACGCTGCAGTGCAGGCGCATAGCTCACGGGACCATGCGTTGACATGGGGACACCTGTGGGCGCCAATCTGCACATCCATTTGCTTCTGCAGTGCACTTCAACGTGACCGCCATGGATTCGATGTTGATTGCCAAAATAGTAGCACGCTTCGCGCGCGAGGTCTCTCAGCACTGATCAATGTTCAGTAGCACGCTTCGCGCGCGAGGTCTTAGATGTACTACGCGAGCAGTACGATCTTGTCACTAATATGGAATTTCTTCTTAGTGAAAGAGCGTCTCGCTCATAATTTGTGTATACTTTGTATGTGTATACTTTGTATCGTAAAGAAGCACAACGTAGAGAAGTGAGCTCCCGAGGACATGCGAGATCTCTTTAATCTGCTTCTTAGTATGTACAGCGGGTGTGCAAAGTCAGCACCCCCCCATTCTATATGATTGGAAGTACATTTACTACTTCAACTTAGTACTTTGTATGACCACCTCTGCTGGCAAGCACCGCTTTCAGCCTCTTTGGCATTGAAAGAACGCACTTCCTAACTACTTCGTCATCAATGTTAGTCCAAATATCTAAAAGCTTAATCTTGAGATCATCGAGTGATGTTGCCGGGTTCTTCTGTAACTCCTTCTTCATGATGAACCAGACGTTCTTCAGTTCGCGTAGGCATCCTGCTGTCAGCTTGGCTGTGTGGGCCGGCGCGTTGTCGTGGACAAAAAGTGTCTCACCTGATAGACTCATGAACGCCTTGGTAGTAGGAATTTCTTGGCGCAACATGCGTCTGTAGTAGTCACCCGTGACGGATTCTTAGCAGAAATGTAGAGTCCCAACACCATCAGCGGTGATGGAACTCCACACCATCAGCGACTTTCTGCTTGACTTATATGTCGGAATGACGCAGCGTGCATCGAAGGCTTCGTGTGGTCTCCTCCAAACCGACACTCGACCAGAGGTGCCGTGAAGCTCGACGGACGCCTCGTCGCTAAACAGCACTCTGCTCCACCACTCAGGGGCCATGTTGTCGAACCGCTTCGCGTAAGCGGCGCGAAGCCGGCGGTGCCTACGACTTAGGTATGGCTTCTTACGAGCCGATCTCCCATGGAGCCCTGTATCTCGAACCCGCTCGCGGACGAGCGTGCTTGACACTGGCTGACCGATGTCCTTGGCCACTTGAGCGGCGACAACCGCAGCACTAACAAAGCGGTTGCGCTCTACTTCCCGAACTATACGGCGATCGACGCGGTCATTGGTTCGCCGAGGCCGTCCTGTACGCTGCGGGATGGTACTGTGCCCGTGCTTTTTGTAGAACTTGACGATAGAGCGCACGCTTGGGCGAGGAATGCACAGGTGCTTGCTGATCTTCTTGTAGCCCAGCTTCTCCTTCTTCCATTTGTGGATGACGCGGTCTCGAAGGTCTTGGGAGTACTGACGCCTTGCTGTTCGTGTCATGTAGGGTCTAGTCGGATGAAAGGGATATGATACTGCTCGAATGAACTCGAGCTCGAACTCGGCTTGCGTTTAATCGACTGGTTCTCAGAAGACAGTATAATTAATGTAGTATAAACGAATTTGGCTCCGTGGATTGGTGGATTTCGTTAAATAGCATGCCAATCAGATGCAGGCAAGCGAACCACAAGAAGAAAGCCGCTTTCATCGCGATCGAGATCAAAATCTCCACTTGCACTCTAGTCTGGTAAGGTGTTGAAGTTGCCAAGGACAGAGATGGGGGGGGTGCTGACTTTGCCCACCCGCTGTACAGTTCAACTCCGTACAAATGTATAACCAATTTTGTCGACTGCTGCCAATATCATAGCAGAGCCCCACGAAACATGCCAATACGATGATTACTAGCTTCATATCCGAGGCTTACTACTGCTACTGAAAGAATTGGAATCGGGTTCTGCTTGCTCTGATCGTGCACGTGGTCTACCTTCTTGAACGACAGCTTCCGCGTCTTTGAGACGAAAGCCCGCCCTCACGGTCGAACTCCTGAAAACGCCGCCCGTACATGTACCAAAGTTTGTCTGCTCCAGGTTGGACACCTCTTGGCGCACGTACAGCCCCGCGTAGCACGCGTCAGCCGCCAGCGTAGGCTTGATGAGGCGCACGCAAAATCCCGCTGCAGGTTGTGACTGTGGTTGGCTACGTGCTTCAGGCGGAGCTGGTACCGCCACACGCCGAGCGACGCTGCTGCTACATAGCGTGATAGGGCCATGAGGGCAGCGTGGAGCTTGGAGCAATGGCCACGCACCATTCGACGCTGGGTAGACCTAGGCTAGCTCGCTGGCAATAGTATAGAGTTTGATCGTGGCCGGCGGTGAAAACTGCACAGACCGCTCTGCACAACAACAACAGCAACAACAACGGCACAATGCGCAACACGTCAGTACAGTCGGTGTATATCGGGTCCGCAGTGGCTGAGAATGAGCTGCTACTGAACCGGCAGTGATATTCCGTACGAATACTACGCACCTCAAAGGCCGATGGCAGTGACTGCGGGTGCAGACGGGCGTCTGGGGGTACGAGAGGTTGCTGACACGTCGATAAGCACCAAGCGACCCCATCCGCGACAGTCGAAGCGCTCTTGCAGCTCGGTTGGAGGCAGACTTGGCTACGACTCGCAGCTGGGTCGACGTGTAGCCGCGCGATACATGATCTCAATTGCAGCACTTCCTGGACGCCATCAAGCAAGCCACGTGCGACCCTGCTGACGATGAGTTAATACCGATATATCTTATGAAAGTATACAATATGCGTTAACTATCCATCATTTCTTTTCTATTTCTATCGTTTCTAATTGGATAGTAAAACGAAGTCGGGTGCCGGCACCTCATGCCCCATAATTTGTGATTGACTCTCATTGGTGTAAAAGCAAGCACCTTATCTGCATAAATAGCTCTGCGACTAGTCGTTGGTATACAAATCGACACTTAATCGCACACAATAACGTACCGTTGAGCTGCGATCAAGTTTTGGGTTAGCACCGGTTTACACCGGCTTAGACTGTTGCCTAGCATTTCTTTTCTTAGCCATTATCTTAAGCCGGGCAATTACCGTGACTTTTCACCAAGGTACACGAAGTAAATGGCTTCATTTGTATACTTGAACGATGAAGTTGGGACCTACGTTTGAGCTTTTCAAAAAATCTAAAAGTGTCCCATGTGAGTTCAGAGCATAATGAAACGCAGTCAAGGCCCCTGCACCGGCTGCGCCACACCTCTCTGCTTGCACTTGAGCCCCCGTTTTTCAGAAATACCGAGCGGTAATCGTTTCTAAGTTCGGTACTTCAACGTCAGACCCCAGTAGCTCTCAGCGATGCTGAGAGAACATGGAAATATGCCTCGATTGGATGGATATGTACCTGCCCGACTCACTGAGCACGTGGATGCTCTGCCTCCCTACCGCCGCCTCGAAAATTCCGAATTATCGGTACCTTGAATAAGTAAACCGGCTAATAATTCGGTATTTTCAACTGTCACGCTTTTATCAGCCAATCAAATCCTATTGTCAGTCAACTTAACTCAGTATGTAGCCTTACCTCAAAAGCCAACGGAGCTTTTGTGGTATGGCTACAGAATGAGTTAAGTTAGTTTATTGCCGATCGGTGGCAGGAGCAGGTGATGTACTGTCCCATGCACGGTCTCCGCAAAACTGCGAACGCGCCAATTTGGCTCGGATTTCAAACACGGGCGGCGGGGCGGAGGGTTAGGGATGGATGCTCATCGTGTGCAGACTCCCTAAAGTGCGAGCGCCTTCGGGCCACCGAATGGCACAAAATTGAGCCTATTGGTCATTAGCATTGCCATCCATCACCTTCCGTCCAACATGGCGACGCCCTTCGTCTCGAGTCTGCGCACCTCTCTGGGCGCCACCGGCAGCAGCGCCGTCGTGTCGGCGCCTGTCGGCCCCACCGCCGGCAAGTCGGCCATGATGTCGTTATTCTCGGAGCTGGACCTGGCGCTGGACGCCAGCGGCGCCGTCGTGGCCAGCTCGGCCAAGGACCTGCTGGCCTCCAAGAACGCCGAGAAGCAGGCGGAGGCCGAGCTCGAAGCGTCGCGCGCGCTCAAGCGGCAGCAGAACAAGCTGCAGCAGCAGAATCAGAAGAAGGAGCAGCCCGTGACGGCTCTGAGTCAGGCGCTGGGCCTCTTCGACCAGGAGGTGGACGAGCGCGAGTCCTTCATGTCCCGCAACACCAAGCGGCGGCAAAAGGGCGCGGGCAAGAACAAGGCGCGTGGAGGCTCCTCCACGACGGCAGCGCGCGGCCGCCGCCAGCGTCAGGACAAGTACAAGCGCGTGTAGAAGTACAGTACTGTAGCCCAACTAAATATGCCCATTTTTGCCACATTCTACAGGGTTACCTTGATTTTATTATCGCCCATTACGGCAACCTTGCATTCTTATTTACGGCACACGTGAATCAATTTATACACTTGAAGAGCAACTTCCGCTCGCCAACTGTTGTCCATTCACCTCAGTGCGCAATAATGGATCGCGAAACCACGCCGCAGAAGCAGCGCCAGAAGGTGAGCCTTACTCTGCCCCCACGCTGCTTCGTTCTCGCTATCTAACCCTCTCTTTATCTCTCTTCACAGCGCAGCGGCAGCAACCGCCGCAACAGCAGCGCCTCCGCGAGCCATGGCGCTCCGTCCCGAGCCAGTATGAGCGGGGCAGCTCCAGGCCAAGGCCAAGGCCCTGCACGCGGGGCGTTCCGCGGCCAGCGGCCGCGCAGCCGCACGGCGGCACCCGCGCCCTCACCAGCTGCCATTATGTCCAAGCCCCCGTCCATGCTGCTGCGTCCGCCCAGCGGCGCGTCCTCCGGCGTCCTCTACGAGCCCGATGCTCCCCAACTGCAGGTGAACACCCGACTCAGTGGCAGCTCGGGGTTAAGAGCACCGTCTCTACACAGTTTAAGAGCAAGTAGCTCTCCGGGCATTAAGAGGCCTTCGACTATACAGCAGACCAAGATCGTGCCCCCAAGCACCAGCGTGAAGCTCATCACGCCTCAGATGCAGTTCGCCACAGACCTGTCGATGAAGTTGGGGAGTTGCTTAGAACTCACAAACTTTACGGTAGTGGGGGTGCTGGGGCTCGAAGGCGTGGGGAAGTCCACAGTGCTGTCGTTATTGGCGGAGAAGGACATTAGAGGACAGAAGGAGACGATCTTCTCGACAAGAAGCCTGGAGGCTGTGGTCATGGACCGCCATGAGACCACGGGCGTGGACCTGGCCGTCTCCATGGTGGGCGGGTCGGGACACCCGACGATTCTGCTCGACTCGCAGCCGTTGCTGAGCAGTTCGATGCTGGCTGACGTGCTGGAGCGTAACGAGACTTCGAGATTCGGCGCGCTCACGCCCGAGCAGCAAGTGGAGGCTGCGTCTCTCCAGATCGCGGTCTTCTTGTGCGCCATTTGCCACTATGTGGTGATTGTGCATGATGGGCTGGCTTACCAGGTTCCGGTCTATGACTTGGTAAGGAAGATCGAGCATAAGTTTGCCCAGTGCCGACTGCCCAGTGTCTCCGGTAGCAGCCAGAAGCACGCAGCGCGGCTGTTGTTTGCGGCGAACAACGTCGCGGACTCCGGGTTGCTCTACCGCGAGAACGAGCTCTTCTCTGCCCACGAGCGAGCGCTTGAAGCAGCGTGGCCGCAAGCACTGGTTCGCGTGCCGTACAAATTATCAAGCTACAGCGACCAGCTGGATGAAGGCGGCAGTACAGCGTCGTTTGTGTTCCCGCATAGACAACGACCAGCTTCTGCGAGTGGGAACAAGAAGGGATCAGACCGCAGCATGGTTGAAACCGACAAGTATTCCAGCTTTGATGAAGCTGCACAGGATTTCCAGCGCTTCGTCCTGAGTTTACCCAGCTCGCCCTCGTTTTCATCGCAGCCGATGCCGATCGCGACAACCCCGGGGTCAAAACCTCTGCCACCGCCGCATGCGCTGTCCTTGCGCGAATGGCTGAGCAACGCCTCCCGCGTATTTGAAGGCGTTCGGAAAGCTAGCTGTTTTACGGCTGCCTTACGTGACCATCACTGATACCGAATTGAGCCCAGAGCATCGAGAAGGACGGTTTACAAGTCAGCTGGAGATTATCGAGCGGGAGTGTGAGTGACTTTATCGTTGTGCGAGGAATTAGTTCAATTTCAAGTCTGAATGATACTGAGTGACGAAGGAGAAGGGAGAACTTTGCTTCTCACACAAGTAATGGAGCGGGATCCTTCATAATTACCCAGAGGTCCACCTAAGTTACGATCGAAAAAGCTGATCACACCCGTGCAAGGACGTTCACTACAAGGCTCCACACGTTCTTCGGCTACAGAGCCAATCACCACTAAATCGTCCGTCCGTACTTCAAACCAATGGTGCTTGTTCAGAACGAGGGATTCCTTGCCGTCCTCCTCCTCCATTCGGAGAAGACCGAACGATTTCAAGGCATCTGGCTTGTAGTAGAGCTTTCCGTTTCGCCAGTGGTAACCAGCCAGCCTCGTCATCTTGTTGCGCGCTCCCAAGGTCGTATCGACGCACCACGGAGCCCAAAAGATGTTCTCGTATACGGCCATGTTTCCAGCGAACATAGGTAACCGCGCGGAGTACTCGTGCGAAAATGACGAGTCCGATCAGACCCAACGCAATAATGCTATGCCCCATTAACCCCCACGCATAATATGACACCGCAAGAGCAGCCGGATGAGTATTCCTCATATCCGACCGATTGACTGACGAAAGATACAAGGGCTGTACAATTGCACTCAGCAGTTCTCCCAGCAGCGAGGATTCGTTGCTGAAAAGCAGGCGCTTCACAAAAAGACGGTAAGTTTCGCTCAGCCACCCCATCCTCTCGAACAGCACCAGTAGCACACCAGACAAGTTGTAGCCCAGTGAGAAGTACTGCAGCCAGGCGAAAGATGCGTCGGTCGCTCTGAGCAGGAACAAATCGGTCATCAGACCTTCGAGGAGCAAGTACAACAACATGGATCGATGGTAAGTGGTCGCTCCATGTGCTGACAGACGCAGGTTTTCCTGTACGAAAATCATAGCTGATTCTCGTCGAAGACTCACGCCCATTTGATAGCATTTGGCTCCATAGCGCTTACAAATGATGTAACACCGTCGCAGCACGAGACTCCTGAAAACAATCCAGATTCCACCGACGATGCAGTACCAATACGACCATCTGTACCCATCAGTGCCTTGATGCCGGGCCAAGGCGTCTCCATTGATGTCGAAGGTGCCGACCCCAGTCACGAGTGTGTACGCTGTGCCGTCCAAAGTGCAGTACGTACCAACAAATTCGTCGTAGAAGGAGAAATATCCAATGCTGCCGTGGTAAAGGATTTTTTCAACGGGGTAAATTTCGTTGGCGCAACTGGTTGGCGCTGTGTGGTGAGCTTCCACCGCATCAAAAAGGTTCCGTGGCAGTTGTATTGAAGTGGCACAAGTGACCTTGTTCCGCTGCGTAGTAGTGTGTGGCCTCTAAATTCCACCACACCTGGCCAACGTGAAGGCCCTTCATGGGGCACAACTCGAACAAATTGTCGGTCTGCGGCTCCGTTCCTGCGGGAATTAAAAAGCTCTCTTTGACTTTGTGTGGAACTGCGAACTTCAGGTAGCCGCGTATCTACAAGATAAAGGGAACTGTGCCGATGCAGAGCCATGATGCCAGTAGCTTCCACTTGGAGTTCATAGAGATCGCGTCTCGAGCTGGCGCTGATAGTTTTCTGTGCGGTTCGTCTGCAGCCACGACCACGTTATGAATGATGACAAAGATGGAGTTAAGACACCAAGCCGAAACGGATAACGCCGCAGATAGATAGACTTCACAAATGCTGGTTGATGTCTGAGGACATCAGCGCAAGCTCAACACTCCTGCGGCATTTTTGGCTTCTCAAAATGGGATGCTGATCCAAGGTGCCGCCATGCCATATCGAAACCAAGAGTAAGGACACAGGTGATGTCGTAGTGATAAAGATTGAAAGTTGAGAAGAATTTCTATCCGATCAGATACAACGCGTAGACCTGTAAGTTGGATAGTAAGCCTTTCAAGAAGAATTCGACCAAAGCGAGAGCATTAGGCGGCTCGACTATCAGGCGTTCTGTAACTTGTATTCAGATTTTTTTACGGTAGAATTCGACGCGATAGTTTCGTTTTTGAATATTTATTACGTGCTTTCTTTGAGTCATCTTGAGACCACGAAGATTTTGCTCTACGACTATGGAGCGCTCGTGGACCATCGCCTAATATACTCGTGGAGCCCCCAGTGTACCGCAACTTTTGCATCGAGAGAGAAGCCACTGGTACGTTCTTCTGATAGAAGATGTCGACGCTCGGCGTTTGCTACGTGTCCAGGTAATTCCACTTACACCCGAACGACGAAATGCTAGACAATGCCTCGCTGTACACGATTTTGTCGCAGGGCTTGCTCCGACGAGTGCTCGCGGATGTAGAGGCTCGTGTGGTGGAGGATAATTATCCCAACTGACCCCAAATACGTCAACCTTTTCCTAGCTGACCCTACAAGTTGCAGCAGAAGCCGTCACAGGCGCTGCGTTGGAGGATCAAGTGGGAATGATGTTGAGTGATAATGGAGAAGGTGACACTTTGTTCCCCATCGGAACGGCGGTCGAGCGCGGGCTAACTGGTCCTCCCAAATTACGATCGAAAAAGCTGACCACCCCGGTACAGGGGCGTTCATCACAAAGTTCCACACGTTCCTCGTCCACTGAGCCGATCACCGCCAGATCATCCGGCCGTACCTTAACCCAGTCCAATTTGTTCAGAACGAGGAACTGGCTGCCGTCTTCCCCCACCACTTTGAGTAGCCCGAAGGGTTTCAAGGCGTCCGCTCGATAGTGGAGTGAACCACTTGTACTTGACTGAGCAAAATACAGAATGCCATTGAATTGAGGTTAGCGAGTAGCAACAAGTACCGGTAGCTAGCTCTGAGGGGCGTCTCCAGGGGAGACGCTGCTAATGCAACACGAAAGCCAGGTTGAAGCCTGGTACAAGCAGAGATGCGCCGAGCACGAAGTAGTGACTTGGAGCGGAGTTGAACGGAGACTGGTCCACGTCTCTAGAGCAGAGTGACACATCTGGAGGCGAGCTTCGATTGGTACTGCGTCGACACGGGAACCGCTGACGAGATCGATGTCGAGACGGGCGCTTGTCCACGTAGACTTAGACCATTACAGATAGTAGAGTTTCCCGCCCTCCCAGTGATACGCTGCGAGTTTAGTCATCTTGTTGCGCACTCCGTAGACGGTGTCGACGCAGCACGGCGCCCAGAAAATATCGCGTATCCGCCCATGTTCCCAGTGCACGCAGGTGTGAGGCTCGAACAGATGAGCGCCGGCCATCGAACGCAATGGCTCCGTGCCCCACCAAACCCCACAAGTAATACGACACAGCCACTGCAACAGACTTCGTCTGCTTAAGATCCGATTTATTGAGTGACGTAAGGATATGAGACTGCCAAATAGCACTCAGAAGTTCGCCAAGAAGCGAAGATTCGTAGCTAAAAAGTAGACGCTTGAGAAAAAGTCGGTAATCTTCGTGTAGCCAGCCCATACTCTCCACCATTTCAAGAGGATCCCAGATAGATTGTATCCCAGCGAAGCGTATTGGAGCCAAACGAACGAGCCGTCGGTGGCTGCGACCAGGAACAAGTCGCTCATGAGACCTTCAAGCAGTAAATATAAGAGAACCGCTCGATGATAATTCGTCGCGCTGTGAGCGGATAATCTCAAATTCTCGTGTACAAAACTCGTCGCTTGCTTGCGTCGAAGTGTTGCGCCCATTCGATCGCATTTGTTGCCGTAGCGTTTACATGCAACGTAGCACCTTCGCAGCACGAGGCCTCGATAAATAATCCACATTCCGCCACCAATACAGTACCAATACGACCACCGAGATCCTTCACCACCAAGCACGATTTCCCATTGATATCGAACGTACCCAGCCCCACAGCGTGAGAGTAGGCTGTGTCGTCTAGAGCGCAATAGGTGCTGACCAGCTGATCCAGGAAGCTGAAGTACCCGACGCTGCCGTGGTAAATGAAAAGTTCAGCCGGGTAACTCTCGTTAGCGCATCTGGATGGCGCTGTGCGGTATGGTTCCACCTTGGTACCTCCGATCAAGACGTTGCCGTGGCTATTGTATTGAGGCATCATGAAGTGGCATATATTTCCATGCTCCAATGCGTAATAATGCGTCATCTCGACATTCCACCAGACTTGGCCGATATGGATGCCTATCAGCGGACACAGCTCGAGTAAATTCTCGGTCTGTGGCTTCTACTATGAGACTCGGAAGGATTTTGTGAGGAGTTGCGAAATTCGTGAAGCCGCGGATCTGCAACACGAAGGGGATCACGCCGACGGCAAGCCACGCCGCCAGAAGCTTCCGCTGCGCGGTGATAATTCTGTTGTATTTGGCTCGAGCTGGCGCTGTCAACTAACTCGGCGGTCCAGATTGAAGAGACTGCACTCTGCTTCCGCGTGGTCGACAGACACAAGCTGCACTGGGACTGGGTTGCTCCTACAAGACCGAGTCAAAACGGAGCTCTGCGTCATGCCTCGGAACCAAATTTAAGATGGAATTGAAACGGAAGTCTTAGCGGCATGCCACTGAGAGTTCGTCACCTATAGATCGTGACGACGCGCGAGGCGCCCAGAAGATCACGTGTCTCTAGCGAACATAGGCGGCCGCGCACAGAGTTCGCACCAGTCCAGTGGATATCAACGCGAGAACGGTATATTCCACTAAGCTCTACGCGGGAATTTTTCCTACCCGCCGATTAAAGTGAACGAATCAAGTCGATACCCGATAGTGGCGCGGTTAAGGAACCTGTTAGTCTGTGGCTCTGTTCCTGCTGTTATGCACAGGTTCCTGTTGATCTTGTGTGGGGCGGGGCTGCTAGAAGCGTGTCTACAAATGAAGCACAGGATTCCGACGCTGCAGAGATGTGACAGTTATGCTGGCACTGTGAGTGAAATTACCAAGTGGCCCTGACCACATCGATGAATAATAATGCCGAGTTGAGTCACGACGCCACAGATTGCTAGAAAGTAATGCCATCAAGTAGGAAGGACGCTGGTTGATAAAGATGGCTGAACGCTGCTCCTCCTGCGCACAATAACCGAGCGGAATCTCTCGGAATCCCCTAGAGGTCCACCAAGGTTCCGATCGAAGAAGCCAATCACACCGGTACATGGTCGCTCACTGCACGGCTCCACCCGATCGTCAGCAACAGAGCCAATCACCTTGAAATCGTTCGTCGGAAGCCCAAACCAGTGCAGTTTGTTAAGGACAAGAAACTCCTTGCCGTTCTCCACCATTCTGAGCAGTCCGAAGGCCTTCAAGGCGTCTGCTTTGTAGTAGAGCTTGCCGTCCTCCCAGTGGTAACCCGACAGCTTCGTCATCTTGTTGCGTACTCCATACGTCGTGTCGACGCAGCAAGGCGTCAGGAAGATATCAATTATTCGCCCATGTTTCAAGTGCACGTAGATGACCGCGATCACTATTCGCACACTCATAATGAACGCGACGAAGCACAGCACAATCGCTCCGTGTCCCCACAAGCTCCACAGATAATACGACACAGCAAGCGAGACCGAATTCGTGTTCCGGAGATCCGACCTATTCAGCGACGAAAGGAGGTATGACTGCCAAATAGCATTCGAAAGTTCCCCGATTAGTGAAGCTTCGTAGCTAAATAGCAGGCGCTTCACAAAAAATCGATAGTTTTCGCGTAGCCATCCCATACTCTCCACCATCTCGAATATAAGCAAGAGAACTCCCGACAGATTATACCCCAGCGAGACGTACTGGAGCCAAATGAAGGCGCCGTCCGTGGCTGCAACCAGGAACAAATCGCTCATTATCCCTTCCACCAGTAAATACAGCAGCAGCGCGCGTTGATAATTGGTCGCCCCGTGAGCGGATAATCTTAAGTTTTCATAGATAAAAATTGTAGCTGCTCTCCGCTCAAGAATCACCCCCATTTCGTCACATTTGGCGCCATAATGCTTACTAACCAAGTGACATCGTCGAATAATGAGACCACGAAAGACGATCCAGCTCGCGCCGACGATGCAGTACCAGTAGGACAATCGGTAGCCGTCACTACCGAGATGCTGGGCTAGTGATTTTCCATTGATGTCGTAAGTGCCAACCCCCGCGGTGTGGGAGTACGCTGTCTTGTCCACGGTGCAATAGGTACTCACCAGCTCGTCGTAGAGAGAGAAATAGCCGATACTGCCGTGGTAAATGAACATTTCGGCTGGAAAACTCTCGTTGGCGCAGCTGGATGGTGCTGTGTGGAATGGTGTGACCTTGGTCCGCCCAATCGACAAGTCCCCGTGGCTGTTGTACTGAGGGATCACGAAGTGACAGACTATTCCACGTTCCAGTTCGTAGTAGTGCGTCATGGCCACATTCCACCACACTTGGCCAACGTGAAGACCGGTCATGGGACACAACTCGAGTAAATTATCGGTCCTGGGCTCGGTACCCGGAGGTACGATCACGCTCTCGGGGATTTTGTGAGGAGATGCGAATTTCAAGAAGCCGCGAATCTGCAGAATGAGCGGGATCACGCCGATGCAGAACCACACGGTCAGGAGCTTCCGCTGCGACGTCATCGTGACCTTGCATCGAGCTGGCGTTGTGAGTTTACCATGCAAGCAGGACACTCTTCTCCACGACATGGTCGACAAACCTATTGGGGTGACTGACTTGTGGAGTTATCCCCAAAGTTTCCGAAACGGATCACGCCACAGATAGATTTCAGCTTACAAGGCATTCAAAGTGGGGTATCAATTGGGAACGATGCTAAGACTTAACGGAGAAGGCGACACTTTGCTGCCCATTGGAATGATGGCTGAGTGGGGACTTCCTGCATCGCTGACTGGACCTCCCAAATTCCGATCGAAAAAGCCGACTACACCGGTACATGGCCGCTCAGCGCAGGGTTTCACCCGGTCTTCTACCACGGAGCCGATCACCACCAAATCGTCCCCGCGTACCTTAAACCAATGCAATTTGTTCAAAACGAGGAACTGCCTGCCATCTTCCCCCATCATTTTGAGTAGCCCAAAGGACTTCAAGGCATCCGCTCGATAGCGGAGCTTGCCGTCCTCCCAGTGGTACGCTCCCAGCTTCGTCATCTTGTTGCGTACTCCGTACGTCGTGTCCACGCAGCAAGGCGCCCAAAAGATGTCGTAAACCCGCCCATGTTTCCAGCGTACGTACGTGACCGCGCGCAGTATTCGGACGGAGACAATGAAGCTGATGAGCACCAACGCAATGGCTCCGTGCCCCACCAAACCCCACAAGTAATAGGATGCAGCAACAGCAAGAACCTTGGTCTGGTTCAGATCCGACTTGTTTAACGAGGTGAGAATATTTGACTGCCAGATTGCACTCACGAGTTCCCCAAGCAGCGAAGGTTCGTAGCTAAAAATTAAACGCTTCACAAAAAGTCGGTAATCTTCGCGTAGCCAGCCCATACTCTCCACCATCTCGAACAGAAGCAAGAGGATCCCAGACAAATTGTATCCGAGCGACACGTACTGGAGCCAAATGAACGAGCTGTCCGTGGCTGCAACCAGAAACAAGTCGCTCATTAGACCTTCAAGGAAAAAATACAGCAATAATACTCGATGATAATTCGTCGCTTCGTGAGCTGATAATCTCAAATTCTCGTGGACAAAGATCATAGCTTGCTTCCGTAGCAGATTCACACCCATTTGATCGCATTTGGCGCCATAGAGCTGGCATATGACGAAACATCTACGTAGCACGAGCCCTCGATAAATAATCCACATCGCTCCACCGATGCAGTACCAATACGACCACCTGTATCCTTCGCCGCCAAGTTCACGAGCTAAGGATGCTCCGTTGATATCGAAAGTACCCAGGCTCAAAACATGCGAGTAGGCCGTGTTGTCCAGGGTGCAATAGGTACTGACTAGCTGGTCCAGGAAGGAGAAGTACCCGACGCTGCCGTGGTAAATGAAAATTTCGACCGGGTAACTCTCATTATCGCAGCTGGAGGGCGCTGTGCGGTACGCTTCCACCTTAGTGCTGCCCATTAAAACGTTGCCGTGGCTATTGTATTGAGGAATCACGAAGTGACAAACATTGCCTTGGTCCAAGGCGTAATAGTGCGTCATTTCCACGTTCCACCACACTTGGCCGACGTGGATACCTTTCAACGGGCACAACTCGAGTAAATTATCGGTCTTTGGCTCCGCCCCTGGCGGTACGAGCAGCTTTGTGGTGATTTGGTGGGGGATTGCGAAGTTAAAGTAGCCGCGAACCTGCAAAACAAACGGTACCATGCCGACTGCTAGCCAGGCTGCCAAGAGTTTGCGTCGGGGTGTCATGAAGCTGCTACCCCGAGCTGGCGTTGTCAGCTTTCTCGGCGGTCCATCTTGAAGCGAATGCACTCGTCCAAACTTCATACTGTAGTCGAGGTGATGTTTTTTATTGTTCAGGAATATATTGTCACCGCTGTAAGACAGAATCGAAACGGAGGTCTGCGTCAGGCACGCCATAGATAGCTTCAAGGCTAATTGTTGACAAGCCTTGCGAGCCATCGGAGCTCAGTCGTTATCTCTGTTCACCATGGAGTTGGTTATAAAAAGCTTATAATATCCTTACCCAAGAAAGCAGGTGGATACGAGCAGCAAGAATGTGGAGCCAAAACCAATTGAGATCATGGTGTTTCTTCAGTATTATTATTTCTGATTTCTATCTCAAAAATACAGCCACATGAGCGAGGCCACTAGCATCAAGTAGGAAGGACACTGAGAGCAGAAGAAGCAGGTAAAACTTTGTTCCCCAGTTGAATGGCAATCGAACCGGGGCTTCCTGCACCACCCACCGGTCCTCCCAGACCTCGATCGAAAAAGCCGACCACACCCGTACAAGGACGCTCATCGCATACGCAGCTACTTGAATTTCGCGACTCCACATAAAATTCCAAAGAGACTGTCAGTGCCGCCAGGCTCAAGGCAAGAGACCGACAATTTAGCCGAATGTAGGGCCTTCACGTTGGCCGAGTGTGGTGGAATGTGGCGATGACGCACTACTACGAATTGGAGCATGGTCGTGTATGTCATTTCGTGATTCCTCAATACAATAGTCACGGGAACGTCTTAACGGGAAGTACCAAGGTGGAAGCATACAGCGCAGCTCCATCCACCTGCGCGAACGAGAGTTATCCAGCTGAGATCTTCATTTATCACGGCAGCGTTGGCTATTACTCCTACTTCGACGAACTTGCCGGAACATATTGCACCTTGGACAACACAGCATACGCGCACGTATTGGGGCTAGGCACGTTCGATATCAATGGAAAAGCTCTGGCTGAGCATCTCGGTGGTGATGGTTACAGGTTGTCGTATTGGTACTGTATTGCCGGATCACTTGAGAAACAACATTCGGCATTAGACCTCAATTTGATGTGAACCACATGTCACATATGATTGGGTATAATCAACTGTTTCATCTTACTATTGACCAAAATTAATGGGTCTGCGCATGTCGAGATAATCGCGTAGAAAAACCTCAAAACTGTAGCCCTTCTAACTAGTCTCCAACAGGCGCTACAACATCGACAACCGAACATAAGGGTAAAGCAGTCACTCGCGATTACGGTGATATTTTATTTTCTAATATCGCTAATTTTTGACGGCACCTCGCTAAAAAACTTAATGTTGCCTAAAACGGACTTCAGATAAAAGGCTGTTTCTCTTTTCTTTCTGTTGCTAGATTTTTTTAAATCATAGCGTGAAACGGAGCAAATGCGCAGCTTTCGGTTGAGGTATTGCGAGTCACCAAACGATTTTTTTTTTAAAAGTTATGTCCAGAAAACCGAAGTGTTGTTTCTTATGTGGGCCAGAGAAGTATGTATCGAGGTCTCGTGCTGCGACGATGCTTTGTAATGTGCATGCGCTACGGCTCAAGATGCGACCGAATGGGCGTGAATCTTGGACGGAAAGCAGCAATGATCTTCGTACACGAAAACCTGCGATTGTCGGCACATGATGCGACAAATAATCAGAGGCTGGTGCTGCTATATTTGCTGCTTGAAGGCCTCATGAGCGATTTCTTCATGATTGCAGCAACCGACGGATCTTTTGTTTGGCTTCAGTACGTGTCACTAGGATATATTCTATCTGGAGTACTATTGCTATTGTTTGAGATGGTGGAGAATATCGGCTGGCTACGTGAAAGCTACCGAGTATTTGTGAAGCGCTTAATTTTCAGCTACGAATCGTCACTACTAGGGGAGTTTGTGAGTGCATTATGGCAATCGTACGTCCTCACATCGATGAATCGGTCGGATTTGAGGCAGACAAAGCCGGTGGCACTTGCTGTATCGTATTACTTGTGGAGTTTGGTGGGACACGGAACACATGCGCTGGTTCTCATCGGGTTCATTATATCGGTACGACTACTACGCGCAGCCGCCTACGTGCAGTGGAAGCATGGACGAACACGTGATACGTTTTGGGCTCCTTGTTGTGTCGACACGGCCTATGGAGTGCGCAACAAGATGACGAAGCTGGCAGGCTACCGCTGGGAGAATGGGAAGCTTTACTACACCGCGGAGGCCTTAAAATCGTTGGGACTTCTCAAAGCGGTGGAGGAAGATGGGACGGAATTTCTCGTTCTAAACAAACTGCACTGGTTTGCGGACGATTGGTCGCTATTGGCTCCGTCGCTGGAGGGCGCGTGGAAATCTGCAAAATGAAAGGGAGAATGCCGACGAACGCCCACGCTGCCAGTAGCTTCCGCTTGGAATTCATGACGCTGTTAGAGCGAGCAGGTGCCGTCATCTGAGCATGAGGTCCATCTTGGACGGAAAGCACTCTTCCCAGCGCCATAGTCCTCGGCAAGTTCTGGGATCGGTCAGGAATAGCTACGATGACACAATCCACTAGTCACCACGAAACGGATGCGCTTCTGCAGTACAAGCCGTCCAGTAATAACCCGCTGAGTGGGAGGAAAAACAAAGCCCAAGTAGCTGGAAATGCTCTGGTTGAATAAATATCTTTCCCAGTAAAAAATAAAAATCATTCGCTATCGACTCCTTTTAGGAGATCAGCTATGTCTTGACAATCGGGTATTCATGGGAACAAACCCCTCGGAAGCTTTAGTCTCGAGACCCTCGACTTCAACGTAGCATCGTAGCAGAATCGTACCTCATAAGTATCCCAGTCAACTCGGAGCAAAAGGTGAAACTTTATTCCCCACACGAATGACCACTGAACGGAGACTTGCAGCGTCGCAAACCGGGCCTCCCAAGCTACGGTCGAAGAATCCAACCACGCCCGAGCAAGGACGCTCGCCACAGGGCTCCACACGACCTCCAGCTACAGCGCCGATCACCACTAAATCCTCGTCCCGTGCGTCAAACCAACGTATTTTGTGCATAACGAGGAACTGACTGCCGTCCTCCCCCTCCATTTTCAGCAGTCCGAAGGGTTTCAAGGCGTCGGCTTTGTAGTAGAGTTTCCCGCTCTCCCAGTGGTATCCTGCCAACTTCGTCATCTTGTTGCGCGCTCCGAATGCCGTGTCGACGCAGCACGGAGTCCAGAAGATATCACGTATCCGCCATGGCTCCAGCGCACGTAGGTGACGGCGCGGAGTATTCGAACGAACATGATGAACCCGATAAGGACGAGAACAATAAGGCCATACCCCACCAAGCTCCACATGTAGTACGACACAACGGCAGCCGTCGGTCTGGTATTCTTCATGTCGGACCGATTGAGCAACGAGATGACGGTGGGCTGCCCGATTGCACTCAGAAGCTCTCCCAGTAGAGCGGATTCGTAGCAGAAGAGCAGCCGCTTCACAAAAAGCCGCGAGCTTTCACGAAGCCAGCCCATTCTCTCGATCATCTCAAATAATACCAGAAGTATACCAGACAAGTTGTAGCCTAGAGAGGCGTACTGGATCCAAGCAAAAGACCCGTCCGTTGCTGCAAGTAGAAACAAATCGCTCATGAGGCCTTCAAGGAGCAGATACAACACCATCGCTCGATGGTAATTCGTCGCTCCGTGTGCTGATAATCTTAAATTTTCGTGTACGAAGATGGTTGCTGCTTTCCTTTGAAGCTTCACGCCCATTTGGTCGCATCTAACGCCATAGCGCTTGCATGCGACATAGCATCTTCGCAATACGAGGCCACGAAACACGAGCCAGCAAGCGCCAGCGATAGTGTACCAGTAGGACCATCTGTAGCCGTCACTACCAAGATCGTGAGCTAGATCCGCTCCATTTATGTCGAAGGTGCCAACCCCAGCGACGTGAGTATACGCAGTTCCGTCCTTAGTACAATACGTGCCAACTAGCTCGTCGTAGAAGGAATAGTACCCAATACTGCCGTGGTAAAAGAACAATTCGAAGGGGTAACTGTTGCTAGCGCAGTCGTCTGGTCACCACGCCCAGACACGGTCGTTCAATGCACGGCTCGACAAGCTGCCCTGTCACGACTCCAATCACAACCAAATCATTCGCCGGGATCGTCAACCAATGCAGTTTGCGCAAGACCAGGAATTCAGTGCCATCCTCCTCAACCATCTCGAGAATCCCAAAGGCTTTCAACGCGGTAGGAGTGTAGTAGAGTTCCCACCTTTCCACTCGTAACCCCTCAGCATCTTCATCTTGTTGAGCATCCCGAGCGTAGTATCCACACAGCATGGGGCAGTGAAGATACTCCACCAAACCCCGTGTTTCCAGCGCATGTAGGTTACAGCACGCACTACCCGGACGAACATGATGGAGCCGATGAGGGTGAGTACGATGGAGGCATGACCCACTAAGCCCCACACGTAGTAAGACACTGCTGATCCCGAGTTCTTCAAGTCGGAGTGGCTTAATCCTGTGAGGAAATGCGACTGACCGATGGCACTCAAGAGTTCGCCGACTAAAGAGGACTCGTAGCTGAACAGCAGTCGTTTAACGGCGAGCCGGGTGGTTTCCGTCAGCCAGCCCATGTTCTCAACGATCTCAAAGCACAGCAACACCACGCCGGACAAGTTGTACCCGAAGGAAATGTACTGGACCCAGGAGTATATCCCTTCAGTAGCGACGAGGAGGAACAGATCGCTCATAATTCCTTCAACCAGGAGATACAGGAGAACCACTCGATGGTAATTCGTCGTTCCATGTGCTGGCAGCCGCATATTCTCGTGCACAAACACCATAATTGTCTTCCGATCCAAATCTTCGCCCAATTGATCGCACTTGTGTCCGTAGCGCTTACAGGCGACGTAACTTCGGCGGATGACGAATGCGCGATAGATAACCCACACCGACCCCACGGTTGCGTACCAACCGGACCACCTGTAGCCATAGCTTCCTGGATCTTGAGCGAGTAACCAGCCGTTGATGTCGTCCGTGCCAAGTTCGTCTATGATGCCGTAAATGGTGCGATCTTTAGTACAGTAGGTGCCAGCGACTTCTTCGTAGAATGAGTAGAATCCAATAGTACCGTGGTAAAAGTACAGATTCACAGGGTAGCTGTCGTCAGCGCAGCTCGCAGGCACAGAGTGATATGCTGTCGTTTTCTCGGCCCCTATCAAACAATTGCCATGACAGTTGTACTGGGGTGAGACGATATGACAGAGCCGCCCCTGCTTCACGTTGTACAGTAGTAGTGGGTAGGCTCCAGATTCCACCACACTTCCGACATCTGAAGGCCGAGTACAGGACACAATTCCGTCATATTCGCAGTCAGTGGCTCTGCATCTGCTGGCACCACGAGACTCTCGGTGATCTTGTGTGGCGTCACGAATTTCAGGAAGCTTCGTACTTGAAGAATTAGCGGGGCCAGACCGACAACACATCACGCCAGGAGCAACTTGCGCTGCACAGTCACGAATCCCGTGGTTCTTTCGGGGCGCGGTAGGACGCATGCCGCGGGTGTTCTTCATTGAAGCAATGCACTCGTGCTTGCTTCATCTTTCGCTCACTCCCAATTCGCAAGCTTTGACGAATCGACTTGGAATGGCCCAGCTGAAACGTCCAGTCCTCGGATATATTTGCACCCTTGCAACCGATAATCCCTCTTGACACTTGTTGGTCTCCGTCGGACACACTCAAATTCTGCGATGCTCCAAACTTTGTTGATAGATTTGTTCAGCGTGCCTAATAGAGGTAGGGAGAAGTTTTACCGTGCGAAGCTTGCTCTACCTTCACGTATACTTCTAGTGACGCTCTGGAGACCCTTCAACGACAGCGAACTCCTGTGTCTCACAAGGATGGAGCGCATGATGCTTTGGTCTAGAGGGCCGCCTAAGCTGCGATCGAAGAAGCTCACCACGCCAGTACACGGCCGTTCCTCGCATGGCTCCACGCGCTGCCCCGACACGCTCCCGATTACGACCAAATCGACCGCCGGCACTTTGAACCAGTTCAGTTTGCGCAAGACAATGCACTCCGAGCCGTCCTCTTCCTCCATTTTCAGTAATCCAAATGCTTTAAGCGCCTCAGGCTTGTAACACAGTTTTCCGCTGTCCCAGCAGTACCCATTCAGCATCATCATCTTGTTGCGCATGGCGAAAGTTGTGTCGACGCTGCATGGCGTCATCAAAATGGCGCGGACATGCCCAAACTTCCATCGCATGAATGACACAGCACGGAGGGCTCGGACGAGCAGGATGAAGCCGATGATGGTAAGGACGACGATGGCGTGACCCACTAAGCCCCAAAAGTAGTAAGAAACAGCACGGGCTGTTGCTCCTGTCTTCTTCAGATCCGAGCGACAGAGCGATGTGAGGAAGTAAGGCTGGCCGATGGCACCCAGGAGCTCGCCGACGAAGGCGGACTCGTAGCTGAAGAATAGCCGCTTAATGGCAAGCCGGGCGCTTTCCTGCAGCCGCCCCATGTTATCAATCAACTCAAAGCACAGCAACACCACACCCGATAGGTTGTACCCGAACGAAATGTACTGGAACCAGGAAAAGATCCCTTCAGTGGCAACGAGAAGAAACAGATCGCTCATAATCCCCTCAATCAGCAGATACAGGATAACCATTCGATGGAAATTCGCCGCTCCGTGCGCCGACAGTCGCAAATTCTCGTGGACAAACACCATCACCGCTCTTCGATTAAGATTTTCACCCAACTGATCACACTTGCGGCCATAGCGAATACAAGCGATGAAGCTTCGGCGGATGACACAGAATCGATAGATAATCCACACCAACCCCACGGTAGCGTACCAAGCTGACCATCTTTTGGCGAGGCTTCCTGCGTCCTTAGCGAGTAGGGAGCCGTTGATATCGTAGGTGCCGAGTTGGTCAATAAGCCCGTACATTGTATGATCTTTGGTGCAGTACGTGCCTTCGACCTCTTCGAAGAATGAGTAGAATCCAATTGTACCGTGGTAAAAGTACATACTCAACGGATAGCTGTCATTCGCGCAGCTCTCGGGTACGGAGTAATACGCCTCCGTTCTCTCGGATCCAATGAGGTAGGTGCCGTGGGAATTGAACTGTGGCGAAACCAAGTGGCACAGTCGCCCCTGCTCCACCTCGTGATAATGCGTCGTCTCGATATTCCACCACACCTGGGACATCTGAAGACCCAGCGCTGGACACAGCTCCGTCATGTTTGCTGTCTGTGCCTCTGCGTCTGCCGGCACCACGAGACTATCCATGATCTTATGTGGGGTCACGAATTTCAGGAAGCTCCGCGCTTGAAGGATGAGTGGAACCAAGCCGACAACGCACCACGCCAAGATTAACTTGCGCTGCACAGTCACGAAGACAGTGCTTCCTTCCGGGTCATGGAGGGACAAGCGCCGTGCCGGTTCTTCATTGGAGCAGTGCACTCGCACATGTACTTGCTTCATCTTCCTTCCGCTGAGTAGTAGCAGAATTTAGCAGGCTTGGCGAATTGAAACGGATTGGAGGTGGCCCCGCTAATACGGACGAGCCGTGGATATTTTTGCACTCGACAGTGCTGCGTCTGCACCCGATAACCCACTTGACTTCTCACGATATACTCGACCCCAGGCATATCCAGTTGTTGCTGAGGCAAACATGGTATGAGAGTGCTTGGTCATGCTTTGGAAAATTTCTATAGGTCAAGCCTGCTCTACTCAGTGCATGCCACGACTTGGATACTTCTCAGCGACGGCGAACTTGACACCTTGTTTCTCCCACGAAGCGACCAAACCTTGCTTCGGTCAAGAGGGCCACCTAAGCTGCGGCCGAACAAGCTCACCACACCAGTACACGGTCGTTCGGCACAAGGCTCTACGTGTTCATCGGACACACTTCCGATCACGATCAGGTCTACAGTCGGAACTTGGAACCAGTGCAGCTTGCGCAGGACGATGAACTCGGAGCCATCCTCTTCCTCCATCCTCAACAATCCAAAGGCTTTGAGCGCCTCGGGTTTGTAGTACAACCTGCCGCCGTCCCAGCAGTACCCAGACAGCAGCATCATCTTGTTGCGCGTGGCGAAAGTCGTGTCGACGCTGCATGGAGCCGTCAAAATGGCCCAAACACGGCCAAACTTCCATCGTACGCATGCGACGGCTCGTACTATCCGGACTGCCATGATGAAGCCGATAAGAACGACGACAATGATGCTATGGCCCACCAATCCCCACACGTAGTACGACACTGCTCGAGCCGCTAGCCCTGACTCCTTTAAATCTGAACGGCTCAAGGACGTCAGGAAATACGACTGACCGATCGCACTCAGAAGCTCTCCTAGCAACGACGACTCGTAGCTGAAGAGCAGGCGCTTGATAAAGAGTCGAGAGGTCTCGCCCAGCCACTTTAAGTTCTCCACCAACTCGAACAGGATCAGCAGTAACCCGGACAAGTTGTAGCCGAACGAGATGTACTGGAACCAGGCGAATATTCCATCAGTTGCGACGAGCAGGAACAAATCACTCATGACGCCTTCAACTAGAAGATACAAGAGCGCAAGTCGATGGTAGTTTGATGCTCCGTGCGCAGACAATCGCATGTTCTCGTGGACGAACACCATCGCCGTCCTTCGGGGCAGTGTTTCTTGCATCTGGTCGCATCGTCGCCCATACCGCTTGCATGCGATATAGCACCGCCGTAACACCAGAGCGCGATAAATAACCCATATCGCGCCGACGGTACCATACCAGAACGAAATGCGATAGTCGTAGCTGCCACCGTCCTGAGCAAGCAGCCACCCGTTCATGTCAAACGTCCCCAGCCCATCGATCAGCCCGTACATCGTGTGGTCTATAGTGCAATACGTGCCCGTGACCTCTTCGTAATACGAGTAGAACCCGATGCTGCCGTGGTAGAAAAACATCTCAACCAGGTAGCTGTCGTTCGCACAGCTAGATGGTGTAGTGTGATAAGCTTGCACTCGGTCAGTTCCGACGACGTAGTTCCCGTGGCAATTGTACTGTGGCGAAACGAAGTGGCACAGTCGACCATGCTCCAATGTGTAGTAGTTCGTTGTCTCGACGTTCCACCACACGTGGGCCATTTGTAGACCTAGCGCAGGACACAGTTCCGACATATTCGCCGTCTCTTGTTCAGCCCCTGGCGGAACTACGAGAGTTTCTGTAATCTTGTGTGGCGTCACGAACTTGAGAAAGCTTCGTATTTGGAGGATCAACGGCATCATGCCAACAACGAACCAAGCTGTCAGCAACATTTGCTGAGCCGTCAGGACAGCAGCAGAGGAGACCATCTGATCCTCGTGGGCTTGTTTCGCGTGGACTTTAGTCCTCTTCTTAGCTGCTGCCAGCTCCTTGGCTCACTCCTGGCAACAAGGAGTCTACAAGAACTATTTTAATAGTTGTTTTAAAAATGTTGACCCGTCGAAACGGCCGGGGGTGAGGCAACTAAAGTAAGACCCCCGTGGTGATTCGCGTGACCGGCCATATTTATCACTTCGCTCAGTACACGCGACTCGGATACTCACGGGCGACGGCTTTACGGTGAAGGCGAAACACTAAACGAAATGCTGCGGACTAGAAGAAGGCTTGAACGTCGTCTCTCCATCTCAACATGGCAGCCTCCCAGTCCCCGGTCGAAAAAGCTCACTACGCCAGTGCATGATCGCTCATCACACAGCACAGTGCACTGCCGAAGTATGGTCCCGATAATAATCCAGTCATGGTCCGGAATCTTGAACCAATGCAACTTCCGTAGAACGAGAAACTCGTCGCCATTCTCCTCCTCGGTTTTGAGCAAGCCGAACGCCTTCAGCCCATCTGCTCTGTAGTTCAGTTTGCCGTTCTCCCACAGGTATCCATCCAGCATTGTCATCTTGTTGCGCGTGCCAAGCGTGCTGTCGACGCAGCATGGCTCGGAGAAGATATTCCACAAAGACCCATGTCTCCAGCGCACGTAACAAACCGCCCAAACTGCTCGGACTATGATGAACGCGATAAACGATAGTATGAAGACGCCGTGGCCAACCAGACTCCAGGCGTAATACGACACAGCAAGTGCGGCGGGTCTTGTATCTTTCATACTCGATCGGTTCAATACCGTGATATAGCGCTCCTGTGCTATGGCACTTAGCAGTTCTCCCAGCAACGAGGACTCGTAGTTGAATAGAAGTCGTTTGATGAAGTAGTGCCATCGCTCCGACATCCATCCCATGTTCTCATCTCGAACAGTAGCAGGAGCAGCCCAGACAAATTGTAGCCCAGAGAAATGTATTGGACCCTGGTGAAGATGCCATCGTTCGCGCCAAGAAGAAACAAATCACTCATCAGTCCTTCCGCTAGAAAATACAGCAAGAAGACTCGCTGGTAGTTAGTTGCCCCATGAGCAGACAAGCGCAAGTTCTCGTTTACGTTACCGTCTACGTGAAAGGGTTTGACCCAGTTGATCGCACTTGAGACCGTAGCGCTTGCAAGCAACATAGCTTCGCCGCAACACGAAAGCACGAAATATAAGCCAAACGATCCCCAATGCGCAGTACCAATACGAGAAATTGGACTCGAGCTTGCCAGTGTACTTGGCCAACTTCGCGCCGTTGATATCAATGGTCCCCAGGGTATGCGCGCGAACATAAGCGATCTTGCGTGTGTTGCAGTATGTCCCGGCGGCTTCTTCGTAGAACGCCAAGTATCCGATGCTGCCGTGGTAGAGGAACATTTCGAACGGCACACTATCATCGGCACAACTTGCCGGTGCAGTGGAAAATGGCGCAACCATGGTGGTCCTCATCCAAAAATTCCCGTGCGTATTGTACTGAGGTGCCACGAAATGGCAAAGTCTCCGATTGCCAATGGAGTAGTAGTGCGTAGTTTCGATATTCCACAGCGTTTGGCCCATATGAATTTCCCTCGTAGGACACAACGTCGTTAAATTCATGATCGATTCAGCTGATGCTTCCGGAATGAAGAGAGCGTTGGGGATTCTGTGGGGCGTCGCAAATCTTAAGAAGCTCCGAGCTTGTAGAATGAACGGCAACATGCCGAGAAACAGCCAGGCCGCCAATAGTTTTCGCGTTGTAGTAACCGACTGAATAAGTCCTGCACATGTACTAGCTCGCGGCTCAAACGACGACTTGTTAGGACCACACTCAACGCAGTGAACTCTCCCCTGCATCATCGTGATAGGCTTGAGCAGTATGATGGACTGGGCTTGGCTGCAGGATGTCCATTGACAAGTCGTACGCAAGGCGTCTAAATATTCGCCGCACTTGATCGGACATCAAAACTGCTGGATAACAATAGACGCTTCTCCGCGTGATGAACCAACGCCAAAACTACGAGCTTCAAGGCGCTGGCACAACACCCAATGGAGCTGGTGCAACGTGTGTACTTCTATGAACGAACAAGACACGACTGCTCTCACGCTGACCAGGCGCTCCACCCAAACTGCGACTGAAAAATCTGACTGCTTCTGCGCAAGCACGTTCGCGACATGGTTGCACCCGCCTTCCTGAGACGCTACCGATTACAACCAGGTTATCACGTGGGACTCCGATCCAGTGCAACGTGTAGACAACAAGAAATTCTGCGCCATCTTCCTCCTCCATCTTCAGCATGCCAAACGCCTTCAGCGCTTCTGCCTTGTAAAAGAGCCGTTCACCTTCCACACGGTAACTTTCCAGCATAATCATTCTGCAGCGAGGACCCAACACGGTATCAATGCAACACGGCCTCGTGAATATCGTTAACGTGCGATTTGTCGACAGCACGTACGCCACCGCACAAATCACACGAACACATACAATGAAGCCAATCAACATCATGACGTAAATCGTGTGCCACAGCAAACTCCACACGTAGTAGGACACTGCCAAAGCGGTTGGTCGTGACTCCTGCAAATCCGATCTATTGAGCGCAACGAGAAAATGCTTTTGAACTGCTGCACTGAGAACCTCGCCCAGGAGTGACGATTCGTAGCTGTAGAGTAAGCGTTTAATCATCATCCGCTTCCTTTCACCCAGCCATCGCATATTCTCGATGATTTCCCACACCATCAGAAGCATTCCGGACAAATTGTATCCGATTGAGATGTACTGTATCTCAGTGATAAACCATCGTGCGCGATCAGCAAGAACAGGTCGCTCATCAAGCCCTCGATCAGTAGATACAGCAACAGAAACCTTTGGTAATTTCTTGCGCCATGAGCCGACAGTCGTAGATTTTCGTGGACGAACACCATGGCGGGCTTTCTCGGAAGACTCTGGCCCATCTTGTCACACATTCGTCCGCACCGCTTGCACGCAATGTAGCTTCGACGCAGTACCAAAAAGCGGTATAATATCAATAGCGAGCCGACCGAACCATACCAGTATGACCTACGGTAGCCTTTGCTTCCCCCGTCTTGCGCGAGAAACCACCCATTTATATCGTAGGTCCCAAGCGCATTAGCAACGGCGTATCCTGTTCTGTCCAAGGCACAGTAAGTGCCTTCTGCTTCCTCATAGAACGAGTAGTAACCAAAACGTCCATGGTAGAGGTAGTTCTCGAAAGCGTAGCTGTCATTTGCACAGCTGCGTGGCGTCGTATGAAATGGAGTGGCTTTCGACCCTCCCACACGATAACCACCATGCAGATTATACTGAGGAACCACGACGTGACATATCCACCCGTCCTCGACTTTGTAGCAGTGCGTTGGCTCCACATTCCACCACACTCGAGACATCAGAAATCCAGTCGCAGGGCACAGCTCGGTTAGATTCGTCGTTTCTCTCTCTGCGCCTGGAGGTGCCACAAGTGCCTCGGTGATCTTGTGAGGTGTGACGAATTTGAGAAAGCTTCGTGTTTGCAAGATAAACGGCACCATGCCTACGCCAAGCCATGCTGCAATCAGCATTCGTTGCGCTGTCAGCAAGCCTCGGGTTGTCGTCACTGTATGGTCATGAGGTCCTGTGAAGAAGAGTACCGGTGATTGCTTCACCACGGACAGCTCGGTCTTCATTCACCACATGCACACGTCCAAAGCGTGACAATAGTTTTTCGTCACACGAAACGGACGCGGCCTTTCAGTGACCCGAAACGACAGCGCTTATGATCTGAGTTGCTGGCTATGCACTAGGTGCCAGCCAATATGTTAACCCCGCTGGCTGTGCTGGTCCGTTCTTGCTTAAGTCGGAGGTGATCCACGAGACGCCCAACACTGCGAGACCATCCACCGCCATCCACAAAATAAAACAACTCGGAGCGCGCAAGAGTGTACATCTTGCTGAGGTCTAGGAAATTATTCTGGACGATGACAGGGTACACGCTCTTCCTCGGATGCACTGTCTGGGCTGCGGTGACAATTCGGGTCATTGAGGCGATGAGCTGCTTCCTGACCAGCTTATTTGCCTTCGCTTCATCGGATCCCTTATCTCCGGAGGATGGCGGAACTTCGACCAGCATTACCACACCCCGGCAGGTATTCATCTGCTCGACCAGGTGGCTTTCATCCAGATCGCGGCACGGAAAACCAAAACCTTCCAGATCCGTCTTCACACGTACCCGCAGAGAGCTCGCAGCACCGAGTGGTGAATAAATGAGGACTGGTTTCTGATCATCAGCCAAAGCAGTACCCATTTGTTCGTTTGTCGGACTTCCTTCGTCAGCGTCATCCCTTGATCTAGTCGCGGCGGACGCTGTAACGCGTTGATGGCGTTTTCTTCGGTGTGGAATAATGGAGGCCACGTTTTCACGCTCTTCCTTGTCAAGGTGCCGCCCATCTTTCATGACAGAAATCATGAGTGGACGCGTTACTTGCCATCTCCTGGCAAACGCAGCCTCATCAATGTCGAACACCACCGCTCGGGGACTCTCCTGCCGCCTCGCAACGATGAAGTCATTAAATGGAATCCGGTTCTTGTATGGAATGAGCGACTGCACACATGTAACCCCACATTCATAAGATATCACGCAACAACACAGAGCCGGCACTTCCGAACGTACCTCCAGCGCTGCCATTGATGCTGGGTGGTCCTCTTCTACGATTAGGCCTAAAACTATAACACAAAACAGCAGTGTTAACTTATGAACGAAATAAATTCCACTCAACGAATGCGATCAACAGTACCTGGTTTGCGGAGCTGCTTGGCGAGTGCTAGCTCCTTCAGACACCACTCAGACTTGGTGTAGCCATCACACACGATACTAAGAACGAGAGAGCAGTTGTTGATACCACGCGCAATCTCCTCTCGCCAAACTGCACCGCCGCCAATACCGCTTGGGTCCATCGTATCCATCCAGCAGGTAAGCTGTTCCTGGCTTTCCAAGTGTTCGCGAACTTTCTGAGCAAACTGAGCGTGCGTATGCGTGTACGAAATCATGATCTTGCGAGTTCCAGCCTCTTTCTTCAGCAAAAATTGCAATTCAGTTGACGTCGTGCAGTCCACAGCTCGCTTGCCAACATCATTTGTGATCATCATGCTGGATCCGCACTTGATCAGCGACACAGCCGTCTGCCTGTTCTCACGCTGCAGCGCGATGTGAAGTGCCGTATTTCCACCCGATACCTGTGTACGGAGGCTAGCCCCTGCAGCCACCAAACTGGAGAATATGGACGAGTCGACGCCTTCAGCTTCCGCAGCGAAACACACAACCGGAATACCCTCATCATCTTCAGCATCCGCTTTGGCGTTGTAAGCGAGCAGCAAGGAGACCACCTCGTGGTGATTGTTTCTAGCCGCCCAGTGCAACGGCGTGCGGCCATCACGATCTTTTGCGTTCGGGTTCGCTCCTTTCACAAGCAACATTTTCGCAGCTTGAACCTTGCCGACAACCGCGGCCCAATGCAACGGCGTTCGACGATGCACACCTTCCACGCGCTCGCCAAGGGTGTCAACGTGGATACCACGAGCGAGCAGCCACTTGATCTTCCCAATGTTGTCGGTCGCTGCGGCCTCGTGGAGCGGGGTCAGCGCAACATCGCCGCCGCAATCCAGCAAATAGTCGCTTAAGTCTGATCTCAGTGTGAACGTGCTCTGCTGCAACGGCGTTGCGTATGTCCTAACCAACCCTGTCAGTGATACCGAGGCAACTTTCAGGAAGTTGGCACCATTTGCTACCAGCAAGCGCAGCACCTGAGGATCATCGGTCACAAATATGGGCGGTAGAACGGCTGCTGGGTAGTAGAACGATGCCCGAGGCAGCGCATTCACGTCAGCTCCCTTATTAATAAGTAGACGAACGATATCAACGTAGCCTTCCGCAACTGCACCGTGGAGCGGAGGGAGTAACACTGAACACAAAAGTGCCTTAAGAGGTGATCGGAGACCATCTTGAGTTCGTACCTGCAACACACGGAAAACGTGAGTAAATCCACCTCGTGTACATACCGATAATTAAAGAGCATTCTACCGTACCAGTATGCGACTGATAATTTTGAATACCAGCCCAACGTTGAAGTTCACGCGCACCACTTTGTCAAGTACGTTGACGTCGATCCCACGCTCCAGCAGCAACTCGACAATCCTGATATTGCCTCGCTTGACTGCAATATGCAGCGGGTTTTTCCTTGACTTTGCGAAAGCGTAAAACCACAGCACCGGCGGGTTGTACAGGTCCTGAATGCGGTCAATCTTGTATTTCGACTGCATCTCAGAGAGAAGTGTCTCCACCGTGAGAACATCACCACGGGCCACGGCACGGTACAGCAGCTTCTTGAAGTCCTTCCTCAGTCGGGTACGTTCACTCCTAAGCGGCAGCGCTTTCAATGCTATAAACCACTTGCCAAATGCAGACGTGTGCGAGGAGTCGTTGGAACTATCCGCCTGAAGCTTCAAATGCGTCAAAAACCGGCAGAAAACCACAATCTGGCGGAGCAGCACCAGCCAAACCACCGTCGCCGAGTAAAACAGTACAATCTGCCGTGGCTGTAGCTCCGAATGGCACTCGACAATCACGGGCACATTCAGTAACTGGTTCACGGCCACGTACATCATAAAACCCAGCTGAGCTGTCACGATCATCTCACAGAACAGCAAATACGGTCGTCGGATCATCCGCTTGTCCTTGGCTGCATACAGCGAAAAGAAGTCGTTCGGGAACACCACGGGCGCAATCAGCACGATGTTGGGAAGCCCTAGGAAGTGCATGGTCATGAGCAGTCTGAGCCAATGTCTGCACTCCCTCCTCTGCTCAGGGTCATCTCGAGGTTCTCTCTCGGGCCTGTACGTCACCTGTACAATGACAATGGCAAAGACGTTCAGCAGCACGACGAACAGTGAGCAGGCCACGAGCCAGCCGGCGAAGTACGAGTTCCGGATGTCTCCGATCTTCCTCCTGGTCTTCTGGCCGACCTTGGCCAGCACCCAGGCGTAGGGCACCTGTCTCCTCTTCTGCGGCCCAGAGGAGGCGCCACCACCGCCTTCCTCTCCTGTAGCGCTTGCTGTAGTGACTTCTGGGAGCTCTGGACGGCGCGGAGGCCTCGGGATCTCCCTCCTGACGAGCTGCAGCGACTCCCTCTCGGTGGACGACAGCAGCTCCAGCCCCGAAGCGGATGAGGACGAGTCCAACGAGTCCAGGGACAGCGGCGGCGGGTCCACGCGGATGTCCAGCGGCTCCTGGCCGTGATTCTGCAGCTTTGAGGTTGATTCCAGCGCGTCCAGACTGCCGATCTCCTCGTCGTCGCTCGCGGCTAGTAGACAGGGGTCGCTGCTACCTTGGTGCGGCCTGCGGGGCTCGTAGCCGAGGCTGGAGCTGCGCGGCAGCAGTAAAACGTTGGCTTTAGCGGAACTTTTGGGACTTTTGGGGAGGGTTTGCGGGGTTTTATGCGGGAGTTCGGCGTCTCCGTCGCCGTCGCTGTCGCTGTCGCTGCTGCTCACGCGCTCCCGAAGCACCGGTAGCGACGAGCCCGTGGCGCGCACCTCCACGGGCGTCGGAGCGGACGCCTCCTCCATCCTCCGAGTGCGGAATGCGGAAGTGAGATTGAAAAGTGATGGAAGTTAACGGATTTTAGTGGCTGGCGGGTTTTATGTACAGCCAGTTTTTGGCGGGCTTTTGTGTTTTACTGTTAATAACTAATAATACTCATCGGAATAGTAAGACATCAGGCAAGGTCCTACACCATTTCCCAGGCTAGTTGAAAAGTTTCCCAAGCAATGTGAAAACGGCTCGTCCCCGGCTAGCTCTAATTCCATGCTGTGTGGCGCCACACAATTTTTAATTTCAGGCTACAGTAATAGGCGAATTGCATGAAAAAGGCATTTTTCCCAAGACTTGCAAATCTGCCCATCACCTGTCCCAAGCAAAGTGAACAGACTGGTAAAATGCATATGACCTCAGATGTTGCATACATGGGTGAATAGCCAGCAAAAAGGGCGATCGAAGACGCGAACACGCCCCAAACTGCTCTCAGCCACTCACTACAATGATTTCCAGCGGATGACTAAGTTTCAGCTAGCTTCGACCACTTTTGGTGTTGTTCGTGCAGGGTAGTGCTCAGGCACCCATGTATGCAACATCTGAGGTCATATGCATTTTACCAGTCTGTTCACTTTGCTTGGGACGGGTGATGGGCAGATTTGCAAGTCTTGGGAAAAATGCCTTTTTCATGCAATTCGCCTATTACTGTAGCCTGAAATTAAAAATTGTGTGGCGCCACACAGCATGGAATTAGAGCTAGCCAGGGACGAGCCATTTTCACATTGCTTGGGAAACTTTTCAACTAGCCTGGGAAATGGTGTAGTATAGTATAGTAATGCGTATAGTACTATTACGTTTACAAAATTTAAGTTGAACTACTACCGATTACTTAAGTAGTAACCTGTCCAAGTACTATATGACCCTGTTTCAGGGTATACTATTCCGTTAGTAATTGGAAGAATCCGTTAAATTTGTGGGTGACTCACCCAGGGTACACCTTCCTGTGGTTTATGTGACTTGGTGGAGAAATGGGGTGGGCAGACTTCTCGTCACCTGTCGGGCGCGGGCTCGAGCGCGACAAAATGCATTGACGGTGACGAACTTGGTGGGGCATATCACTTGTGCACAACACGAGATAGCGTTAAGATCCAAGAGGAACGTCCTGCTTATTCCTCACTTGGATATAAGAAGCTTGGCGATTTCCACTATTCTCGCCTACTCCACCCAACTTCCTGTCACAAAAGCCAACGACACCAGCGGAAGGACGTTCCGCGCACGGCTCAACGCGGTGACTAGATATCATTCCAACAACGATCAGGTCGTCTCGACAAACTTTAAGCCAATGGATCTTGCGCAGAACGAGAAACTCGGCACCGTCCTCTTCCGTCATTTTCAACAGTCCAAACGCCTTCAGCGCGCTCGTAGTGTAGTAAAGTCGGCCGTTTTCCAACCTATAACCTCCCAGCGAGAACATTTTGTTGCGTAATTTCAAGGCAGAATCGACGCAGCATGGGGCGGTGAAGATCGCCCAAGTGTGCTGATTCAGCCAGACATACGTCAACGCCCACAGCGTCCGCACCGATATCACCAGTGCTATGATAGTGAGCACAAAGACCCCGTGACCTACCAAGCTCCACGCATAATACGATACTGCTAGTGCTGCTGGTCTCGATTCCTTGAGCTTCGACCGATTCAAGAGCGTAAGCGAGTACTGTTGTAGGGCTGCAGTGATTACTTCGCCGACAAACACAGTTTCGTAGCTGAAGAGAAGTCGCTTGATCCGCACGCGCCACTTCTCGCGCAACCAAGGAGTGCTCTCAAACATCTCGAAGACCATCACAAGGAGCGCACTTAAATTGTAGCCCATTGAAACGTACTGAATCTTTGCTAAAATTCCGTCGTTCGCGATGAGCAGGAACAAGTCGGTCATGATTCCTTCAACCAGCAAATACAGTACCACAGCGCGATGGTAATTTGTCGCCCCGTGCGCAGCAAGACGCAGCTGTTCTTGCACGAATACAACCACTTCTTTTCGGTTGAGACTTTCGTTCATTTCGTCACACATTCGACCGTGCCGCATGCACGAAATGAAGCTCCTCCGCAGCACGAATACTCGGTACGTAAGCCAAATCGCGCCTGCGAAGCAATACCAGTACGACTTGCGGTAGTCGTAGCTCCCGGTGTCTTCGGCTAATGATGGTCCATTGATGTCGAAAGTTCCGAGCCCCTGGCCAACGATATACGCCGTGTTGTCGATGCTACAGTAGCTGCCCTTTTGTTCCTCGTAAAACGCGTAAAAGCCGATACTGCCGTGGTAGAAATACTGGTCATACGAGAAACTATCGTTCACGCAGTTGCTTGGCGTCGTGTAGTACGGCTCTGATGTTCTGCTTCGGATGAGGAAGGTCCCGTGTACATTAAACTGAGGTACGACGAAGTGGCACAGTCGACCTTGTGGGGTGGAGAAGTAGTGAGTTGGGTGGATGTTGAACCACGACCCGGACAAGAGCATGCCACCAACAGGGCAGAACTGGGGTAAGTTGTCCGTCACCTTCTCCAAGCCTGGTGGTACTACGATCCTCTGAGTGATTTTATGCGGCGTCGCGAATTTTAAGTAGCTCCGGAACTGGAGAACGAACGGGATCACGCCTGCAAGAATCCACGCCAGTAGTAGCTTGTGCTGCGCCGTCATAAAACGATTGGACCCCCTCTCCATAGCAACATCACGCGGAGAGACTTCATTGCTACAGTGAACTTTGGCCTTCTTCATACTCGTCGTGTGTGAGATAATCGTGTCTTGATGCTGCCATTTGACTCTGATCTATTCCTGAAATGCCCGTGAAACGACCAGGTTCTCGAATTGTTCGGCCCAGTGCGGCAGCATGACCACCAATTCACACAAAAAACATTAACTCTATGTCATCCACTTCCAAGGTTACCAAACTCCAGACCCCCTACCAAACTCCAGGTGTATAGTCCAGGGGGCGACCGGCGATGGTTCCATGTAGGAGTGTGGCTTCCATGAAGCCCACCACGCACTACAACCATTGACACATTAAAAATGGGAAATTCCTCTGCGGAGCGAAGCGAGGCTGATGGTCTCACATGCTCGGCTTAAACTAGGTTAAAGATCCCCGGTTGCGAGGCTTGAATCAGTAAAAAAAAGTTGATTGAAGCAAGTTGGGGGCGGGTAACTGCTCAGGAGCTGCTGAGCTGAATGGGTGCAGCCTTTGAGCCAGAGGTCCGCCAATACAGTATCATATTGGATTGCACCTGACACGAAGCACTGATAAAAACTGCAATTTCTTAGCAAACAATAATAAAAATTCCCGCAATTTATATTGCAATTTATATGGTGCGCCTAGCAAGTCTACCCCTGCCACTGGTGCCGGTAGGAACCCCAATTGGAATCACCGTCGGTAATCGACCGGCCAGCTTACACCAAGCTCAGCACGTTCAAACTCACTGATGAGATCTTGAGGCAGGTCAACTGCGGGCTGCCATGTTAGCTCCGCATAGCCCACCCAGCCAACAAAATAATAAGCGGCACCTGCTGGATTAGTTTTTTTTCGCGTAGATCGCGTCTACTGTGTAGAGATTGGGACCTTCGCCGAAGTCGGATGAGTTGTCTTCTAACGAAGACGTATCACTCTCGTCCACGGCTGGACCTGAACAGCACCATGGCGTCGACAGCGCTTCTTGTCGGAGAACTTCAAGAGGGGCTGGAACAGCTTGGTGGCGTGCCTGCCGGTCGAGTGCCCGCTTAGCTGCCGCGAGAGCGGCAATTTGCTTGAGCCTCTTGCCCTTCTTCGGCATCTTTGTTTTTCCCAAGTGCATAGCTAGCTAAGCCAAGAATCTAAGGTCGACGTGTGTTGAAGTGCGTGCTAATTGGATAGCTATTGTAGGAGTATTTCAAGCAGTATATTTTTACACTCATCAAAGGTAGGCCGACCATATCTTTTTAGAGGGGGATACAGGTCAAGATAGGCATACGCTCGATATGAAATGCATCTTCTTCATCAATATGCCTCTGTCGAGGCTGGGAATACCTGCGTTGAAAAGCGGACATACTTGGTTACATAACTACGATTTGACTTGGATTGAAAATACAGTATTAGTGTCGTGGCATAATTTAAAAAAATCTAAAAATATGAGGAGTGTAAACTTCAATGTTAGGGATGGTCTTATTGAGTTATGTAGCTAGAACGCTCCCCACTATCAATGCCTCTGCTAGTTTAGCTACCCTGCTGCTTGCTAACTCGGGCTACTGTGGAAACGTCCCACATGCCGCGGTTGACCCGGAGAAACGCCAGCTGCTCGAAGTTGGCCGGAAACATAGATCGACGCTGCGGTGTCAATACCAGCTTGCACTGAGAGAAAAGCCGTTCGACCGTGTTTGACGATGGAGGAACCATTTTCACGAGCGGCATGTAACGTGTGGTACTTGGCGCTTGTTTCCTCTTCTTTCCCTTGCCTTGGAGCAACATCGTCGCGTAGTCTTCTTCCCGCTCCTTGCACTTCTTTCCTGTGGGTTGTGCCTGCTCGAACCGCTTCAAAGCTGCTGTCTCCGCGGACGATAGAGCCGTGCCAGAGATGACCTTGACAGCACCCGATTCGAATGCAGGCGTATGGACGATCTTGGCGGTCGACTTCAGATGCTCTGACATGACAGGGTACTCCGCGATGAGGGAGTCGAACATCAGGCATACCTCTCCCATATCGGCGTCCTCGCGCTGAAGCCGCTTACAGACGCTCTCGAACTTCTTGAGGTGCTCAAACAGCGTGACCAACTTCCGGTGCTTCCCGCCGGTTGGGACCATTTCCTCCACGGCGTCGACCTTCCTGATCTCTGCGCGAATACGAATGTACCTCTCCACCATTGTAAACGTCGAGGACCAACGCGTAACGTTCCGCTTGATAGGGACGAGATCGGTGTACTTCTTCAGCTCGGCACGGTTGTTTTCATGACGAAGTTCCACCATAAGGTTGTTGACTTCGTCCAGTAAGTCGCCATACGGCTCCATGAACTTGTTCACAGCCAGGTTGAAACGATGACTGTGCAGCCGACGAGGGGGATACCCATCTTGGTTGCAATGGACTGGTTAGTTGCGCAGTTGTCCCCCACCAGAAACCCCACCATGTCGCTGATCTTGTCGTACACATCCAGGATGTTCTTGAACAGCTTGATGTGGGCGTCTGCCGTCTGATCGCCATCTTCAAGGGAGAAATACCAAGTAGCGGTATGCGCAGCTTACCAGCTGTCTCGTAGACGGCGTAGAGAGCAACATAGTGAATGCCAGCGTGGGTCCAGCCGTCAAACATTAAAGTGAAGAGCGTTCCCATCTCTTTCCCCAGCTTCTCGCCGACTTCAATTGCGACCCCCTCCATGCACTTCTTGACGGCCTTGGCGGTCACAGGTCGGAGCTTGCTGATGGCCCGAGTTAGTGCATCTTCGACTTCGTGGACGGGAATGTTGCGTTCGATGATCCAACGGACCCATTGGAAGAGATGATTGGCTTCCTCTGCGACGAAGCCGAACCCTTGAAGAGATCGGTCCGAGCTGGCCTGGAGCGATGCGTACGTTGCCTCGTAGCCAGCGTGCTTCGATGCCAGGTGTGCCACCAGATTGGAGTAACCTGACCCAGCCAACTGTTTGCGCACGCTGTTACATAAGTTGCAGCTGAAGAGGCCTTGGCCACGCGAGGTGTAGAAGAAGGCGGCGAGTTGCTTGTTGGCGACCATTGCTATCCTGTGGAAATGGAGATATGAACTGCCAGTGGAGCCGTATTTGTAGGCTGCGGAGTTGGTTGGAGCACGTCTCCAAGCCAGTCATTTGCCTTGGGCGAAATGTGGTGTGGTTAACGCCGTTTTTGATGTCATCGGAGGCTGGAGATGACGCCATCAACAGGAAGCTTTGTACAAAAGCTATAGGAGTCCAGCCAAGGCACTTTTATGGAATTTATTGTCAATAATTGGGCCAATTTAATATTGTACGGGGACCACTGTAGCCCAATAATAAAAATTAATATTAAAAAACGGATTATTTATTGTATTGCACTATTTTTTCCGACCTCTGCTTTGAGCTGAATGAATATAGAAGCTCTTCTCATTTTTCAACCTGCACCCGCGAACCAGCGACTTCCCCATGGTAGATCCATTTGCTATCCCCGCAACGGAACTGAGTCAGCTGATGGTATTCTTTCATCATATCAAGACGCATCCAGACTAGTGGAATTGACTCTGCGCCAAGCCCTCCAATACAGATCGAGCTGTGGCAATTTCTGTGAGATTCTTCGAGGGTACATGACCAACGTCGTCAACACTGTCCCCAGGGGCGGCACTGGTGGCGATCTTGGGCTGGATTCCAGGTACATTGAAGGCCAATTGCGACAAGGACGCGTAGTGCAGATCGAGTGGCGTGGTGGTGGTGGCGACCACGAGTTCAACATTGTACCGCAAGGCGACGGCACAGCACGCGTACTGCATGCGAACGTCGGCGTTCACCGACCTCGCTACGAAGATCCCCGAAGTATCAACGACATCATGGTGGATCTCAGAACAAGTACGACCACAACTGGTCGAGGTTGCATTGATGCAACCCAGCGACTCGTGAGGATGGAGATCATAGGAAACAGCCCCATGAAAGTCCGAGGTGTTGTCACTGGCACCCCTGACCGAACGCTTCTCAACCCCGCGGGCAACCCGAACTCGTATTTTAACGCCGCGCGTGACAGATTCCTCGCCGCCATGGAACAGCAGGAGAGGGAATATCTCGCCAACGTGCGCGCGCTTAAGATGCAGCTGGGTAAAGGGACCGCTGTTGGTGTAGTCATAAGTCTGGGGCTTGCCATTGTCAGCGAGTGCCGAGACAACACGAAGGGCCGAACTGCCGGGGACATTGTTGAAAACATTGGCGTCAAGACGGTCATCGGGGGTGCTGGAGGATTCACGGGCGTGGTGACCAGCCGGCTTGCCGAGGCACCTTTGGTTCGACTTCACTGTTTCGTGCCGGTGGTGCTGTCAGTGTCATGGTATCTGGGCTGTCGCTAGTCCGTGACGTGACACTGCGTCCGCGTGGGAAAATCACAAGCATCGAGCAGCGCAAACGGATGGCGTCGAATCTCGCGGGTAGCGCCGGAGGATTAATCGGAGGCGCCGGTGTCCCAGCACTTTGTCTGGTCTTGGCCAGCAACCCGGTTGGCTGGGCTGTCGTGCTCGGTGGTATTGCTGGGGGCGTAGTGGGTGGGGTCCTTGGTGGGATCGGGGGAGCGAAGCTCGACGAGGTGTTGTGGGATGAAAGCGAAGATACCGTCCAGCATGTGTACGAATTCTTCAGCCTCGAGACAAAGCGCGGAGAGACACCGAAAGTGTATGAAGAAGCAGTTGTCACGCGCCATTTCAAGGCGAAGATGGAGGAGCATCCCGATGATTCCGAGTGATCGACCATTGTCAACAAATGGGCATGAACTTGGTGCGTTGCATGTTCAAAGACGAGCTGGCAACATTTGTGGAGCTCTCCGTCAAACTTGCCAACGAGCCCATTGTGCACCCGGGCGGGTGCACACCCCAGTTCATTATGACACGACTTTGGGCGTTTTTTGTTTTGCTGAGTTGCGTTTTGCTGTATTTTATTTTATTGAATTAAATTGACTTGTGTTTTGCTGTACTAACTCGTTCATCTCGGCAATATTAGGAAATCGAAATGAAGTGATATCCTCAGAGTGCGGTTGAAGTCTACAACAAAAGACACTAACTATTGAAATTGTAGTCTCTGTGCCACCCACTTTCCAAGATTGAGCTAGTCGCTGACTCGGCTATTTGCGCAATGATCGAACCAAAGCCGAATCCACCCCAAAGGCTACGTTTGACTTGACGTTGTCACGATAATCTCACAGTTGGATGGCTCGCGTGATTCCTTACGTGGATGTAGATTGAGTGCCGACTTCCAGTCAGAACAGAAGGGCCTCCCAATCTTCGATCCCAAAATCTGACGATCCCCGTGCAAGGGCGTTCGGGGAACGGTTCTACGTGGTGGTTCGATATAGTTGCGATCGCGACCAAGTCGTCTTTTAAGACCCTGAACCAGTGAATTTTCCGCAACACCAGGAACTCCGTTCCGTCGTCCTCCCCCGCTTGAAGCAACCCGAACGCTTTCAACGCACTCGTAGTGTAGTAAAGTCTGCCATTCTCGTACCGATATCCACCCAGCAAGAACATTTTGTTGCGTAGCTTTAATGGTGAATCGACGCAACACGGTGCAGTGAAGACAGCCCACGTGTGATGGTTTAACCAGACATAAGCCAACGCCCACAGTGCTCGTACGGATATCACTAGTGCAATAATAGTGAGCACAAAAGCACCGTGACCTACCAAACTCCACGCATAGTACGATACTGCTAACGCTGCTGGATGGGATTTCCGAAAATCCGATCGATTCAAGAGCGTAAAAGAATACTGCTGAAACACAGCCGTGAGCACCTCGCCGACAAACGCGGTTTCGTAGCTGAAGAGGAGTCTCTTGACGCGCACCCGCCACTTCTCGGCCAACCACCTCGTCGTTTCAATGATCTCGAACAGCAGCAAGAGGAGTGCAGACAAGTTGTAGCCCAGCGAAACGTATTGCACCTTCGCCAGAAGCCCATCGTTTGCAACGAGCAGGAACAAGTCGGTCATGATTCCTTCAATCAGCAAATACAACACCACTGCGCGGTGATAATTGGTGGCCCCGTGAGCCGCAAGCCGTAGATGCTCTTGAACAAACACCATGGCTTCTTTTCGGTTGAGACCTTCGTGTATTTCGTCACAAAGCCGGCCATACCGCTTGCACGAAACAAAGCATCGTCGCAGCACAAACCCTCGATAAGTGAGCCAAATCGCACCGCCAAGACTATACCAATACGAGCTGCGGTAGCTTCGGCTTCCTGTATCGTCGACCAGTAATCGTCCATTGATATCAAAGGAGCCAACCCCCTGACCAACAATGTATGCGGTTTGATCACTCGTACAGTAGCTGCCAACTTGCTCCTCGTAAAACGCGAAGTAGCCAATGCTGCCGTGATAAAAGTACTGTTCGTAGGAGAGACTATCGTTTATACAACTACGAGGCGTCGTGTAGTACGCCTCAGTTGTTGCGTTCCTGATAACAGAGTTGCCGTGGACATTATACTGCGGTATGACAAAGTGGCACAGTCGACCGCGCAAAGTGGAGAAATAGTGGGTCGGGTGGAGGTTGAACCAAGTACCGGACAAGAGCGCACCTTCGACAGGACAGGGTTCAGTTAGGTTAGCTCCCTCCTTCTCCAAACCGGGCGGCACCACCAGCCTCTGGGTGATTTTGTGCGGCATCGCAAATCTCAAGTAGCTTCGGAACTGGAGAATAAACGGCAGCACCCCCGCGATAACCCACGCGATAAGTAACTTGTGCCGGACCGTCAAAACGCCGCGAGGCCTTCTGTTGAAGTGCACCGCTAAGTACGGTTCCGCTCCGTACCTGAACCGTTGGCACGGTTCACCCTGAACCGTCCTGGAACGCTTCCTATTGACTAATCTTCGGGATGGTCAACTTGGTTGGCTCGACTGTGCAGCAAGCGGTGATTGCACAAGCAGACACAAGAGGACAACAAGAAGGAGAAGAGGGGAGTAGAGTTGAGAAGGACAAGTAGGACAGCTTTGGTAACTTTAATCAACTCACTTCGGCATTTGCCATCAACAACACAGGCGTTCCTCAATAGGTTAACAGCCGCAAGGACGCTCGCCGCAAGAACGCTCGACCAAGAACGCTCCGCTCAAGACATGACGACCAAGCGCGCCGAAGTCCTCCTGGGCAGTGGGAACTACTTCCACTGGGAGTACAACATGCGCATGACGCTGGCCCGGAAGGGGCTGCTTGCGCATGTGGAGGTCGTCAAGGCGGAGAATGAGATTACGGAGGCGTGGCTCGTGAACGACGCGAAGGCGTTGGGCATCATCGCGCAGGGTGTGGAGATCCAGCACCAGACGAAGATCCGTCCCGCGACGCGTGCCATGCAGGCGTGGAACACTCTGAGGGAGTACTACAACCGTGCCACGCTACACAACCGTGTCGCCATGACCAGGCGTCTGCACGAGTTCAAGATGGACTCTGGAACGTCGATGGCCAAGCATCTGGACGCGTTCGACGAACTGATCGTTGGGCTGCAGACGATAGGAGAACCGGTCGACGAGGCACGGCAGCTCGTGGTGCTGCTGAGTAGCCTATCGTCGGAGTACGAGCTGATCGCGTCCATCCTGGAGAACGCCAAGGATGTCACGTTGAACGACGTGAAGGAGAAGCTGTTGAAGGAGTTTGAACGGCTCGAGAAGAAGGATACCACTACGGAGAAAGCGTTCCGCGCCAACGGGAACGCTGGCCGGTTCAAGGGCGGTCGAGGAAACGGTCGCAAGGGGAACGGTCCGAAGAAGAACGGTGCCTTCAAGGGCAAGTGCTTTCAGTGCGACCAGGTGGGCCACATGAAGCGGGACTGCCCGGGCAAGAACGGTAGCGCTGGGAACGACACCGTGTTCGCCGTGGGTGAGGAACGCCTCGCCGGGTGGCTGATCGATAGCGGGGCGTCATCCCATATGACCCCGCATCGTGATGACCTCTTTGAAATGGATGTAACGGTCACTGGCATGCCCGTGACTATCGCCGACGGAAAGCAGCTGCCGGTCGTCGGGCGAGGAACGGTCAAGCTGACCGGGATGGATGGGAAACGCATCACAATGAAGGACGTGCTGTACATTCCGGGACTCGACAGACGGTTGCTGTCGGTAGGGAAGCTTGCGGAACGCGGTCTGAGCGTTGAGTTCCAGCGTTCCTCGTGTGTCATCTGGGGGAACGCCAGCGCGGTCGCGATGGGCAAGAAGATTGGCAAGGCGTATGTGCTCGACTGCGAGCAGGAGTCGACACGGTTCGTGGAATACGCCGGGGCTGATAGTCAGTGGGAGCTTTGGCACCCTCGCATGGGGCACCCGAGCGAGAACGGTATGGCCAAAACTCAGCGTGCTACGAACGGTTTGCCAACCGTGGGGCGTAGCACCAAGATCTTGTGCGGCGGATGCATGAAGGGGAAGCAGACCGTGACATCGTTCCCGGCACGGTCGACGACGAAGACATCGCGTGTGTTGGAACTAGTCCACACGGATGTGATGGGGCCGATGAGAACGGTCTCCAAGGGTGGTGCGAAGTACGTGCTGACGTTCGTGGACGACTACTCAAGGTATGTCGTGGCGTACTTCATGAAGAAGAAGAGCGAAGTGGCCGACAAGCTGAAGGAGTTCAAGGCGTTCTACGAGAACCAATGGGGAGAACGCTTGAAGTGCCTGCGCTCGGACAATGGAACGGAGTTCGTGAACAAGACGGTCACGGATCTCTGTCACCGGAACGGTATCATGCATCAGCGAACGGTGCCCTACAGCCCGCAGCAGAACGGAGTTGCGGAACGCATGAACCGGACGATCATGGAGAAGGCACGCAGTATGTTACACTACAAGGGCGTGTCGACGGAATGGTGGGCGGAGGCTGTGAGCACGGCGGTGTACCTGATCAACCGTTCCACGAACACGGAACGCTCGGATGTGACGCCGTACGAGGTCAGCTTCAAGGTGAATCCACGGATGGATCACCTGCGTGTGTTCGGCTCACCGGGGTACGCTCACATTGACAATGCGAAGAGGACGAAGCTCGAGCCCAAGAGCTTTAGGTGCATGTTCCTCGGGTATGCGGAGAACGCTAAGGGGTACCGTGTATACGAGATGGATGCGTCCAAGGTCAAGGTGTCACGGTCGGTCAAGATGGACGAGCGCGAGGTGGGCGGAATCTATGATACGCACTCGCCGCAGCATGGAACGGTCATCCATGTGACCAAGGACGGAGATGTGCCAACCGTTCCTATCGAGGTGGAACGGCAACCGGTCGAGGACGAACCCATGGAAGCTGTTGAGGAACCCGTTCCAGACGTCGAGATGGATGAGGCTGAGCCAGAGCAGGAGGTACTGCGGCTGCCGGCACCGGAACGCCCAGCTACCACTGGATTGGAGTTGACTGCGTACCGGCCTCCACCTCAAGCGTTCCAGGATGACCACCTGGTGTTCCACCCCGAGCCGGAACGGACAAGAAGATCCCGTGAACCGGTGTTTCTCTTGGAGAACGGTGACGATGAAAATGGCGAGGAACGCAAGTCGGAAGGGAGTGATGGGCCGCCGTCCCCGAAGCGACCCAGGATCGACGAGGACGGTCTCATTGCGGAGGCTTTACTGGCGTACGTGGCCAGGATCGACGATGGAACGGATGTCCCGGCAACGTATGCGCAGGCCATTGCTAGCGAAGACGCAGATGCCTGGCGGGATGCAATGGACACGGAGTTGCTCTCGCACGAACGGAACGTGGACGCTGGTACGACGTGGAACGCATACGCGTACGATTGGTAGCCGGTGGGTGTTTGCCAAGAAGCGTGACGAGAACGGTCGCGTGATCCGGTACAAGGCACGGTTGGTTGCGAAGGGTTTCAAGCAGAAGTACGGTGTCGACTTTTTCGAGACGTACTCCCCGGTCGCGAACATGAATTCGATCCGGGTCGTGCTGGCAGTGTGCGTGGCAGACGCATACGTGATGGAGCAGTTGGACGCGGACACAGCGTACCTGAACAGTGAGCTGACGGACCGTGTGTACATGGAGGTGCCATTTGGTATTGAGAACGCTGCGAACTACGTGTGCCAGCTGAACACGGCTATCTACGGCCTGAAGCAGGCGGCCAGTGCGTGGAACAAGACCATCCACCTCGTGTTCTTGGGGAACGGTTTCAAGAGCTGCGGGGCGGACCAGTGTGTCTACGTCAAGCGTTCCAGGAACGGCTTCATTTACGTGTGTCTGTACATCGACGACATGATCATCGCTGCGAAGACGAGTGGTGAGGTTCATGAGGTGAAGAACGCATTGAAGAACGCGTTAAAGATGAAGGAGCTCGGCACGGCGAAGTTCATCTTGGGTATGGAGATTGATCACAACAAGAACGCTCGGACGCTCATGATCAAGCAGACGAGGTACATTGACGACGTGGCGGAACGGTTCGGCCAGCGGAACGCTAAGCCTGTGGACAAGCCGTGCACGTCGGGCCTGAAGCTGACTAAGATGCAGTCGCCCGGAACGGATGAAGATCGTACTGAGATGAAGTCACGGCCGTACCGTTCCCTGATCGGATGTCTGCTGTACATCAGGACATGCACCAGACCGGACATCGCGTACGTGGTGACCCAGTTGTCGCGATTCCTGGAGAACCCCGGTCTGCAGCATTGGCGAGCTGCCATTCGCGTGCTACGCTACTTGAAGACAACCCGGGAGTACGGTATCGTGTACCAAGGTGGCGACGACAGCATCACGGTTGAAGCGTTCACGGACGTCGATTGGAGAAGCAACATTGACGACAGGCGTTCCGTGTCGTGAGTCATGGTGATGATCGGGAACGATCCCGTAGTGTTCAAGTCCAAGTTCCAGAGAACGGTTGCGCTCAGCTCTGCGGAAGCTGAGTACATGGCACTGAGCCTGTGCGTGCAGGAGGTACTCTGGACGCGTGCGATGCTGAAGGACGTGGGCAAGGAACAAGTGGACGCGACGCAGCTTTGGGATGACAACCAAGGAGCGATCGCGCTGACCCAGAACGCTGGGTACCATGCTAGGACGAAGCATGTGGACATTCGACACCACTTCATCCGCGAGAACGTGGAACGCGGAACGGTCAAGGTGGACTACGTCGAGACGAAGCAGCAACTGGCGGACATGCTGACGAAGGCGCTCGGGACGAAGACGCTCAAGCACTTGCGGGACGCTAGCGGGATCAAGGAGAAGGTCACCGTACCGTAGCGGTGAGTGGGAGTGTTGAAGTGCACCGTTAAGTACGGTTCCGCTCCGTACCTGAACCGTTGGCACGGTTCACCCTGAACCGTCCTGGAACGCTTCCTATTGACTAATCTTCGGGATGGTCAACTTGGTTGGCTCGACTGTGCAGCAAGCGGTGATTGCACAAGCAGACACAAGAGGACAACAAGAAGGAGAAGAGGGGAGTAGAGTTGAGAAGGACAAGTAGGACAACTTTGGTAACTTTAATCAACTCACTTCGGCATTTGCCATCAACAACACAGGCGTTCCTCAATACCTTCCTTCCGCTGCAACCTCGTGGGGCGAGATGCCATTGCCGCAATGGACTTTGGTCTTTTTCATCACGGGTTTCGTTCTTGTTGTGTGTGAGCGTAGTGTCTGTAAGCGTAGAAGACAATCTATTCCAGAAATGAAAGCGAAACTGAAAGCCCAACATGGTATTTTTCCCTTCAAAATCGTTTTTGATGATGAAAATTACGGTTTAGGGCTCACTAATTGCTGTTGTTTCAGTCGAGGCTGTTCTTACTTGAATGTAGAGTGGTCGACGACTACAAAATCCATCGAGAGTTCCTCCTAATCTACAATCAAAAAAAGTTACTTCACCGGTGCACGGGCGCTCGTCACATGGCTCCACACTTTGGCCCAAGATGATCCCGATCACGAACAAATTATCTCTACTTGTCCCCAGCCAGTACTGCTTCTGAAGTATGAGATACTCGGTGCCACCTTTGTCCTCAAGTTTAAGCAACCCGAAGGCTTTTAACGCGTCCGCTCGGTAGTACAGCCTCCCATTGTCCAGCCGATAGCCGCCCAGCGACGTCATCTTGTTGCGTAGCTTCAGGGTAGAGTCAACACTGCACGGCTCGGTGAAAATCGCCCACGAGTTGCGACCATACCGCGACCAAACGTACCCCACAGCCCAAATAGTTCGAGCCGTCATGACAAAACCCACAAGCGCTAGGATGAAGATGCCGTGGCCTACCAGGCTCCAGAAGTAGTAGGACACTGCGATCGCCGTGGACTTTGACCGTTCCAGTAGACTCGAACGGTTTATCGCAGTGATCATTTGCTCCTGCAAGGCTGCGCTCAGCAGCTCCCCCAGTAACGCGGTCTCGTAGCTGAACCATAAGCGCTTGAAAAATAATCGGTGTCTCTCCTTCAAGCATTTGGTGCTCTCAATGACCTCGAAGACCACCAATAAAAATCCAGACAGGTTGTAGCCCAGCGACATATACTGCACCTTGGCTAAGATCCCCTCGTTTGCGACGAGCAGGAACAGATCCGTCATCATCCCTTCAACCAGCAGGTACACAAGGGCAATCCGGTGGTATATCGTGGCACCGTGAGCCGAAAGCCGTAGATTTTCTTGGACAAAAATTACGGCTTCTTTTCGCGTAAGACTCTCGCCCAATTCATCGCATCTTCGGCCGTGGCGTTTGCACGAAATAAAGCTTCTTCGTAGTACCAGAGCTCGATACGTGATCCATATAGAGCCAACGAGTCCATAATAATACGAATGGCGGTACCCTTCGCTCCCAGTGTCTTCAGCAAGGGGTGGGCCATTGGTATCAAATGATCCGAGACCGTTGCCTCGGATGTAAACTGTGTTGTCTCTCTTGCAGTACGTCCCGGACTGCTCTTCGTAGAAGGAATAGTACCCGATACTCCCGTGGTAAAAGTACTGGTCGAACTTGTAGCTGTCGTCGGCGCAACTGGCTGGAGTGGTGGCGTACGGTGCGATCTTGGAGACTCCAATCAGATCATTCCCGTGCGTGTTGTACTGCGGCGCGACGAAATGACAGAGGCGTTTGCTGCCGACCACGTAATAGTGCGTCGACTGGACGTTCCACCAAACTCCGGACAGGATCAGCGCTTGGACAGGGCAAAGCTCCGTCAGATTTGCAGTCTCCTTCTCGATGTTTGGAGGTACGATGAGGCTTTGGGTTATCTTGTGCGGCGTGACGAACTTGAGGTAGCTGCGCGTCTGCAGGACAAACGGAACGACGCCAGCAAACAGCCATACGAGCAGTAATTTATGCTGTGCTGTCAAGATACGACTCTGTCGGGGTGGCGGTAGTCGATGAGGGAGGGATCCTCCGGCGCCGCAGTGGACCATTGCCTGCTTCACCATCCTGCTAGTAGTAGACGCAGCTAAACTTAATTCTGAAGTGGATGTAACCAGTAACGCCTGGAATCGAAAACGGATCGCCCTTTTGGGCTGATGGAGAGGTTGTTTACGTTGCTGTCAAAGGTGACCCAGCCCTTAAAGCGCTTGACATGCTCAAACACGTCCGACGGGCGCCATTTGTCTATGATCCAATGATTCACGGTCTGCATAGACTTAAGTCTTGGTTGGTCTTGGTCCAGTTGAGCAAGCCTCGAGAGCCACGTAGCACCTGGGCCCCTCTCGTCGGAATCCGGGCTGGATTCATTGTCCGTGTTGTCCAGAGCTGCAGCTTCACGAGATCTCAGAAGTCGTCTCGCTTCGCCCACACTGTTGTGCGTGGGAACCGTGATCTTCGGTCCGGTCGGGATTTCGAGAGCTTCGACGGCCGCAAAGTAGACAACGACCACCAGCATGATATTCTGCATCCTCAGACCACTTAAAAAGTGGGACAAGTCACTTTTTCCACATTCTATTAGGAAGTGACCTATTCTGGAGACAGGATGTGGGAAGGGGGAACCAATACATTAACACTGATATTCCAAAGATGGATACAGCTCAAAGGTGGGAATGCTACTAATATTTGTTCCCACCGCATGTGGGGCGTTATTAGAGATGGTATCGGGCTCTCAATTTGCCAGGAAGTGGGAAATGTGGGAATTTTCAAAATTTTCCCACTTTTGAAGTGGTCTGTGCATCCTCATCGTTTCTGGCGCTTGAGCGCGCCAGGCTTGGTTCTTGACGCTAAAACCGGAAATGAGGTCCAAACGCCGAAGTGGATTCGCTTGCAATTTCAAAATACTTTGTGCTCCTCCGTGGAACCCCATCCTGCATTGAATCATCAGCTTGTTTCTGGTACATATGCGGGCAGTTCTGACTTCAATAATGCACACAATGTAGTACTGATGCGGTCTTGCAAATGTTCTCTGGATTTTACCCAGAGTTATTAGGGCGATACGACTGCAGGTGCAAATCACTATAAAAATGCAAGCTCCGCTATCGGTTATAAACGAACGAATCATTAACGTATCGGAACGTACCCGTTAACTTTAATAAACGCTTGGATAATATATTATCCAGCGGCGTGTTGCTCGAGTCTTTTAGGGTCGACATTCGCGTGACACGATCGATCGAATGTCGCTCGACCATGACTCCAAACATGTGTTTGCAGTACATGTATGTTCAACGATGTTAAATCGATGTCGCCACGTTCAAGTCATGGAACGACACCCACGAACACCCACGACTTCAATTTAAAGTCGTGAGTGTCGTTGAAGTCTTCAAACGATGCTGGTCTCGTTTCAACGATTCTGCACGTGCATACGTACCGTTACCGCCGCATTCAAGCCTTGACGTTGGCTGCATATTATTGCAAGATAGCTAAGGCATAGCGAGTGACCAGTACATGCTTGCGTAAGGGCTTGAGAAAGTTGGCAGTGCATGCTTTCATGGTTTCGGAACTTGGTAGCAAACCCGAATAAAGACAAAAGCACCAACTGCTGAAATTTAAGGATACTTCGCTCTAACCAAAGAACCTCGGGCAGAACTGCTAGGCACATTTAAGATAAATTAACTTAGAATCAAACCTAGAATCAAAACTACATGATAAAATCCAGAGCTTCTCCGTGCTTTAGCACGGCTTAGTCGTCATCGAGAGCTAGAACTTATGTTACGGTGGTTGGGAATCTGAGCGTTAAAACCACAGCAGCACTGCTAATAACTTATGAATGCGGCGCAGGTACACTTTATCATTCTCGATAGAGCAAAAAGATAGCGAGCAACAATCGGCAAGCCCATTCGCATTCGCGTTCGAGTTTGTAAAAAAAAATACTTACGTCTCAAGTTACGGTTGTTTTGGATGATTTGAGAAAATTGCTAACTTGAGCCTAGCTTACGTGTTCATGTACAATACTCGTGGACTACATGTACTATCCCAGAATGCAAGCCGTAGCGGGTCGATCTAATATATAGGGATCTGCCCAACAGTGTCGCAACACCCATAAAACGCCGGTGCAAGGAGAATTTTTGAGTTGGATATCTTCTAGCAATGATCGCTAAACGGATCTCCACACATTTTCTTTACTTAAAGTAGTTTCAACACGTTTTGTTAGCAGGAAAACGGAGACAGATTCATTTGCTAAAGCCTGGCTATGCGTATTGTCAACAATGTGTGCAGGATTCCACAGATGATGGGCTCTCTTTCCAATTAGCAGCTATAGTATGCCTCTAGTCTAATGTTTAGCGGCTCCATCGCTGGCTTTCACCAGAATATAAACCTTAAAGCACTACGGATGATCACCCAACATCGTTTTAAGGACCTGGGATACTCTGGTTCGAATACCTTTAGCGCTGAACCTGCCAGTAAAATAACCAAAATTGGCTGTAGGTTATGCCGAAGTTGTGTACTGGCAAGCGAGTTTGTGTAAGAATACAATGTCAAGTATTTGTGAACATCTATTGGCAGATGAATTTTGAACTGGAGGATTCATCCAAGCATACATACCTAAGTAAGTCCAAGTCGACACGGAGTCAGCATTCTGCTTATTGGAGAGGGTTATGGATCTCGCGTTCACACTTGTATCATAAATCCGTGTATCGGCATCGTTTGTTTCACTTCACTAAAACCTGAAGCGGATGGAGAAGCTTCGAGCCTGTATAGATGCTTGGTGCGGCCAGATTACGATATTCGTATTTTAATCACCGTGCCTAAAATCTTGTGTAGTATAGTTATTTCTTGATAGTGGCAGCCAATACTGTACGACTGTACTGCGACGAACTCGTCACCGCTTTCTGTACGAGCCCAAGCGATTCAAAAATCTCCGAGGAAAGTAATAATGAAGATGCTGCTAAAGGGAGGGAAACAATATCAATTAATAGTACAGTTGAGAAACAGTGCGCTGGCTACAGTAGTCACGCGTGCAATCGATTTTAATGCCGAGCACTTAGGGTCGTTGTGTAACCGTGCAGACTCATGCTGCAAGCGGGTGTTCCTCGGGGAAGAACTGTAGGTCTACACCCGTTGAACCGGGGAATAGCGTAGCTATTGCTACATGGTACAAATCGGCACTGGTCGCAGCATTTTAATATTTACTGAAGTACATGTGAGAAACTGCGAGTTTAGCCGCTCAACAATGAGAAAGATCACAGATCACGGAACTTAATTTCGTCTAGGGAACGCTTCTTGTCGCCATCTTCTGCCACGCCTGCCAATAATTCGTGTACTGCCTTACAATTGCTTCCGTTGCGCCGTGCTCCGTTACCACCCCGGACCTCTTCAGCAGCTCCTCGACAACGGTGGGGGTTAGTACTTTCTCTTTGAACCATTGCTTGAACTGATAAAACTGCACGCCTTCAGCAAGACTCTTCAGATCCGGAATTTGTTTCAGCGATTCCAAGGCAACTGCCAATGGGATTTCCGACGCGTCAGGGCCCAACAAACGGTAGATGTCACCATCCGTAAAGCGGCCCTCTCCATTCTTGGCTCGGTACGCCTTCATAAATCTGAACCACTGGATCGTTCTCTTGCTGTGATCAAACTTGGTCCAAGTCTTGTAGCGATTGACATACTTCAATGCCTCCGAAGGGTACTAGTTGATTTTGATCCATAGCTTCACGGCCAGGTTCAAGTCCCATTTTTCCCATTTTTGTATCCACCCAGTCGGTTGGTCCAGTTGAGCAAGCATCGAGACCCACTTCGCATCTGTGCTTCTCTCCTCTGGATTCCGGCCGGAGTCATTGTTATCGCCCAGAGCTGCGGATTCACGTGATCTCAGGAGTCGTCTCGCTTCGCCGACGCTGTTGTACGCGGCAACAGTGACCTTCGAACTGGAGGGTTTTCTGAGAGCTTCGACGGCCGCAAAGTAGACAACGACCACCACCAGCATGATGGTTGGCATCCCAGTAAGCATTTGCATTTTCTACAAGCTCTAAACAGATATCAACCAAGGTTCGCATTTTTAATTTTGTAAAGCATTGCCGGTAGACAGTTTGAACTGGCAAATATCCGGGCAGATGCTGCGGCTGCGAAGCAGGCGCAGGAGATGACCGTAGCTAATAAAAATAATGAAAAATAAAAAGAAGGGGTTTATACCAAAATTCTCCTATCCCAGCCTTCGCGGAGCCCTAGTTGAGATTCGAGACTTTACCATCGACCTTTTGAGTACTTCAAGTATTTCTTATTGTACCTGTAGAATTTCCACTATAGGTATCTAGCAAGCACTATCGTTCTGAAAATCTTGGTTATTAAGACTTTGAAGTGTTGTATATAGCGAATTTGGCTAACATACTTGTCAGGTTAGAGTAGTGCACACAGCGATTTTCAGAAATGCACATGGGCGGTAACGCCAGACGATGAAGCAGATCCTGTCATCGATATTTAGCAGCAACATGCACGACAAATAATGCCCTTGATTACGCCTGCGGAAAAATATTGATTGAGTCTCCTACACTCGGGACAATCTGGCTATTTACTCGTAGAAAGCGCCTATACGGGCTCGGGGGTCCTTCATCCGCTTCACCTCCTAAGCTCTCAGCGAAGAAACTTACTACGCCGACGCAAGGATGCGCGATGCAAGGCTGAACGCGATCTCCATACACCTTTCCAATAACAAGAAAATCATTCCTCGGTACTGAGAACCAATGCAACTTCCGTAGCGCCATGAACTCGCCTCCGTCCTCTTTCTCCATCTTGAAGAGTCCAAAGGATTTAAGCGCTTGCGGTGCGTACTACAATTTCTCATCTACCCAACGATAGCCCGCTAGCATCGTCATTTTATTGCGTCGTCCAAGTACAGTGTCAACACAGCACGAAGCCGAGAAAATGCTCATAGTTCGGTGCGTCCACCAGACGTACAGAACTGCCGACAGTGCTCGCACTGACATGATGAATCCAATAGCGAATAGAACAAAGCTTCCGTGGCCTGCGATGCTCCAGATATAGTGAGAGACGGCCAGACTAACGTGGTTGGAAGCCTTGAACATGCATGTCTGGTTGATATGCGTGAAGAAAGTTTGCTGAAGTGCCGCCCCCGGGATTTCTCCAAGAAGGGAAGACTCGTAGGAGGACAAAAGCCGCTTAATAAACACCCGCGTCTTCTCACGCAACCAATAAGTGCTTTCAATGATCTTGAACACCAGCAGCAGCATTCCCGATAAATTGTAGCCGAGCGAGACGTACTGGATCTTGGAGAAGAAGCCGTTGTTCGAGACCAGAAGAAAAGTGTCACTCATGAGCCCTTCGATCAGCAGATAAAGCAGCAAAACTCGATGAGTTCTCGTCGCGTCGTGCGCTGTGAGACGCAGTTGCTCGTGGATAAGCACCACCGCTTCTTTTCTTCTAAGCCCGACGCCCATTTTGTCGCATCTTCGCCCGTATCGGCTGCACAAAATGAAGCTCCGAAGCAGCACTAGACCCCGGTATATGACCCAAATGCCCCCAATCGCGCCGTACCAGTAAGATTTGCGATAGTCAGTGCTCCCCAAGTCTTCCACGAGATCAGAGCCGTTCATGTCATACGTGCCAAGACCTTTTGCAGCGAGGTACGCGGTCTTGTCGCTGGTACAATAAGTGCCTGCGCACTCTTCGTAGAAGGAAAAGTACCCAAAACTGCCGTGGTAGAAGTACATTTCCATCGAATAGCTGTCATCAGTACATCCACCTGGGCTCGTATAAAATGGCGGCACCTTCGTTGTCCCAATCAACAGATTCCCGTGAATATTGTACTGCGGGACGACGAAATGGCAAACCAATCCTCGTGGGAGATCGTAGTAGTGCGTGAACTGAATATTCCACCACACTTGGCCCAGGTAAATGCCCTCGAGGGGGCAAATCTGCGTCAAGTTTGCGATTTGTTTCTCCACACCTGGCTGGATCACGATAATCTCCGTGATCTTGTGCGGCGTCACGAATTTGCAGTAGCTTCACAGCTGCAGGATGAAAGGCGCCAGTCCCAGGAAGGCCCAAGCCGCCATCAATAAGCGAGAGGATGTGATACACCGAGCGATTTGAGACGCCGATGGGATTATTGACACAGGAGTGCGCCGTGTTTCTTGACGATCTTGGCTCCCCTTCATGCTTGCGTCGTGCTGTTCAGTGGTTGCTGCTGAAACGGATGCGCCTGCTCGACTTGACAATTTTTGGCGCCGTCTTCTGTTAAAAATGAATTCGCCGATGCCGGCCTATGACGATGGTAGTACATTCAACGACTTTGGATCTGCTGCTACTTTGTTTCGCACGCGAATAAAAAGAGATCGATGATTTTCCGTTTGCGCAGAATCGCCTCCAATAACCTGGTCGAAGAAGCTCACGATTCCAGTGCAAGGTCTCTCGGCACACACTCCCATCGTTTCACCAGCAACAAAGCCGATAACGAACAGATTATCCGTCGGAACCTCGAGCCAGTGGATTTTACGCAGCACCACAAACTCCGCTCCATCCCCTTCCTTCATCTTGAGCAGTCCAAAAGCCTTCAGCGCTTCTGTAGTGTAGTACAGCTTCTCATCTTCATAAAGGTAGCCTCCAAGCATCGTCATTTTATTTGGCAAAGCTAACGTGGTGTCGACACAGCACGGCGCAAAGAACACTGCGAGTGTCTGATGCTTCCAAGACACGTATACGAATGCCCAGAGTGCCCGAATGCAGATGATGTATGCCACTAGACCCAGTACGATAAACCCATGGCCTACTAGGCTCCAGACATAGTAATACACAGCTACAGCCGTGGACTTCGAGTCGCTCAGACGAGATCGATTGAGTGTCGTGATGTAGTGATGCAGTGCGACCACACTTAGCAGTTCTCCGAGCATTGACGACTCGTAGCAGAATAACAGGCGCTTAAAGAACACCTTCCATCTCTCGGACAGCCATTTCATGTTCTCAATCATCTCGTACACCAGCAAAAGCAAACCCGAAAGGTTGTAGCCCAGGGAAATGTATTGGATCTTGACGAGGATGCCATCTTGCGCTATCAGCATGAACAAGTCGCTCATTAGGCCTTCAATGAGTAGGTAAAGCATGACTGCTCGATGATAATTCGTCGCTCCGTGGGCTGTCAGGCGCATATTTTCTTGCGCGTAGACCACCGCAACTCTCTGGCAAACCGGTTCCCCCGTAAAATCGCACCTTCGGCCGCATTTGGACTGTTCGATACACCAGCCAAATTCCACAGAAAATGCTGTACCAATACGACTTTCGATAGCTGTCGTCTCCAGTGTCGTGAACCAAATTCGATCCATTGCTGTCATAGGTACCGAGTCCACGTACTCGCACATACGCGGCCTTGTCCAGGGCGCAGTATGTCCCCTCCGCTTCCTCGTAGAACGCGTAGCACCCGATACTACCGTGATAAAAGTAATATTCCAGCGGGTAGCTATCGTTAGCACAGTCGGAGGGTGTTGTTGCGGATGGCTGAGACTTTATCGAGCGCGGTAGATAATTCCCGTGAATATTGTACTGGGGGATAACGAAGTGACACAGCCTCCCGTGCTCCATCTCGAAGTAGTGAATCGCCTCAACGTTCCAGTGAACATGAGCGATATACAGCGGGGAGTAATTATTATCTGTTGCTAATTTACTGGATCATCTGTTGCGGGCAAATCAGCGGAAAATCTGTTGCCCGAGTCGGTTTATCTGTTGCGTGGTGTAGGGGACGAAAGCAACAGGTTTTCTGTACGGAAATCCTGCAACAGATTACATGTCGAGTTGACTCGGTATATCTGTTGCCTATGTGAGTACTTGTTGTGCTTATGCATCGAGTAAGAGCACCCCCGCTATTTATCCGAAGGCGGTCGATGCTTGATAGGATTCTTTTAAAGGGCTCGCATGAATTTCGCGAAGGCTATGTGAAAGTAGGATGGTCATAGCAGTAAATTTATTACTTGAAGGTCATAACACCGTCCTCCAGCTCCAAAAGATGCTACGCTGCACATTTTCCGCGTCTGGCGTCGGCTCCTGTACAGTCCCGCATCACCTCAACGTCTTCAGGCATCGGATCTATTGCGTCTCGCTCTACATGCACTGCTTCTTACTCGAATTACTGTTGCTCTGGTGCAGGCAACCCCTCTTCGGGCACGGACTTGTGATCCGCCTCGGACTAGGCCAAGTTTGGATTGCGCTGGATCTTGATTTAGATGGTTGGGCCACGTTCACCTGTACACATGAACGCGAGATGAGCTTGCTTACCTGTGGATGTGACTAAGATAAATAATAGTTGCGTGGTCTCCAATAGCTCTTCTTCGCTCGTTGTTATGTAGCCGCCAAGGCATTTGCCCCTGTGCGAGCTTGTACACGTCGCGAATACATAGTACTGAAGGACTCACTGTCTAGTGCCCACGCTCTTCGCACGAGGGGGTAGCTTTGCACTCTACTACCTCAGGAAGCACCCGGAGGAAGTCCAGTCCATGAGTACGAGTCGCCATAGTCTGTTGTGCCCACGCTCCAAACACGCCGAAGTACTCGGTAGTACAAGTCGTACTTCGCTTCCTCATCGAACCCAGTGATCATGGAGACGGTCTCCTGGATGCTGCCTGCAGTCCAGTAGCAAGCGCACTCAACCGTTTGGCGCTGTAATATGAGTTTTAGCTCAAACAAAAATCTATGCGGATAAAGAGAGTATGGAGATCGAGAGCGACAGTGGATGACGAGAGCAGATCCTAAAGTCCCGCAGACTGGAGTGAACTACATCGTGCAACCCCGTAACTTAGACGAAGGGCAGCGGTGACATCTACGGTACTGTAGCCACTCGCAGCTCCGAAGCTGTTGTCGGCGTGGCCGACGGATGCTCGTGTTAATGCATTGTTCCGTTAATGTCACTCTCAGTGGCCACGTGCACTACATCGTACTACCCAGCGGACGTGAGTCGACACCTCCGTCCGATGACTTCACGCATACTTAAGTACGCGCGCGATCGGGGCTACCACGGACACAACGGCTCTCATTACTACAATTGGGGCTATGGCTATGACAAATTCGACCCTCAGGGCTACCGCTCTTACGACCAAGGCCGTTCTTCCTGTGATGATGGCTATGGGGGTCGTTATGACCGCTCTGATCGTTATGACTCAGGAGGACAACGTGACCTCACCGCAGTGATCCTTCACCTCGTGGATCGACCCGTAAGCGCGTGGTCTGCTGTTAAATCCTTGGAAACACTGAAGAAGCTGTAACTCATCCCTGGCACCAATTGGTCCAGTAGCACCTCATGCGCTTTAAAATAGGTCACACACTCTTCGCGATAGGCTTGGACGTCAAGAGCGCACCCGTGGCGACGTTGACTTGCCATACCTGTGCTGCTGATGTCGTAGCACGCCTGCGCCAGAAGTCACAGTCCTCGTTGGCCTCTAAGGGGAACGGCAAGCTATCATCTGGATGCAACAATAACTCAAGCTGCTTGCAAAGTTAAGGAATGACTATCGAAGAATAAATCCGTAGCAGACCGCTGAGCTCGCCATAGTCCCCGAAATGGAATACCACAAGTTCATGCATCACCTTCCTGAGCAATAGCGGGGGTGCTCTTACTCGATGCATGAGCACAACAAGTACTCACATAGGCAACAGATATACCGAGTCAACTCGACATCTAATCTGTTGCAGGATTCCCGTACTGAAAACCTGTTGCTTTCGTCCCCTACACACGCAACAGATAAACCGACACGGGCAACAGATTTTCCGCTGATTTGCCCGCAACAGATGAACCAGTAAATTAGCAACAGATAAAAATATTCTCCCATATACAGCTCCTCCATTGGACAGCGTAACTCTAGATCCGCCGTCTCTCCTTCCTTATCAGGTGGCACCACGAGAGTCTCGGAGATTTTGTGCGGCGTCATGAACTTGAGGTAGCTCCGAATTTGTAGTAGAAGCGGTAGCATGCCCACGCAAAACCAAGCTGCTATTAGGGTACGCTGCGCAGTTAGTCGGCGGCGTGAAGGTGTCGATTGCCGGTCTTGGGAGTAGCCGACGATGCTGTGAACTCGAATAGGCTTCATGTTCGTGCAGCTTCACTCAACACACTCTTGAGAACCGTGAGCAAAACAAGAATACTTGCCGTTGCGGGGTGGTTGTATACCAAAATGGTTTCCAGAACCACAGCAAACGGATGCGTCCGCTAATGATAGGCCGTCGTAGACTTAAGTGCACATTCCACTTTAAGATGCACGATCTCCGTTCATCTTTTGGCTCAGGTAGACCAGGTTCAACTAAAGCAATGAGCCGATAGGTGCAGTGATGTTCTTCCTGGCACTCCTTTATCCGCCCTAGCAGAATCATAAGGATCTTACCGCGTGCTCTGATGGTAGCTCGACAAATTGTGGCGAAGATGCTGGCTGTTGACTACACGGTAGCTATATATACGCTGCTTCAAGCCAAAACTTACCGAGATGGAGCAGAGGAAGGTGACCCCCCTTCAAGATGCCTGCGCGGTCTCTACAAGCGGTACCGTAATGACTGCACATCGGGTGTTGCTGGTCGCCTGGTTCGTGGTTGGAGTTGTGCCATTTATTCTCCAGACGCGGAGTTTCCTGCAATTCGCAACCCCTCACAAGATCACTGAGACGCTGGTCCCTCCAGCAGGAACGGAGAGAAATGCAACGAATTTATCGCACGTTTGCTCTGCTAAAGGCATGCAAATGGCGCAAGTCTGGTGGAATATCGACATTACGCACTTCTATCTCGTCGACCACGGGCTACTCTGCCACTTTGTCGTGCCGCAGTACAATGTCCATGGGAATTATTTAATCGGAGACAGCAAAGTTGAGCCATTCCCCACGACACCAACTAACTGCGTGAGTGACAGCTACGCTGTGGAGTTGTACTTCTACCATGGTAGTATCGGATACTATTCCTTTTATGAAGAAGTGGCTGGTACCTACTGCTCTATCGATAAAACGGTGTATGGACTCGTAGGCGGACTCGGAACGTACGATTTGAACGGCTACAACTTGGCAAACGACGCTGGGAGTGAGGGGTACCGGTGGTCGTACTGGTACTGCTCTGTTGGTACGGCGTGGTTACTGTTTGGGGGGCTCGTACTACGGCGGAGCTACTTAGAAGTATATTGCGTGCAAGCGGCACGGGCGAAGGTGTGACCAAATGGAGGAAAAACTCACTCGACAGTCGGCAACGGTCTTCGTGCATGAAAACTTGCGGCTATCGGCCCACGGAGCGTCGAACTACAGTCGGTTGGTGTTACTCTATCTCCTAGCGGAAGGTCTCATGAGCGATCTGTTCCTACTCGTCGCCAACGATGGAGTTTTCGCCTGGGTCCAGTATATTTCACTGGGATACAACTTATCTGGTGTGCTTCTGCTACTGTTCGAGCTCCTGGAGAACATGGGGTGGATGCGCGAGAGCTCTCGATTGTTTATCAAGAGGTTACTACTCAGCTACGAGTCGGCATTAATCGGAGAGCTGCTGAGCGCAATATGCCAGCCTCATTTTCTCACAGCGCTCAATAGATCGGAGCTTAAGAACTCTGGTTCTACCGCTAAAGCTGCGTCCTACTACGTCTGGAGCTTGGTGGGTCACGGCGTTTTCGTGCTGGTTCTCATCGGATTCATCATGTCGATACGGATATTACGAGCTGTTAGCTATGTGCGCTGGAAACATGGCTGCTCTTGGGCCATTTTCACGGCTCCGTGCTGCGTGGACAATACCCTCAGTATGCGCAACAAAATGACTATGTTGGGAGGCTACCGCTGGGAGAATGGTACGCTGTTCTACAAGGTAGAAGCTCTGAAGGCGTTCGGATTGCTAAAGGTGGAGGAAGAGGACGGCACGGAGTTGCTGGTTCTGCGAAAACTGTACTGGATTACAGTCCCGACCATTGATATGATTGCCATAGGAATTGTGTCAGGGCAGAGTGTCCAACCATGCAGTGAAAGATTTTGTACGACAGGTATCGTGAGCTTTTTCGATCGAAATTTGGGCGGTGATGATAGCGAGGCGGGGCGTCCGACAAGATTTGTTCGAGTCAGGAGCAAAGTGTCGCCGTCTCTACTAAAGAATGCACTGCACAGTGAATTATGACGTCACTACCGAGAGAAAAGGATCCAAGGAATTTCATTTGGCCTGTCCTCATGTGGAGGAATAATTTCAGTGAGTTTACAACACTACATAGACACTGGAGATGTGAGACGGAAAATCTTGTTAATCGATATTCGATGGTATCAGAATTCATATCGGTGATCGTGCCTGGCTGCACGAAGGAGACGGTGGTGCGTCAGCAGATCCTCAAGGGCATCAGTGGCGTCTTCAACGCGGGCACAATGACGCTCGTGCTGGGTCAGCCTGGACCAGTCAAGTCGGCGCTCCTGAGGGTGCTGAGCGGTCAGTTCCCATGAACAAGAACGTGGTGTTCGAGGACGAAGTCACCTACAACGGCACTTCAGACCAGCACGGGGCTGGACAGCGCAGCTACCTGCGACATCATCAGCAGGTAGCGCAGCATCGCCCCAAGACCTGCCACAAGGCAGTGGTCATTTCACTACTGCAGCCTTCCCCTGAGGTTTTTGCTCTCTTCGATGACGTCCTGCTACTGAACGACAGTGAGGTGCTGTACCATGGCCCTCGAGCGCAAGTGGTGAAGCACTTCAAAGGCTTAAGCTTCGTCCGCCCCAAGACGTCGCTGACTTCCTGGTGGATCTCAGTACAAGTGCCGAGTGAATGTACGCGGCAGGACGCACCCACGACTGCCGGTCGAGTTTGCGGAGGCGTTTGCTCGCTCGGGTATTCACATCGTGAGGCTGACGGAGGTGTGCATGCCCCAAGATGCTGCGACGGCTCAAGATGTGGAGACTTACGTGAAGGTTGTACAGGAATTCCACCAGACGTTTGGGTGATAATTATTATCTGTTGTTTTACATGTAGTCTTGTTTGTAAGTGAGAGCAATGATTCAGAACCCCAAAACAACCAAAACACACAAAAGTAGAATACCCACAGGTCGCCGAAGTTTGTGCATGCATTCGGCCACTTCGCTACTGCCCACCATACTATGTAAAAAGGTCTGTGCACACTTCTCGGGGGCTACCAGACGTCTTCATGCGACTTCTACTGAAGCCCTGCGCATCCTCGCTGTGCTCTAAACTGCCGATGCTGTTGTCCTAGGCGATGCCGTGTTGCTGCATCTCTCTCTCCAGATCGACACTGCTTCACTGTTGATCTGTAACAGCTAAACAGTGTGGCCAACAGGCGAACAGGGGCTGTGAACGCACAACAGGTCAGCAGGGGCAGAACAACAGGTATTAATTATTTTCCCAGACGTTTGGGCTGGTGCTTTGAAACTCACGCGCCGTCAACTCGTGCTCCCAGTGCGGAACAAGGCGTTCCTGCGTGGCAAAGCTGCTCGTGGGGCGGCCCTACTTGAGTATGTTTTACTAACTCAACTTCGAGAACGTGCATGTCGTCATGGAGATCCATTTCTACTCCGATCGATACCGAACTCGAACTAGGATGTTTTTGATTCTAGCATTTAGTGGGATACCGATCCGCCAGTGGCCATACCCTACGTGTGCCGTTGCTAAGCAACTACTTAATGCCGTGTTGAATCTTCAAACTCTGCAGTCTAAGCCAATCCTCGTAGTCGCCTGCTTTCTTCACCGACTTCCTTATTTTTTCGGCTTTTGCGGCCTTCCTCGCAGCCTTGGCGGGGTCGACGAGCTTGATCTTCTCCAAAACCTCACTCTAAGAAAACCCTCTCTTTTCGTCAATGTCGTCTTCGTTCTTCTCGACACGACGAAGCATCCGTCCACCGTCTGCGTCGATTAAATCGGTGGCAGGAATCGCATCGTTCTTGACCACAGTGTTGGGATTGTTGGCCGAAGGAAGTGAGGCACCACTGACATGGAGAGTGGCCGCAATGACCAGCGTGACGATGCAAGTGAGGCGCATATTTATTGTCGATCCTTGTGTACTGGCCTTTAGCGGGAGTGTGGTACAGCGATTGCTTGTTGGGTTTGGAGCAAATTGCAGAATGAAATGAAGGATTGGGCTCCGAATTGGTTTGGCTGAAGGGAGCGGAGCGGCTTGATCTTTTGCACCACCGCCTTCTTGGGCATCGTGTCGCTGAACAGCGCCGTCCCAGGCACGTCCGAGGAAAGAGCGTCGTTCTACCGCGAGCGAGCAGCCGAGACATTTAACTTGTTCTGGTACTTCCTGGGCTTCACGCTGACCGATATCCCGTACGTGCTCGTGGCGAGTCTGCTCTTCGCCGTCGTCTGCCTGCCACTTCCGGGCTTCACGGACATCGGCGACCTGGGCCTCAACTGGCTCAACTTGACGCTGCCCGTGCTTGCTCTTCACGGCGCTGCGCTTCGGGAACTGCCCCAACGACGAGTACGTTCAGGTGGTTCAGTTAGATCAAACAGGGGCGTTGTTGGACATGACACAGTTTTCGAGGGGTTGCCACATCCTTGAGAATTTCCCGCAAGCCCCATTGTTTCCCAATTATTTTATGAACAAATTATCGGTCAGGATCTCAAACAAGTGGAGCTTGCGCAAAACTACTGACTCCGATCCATCGTCTTCCGTCATCTTCAGCAGGCCAAAGGCCTTAAGAGCTTCCGTGGTGTAATACAGCTCCCCACCGTCCCAGCGGTAGCCTCCAAGCAGCGTCATTTTGTTGCGCGAAGCGAGCGTGGTGTCGACGCAGCACGGAGCGAAGAAGATTGCGAGGGCTCGATGCTTCCAGGAGACGTAAACGACTGCCCAGAGCGCCCGAACGGAGATGATGAAAACCACGAGACCAAGCACAATGGTTCCATGCCCCACCAAGCTCCAGACATAGTACGAGACCTCTATGGCTGCTGACTCAGTCTCTCGTAGAATGGACCGATTAATCGTTGTGATGTAGTGATGCAGTCCAATCACACTCAGTAACTCGCCAAGCATCGAGGACTCGTAGCAGAAAATCAGTCGATTGATGAACACTCGCCATTTCTCGCGTAACCTTTGCATGTGCTCAATCATTTCGTACACCAGCAAGAGCACGCCAGATAAATTGTACCCCAGAGAGACGTACTGGATCTTGACGAGAATCCCATCTTGGGCGATCAGCATGAACAAATCGCTCATCAAGCCTTCAATGAGCAAGTACAGCATGGCCGCCCGGTGGTAATTTGTCGCTCCGTGGGCTGTCAGCCGGCATGTTTTCTTGAACGTACACCACGGCCTGTTTTCGGAAAATTCGTTCTCCCGTAAAATCGCACCTTCGACCGTAGCGTTTGCATGCGACGTAGCACCTCCTCATCTGAATGGCACGATACACCAGCCACACGCCACAGAAGATGCTGTACCAGTATGACTTCCGATACCCATCGCCTCCGGAGTCATGGACCAGATTGGATCCGTTGATGTCGTAGGTTCCGAGTCCACGTACACGCACATGCGCAGTCTTGTCCAAGGCACAGTACGTGCCCTCCGCCTCTTCGTAGAACGCGTAGTAGCCGAGACTACCGTGGTAGAAGTAATATTCCAGCGGGTAGCTGTCATTGTCACAGCTCGAGGGTGTGACAGAAGACGCCTGAGTCTTCACCGGTCCTAGAAGATAATTTCCGTGGATGTTGTACTGCGGGACAATGAAGTGGCACAGCCGTCCATGGGCTATTTCGCAGTAATACATGGCCTCGATATTCCAACGCACTTGGGCAATGAACAGTTCCTTGATGGGGCAGAGTTCAGCCAGTTGTGCAGTCTCCGACTCGCGAGGTGGCTCAATTAAAGTGTATGTGATCTTGTGTGGCGTCATGAACTTCAGATAGCTTCGAACTTGCAGCAGTAGCGGCGCCATGCCGACGCAGAACCATGCCGCAATCAGAATTCGGTGTGCCGTGAGCCAGCGATTAGTTCGTGCGGCGTCCTGGTTCTGCCGCAGTCCTACGATGCTGAGAACTCTACTGGGATCCATGTCAGCTTGTGGAATTCGCGTGCTGCTACAGTTCTTGTAACACTTAACGCTCTTGACTGTGCAAACTCAAGAATGAACGCTGGTGGGTCTTGGCGTCAAATTGTTTCAAGACTCGAAACGGACGATAATAATAATAATACAACAGCTCGCACATGAGACCACAGTCCACAGTCGTCTCTCTCTAACAAGGGTACCAATTAGCCAGGAAAACCTCCACATCGCGAGTACGAAAGAGGTATCCTCGGAGGACAGCACACAAGGTAGACCGACTTCCACTTCAGCCGCACTTCTGCAGGGCTTCATCCACGAGCAAGTTCTCCATCATCTCGTTGCTCGTCGATATGTTGGCGGACGTGGCGCTTACCACAAACTTGGTCAGCGCAACAGTCTTGCCATACTTCTGCAGCTCCGGGTCCGAAAAGTGCGGCGTGATGTTGTAGCACGTCAGCACACGAGTGGCGGCCTCTTCATCCTCACCACTGCAGTGCGGCTTCATCAGCACGTAGCCCTTGAGCAGGAAGTGCACGCCTCGAACCAGCTCCTCGTCGAACGTGAAAGGCTCGAAGTACGCGTGCCAGACCACCACGACGCGCTGGTCTTCCACGTACCGCCGGAGCACCTGCTGCACGTAGAACGTCGCGCGCCTGTCGGTCTTGACGTCGACCATCTCCAGCCCGCACCGCTCTCTGACCACGTCGTCCCCCGCCGTCTCGTCCGAGCGCTGGCCTCTGTAGTTCTGCCAGCGCCTCCACCACGCGTCGCCCGTCGCGCGCAGACCGAAGGGCAGCACCCGCCCGTCGAACAGCTCGATACTCACTCCCTCACGCAGCAGCGGCCTGCGCGTCTCCATCCACGTCGGCACGGGGCAGTCGGTCTCCAGCACGCGCTCCACGTCTCGGTACGAGGCGTCGACGCCCGCCGCCAACTCGTCGAAGATGCGCGCGGCCACGCGCTGGATGAAGCCCGCGGGGATCTCCACGCGGCGGACGCGCTTGCTCGCCCCGGGCTCCGCGCTCTGCATTGACAGGCGCTTGAACAGCAGCTTCTCGACGCTCTGGGCCAGCTTGGACTCGGCCCTGCACCTCTTGCGGAGGCGGCCGTTCTCCCGCTCGGCCTTGAGTCGGCGCCCCAGTTGACGCGCGCAGATGTCGCGCCACACTTGGGGCAGCTCCGCGTCCGACTGGGGACCGGTTTGAGGCTCGAATGAGCCATTGGAGGCGCCGCGTAGCGTCTGCAGCTGCTGCAGCTTGAGCTGGAGCTCGTCGGCCTCCGTCCGCAGACGCCGCAGCTCGCGCAGCTGCTCACTGCGCGCCTTGTTGGGGTCGTAGTTGCGCTTGCTTTTGGTCTTGGCCTTCTTCGGCTTGGAGCTTTGGGTCTGCGTCTCAAGGGTTGGAGCAGCAGGACCATTGGGAGCGGCTGAGGCGATGGCGGCTGTGCTGTCTATGGTGCAGGAGCCCGGCGCGAGACCAAAGTCCCCGAGGTCGCCGCCGCCCAGAGCCTCCAGCAGAGCGTAAGGGTCCCATTCGTCGCCGTCCAGCGACTCAAGAAGGACTGCATCGCCAGCGCCTTCGCCTAGAGAGGCCGCCGCGGAGGATGCCCGCTCGTGCCCTTGCAGCGGCATGTCCACTTACTTGTACGGTATACATACTGTGCGGAAAGTTGGCCTTGCAGTTTATTTTTAAATTGTTTACATTGTTGCTTAAGATAATTAAATTTATTTCGTCGTGATAGGAGTTATTGCTGGCGAACGCATGGGACCGTGTGCAGAGACGTTGCACTGGAATGGTGAGCTTCTTCGACCACAATGTCGGGGGTAGCTCGAACCACGTTGAGGTTCGCCGACCACTTTGCATCCGTGTGCGGAACAAAGTGTCAGCGAATTCGCAGTCGCTCAAAAATGTGCTTCCGCCGTCTTAACAAAAAAAGCTTAGCTGGATGTATGTTGTAGTTCAGTAGCATTTTTTTATTTTTGATGTTCCTTAGCACATGGAGTTTGCTGGTTGCAGCTCGAAGTGACTTGGACTAACAAGTCAGTAGATAATGAAGGCTCAGGTAGCAGCAATCTCAGCCACGATACTTACTTTTAAAAAAAAGAAGGTAGAAGTGGCTACACACTTTTTCTTCAGATCCTTCAATCAAATTGGCGATCGTCAACTCCTTCAATAAGAGACAGAGGATACTTGCACCGGGTCAGCTCCAGTCGGTGCAGCGTGGTGCACCGGGCCACACCGACTGGCCCGGTGCACGGTAAAAGATTTCGCTCTCAAGACCTCACTCGTCCTAGCTTCTCGCCATGCGCCTGATCCACGTCGTCTTGGTGGCCGTAGCTGCGCTCGTCGCCGGCAGCGATGCAGCACGGGATTCCGCGGACATTTCCAAGTTCACATCTCCCAGCTCTGTGTTGGTCTCTCCCAGAGAGCTGATGGCGCCACGACGAAGCGCTCCCTCAGGACAGAAGATGCTGCGAGCAAGCACGTTGAAACGGCCGAACGACGCCTTGTGAACATCGACCTCATTCTCCAAGATGCCATGTCCTCCGTCAAGAAAGCTGTAAAGTGGAAGCTCCAGTTTGCGGTGTGGAAGGCAATGCGCAAGACTCCAGTGACGTTAGCTCAAGAACTGGGGATCATGAACAGGGGCCACGCCAAGTGGGAGAAGCTCAAGGCTTACCAGAAGTACTACGGCAGGGGACCGCTGAAATATCCGTGATGTCTCTTTGTGGTCTGCTGGACTTCAATATCGAATCGTTCAGCAAAAAAGGTGACATCACAAAGTACAACAGTTTTGTAGTGCGGTAGTCCTAAATACAATAGGGCTGCTGGTAGCCCACTGGGTAAAGGTCCCAGGAAGTACGCTCTTGGCCGGAGCTCAAATCCCATCAAGGACAAAAAAGGAAGAAGAATAAATTGATACACTCTCCAATCTCATCACAATCATTCAACAATCATTACCTCTATCGGCGGGGCAGTGATAATATATATAGGTTGTGACAATTTTGTGATAATTTTTTGAGTTTAGGTAGAGCTCATTTCACCTTCAAGCATCTAGCATCCAGTATGAAGTCTAGGCGAACTGGAGGTGCAGAGGTTCCTCGGCGCAAACGTGATACTTAAGTATTGAAATCGTCGTGACCACAAAGCTGCTGCATTCGTTCGTTCTGCTAAGCGTCTTGGTGAAGATACGACCAAGCAGATTCAAGCTGACTGCTAGAAGCTAGCGCCTACTACAGCAGCAGCGGCGTCGAGCACGCAAAGTTGCGAACTCTGCAGCTCTGTGCAATACAACTCGAGAGTCGATACTATAAGAGATACATAGCATCGATACATACATGCAGCACTTGAATTTACCGAATATACCGGTTGCTTATGACAGCTGGCGGGGCAAGCGGCCAAACGCTTCAGTTAATCAAATCATCAGTTTTAGTTTTAGTAGTCCTAAATACAATTTGCGAAGGCACATTAAATTACTAATGTGCCACATGTACATTACCGGCCATTTGCAACCCGGGTTGTATTTCTCGCGATCCGCAGCCTGTGATTGGCCAGATGCATGGTATCAGCAAGGATTTAGGCTGGTACTGCGACCAAACCGCTGGGTGTCGTTTGCAACTTTTGTAGCGCACCGAGTAGCAAATACTGTTCAGTTTTGCGACCATATCTGCTTACAAAAACCAAATCAGGGTTGCAAAACAGCTCAGTGCGTGAGTTGCAAAATAAAAGAGAGGTTGCAATGCGGTGCAGAGCGCTAAAAAGCTGCATCGTGAAGCGTGGAAGCATGACGGGCGACCGGATAAGTGCAACAAAAGGCCCCGGGGCGCTGTCCGCAGGGCTCGGCAGCGCGAGCCGCACGATCAGAGATGGCTAAAGGTCTGAAGGTGGACACGGTGACCACAATATCGCGCGCCACGGGGCCCGTCGCCGACGCAATCGTCCACGCCAGAGTCAGCTATGACAGTACCAGAGGTAGCCAAGCTACCCGTTTGGAGCGGCTCGTCATTGGCGAGACACTATAGCAATCCGTAGGCTACGAGCTAATAACTAGTACTGGGCAGCGTGTAATTTGCGCTACTATAGCATCCAAGGCTCTCAACTGGTGTTCGAGACGCCAGTAAAGCTTGTAATAGTGATCATAAGGGCAAGTGGGCTGCCGGGTGATCGCTTTTACATCCCTATCGACAAATATGCAAGTGATGGCAGGCAAAAATATGGTAGGCTTTCGACAACTTTAAACCCACGTATCATATACTATAAACATAATGTGGATCATTACAGAGCAGTAATGCTACATACAGCTACGCTGTAGGCTCTTAATTAACCAACAAGCAACGTATTCAGGACTGATGTGCATGTTGGCATCGCACTTGGCCGTCAAGTTGACCGGTACAATATTTAGCCAATCAGAGCCCGGTAGCAAACCAGGTTGCACAACTGGCTGGTATTTATACAGTATTTCGCCTCGCTTAGAAGGTGGAAGCATCAAACCTTGACCTTTTTGCTGCAGTAAAAAGGTTATATTCTTCAACCAGAATACAACTATCAGCGGTGAGTCAGACCACGTTGACGAGGGTGGTAGAAGAAGTTGATTAACGAGCTCGTGGGCGTACCGTTTCGCTAGCTATGGTAAGTTGGACATGTAGTGGTAATATCTCGGGAAACTTGATTATTGACGCAGAATCTAAATTCGACAACATCTACTATTAGACCTAAGGCACAGTTACTGAGGAACTGCGTGCGTACCCTAGTGCAACACATGTATACACTTGTGCAATAAAATAATACTGTGCATCGTCCCGGCTATTAAATACATGCGATGTTGCATAGTAAAATGCCAGATTTTAGTTCCATTTGTTAGTTGTTGACCACCGTCCGGCCTCGACCTGTATTCTACGAATTCACAAGCAAAATCCAATTACACTTTGTCACTTCCAAATTGGCTCTGCACTACTCCAAACGAGATGACACGCTCCAGAAACCGCACCCAGCGCACACAAGAGGAAGAAAATAGCGTCCGTTGGGACAGCCTCTAATGTTGGACGAGCTGCAAAACAACGACAACATTGCCCACGACGGGGTGATAGTTGAAAACTCTTTGGGAGATTCAATACTCTGTGGGGTGTTTGTTCCCACAAGTGGGAGTGGGACAAGTCGTATAACATGTTCTTCAGAGCCTGCGTGGCTCTGACGATCTACAGTGTTCGCTGCTGCCCCCTTCGCCGCGAAGACGGCGAGCGTTTCTTGCGTTACGAAGCGCGTCTTATCCAGATTGGACTGGAGATCGAAGCCGAGAAGAAGCGCGAACACCAGGAGTACAGGGACGGCAGGCGCGCGAGACTTGAGCTGACCGCTCGGGACGGTACTCGACGCAGACTCAGTCTTGGTAGGAGCCATAACGCAAGCCCGTGCAGCACCACTCACGGATCGGCATGATTTGGGAATCTCGGCTCCCGCCAAAAGAGAAGACTGCATTTTTTCAGTAGAAGAGCAACTGCGCTGTAGGACGGCTTAATTCCTAATACACGTTGCATAATGGCACTATCCCCTGTATCTTCGTCGTTCTGCTTGTAATTGAGCATCTGTTAGCTGAATTATCAAATGGAGGTAGCGACGTCATATCTATCAAGCATTACGTCCGGTAGTCCGTAAATGATTTTAGGCTCTATTGGTTTGAGTGCATCCGAGTCGTTGAAGAATAGAAATCATTGCAAACCGTTCTTCGGAGTAATGGAACAGTAGGTGCCGTCGCGGTTCGAATCGCCGTTATGTAGCAGGAGAACGATGGAAGACATAGAGTGCGTGCTGCGGGAAATGACTGTGCACGTCCAGTATATTACTCCGCTAAGGTACTCTCCAAGTCAGGAGTGCAATCAATAAAAAAAATCCAAGTCTCATTCCACGACGTATTTTTTTATTCTGAATTGAGGTTCCACTGTTGTCACTTAGCTAGGTAATATAGCATTGCACGACGTGTTATCACGATTACAATACGATTCCTGACAGAACCAAGTATTGATCTTGTTCTACGATCCATTATGCGAGATCCGGACCTCTCCTTGCATTGCGATTCGTGTCCCGTACTTTTCGTTTCGCTCTCAAGCCCTCACTCGTACAATTCCTCCGTCTTTTCTCGAGACCAGCCATGCGCCTATTTCACGCCATTGTAGTGGTTGTAGCTGTGCTCGTCGCCGGTAACGATGCATCACGGGATCCCGCGGATATTTCCAAGACCACCCTGACCAGTCCTCTGCTCGACTCTCCCGGTGAAGTGAAGGGCAGCATGTCAAAGCGCTTCCTGAGGACAGGAGAGACTGCGAGCAGCCACGTCGAAATGGCCGAACGCCGCCTCGTGAACATCGACCACATTCTCCAGGACGCTGCGATAGCGGCCAAGTGGAAGGTCCAGTTTATCACGTGGAAGAAAATTGGCAAGACTCCAGCGAAGTTACTAGAAGAATTGGGAATCAGCGGCAATGCACACCCGTAGTGGAAAAGGTACGTGGCTTACCTGAAGTACTACGGCAAGGGACCACCAACCTATCCATGATGATCGAGCCCCTCGTTTCGGATCGACGTTGATATCGGTCACCGGAGATATGATGGCACACGTCAGTTCTGTCGTGCCCTTACACTAGTGTTTGGCGATGAGTCCTAAATAGAACTTGCCAACTTGAGCGCATCCGTTACGATCAAACTTTACTAATAGTATTTTTTCGATTATGAAGCAAGTCGTCCAACGAGCCCACCATGATCCAGCTTCAAGCGCGTTGATGTGTCAATGCAGTGGATTGATCACTGCAACGCGCATGCTGATGGGCGCTTGGGTTTTTCTTGGTCTGGTGCCGTTCATTCTGCTGGTGCGAAGCTACTGCAAATTCGTGACGCCGCACAAGATCACAGAGAGTCTGGTCGTCCCGCCCGAACTCGAGAAAGAAATGGTTAATTTGACGGAGTTCTGTCCTCTCGAAGGGTTTTATTTGGGTCAAGTGTGGTGGAATGCTCAAAACACGCACTTCTACAATGTTTCGCAAGGAATTCTCTGTCATTTCGTCGTCCCGCAGTATAATATCCATGGAAATGTGCTGATAGGGTCCTCGAAAGTCCCACCGTATGAAACAAGCCCGCGCGAATGTGCCGACAGCAGCTACTCCGTCGAAATGTACTTCTATCACGGGAGTTTTGGGTATTTTTCGTTCTACGAAGAGCAGATCGGCACATTTTGTAATTATGATAAAACCGCGTATATTGTGGCGAACGGCCTTGGAACTTACGACATCAACGGACCCGACCTGGCTGAAGACACCGGAAGCACGGAGTATCGACAGTCATATTGGTATGGCGCATCCGCCGGTGTTTGGGTCATGTATCGTGGTCTAGTGCTTCGTCGAAGCTTCATTTTGTGCAAGCGATATGGTCGAAGATGTGACCAAATGGGGGTCGAGCTTCGGCGGAAAGAAGCCGTTGTGTTTGTTCACGAGCAACTCCGTCTCACAACGCATAATGCCACAAAACTACACCGAGTTGTGCTGCTGTACCTGCTAATCGAAGGGCTCATGGGCGATTTATTTCTCTTGGTCGCCAATAACGGGCTCTTGTCGAAGATGCAGTACGTCTCGCTCGGCTACAATTTATCTGGAATACTGTTGCTGGGTTTCGAGACAATTGAAAGTATGCACTGGCTGCGCGAAAGGACTCGGGTGTTTATCAAGCGACTTCTGTTTTGCTACGAATCGTCTCTGCTTGGGGAGATCCTGGGGGCAGCTCTTCAACAGACATTCCTCACGCACATCAACGCGTCAAGAATGTTCAAGAGCTCCAACAACATTAACGTGGCCGTCTCGCACTACGTTTGGAGCATTGTGGGCCACGGTATCTTCGTCTTTTGTGTCATCGGATTCATCATGTTGGTGCGTGCACTTTGGGCAATTGTGTACGTGTGGTGGAAACATCAAACTATGGCAATCTTCTCGGCGTCATGTTGTGTTGATACTGCGCTGGGGCGACGCAATAAAATGACAATGTTGGGGGGATATCATTGGGTAGACGACCAGTTGTACTACGGACCTGAGGCGCTTAAATCGTTCGGGCTTCTAAGGGTGGAGGAGGAGGACGGTGCCGAGCTCATCGCACTGCGTAAATTGCACTGGTTCGCGGTACCGAGGCATGGCATGTTCGTAATTGGAGAGGTGTATGGAGAGTGTGTTAGACCGTGTGCTCTGCGCCCCTGCACTGGTATTGTCAGTTTCTTCAATCAGCGCTTAGGAGGTGAATCTGACGAGGAAACAACGCGACAAGGTAGGCGTCTGGTACGAGTACGCAGCAAGATTGCTCCTGGCCCAGACACGATCAATATTTTCCCGCCATCTTAGTGGTTATGAATGAAAGACTTGAGTTCGACAACTGGATGCTCTATTGTTTAGGATCTCACAGGCCCTAGCGATGGTCCGCTAGTCTACAGTGGCAATAAAATCCGCCCTACAACTCCTTGACGAACTTGTGGACTGGGAAGTATTTGATTTTCTGCCAGATGTACAGGTCTTCTTCATCCACCATTGAGTACCCGAGAGCGTTATAGAACCCATGAGACTTCTCGTTTGCGGCGTTGATCGTCAGGAACAAGCTCTTGATTCCGTTCTGGCGCGACCAGCTCTCCAGTTGCGCGATGAGCTTGCGGCCGACGCCCATGCGCTGGCAACTCTGGTCCACGTACACGCATTTCACCTCGCCGACAGCTTCAGACCTGCGATAGAGGGCGATGATGCCGACTATTTTGCTCGCTCCGTTTGTCGTCCCAACTGCAACCCAGAAGTTCCCACCCGGGGCGACGAGGTTGGCTTGGATATCGGCCAAGTCGGTCGTCAGGTCCTTGCGAAGACGCTCTTCCCAGAGGTAGCGATAGTCCAGATTCTTGTCAGCTGCCATCACACCCTCGATGAAAATCTTGGTGACGGTGGCATGATCTTCTGGGCGATACTGACGCACAGTCACGGTCACTTGCGGGCGGGCGGTCATTGGGTATGATAGCTGAGTAAGTTGAGTCGGCAGAAAATGGAATAATGAGGAACGATGAGAACCGTACGCTCCTAGGTCGACTGTGCAATGACTCATCATGGTATACTCAGTAGAAGTATAAGGCAGACATCATATCGTTTGGATGAACAGCATATCTAAAGCTTTGGGGATGTTTCATTCGGGGCAGATTAGATAGGGCAACTTTGTACTGTATAACCAAATATGTGCTTTACACCATAATTTTTCCACGGTAATAAGTTTGCGGAGCACGGACCCTCCCAAAAGACTCGCAACATCAGCACAACCGTCAGGCAGAACCATGGGGCTCCGCTCCTCACCGCGAGCAGCTCCGCGCCGTCCCCCGCGTCATCCCCACCAGGACCAGTCGCTATGTCACGAGTGTGTGGGGACTTCATGCTTTGCTAGCAGCGATAGCAGATCGCTGCGGTCTCTGGCGAGCGGTGCACCGAAGGACGATGTCGTGACTAGTGCTGGTGTTGTTAATGAGAGAACTGGGTGCTGGCTCGTGCTCATGCGCATGCTACCCCTGCGGTATCTCCTATTAATGTAGCTACTGCTGCTACCGGCGCCATCACCCGGAGCGACAACGACCGGGACCATTCACCTCGCCGATTTTTGATGATGCAAACAAGTGGTGCCATTGATCGGCTTGAACAGGTATAAATCTGTAAGTTGCCCTGAGCTTTTTGGTCAGGGCAGATCGGACAGAAATAAACGACTCTGATTGGCCGAGAGAGTTGCCCTACTTAACCTGCCCCCGAATGAAACATCCCCTAACGGAGACCAACTTGCTGGTTTACCAGCCTCACAAACTTTTATTCGTCACACAATTGTACAGGCATGACAGACATCTTATCCTATCGTTTGGATGAACAATTTTAGTGCATCTTAGCAATCTGAATCAGGTCAGACCAAATTTGGTCCACAGCAAAATAGATATCCGAGCACTTTAGTAAAGTAATCTGAAACGATACAGATGGGTAAATTACGATCGGGGGTCTGACGTGAGAATATACTTCCATGGGAATTGCTCTCCTGGTGGTCGATGAAGCGCAGCGCGAGCAGTGCGAGGAATTCCAGCGTCAGGATCATCACGATGTTGATGAATATATATTAGTGGATGTCCTCGTGCACCTCGAAAGCTGCGTCATGTCCAATGGTGTTCCTGTTTGTAGTGACTGGACCACCTGAGCGTATTCGTCGTCGGAGCAGCTCCCGAAGAGCAGTGCGGTGAAGAGCATGGAGGAGCAGCGGTGTGGGGTGGCGTCAAAGATCCACTTGTAGCCGCGCAGGATGGTGCTGACCGGCGGGTTGGAGCCCATGAACAGCACGAAAACGGAGTTGCAGAGCACGCCGGCCACCTCCATACTCGGTAGAATCTCAAATGGGTCGTATACAGAACGGACCTGGTATTTTATTTGCGTTTTTGTATGTTTTTGGTCAGATGAAAACACATGTTTTAGCGGACACGTTGCGGCAACTCGGAGTTAGTTTTCTTTATGCGGGGGTCTGAGGGTGCAACCCCCAGAATGCCTAGAATGTATGAAACCCGACCACAGATCAGGTCCGTTCTGTATCTGACCACAACGATTGGTTACCCCATAGGTACTCGGCATGGCGAAAGACAGCAGCTGACCCAAGTAAATCTGGCACAGCACGTGCAGCGTCAAGTTGAACCAGTAGAAGCCCAGGTCGTCAATGTCCGTGAATCCCCCGAGTGGCAGGCAGACAACGGGGAAGAGCAGACTCGACACGAGCACGTACGGGATCTCGGCTAGTGTGAAGGACGAAGTACCAGGACGAATTGAAGGTCTCAGCTGTCCGAAGATGAGCCCATCGCTGTGTACACCACAATGCGCGTTCAGCTGTAGGTCGGCGCGCGACAGTACATGCGAAATAAAAGCTGAGTGACCATATAAGCCAGCGTCAAGTTGCTGGCTGCGCGCTTGTTGGCGAAGGACAGTTTGCTCTGGTCGCGAGAAGGCACCGTCACCCCCTCCTTGCTCAAGTTCTCGTCAATAATGGCCTTCAGGCTGCTGGCAGCGAACACCCGCGCGAAGTCGACGTCGATGTCGGCTGAGTGATCGACGCCAGCCCCGATCACCTCCAGCATCCACGTGCTGGGTTATAGCCAGAGCTGGAAAAACCTGTTGATTTTCAAAAAATGAATTAACTGTAAGTTCTGGGTTTTTGGGTAGGTTTAAAATAGTTTTACTAGGTATAAACCAGACATCGTCCACTGTCATACTCACTCTGATGTATCACCCTCTTCGCCCCAACGTATATACTAGGGCTCCGCGAAGGCTGGGATAGGAGGATTTTGGTATAAACCCCCTCTTTAGTTTTATTGATGACTTTTCTTATGAGCTACGGTCATCTCCTGCGCCTGCTTCGCAGCCGCAGCATCTGCCCGAAAATTGTCCTTAAGACTGTAAATGCCAGATATCAACTGGTAACGCTTTACAACAAATGCGAACCTTGGCTGAGATCTGTTTGCAGCGTGTAGAAGTTTTTTTTATACTTGAAAATGCAAATGCTTACTTAAGTATTTCTAGTGGTACTACAGTCCTCCCCAATCGTTCTCTTTACTTCAATTCGTTCACTGCTCGAATATACGTACTGAATCATACAAGTGTCGTCGGTTGTACACCGGTTGGACGCAAATAAACCTTTTGGTGGCCCCAGTGCGGCGCCGGATTCATACCGGTGTAGTAAATATTCTACCGGTTCGATTTGCCCACGCATATAAACCTTTTGGAGGGCCCAGTGCATCACTGGAGCCATACCGGTTTCAAGAAAATATACCAGTTAGATGTCAAGAGGGGTCATCGTTTGACTTGACGTACCACGGATATAATCCTATTTGGTCTGCGATAGCAGCACTAACATTGCTTCCTATCGCAGTATAAGGCGCTTACCTTACTACTTACATGTTAATATGTTGATGTTCGTTCCGATACGTATCACTGATGCAGCATACATTTCTTTAGGTCCGATATGCATGCACGGGTTCGCCTTGGCTAGTCGTCATCGTCACTTCTATTATGTACGACGAGCCCGTATGCATCGCTGCTAATGCACTATTGTCCCGGCCAAAATTGAAGGGCCCGATTTGAAGCCTCGATTTGAACATGATGTCAACGACTTTCTAGGGAAAATCACACGCGTTAGATTCCAAAAATGTGGTCAAACGGTCCAATTCGCAGCCGTTTTTTCGTTATAGGCGCTCAAACATGAAGGTTTGAATCGGCCAAGAATCATGAGCCCAAGTGGGCTAGGTCACGATAGGGTTACGAGAAATAGCATTCTGTAATTAGTTGATCTTCAGAAAACATATGACTTTTGGAGTAGTCGACAGGACTAGGTTTCCTTGTCGGACACGATCATGTGCCTCTCACCGAGGCTCAAAACATGCCGCTCAATCGTCCTCTTTGGTGGGGCTTCCAGCGGCGGAGGCGGCGTCTGCATGCTTCCGCTCCCTTTGCTTTATGTGAGTATTTTGAGCCCCCATTTGCTTCAAACGGAGCAGGCGATCCCTCGCAATTGCAAAAAATACGGAGGTGTTACAATTTCCGGGCCCTTCAATTCTGGCCGGGACAATAGCGTCGACTTTGCAAGCTCGATAAAGGTGCATCGAGGCGCACGCACAGCCCATGAATGCCTTTGCCAAATACAACGGATGCACGTACAGAATGCAATTATTGATGATTGTGTTCATGGCTGACAGATTTCAATTGAAAATCACCAATTTCCCCCATATTCCTCTTCATCCAGATTGAGATACAGGCGCGGATGCACCTCCTTAGCCCCGTTCTTCGTTGCTGGTTAAAGCTTCATTTGACTGATAACACTGTAGCAGCGTCATTCAATCATAAGACAGGGGTCTCTGGCGTTCTCCCACACAGGGCTGTGTGGGAATGGCTACAACCTCGGGTCGATCGTAATGAACCAAACTCAGCTAAAACACGCCCCGTGTGACGATGATGCATCGCCTACCCAGCAACCTGCAACTAGCTACCTGCAACGAGCAACCTGAAACCAATTGCAACCAGCATCCGTTTTGCAACGGCCCGACAGGCGCATGCAAGCTCCCTCTGTAAGCCTAGGTAACAGCCGTAGCCTAGAGCTTCCTTCACTCACTTCATTCAATCTCAGTCTTCATTTTTCCTGTTCAACCTCAAGTCCTCTTCCCAAGACTCCGTTCATCTACAGAACACGTGACACCCCGCTACAATACGTTTGTCCATGTAGTTGCTCTGATGGCTGAGGTTTCAGGCGAAGTGGTTCTGCAGGTTCCAAGGAGGACTGCCTGCTGTACGAAAGCTGTGTGGACGGCTGGGCAAGAGGGCGGTGTCAGAGGACTAGGGTCCCAAGCCTTGGCCCACGCACCCAGTTCGTGCTGCGTCATCATCGGACACTCATACGCCTTCTGGATGAGGTCCCGCTTCTGGTGTATCCTCATCCAGGCTCCCATGACGTGCTGTGGGATCTGTACGGCTCCAGTTCGGTTGTGAGAAGTGAGGTGTGGACGCATGAGCACGGCACCAGCCAGGCAATGACTGGTCGGCGGTGTGGGTACGCTGGAGCTCCTGCTTTATTGTAGGATAAGGAAGCTTTCTCCCAACTTGGCATTCCCTGCGCTTCTCTGTCATTGCATCTATCCAATCAGGACAAGTTCTTCAATGAATTTAGCCAATCACGATCGATTCGTGTGAATCCCAACATTTTCCCAATTATTTTGGGAATTTACAGTCTTGCTAGAATAATGTCCAATACAAAAGTTTAGTGTAATTGTTGCATTACTCATATTTGACCGCAAATTCCCAATACAAATCATGATTGTATCGTTGGTGGCTGTGACTCGTCTGCTTTCTTTCCTCTCCCATTTGAAAAGATGCAGCGGGCGCCGAGAGGGCTTGACATCCCGCAAGGGACAGCAGGGCAGGAGGCAGCGGCGATGAAGTGCTTCAGCGAATTCTTAGCTCTTGCTAACATGAATGAGGAGTCAATTGCTAGTATTGCGAAGTCGCTGTCTATTCCTGATGCTCTACCAAGTCAAAACTTTTACTCTTTGCTAACCGCCTTCTCCATTTTCTTGCAAACTAAGCCAAGTGCTCGAGGAGGCCGTCTTGCTAAGGCTACTGCTGTGGGCTGTATGTCCCACGTTGTGAACCTGCTCCGAGAGCGGTACCCTCTGTACTTGTCAGACAGCAAGCGAATTGCGAAAATACGCGACAAAATGGGTTCAACTATTGAGGAGCGAAATTTGCTAACTGGCGTGCAGACTGGTGAAGCTCCAGGCTGCACGCTCAGCGACTTGCGTGTTCTGGTGCAGGAAACTACGATTAAGGGGGTTGGCTCAGGTTATAAGAGCTTACATGACGCTGCTGTACTAACGTTAATGTGGCACACGTTTGGTCGAGCGATCGATACCTGTTTTGCTAGGAAGAGCCAGCTATCTATGGCGGCATCGGGGGAGCTCTTTCTGCATCTAGCTCGAATCAAGACTTCGGTGGTTCAAGGCATCTCAATTTACAAGGCCGCGACTCACTGGGAGCAGTGTATGCTGCACGGCCTCGGAATGCTGTTCGTCGGAGCGTCGGAGCCTTCCAGCTATGTGTTCCCGCTAGTGCCGCACGCGGCGGCATCGGATTTGCCAGGGGAGAAGTCCTACAGCCAAGACGAAGCTATACTCTACTGGGAGAACCTTGAAGAGAAAGCTGAACTAAGGAACGAGCCACCAACAAAGCGCGTGAGAGGAAGGCCCAACGTGGCCAAGTATATTAACGACGTCATCACCATGGTCTGCGAGCGCCAAGCCCAGGCCTCTGCCCCGCTGCCCCCGACGCTCACCGCAGGGCTGAGCAGCCACTCCTTGCGCCGCGGCTCCGCAGCGTATGCAAACGCCTCACCGCAGCTTGCGATCCAGTGGATCTCGACCCGGGGAGCTTGGCTACTAGACTCGCTCACGAAGGCGTTCGCGTACGTGGGTACCACGACACGCGAGGACCAGAGTGTCGGCAAAGTCCTCGCTGGATACCGAGACCCGCACCTGCCATGCGTCACGCCCACGATTGCCACCTTGAGCGAGCTTCTTCCTGCGCTCGAGTACGCCCAGCTGCTAACCCTGCGCGGCCAGCTCTTCAAGAACGTCAGCGGCTTCACGGACACCACGCTCAACGCTGACGCCTTAGTCCTGGATGCGGCGCTCGCGTCCCTGCTCATCCATCTTGACGACGTCGCGACGGCAGTCCAGCAGGAGCAGGCTGCCACAGGCTTCACATCGCATTACCTGTACCGCTTCCACGAAGCTCTGGACGCAACCAACGTAGCGCTGGGAGCTCGGCTCTCGCTGGACACGTGCATTGGTTGGGGTCGGCAGCTTCGCACGGCTTGGCAAACGGAGAACTTCGGACAGCTGGGTGAACGCAGCAATGGAAACACCACCATACTTGCCGCAGCCGTCACCCAGATGCTATCGTCCATCGCAGCAATGCAGCGCACACTTCAGAAGCTCGTCGCGGCCCACGAGAGCAAGGCCACCAGCGCTGACGGTCCTGCTCCTTGTCGCTGTGCTGGCCAGGCCCCGCAGGCGAGCACTGACACCGTCGTTGAAGCGCACTCTCTTGCTGGCTGCTTCTACAACTGGTACACACAGGAGCTGTGGCACACGGCAACCCAAAAGAAACAACAGTTTGTTCGCGCTGACCTCAAGGCAGGCATCAACATCATGATCATAGCAGCAGGGCGAGAGGTAGACGTACCAACGGCGCCACTGGACCGGGACGGCGTCGCGTATCGGCTGTGGAAGCAGCGTGTCTGGACGCTAGCGGAAGACTTGGACAAGAAGGTCAACGCTGCGCTCGGGAGTATCGACGGTAAAGGCCGATCCAAAGCCGCGGGGTCGCTACGGAAGCGCTGGAGAAAGCTGCGCGCTGACCACCGCTCTGCGTACGACGCGCTCTGCTCAGCATTTATCACCCGCAAAGCGAACGGTGGCATCGTCGACCGCTGCACACCAGCTAGTCACCAATGGAAGCAAAAAGACTTGGAGTCGTAGGATCACGCAGCTTGTATTAACGCTTAATACATTCCTATTCATACAACATGGATAATCGAATTCAAGGCGCAAATGCACACGTCATCGCCATCCCACAACTTAAGCACAGCGCATGGATTCCCGTCAGTCCCGATACAAAGTCATACACAATAGAAAAACGCTCACATACCGTCAGCGAGCGCGCACGACCTCGTGCTTGGCCGACAGCTACCAAAACCGGGCAGCATAACACCCGCCCTGCCGGGTTTTTTAGCTGCTTTCGACGGGTCCTTGCGTGGGGCGCGCCTGGGGGCACTCGGGTCTGGGGTGGTCGGCGGGGGAGGCGTGCGGCACGCTCGGAGCGCGCTGTCGTGTTGGAGATGCGGGGCGGAAAGTGTGAAGGCGGAGAAGGCTGCGCAGCCGGCCAAAAATAAAACATTAAGTTTTTTTCTTGGCTTTGGAGCCGATAAACCAGTCCATACTTTGTTGAAGTCATTTGGAATCTCACTTATGATTGGCTCTCCTCATTGGGAGCGGCGTTTGGGACCTGGTCGATTAATGGTGGTGCTAGCGGCTTCCCGCCAAATACAAATCCTGCATAAAACGATTTTATCATACTGAGGAGGATATTAGTTATAAGTAGTACCGGAATCAAGAGAGTTTACTGTAGTCGTGCTCGTCATGATTTCGTACTTTTTCGTGACACCTCGACAATTTACAACGAATTTTGTATTGTGCTTCGCTCCAATTCAGTCCAAACAACTCGTTTTATCATAACCCAATTCAGTGGTACCGTATTGGATGTCATTCCCCAAAATTAGTACGACAATGTGGTCCACATTGAGACTTTGGTTAGACACAAGGTCAGACATTTTCCGTGGTCTCAATTCGTCTCCCTGTTTGAGTGTGTGGCTAGGGAGCATACCGCAATTCGCACAGAAGAAGTCAGATACTTGTCGAACCAGAATGGAAGGCCATGATTGGGAGAAGTTAGAGCGCACCGTGCGCGAGATTCGCGACAATACCGTCACCGCACGCTCTCGCGCCACGTACCAGAACTCGTACTGCCATTTCCTCGCTTGGCTTGTCCGCAACAAGCCGCACCTCGCACCCCAGCCATTTCTCGAAGCCCTCGGTAATACGGCTGACGGAAGCCTGCAGCAGCTGCGCACTACGATCAAGGCCCTCGTCACCCAGGATCGCCGTATTGTCCCTCTGGACTTTGCGGCAGTAGCGAAGCTACGCGGCTTGATACTGTCCAGGACATCATATCAGAGCTGGAGAAGAGGGCTATCGGAGCAGGGACAGTTACTTACGACGGGCTGAATGACGCTATTAGGGCATGCCTTCGTGATACCGGTGTTGCTGGCCTTGTTGAGAAGCTAGCAAATGCGCAGGAGCCGGTCGTCGAGGCTGGTGGTGCAGAGGCCGAGCGCCAGATGTGCCACTTCTGGGGTGGCAAATTCCGTCGCGTGCCTGCTGATTTTGGGATCCCTGCTGCTCTGTTCGTCATGCATGGGTGCTTTGGATGTGAGGAAATAAGGCCAAGCAAGTTCCACCTCTCCGCCTTCTCGACGGCCGCGATATGCCTAGCCGAATGCAACAAAAGCGCCTAAGCCAGCTCCGCTTTCTCATGCGCAAGATCGAGAATGATGCCGCATCTAAAAATCTGCTTCAACTTGGCCAGTCCATCGACGCAGCGACTCAAGTCTTCTTAGCCTGTGCGGATAGCGTCACCGTGGACGATATTACGGAACACTCACGAAAACGCCGTCGTGGGCAACTCAGCTGGGCGACAGTAGTAAAGCTACTGCGGAAAAAAGCAAAAAGAACAGTCAACTAATGATGATCCATACCAATGAGAACAATCATGACGCGCTTATGAGAACCACGTTATTTGCATTTGATATTACCAACTGCTCATTGCTGCTCAGCTCGTGTATAGCCTCGTTGATTGCTGAATAGGGGCATGGGGAGCAATGATAACTCGGTCTTGACCAGCGCGCCCTTGAGCCCCACGATGTACGTGCGTGTGGTGCTCTTCGGAGGTGATCGTGAACACGAGCAGCTCTTGTGCCACGCGCAGCTTCTCGGTCACCTTCGCGCGCAGCTTGAGGTCCTCGATGTGCACATTCTTGTGGCTGCGCTAGCCGTCCTTGTCCTGTTCTCCTGAGCGAGCCGTGGTCTTGATGGGCGCGAAGTGGCGCGTGTGTTTGGGCTATCGATGATGGTGGTGCTGGCCTAGTCGTCCTGCAAGTTCATGAGCGGTTCACGACCTTGCCCATGGTGCCGCCGACCCTGATGAGCTCGCCGACTTCCCTGAGATTAAAGGTCATTGAGAGCTTACCTGGCAAACGTTGCTGAAGTAACTGCGCGGGCGCGGCGCGGTCGCCACCAGCAGCGTCTTGCACGTCGCCGGGGCCTAGCACATGTCGGCACTTGCAATCAGCAGGGGTAGCACCGAAGAGCTCTGTGTCTTGCGCCGAACCTTCGCTAATGCGACCAACAGTGCCTGCCAAAACGCCTTTGCTCAACACTACCTATCAAACATAATATTTATTCCGCTGTCTGACATTTGTCTAACGAGTTCCGTCTAAGAATCATTCTGTTGCACGATGCCCGAGCAAACGAATCACGGACTTCGGACCTTGGTTCACCCCGTACTTCATTCGGCAATTTACTCCACACCCCACAAGCAACAAGTGCACTCCCGACAAAGCCATTATTGTATCCAAGAACCGACAAACGATATGCGCACCACTTTCATCCTCGCGCTGGTAATTGCGGCCACTCTTCACGTCAGTGGTGCCTCACTTCCTTCGGCCAACAACCCCAACACTGTGGTCAAGAACGATGCGTTGTCTGCTGCCACCGGCTTAATCGACGCGGAGGGTGAACGGATGCTTCGTCATGTCGAGAAGGACGAAGGCGGTACCGATGAAGAGAGAGGGTTTTCATTGACCGACATGTTGAAGAAGCTGAAGAGCATCACCGATCCAGCCAAGGCTGCGAAGAAGCTCGCCAAAATCAAAGAAACTGTGAAGGAGTCAGCCAACCGCCAGTACTGGCTTGAATATCAAGCATTGAAGCTTAAACATGGCATTAAGTAGTTGCTTTTGCAATGGCACATGTGGGGATATGGCCGCTGGCACATGAATCTCTGCGAATCGGTTTCTCCACTAAATGCTAGAATCAAGCTACGCCCGAGTTCGAGTTCGGTGCGGATAATAAGTGGGAAAAGAATAATAACGTTCCTTTTGCCCCCGAGTCTTGTAGTCTTGCTTGGTGCACAAGTGCCATGGATGGGCGCTGTCGGTTTCTATGTTGTGAGTTTGCGCAGTATAATTGCTTCTGTCTTGAAAAAGCAATCGAATCCTATTCCGCGGCAGCAATTTGCACCATTTTCCAGCGATGTCATTTGATTCTTCATCGCAAAGAATAACATAGTGATGTCAACACGCAGGGGTTGTCTATATACCGAAGTTGAATGCTTTCTATTATGGGCCCTCTTGCCCCAATGCGCTAAGTACTGTAAAGTTATACTGAGAACACCTGAAGAATGAGGGGGTGGACAGTTCCCAACGGTCTAATTGCGTGACCGTAAGCGTAAGCGTAACCTGGCGGAACCTTCGTGCTACACCAGCAAGAAGTATGTCGACCGAGCCGGCTCAACGGCAACTTTCAGCAAGAAAGAAAAGACATGCGGTAATTCACACCGGTACCAGCACTAGCACAGGTGTTCCTAGTCAAGTCGAAGACGATCTAGCGGTCTGAAATATCATATTGATGTATCATTTCCTTGTGCCAGTACACTATCACCTATGCGGATGGCGGGAAAATCCTTCGTCGTATCGAGGCGAGCAAAGCCACCTGCGACGAAGAGAGAGGAAGGGTCACTTTTAGTGATGTTTTGGAGAAGTTAAATCTCATCAGCCCCGCCCGAGATTGCGAAGAAGGCCGCTAAAGCCGACGAGCGGGGATGGATGCAGCAAAAATGGTTTGATGTGCAGGCATTGAGGCTTGCTCACAATATTTAATAGATGCGAGTCGCTGGACGAAATAGTTTCTAGAATCAGGCGTGTATCTCTCGTTGGAGTTGGTGCGGAATAAAAAAAAAGAAAGGAATACTATATTTTCTGTTACTCCTGAGACTTGTTGTTGTGCTCTACAGTAGTGGTGTCGCCGGTGCCGCTAGGTGCATGAAGACGAGACTGCGCGGATTCAGTCCAAGGCCAAGTAACGCACGAGGCGGTTTGCGAACGATATAATAATATGCATGTATCGATTTTTACCATGCAATTAACTTGGTACTTGTACTGCATCTCAGTACATGTATGGGATCCACCATAATTCAGTGACGTCCCGATGCGGCAGGCAGACGAAGCCCAAGCCTCAGAAGTACCCCGCGACTGGTTGAAGCCGACGAGAAGCGATCAACAAACCGCGTTTAATCAGGCGACAACTGAACCACACGAAACGAGATCTAGAGCCATGTAGAACTGCACAATACTCGCTAAAACCGCCGTGTCTCGAATTGGTGCCGTTACCCTCCCACACTTCTGCTGTACTTCTGCAGTCCTTGATCCAGCAGTAGGTCCTCGATCCTATCGTTGGCCGCCTTCAAGTTTGAGAACAGCGCCCCCACCAAGAAATCGATCAGCTTTCCTATCTTGGGGTCCGACCGCAGAGTCAAGTCCAAAAAGTAGGGGGTCACGACGTAGCACACGGACATTCGAGTGCAAACTTCCCCTCCATCTTCCTCCTCCGCTTCATCAGGCTTGACGAGCATGTGGTACTGCTCCAGGAAGTAGATCCCTTTGACCCGCTCGCCGTCGAACTCGAAAGGCTCAAGGTACGTGTTCCAGACGAAGACAGTGCGCGTGTCCTCCGTTTCTCGTCGTAGAATCTGCTGGCCGTAGCAGGTGACCGAAGACTTGGACCTGAAGTCGTTCATCTCCAGTCCAAAGCTCTCCACGACCACATCGCCCACGTGTTCACTCGCGTGGCCTCTGTACGAGTGCCAGTCCCGCCACCACGCGTTGCTCGCCACCTCCATACTGAAAGGCACAAGACGCCGATCGAAGAACCTCCTCTCTTCGCCCTTCAAGCCGCCACGCAGCAGTGGCGTGTGGGGCCTCACATCCGCCGGAACGGGGGTATTCGCCCCCAAGTAGTAGCACACCTGCATGCCAGCCGCGAGCTCTTCAAACAGAGTCGCAGCCATGCGCTGGATGTATCCTGGCGGCAGGTTGGTGCGTCGTAAGCGTCTGCTGCCTTCAGACTGCGCCATCTCCTTGACCATCAGACGTCTGAACAGCATCTTTTCAATACTCTTAACCCCCTGCATCTACTCCTTCACCTGCTCCTTGAGACGGAAGTTCTCGTGCTCAGCCTTCAGCCGACGCTGCAGTTGACGCGCACATATCTCCTCCCACACAGCAGGAATATCGCTATCATTGGTCTTCTTCTCTTCATGAGGCGATGGGCAGCTCGGAGGTCCTGCCACTTCTTCAGCGTCCACTCCAGCTCCTCCGCCTCCTTCCGCAGCTGAACCAACTGGGAGCGGCGCTCGTCTCGAGCCTTGTTCGGGTTGAGCTGCTGCTTCCTCCTCCTCTTCGTCGTCGTCGTCTTCTTCTTCTTTGCTTCGCCTGACGTCGGGTTGGTCTCTTCTTGTTGCGTGTCTCCAGTATCTTCTCTATCCATCGCCGCCAGGAGTAAGTACGGGTCCCACTCGTCGCCGCCCAAGGCGGAAATGGCCCCCACGCCGCAGTCGGCTTCATCGAGGCCTCCCCCCTGCTCAGAACTGCAGCTCCGCATGGATTTGAAGTGAGCAAGTAACTTTCCTGTAAAGTACACAGCGTTGTGAAATGTAATCGAAACTTTACTTCGGTCCAATGCACGAGTCGGTCGAGGAGACGTTGTCTCTGTTGTTGGGCGAGCTTCCTGCTGATGCTGCGGGCTCCCTGTCGCTAGACGGTGGGGAATGGGACCCCAACGTGCTCTTGGAAGCGCTGGAGGACGACGTCGTAGACGGCAGAACAGGTAGAACAGGGACTGCGACTGTCGACCAGCCAGCCTCAACTCAACACCCCCAGCCCAAGCAGCAGCAGGAGCAGAAGAACAAGAAGAAGACCAAGGCTAAGAAGAACAAGAACAAGGCTCGCGACGAGCGCCGCTTCGTGCTGGTGCAGCTCCGAGAGGAGGCGGAGAGACTGCAGTTCACGCTCGACCAGCTACAGAGTATTCGGAGCAAGCTGCCCAAGGGGAAAGACCACTCCAACCACAAAACCACAGCACAGGACGTGGGCGTGCCTGCTGTGTGGCAGGAAATTTGTGCTCGTCAACTGCAGCGCCGGATGAACGCTGAGCGGGAGAACATCCAGCTGAAATTGCAGCTCGAGAAGGAGAAGGAGCTGGCCAACAGCCTCGCCAAGCTGCTGTACAGGCGGAAGACGCCCAAGTCGCAAGGCCCCGAGGTGCAGAAACACACGCGACGCACCGACATCCCTTCAGGTTACATCGAGCGCATGGCTGCGTTCATCTTCGAGGAGCTCTTGGCTGGCGTGGAGGAGCTGAATCATCAAGTGGAGGAACTCTGCCATCAAGTGGACGGTGTGGTAGAGATCAGCAGCTCGTTCCCGGCTGTACAGAGGCCTTTGCTGCGAGACGGCGTCAAGGGACGAGAGGAGAAGCTCCTGGACACGCGTGTGCTGCCGTTCAGTATGCAGGCGACTGGTGACGCGTGGTGGCACAACTGGCATCTCCACCGAGGAAGAAACATCGAACAGACCGCGGGGGATATGGTCGTCGAGCGGTTCGGATTGGACATGAGCGACTTCAACGCCAACTCTTCCGTCGCCTCCTACGGCCAGCAGATCTTGAAGCGAGGCGTTGAAGACCGCCGCATTGTGTTCGTGTGGAACGCCTACATGGAGCCTTTCGTCTTCGAGAACGAACGTATCAGCGGCCTCTACTTTCTCGAGCAATGCCTCGTGCTGATCGAGCCCGACAGAGACGGTGGGGAAAGCTCCTCGTGCATGTCGACGTGCTACGTCATCACGCCTTACGTTTTGGACCCAAAGTTGCGAGACGACCCCAAGACTGGCGCGTTGATCGATTTCTTCGTGGGCTCGCTCTTCTCAACCATCAAGGGGAGGTGCGAGATGGTGGAAGACATGCTCTTCGATCAAGCTCTCGAGAAGTTCAACTAACTGTGCTCACTCTCCAGTGTATTTGTGTATAATATACTAAAGCCTACGGACTGTTGTGGTGCTTCTGCAGTGCTCGGTCGAGTAGCAGGTTCTCGACTGTTTCGTTACGAGCTCTGATGTTGGAGGACAAGGCACTGACCAAGAAGTCGATCAACGTGCTCGTCTTGGCGTCGTCTTTGAGCGTGGGATTGAGGTAGTGCGGCGTGATGACGTAGCACGTCGACATGCTCGTGGAGCACTCGCCGTCCTCCGGGTCTTCAGGCTTGATGAGCACGTGACTCTGCTCGAGTATATAAACACCGCTGACCGGTTCGTTCTCGAACACGAACGGCTCGATATACGCGTTCCAGACGAGAACGATGCGGTCTTCTTCAACATATCGACGCAGAATCTGCTGGCCGTAGGATGTGGCGGACACGTTGCTCTTGAGATCGTTCATCTCCAGCCCGAAGCTCTCCGTGACGATGTTCGATGTGGCGTTGTGCACGCTCTGGCCTCGGTAGTTGTGCCAGTGTTCCCACCATGCGTCCCCCGTCTCCTGCATGTTGAAGGGCACGACTCTTTTGTCGAAGAGCCTCCTGTACATGCCCTTCATGCCACCACGCAGCAGAGGCTGGTGCGTCACCACGTTCTTCGGCACTGGGCCGTTGGCTGCGAACACGGCTTCCACCTCGCGGTACGAGACCTCGACACTGGCCGAAAGCTCGTCGAAGATGAAGGCAGCGACGCGCTTGATGTATTCCGCCGGGAGGGAGGTCCGCCGTGTGTGTTTGCTCGCCTCAGGGCCTGCCATATCGCGTAGAGCCATGCGTTTGAAGAGCATCTTCTCGATGCTCTTGACGAGGCGCTTCTCCTCCTCCCACTGCTGCTTGAGCAGGGCATTCTCCCGCTCAGCCTTGACCCGTCGATTAAGCTGCCGAGCGCAGATCTCCTGCCAGACAGCCGGCACCTCTGTGTCGTCCTCAACCGTCTCCTGCTCCTGGACGGCTGTAGTGTGCTGACCCGAGTGTTGTCTCTGCTGGTCGCGGATGTACTGCAGCTGCTTCAGCGTCAGCTGCAGGTCTTCCACCTCCCGTCGCAGCCGAACCACCTCAAACCTGCGCTCGTCCCGCGCTCTGTTAGAGTTGAGCTGCTTCTTCCGCTTCCTCTTGGGCTTCACTGGCTTCGGCGTCTCCGTCGCAGGTTCCTCCGGACCCAGGTTAATGCCAACGTCAAGGTCTCCGATCTCTTCGTCCATGGAGCTCAGCAGCGCTTCGGGGTCCCAATCTGCACCTCCCAACGACGGAATAGACTCGTTATTACGGCCACTATCATGGCCGTTCTGCCCCATCTCGTGCTCCAGCAAGGCCTCCTCCAGTGAGTCGGAGCTCATGCTTGCGTCAGTCTCTACGCCAAGGTTATTGCGCATTCCAGCCAATCAGCGAACGTTAAGAAACAGAACCTGGGGCTGAGAACGAGCACAGTTATTATGGAGGTGGAGGAGGCGCTGGCGCTGCTGGACGTGGCGACCAAGACGCCCCAACGTCGTCTGAACTGACAGAGCTAGAGCCTGGCTTCCCGTGGGGGCTGCTGGACGACCAAATCGCCGAGTTTAGCGCGTTCGAGATGTCTGTGGCCTCTGCAATTCCGACTGAGTCAGCCGACCACGCACAAGAAGAGGAAGAAGAAGATCAACCCGAACAAGGCGCGGGACGAGCGTCGCTTCCAGTTAATTGAGCTGCAGGAAGAAGTGGCACAACTGGAGTTCACTATGCAAAGACTGCAGCATTTCAAGAACAAGAGATCCAAAACGGATAATTCTAGGCACTGACCCAAAGGCGCCCCGCATTTCAAAATTTTAATATTCAGAAAGATTAGAACAAAATTATACTTTCGAACTTCTGGCAACCAAGAGTCAGTGCCACACAAGAATCACCCCGCATCCAGCACGGCACCATGGCACCCGCACTTCCCGCACCACGTACACCGCCCGCCCGGGTCGCAGCCCCCTCGCCACCCCCAGCCCCCACGAGTATGATGTTTCCTCCAACGCGCTCTTCACCTTCAAGTCTGTGATGAGCGCGTGCGCGACGGAGAAGGGCGCGCTGGAGTGGGCGCAGCGAGTGGGGCTTCTGGCAAGCGCGCCTCTGTGTCCTACCTGCACCAATGGCATGACGTTGTACGTCGCTGTGAAGCGGACGCGCTGGCACTGCTCCCGCACGGGGTGCCGTCTGGAGAGAAGCGTGCGGGCCTCCTCCTTCTTTGCCCGGTCATCAGCTCCCCTCTCGAAGCTGATCAAGCTGCTGTTGTTCTGGTCGTTCCAGCACCCAGTCACAACGGCAGCACAGCAGGCGGAGGTGTCGCCGACAACAGCAGGGCTAGTGGTATGTCTATGCCCAGGACATCTGCACCGCCGAGATGAAGCGGACGTTGCTGAAGGTAAAATCGTACATTATTCTGTTGCTAAATATTATTTAGTTAGCAGTGTTGGGTTGTATTTTTAACGGGCTGAACAATGATGTTAAACTGCTAGATCGGAGAAGTTGGGCACGTGGTCGAGATCGACGGAACGTCCCTGAAGAAGAAGCAAAAGTACCGACGTGGTACCCGCCACCCAGACTTCTGGGTCTTCGGCGGAGTCGACCGAACCACTAAAAAGTGGTTCGCTCGTATCGTTTATAACGACCGGGAGAAGCCGACTCTGTCTGCTTTGATAAAATCTCACATCAAACCTGGGTAATGACTGTACAACTGCGTATGATTTGACAAGATATCTAACTCTTTATGCATGTTTATCAGTACTTTGATTGTCTCCGATAGGTTTAAGGCGTACGTGACCCAAGTCATGAGTGGGCGCAACAAAGGAAAGTTATACACCCTTACCAACAACAGGCACCTGCGTGGGATGCGGTACCAACACCTGTGGGTAAACCACACGAAACACTTCGAGGACCCCACGACTGGCGCCCATACGAACCGCATCGAGGGCGTCTGGGAGGTGAAGATCAAGCAGCGCATCAAAGCTGCTCGTGGTATGCGGAAAACAGTGGTAACTGGCTACCTAGACGAGTGTATGTGGCGCACGTGGTACTTCGCGGAGAAACCTGCAAAGAGTCACATTTTCCAAGGGCTACTTACTGGTATTAGGAAGTACTACGAGGTCTAGTTAAATCAATACAAACTGGGATGAAAAGTTCTGAAATTTGAAAATTTTGAAATGCGGGGCGCCTTTGGGTACAACTGCTCAAGAGGAAGACAGTGGAATGCCGCGTGTGTGGCAGGACATCTGCTCTCGGCAGCTTACGAGGAGGTTGGAGGCGAACCGGGAGAACATACGGCTCAAGAAGCAGTACGAAACAGAGAAACAACTAGTCAAGAGCTTCAAGAAGTTGCTGTACAACCGTCGCGTGCCACGAGACGCAGAGCCCGAAGCGACGAAACACACGAGACGTACGGATATTCCTGAAGGGTACATTGAGAGGATGGCTGCGATGGTGTTCAAACAGCTAGAGGCAGGCGTGAAAGTGTGTTACGGTAAAGTGGAGAGGATTTTCGATGCGCAACGACTAGTACCCATGAATTTGGTGCCTCACGGAACGCTGCTGGATCGCAGGGTGATGACGAGGGGCGTTGAGAGGAAGTTTTACGACAGAAGAACGATGCCCGTTGATATGTGAGCGACTGGAGATTCGTGGTGGGAGAACTGGCACAACTACAGAGGTCAACGGTTCCAAGACATCGCGGCGGACGAGATTGTGGAGCGCTTTGGGCTTGAGATGAGCGACTTCAAGACAAACACGTCCGCCACAGCCTACGCACAGTAGATATCGCAACGACACATTGAAGATGATCGTATCGTGGTGGTTTGGGACGCGTATGTGGAGCCGTTTGGGTTTGACAATGAACGCTTGGGCGGCGTCTACTTCTTGGAGCAGAACTATGTGCTGATACAACCCGAGCACTGGAGTAGCGAGAAGAATGGTGGGAGGAGCGGAGGATGCTCGACGCGTGTGTCAACTTGTTATGCGATCACACCTCACTTCCTGGATCCGAAGCTGAAAGAAGACCCCAAGACCGTCGCAGTGATAACAGCGCCCTGTCTACCAATATCATGGCGTTGAGTGCAATGGTTGAGAATATCCTACTGGACCAGGCGCTGCAGCAATGCCAAGCAAGGTAGTCCAGGGAACATGTACTTTAAAGTAATTGCATACAGAGTCTTGTTATTAGAAACTCTACATAGTTTAGCTTGGGTATTTATAGATAATACTGAAGTAGTTATTAGTTAGACTACATAAGTAAGTATAAGCTCGATAACTACGAAGTAAAGAAAACGTTTCAGTCAAGGCAGCGAGGTTGGCAATCGGGCGGCATCGTGGTGTCATTCGAGGGTTGTAAGCTCTGTGTATGCACTGTACGACTGCACCACTTAGACAAGCATCGACTTTTTCACTTGCATGATCCATCCGATTGTGCGTTCCGACCAAGTCCCAGATTCTTTGAAGTGCGATGGGAACTATCGGATCGTTGCGCTGGACCCAAAACTACCAGCATTTGACCCGCTACGCATGGTTAAGACAGCATTACTGAGTCCGATTGCTGTGAAAAGGTACAACCGGATCGTTATCAAATACGGCTATCCTATCCAGCTATCCGTCGTCGTCGCATTCGCCTTACGGCTCGTGGTTTTTGCTTCTTCAGTCTCGGTTGGGCGTATTTTGGCTCCGATCACTACTCCCTTGTATGGTGGTGTTTGTCGGTGGGATGCGCGTCGAGTATATGAAGGTCCTGGCCCGCAGATTCGACTTTTGTTTCACTCAACTTGCCAACATGCTCTGGGCCATCACCCTCAGTGTTGTTCTCATGGATCTTCGAGTGACGATGGTGCTTGTTTACTCGTTATATTTCACCAACTCGCTGTTCCAAGAAGCGAATCTTCGGCACTCAACTTTCATGACGTTAGTGGCGCTGGGTGAATTAGCATTTTGCTTGTTGTTAATGGTATGGCTATCTCTGGGACTTATTGACGACGTTCATCATCACGTTTTGCTCGTTGCGAGTGGTCGTACACTTTCGACGAAGGATGTGCTCGTCAATGCACTTGACACAATGGCAATGTTGTCGCTGCGACATACGTATCGAAGGTATATCCATTCTGTACACCAGAAGAATAACCCAGGGGCCTCCATGCGAGCGCAAGGGTATCGATGCAAGATTGCATTGCGTGCAATTGGCCCACGACTTGAGACTATAACGCCCTATCGAGACCGCAACTCCGTCCAAGAACTGAGGAGCAGTCAACGCCACCGCCGACTCATGTTCATCTCTGTAAGAAGCAAGACCAAGGTCTTGCGCCCGTTATTGCAAATGTATCTCATCTCGGGATACGCAGACATTGACCCACTCAAGACAATCTGGCCACGTTTTGGAGCGATCACACACGTGTCAACATGGAAAAGTATAGTGCTATACTCGTGCGGGGTTATCGGTGCTGGATTCGCTGCTCTCTCGCTCTTTTTGCCGAGTAATTCGAGTGGAACTGCAGCACTTGCTGTATCCGGACTCGTGATGAGTTCTCTATTCAGTGGAGCTCACTTGTGCTGCTCCCAACGCCACCTCCTTAAGAGCATCGTAACGTCATTCAACTACCTCTTCTTGATGTTCCAGGTTGTTGCAACCGGTGTGTGCGTCGTCGACATGCTCACTTGGCACTGGGTTTCTGCCTGTGGGGTGCTTTCCAGTTGGGTGCTGGCGCATACCGTGCTAACGGCGGATGCGCTCACGCCGATTATGAAACACCGGCTTCGGTTCAAGTACTGGCTGGTAATTGGAGGCATAGTTCTCTTCTGGCTTATTCATGCTGGACTACTTCTGGATGTGCTGGTACTGGGAAATTTGAACTTGCAGGACCGAGTCTTCTTGGATTTTATTGTTCTCGGCCAACACTGTCAATTTCGCGTGGCTCCATTTCTGCTCAGTCGAGTCGTCACTCTGCTCGTGTGGGCGGCGCGCTACGTGGTCGCGGCACTGACCGGCAATAATAATGCGCTTGTTTTACTTCGTGGAACGGTGGCATTCGATTATGAAAGCTGGAAAAAGGAAGCAGCGAACCGTACTTCTATCATCTCAAGAACTCCTTCGACGTTCGTTCGTAGAGTTATCTTCGTGCTGAACCAGATTCGGGAGGGAATAATGACGTCGAAGCTTGAGTTGGAGGAAGTGCTCGCGTGGCTGGACGAGTCTCCAGAGCTGTAGCCGACACGCAGCCGCCCCGGGGGGAGGGCGGGGAACCTTTCATGCAGTCTACCGATGATGGCATTGGAGATGTCAGCGTTCCGACGGCACAAGAGTTTGGAACCTCCCAGGACCAGAATCAGAGGGTGATACGTGCACCGAAGAAGAGGAAGCAGGTGAACCCGAACAAAGCTCGGGACGAGCGTCGGGTGCAATTAATTGAGTTGGAGGCGCAAGTTGCCAAGTTGAAGTTTATGTTCAAGCGGCTGCACAGTATCAAGAGTTCAAGACCATCGTCGAGTCACGGGTGTGAAGACGCCCCCGGGGGACCTAAAGTGTGACAAGATATTTGCTCTCATCAGGTTGACAAAAGAGTGGCAGCGGAGTGGGAGAATGTGCAACTCAAGCAGCAGTGCGAGAGAGAGAAGCAACTTGCCACGAGCGTCGCCAAGCTGCTCTTCAAACGGTGAAGGCAGGATGGCTCGGACGGAAGCGGAGAAGCAGACACGACGCACGGATATCCCTGCGGGACTCATCGAGCGGATGGCTGCAATGATACTGAGCTGGTGGCTGGAGTCCAGGCGTGCTATTGGAACGTGGATAGGGGTTTTCAGACTAGAGGCTCAGCAGCTACGAGTGCAGTGATTCACTCTGTGCTGCTTGATGGCGGTTTAAACCCGAAAGGCAGGTAGAGGAAGTTCTTCGACAAGAGTGTCGTGCCGTTTGACATGCACGCAACAGGCGCGGCTTGGTGGCACAACTACAGAGGCCAACAGTCTCAAGATATTTTACTTGATGAGTTTATTGAGCGCTTTGGACTCAAGATGAACGACTTCAAGATGAATACTTCTGCTACCGCCTATTGTCAGCAAGTCTCGCAGCGCTATGTGGAAGATGGCCGCATTGTGTTTGTCTGGGATGCATACATGGAGCCGTATAGTTATAAGAACGAGAGAGTCGGCGGCATCTACTTTCTGGAGCAGCTGTATGTTCTGGTTGAGCCAGATAAGCAGACATTTGGTGAAGACTCTCAAGACAACGATGGTTTGTCGACAAGCGTGTCGATTTGCTAGTGATTAAGCCACTGTTTCTGGATCCCAAGCTCAAGGATGATGCCATGGCCGATGCCGTGGTAAATTTAGCCGCTGCGATATCAAACATTATAAATCTTCGAGACATGACGGAGACTCTATTACTGGACCGGGCACTGAAGCAGTGCAACGAAGAGAGGGCTCATGTTTCCTCGAGACCATCATCCGGCCGGTATCCCGGAGTTCTTGACATGACGGTAATGTCACTATGACGAATACTCGTTCGTAGAGTCGGGCACTTTATGTACGGTACACAAACAATTTTCATGACGTCGGAGCTGGACGAAGTGCTTGCCTTGCTGGACGAGAGCCCAGAGGCCCCTCTCGATGTGCAGCAGCGCCAATCGATACCCCCGGGTGATACTTGGGAGCCGCTTGTGCACTGGGGGATACCGGATGATGACAATATTGACAACGTCAGCCTTCCGACAACACAAGACGCTGGGGCATCTCGAGGTGCCAGGCAACATAACGCGAAGAAGAGGACGAAAGTGAACCCCAATAGAGTACGGGATGAGCGCCGCTTCCAGTTGCTTGAGTTGCAGGCAGAAGCTGCCAAGTTGGAGTTCACGTTCCAGCAACTTCAGCGTATCAAGAGCTCAAGACCCAATCGGCTTAGTGCGTCTCGCCATTGGTCTGAGGCCTCTCCTGGGATGCCTAAAGTATGGCAAGATATTTGCTCCCGTCAAGTTAAAAGAAGCGTGGAAGCTGAGTGGGAGAACGTGCAACTCAAGCGGCGGTACGAGACGGAGAAGCAACTTGCCACGAGCGTCGCCAAGCTGCTCTTCAAACGGTGGAGACCGGATAATTCCAAGTCAGAAGCAGAGAGACAAACGCGACGCACGGATATTCCGGCAGGGCACATTGAGCGGATGTCTGCAATGGTGTTCAAGGAGCTGGCAGCTGGAGTTCAGGCGTGTTACCGGAATGTGGACAGGGTTTTTAAGAACTCCGACGCTACGACTGCAGTGGTTCACTGTGCTCTGCTTGATGGGGATATGAGTGCGGAAGGTCGAGAGAGGAAATTCTTCGACAGGAGAGTCGTGCCGTTTGATATGCACGCAACAGGTGTGGCTTGGTGGGAAAATTGGCACAACTACAGAGGCCAACGCACTCAAGATGTCTCACTGAACGAGCTTATCGAGCGCTTTGGCCTCGAGATGAACGACTTCAAGACCAATACGTCCGCCACTGCCTATTGCCAGCAGGTCTCACGACGTCACGTGGAAGATCCGTATTGTGTTTGTTTGGGATGCGTACGTTGAGCCGTACGGGTTCAAGAACGAACGAGTAAGTGGCGTCTACTTTCTCGAGCAAATGTACATGCTGATTGAGCCCGACAATGAGGCCCAGGACAAGTTTTCGACGAGCGTATCGCTTTGTTTTGTGACCAAGCCTCACTTTCTGGACCCCAAACTCAAGGACGACGCCAAGACGGATGCTGTGGTCAATTTTCTGAGCAGCGCCGTGATATCTAACATCATAAGTCTTCGGGATATGACGGAGACGCTACTGCTGGACCGAGCGCTGCAACAATGCAACGACGAGAAGACAAACTGAGTGGAGTAAACATTTTTAAATGTTAAAAGTGAACATTCCGTGATTTACTGTGTAACGTGCAAAGAATTCCCAGATTTACCTGCGTTGCTGTATGTCGGAGGACGGCAACAACTCGTCAGCGCAGCCTATCCCAGTCTTAGAATTGCTGTAGCGCCTGGTCCAGCAGGAAATTCTCTACCATTTCAGTCAGCGCCATGGCGGTGGTAGTCATCGCGCTTACCAAAACGTCGATCATCGCGACGGTCTTGGGGTCTTCTTCCAGCTTCGAATCCAGAAAGTTAGGTGTGATGGCGTAGCAGGTTGACACGCGTGTGGAACACCCTCCATTCTTCTCCCCATGTCGCTCACTACTCCAGTACTCGGGCTGTATCAGCACATAGTTCTGCTCTAAAAGGTAGACGCCGCCCACACGCTCGTTAATAAAGCCAAACGGCTCCACGTACGCGTCCCAAACCACCATAATGCGGTCGTCTTCAATGTGTCGCTGCGTAATCTGCTGCGCGTAGGCGTAGGACGAACTGTTGGTCTTGAAGTCGCTCATCTCCAGTCCAAAACGCTCCACGAATTCGTCCGCCGCGAGGCCTTGAAACCTGTTACCTCTGTAGTTGTGCCAGTTCTCCCACCACGCATCTCCAGTCGCTCGCATGCCGAAGGGCATAGTTTTCCTGCTGTAAAACTTGTGCTCTTCCCATCTCGTTTCTAGTCCACGATCCAACAGCAGCCCACGAGGCATTGGATCCAGCGGGACGGATCGTTGTGGATTGAAAATATTCCCCACCTTGCCGTAGCACAGCTTCACGCCAACCGCAAGCTCGTCAAACAGCATCGCTGCCATCTTCTTGACGTATCCTTCGGGGATATCGGTACGTTTCGTGGATTGTGTCCCCTCCGGCTCTGCATCTCGACGCACCCGGCGATTGTACAGCAGCTTCTTGAAGCTCGTGGCTAGCTGCTTTTCTCGTTCGAACTGCTGCTTGAGTCGCATGTTCTCCCGCTCCGCCTCCAACCTCCTGGCAATCTGCCGAGCGCAGATCTCCTGCCACACGCGCGGCACTTCATTGTCTTCTTCTGCGGTAGTATTATCCGTTTCGGGTCTCTTGCTCTTGAAATACTGCAGTTTTTGTATAGTGAACTCCAGCTCTGCCACTTCCTCCTGCAACTCAATTAACTGGAACCGACGCTCATCCCGCGCCTTGTTCGGGTTTGTTTTCTTCTTTCTCGTCGTCTCGCGCGTGGAGTAAGATCATGCACCGCAAACACCAGCACACCAACTATGTATTCAATACAAATTCCAAGTATATACTTTCTTTAACATGCTTGATATCAAGCGTGTGAAAAAATAGTCCGTGCATAGGAATCCTGGCCTCGTACCGGGGTGGGGTAAGCGTGACATAATTGAAGCGGCTCAGGACCTGCTACCGAGCCTTCGGGCGTCTGATAAACCTAGGGTTCTTTGGACAGCCTGGAAGTACAGGATTCGGCATCACCTCCAAGTGCGCAACAGATACCTGAGACAACGCTTCCATAAAGAGAAGGATTGACTTATTCTTCTCCAAGAAGAACGCGCGACTATTCGAGCACTGGATCCATCGCCAAGGAATACGGTCGCTCTCTATGACGCTAAACTTCATTAAGATGAATTCTCCCAAGATTGGAATTGGCACGGACGGGAAACCAAGTTTGACTTCTTAGCAAGCTCCACGGAAACTTGCTCTTCATTTTTCTTTCGTCCGCCGGACAAGCACCGACGGGTTCCCATGGATAGTGTTGAACTGGAGGACGGCAGTATCTCAACGGACCCAGTCGTCGTTAGGGACGGGACGCGTTGGGGGCAGATCTTTGGAGACAGTCGGTTTCAACAGAGTGGTGATGGAGAGATAGATGCGACGGCTCAAGAACAACTACTAAGGTCGATTTCTAGTCGCCTGGAGGCAGACCAAGCTCAGAATCTGGATGAAGACTACAGCGCCGATGAGCTGGCTGATGCCATAATGAGTATGCGTAGTGATGGAGCGCCTGGACCAGACGGTCTGACAGCCCGCTTCTTCCAGCTAGCACCAACCGTCTTTGGAAAAATCCTGGCCATTGTATTTCGCGACCAGTTTCGCCGCGGCACGCTCCTCGCCCACCAAAACCACACGGAGGTGTTCCTACTGTTCTAGAAGGGATCACGTGCACAAGTGGGTAACTACCGTCCTATCTCTCTGATGCCAGTAGAGGTGAAAGTTATGTCAAAAGTCATTGTTCACCGTCTAAAACCGCTGTTGAAAGACCTTCAATGTAATGGTCTAAGTCTACGTGGACAAGCGCCCGTCTCGACATCGATCTCGTCAGCGGTTCCCGTGTCGACGCAGTACCAATCGAAGCTCGCCTCCAGATGTGTCACTCTGCTCCAGAGACGTGGACCAGTCTCCGTTCAACTCCGCTCCAAGTCACTACTTCGTGCTCGGCGCATCTCTGCTTGTACCAGGCTTCAACCTGGCTTTCGTGTTGCATTAGCAGCGTCTCCCCCTGGAGACGCCCCTCAGAGCTAGCTACCGGTACTTGTTGCTACTCGCTAACCTCAATTCAATGGCATTCTGTCTTTTGCTCAGTCAAGTACAAGTGGTTCACTCCATTCAAAAGTACTGCCGAACAAATGGACTCTTCGGGTTGGCATCATTCTTAGACTTCGAAAAAGCCTAAGACCGCGTCAACTGGGACTATCTATTGAAGGTGCTGTAACGCCAAGGATTTGGCCCACGGCGATGGATAAAGATTTTGTATTCTAAACCTGCGTGCTCGCTGGTTATAGACGGATGGCCACAAACAAAACTTTTTCCCACACGTGGTGTCAAACAAGGTGATTCCTTGCCACCATATCTATTTCTTCTCCCTATGGAACCACTGGGAAATCTCTTACGACAACGAAGGATGACGGGAATATCGATGCCCATTAGACCCCCGACTGCAAGTGTTTTCTTTGCGGATGACTCCTTACTATTTTCCTGATCGGTGTCGGGACTGCACGAGCAACTGAGCGTCGTTAGGGAATACTGTGCAGGCTCCGGTGCTAAACTGAATGTGCTTAAGTGTAAACTTTGGCAACTCGCTGGACCTCCGATAGAAGAATCGTCATCTCCATTGCCTGAGGTCAAACCTGGTGAAACTGTTCGTTACCTTGGACTGACATTTGGACGTGAAGACACTGACTCAAAACTGGTGAATGACCGTGAGCACAAAGTGGAGCATTGTCCCGTTGGTGTTTTCGTGGCCGCACTGTTGAGGGTCGAAAGTTGATTGTAACGACAATGGTGATATCGCTATTGTGGTATAAGGCCCTACACGTTGTCTTGTCTAACATAAAACAATACATCGGTGGCAATCCCTGATCAATGACTGCCCGATAGAGTACATTGGCACGCGGTGAGAGGAGCCAATCCTGAGGCCTTGGCTTGCCAAACATTGATCTCTTCTTGAAGCGGCAACAACTTCGTCTCTTTCTGTGTTGCCAACCTTTCAACTGAAAAACGACGGCACCTGTGAGCGAGAACAATTGAATGCTGGTTCAGGAAAAGAGGCGGCCGCGTCTACTTCTCTCTGTGCCAAGCTTTAACAACATGGATATCGCTTTCTACAGGATTTGTTGTTTTCGCATGGAACTCTTGTTAGTGAGCAAGGTTTTGTGGCTGTCAATGCAAACATGCATGACATCAAGCGCTCGCGTGACGCGAGTCGCATCTGCTACCCTACTTGACATTTCGTTTATACTTTCGTGCTCAAGCAATACTGGGTAGTATCCAGATCAGAACATCCAGCGTGGCCGGAACTTCGCACACTACTGCGCAACTCGTGGGAATCAAAAGTGCTCGACGTTTTTGGTACTTCCCAATGTTGCCAAAGCATGCGTGGACACGTTACCTATATTCTACGACCGACATTTCGGCTACGCGAGCTGCGTCGCTCAATACTCAGCCGAGTTGTCTACAACAAGCATCCAAAGAGCTCTCCATCCTTCGACGGCACATGCTACCTACTGTCTACCTACTGTCTACGACATGCAGCTTCGGGTGTTACACGATGTACTCCCTGTGAACGCTAAATTCTACTTTCTCGAGCTGCGCCAGCGTGACCCAACAAGGTGCCCGATCCCAGGCTGTTTTAGAGTCGAAGTGCTGAGCCACTGTTTTTGGAGTTGCGAACTACCACACAGCGTTTGGCCCTACAACCGGTTTGGTCTTGCCTGGTGACGCGTTCAATTCGATGGTCTAACTTCATCTACGGAGCGACAGACATTCTTCTCCCGTATTGGAAAGATAACAAGAGCGTGCTCAGCGTTTGGTTCTGTTTGCGGGGCCTCTTTCTTCGAGAAATATGGATAAATCGCAATCGCGCCGCGTTTCAAGACGCAACTTCAATATTGCCGGCAAGTGCACTCACCGTAGGCATTCTTCATCAATTTGCTGCGCATCTTCGCTCTCTCCATCGTCGGCATCGATCTCTTTTGCTCAGGAAGGCAGATCTGCTCGCAGTGACAAATTGCATGGTGACGCATTCAAAAGGTCTATTAGCCGATGTGGACATCGGCGCGCGAACAACGTTTTGGAGCCGGACACGTTGAATTAGCTAAAATCATGCTACACCTAAGGTTTAGCAGATAACGAAGTCCAACCATAAATCGTAATAGAACTCCATTCAGTCAGTCAGTTAGTCAGTCAGTCAGTCAGTCAGTCAGTCAGTCAGTCAGTCAGTCAGTCAGTCAGTCAGTCAGCGGTAACTACAGGTGAATGTCGTAGCTTACCAAGCGCAAAGACTCTCCAATGTTTTGTCTTCTAAGTGTGTCGCTGTAATGATTGATCAAGTAGCAGATCCTCGACCTTCTCATTGCGCCTCATGATGTTGGAGGACAGCGAGCTCGCCACAAAATTCCTCAACGCAGCCATCCTGGGGTCATCTTTCAGACTTGGGTCTAGAAAGTGGGGCGTGACGATCTCACAAGTTGACATCCGCGTCGACGCAGCTTCACCACCATAGCAGTCAACAAGTCCAGGCTTGATAATCACGTGGCTTCGCTCGAGAAAGTAGATGCCGGTCATGCGTGTCCCCTGGTTCGAGCCTCACAGGCGTCTTGAGGTTGGCCGGGTGTATCTGTGCGCCATATAGCTGTTTTCGTCCGAGACGCGCTCGTTTTCGAACATGAACGGCTCGACGTACGCGTTCCAGACGATCACTGTGCGATCGTCCTCAATGTGTCGCCGTAAAATTTGCTGGACGTAAAAGGTAGCGGTGGTGTCGGCGTTGGTGTCATTGAACTCCAACCCAAAGCTCTCCGTGACGAAACCCTCATCAACGCGTCGCCCTCTGTAGTTGTGCCAATGCTTCCACCAGGCGTCACCAGCGGTGCGCATGTCGAAGGGCAGAATATGGTGGTCGAACACCTCCAAGCGCGTGCCGTCCATAATATCACGCAGCAGCGGCTTTGGAGTCATGGCGTCCATGGAGACAGGACTATTCATCTCCACCACAATCTCCGCCTCGTTGTAAGAATGCTCAACACCGGAAGAGAGCTGCTCGAAAATCAGCGCCGCCATGTGCTTCATACGCCCAGTAGGAATCTCGATGCGTCGTGTATGAGTAGTTCCTTCCAGGTATATCAAATCTGACGGCGGGGTCTGTCGGTAGAGCAGTCGCTTGAGACTCTTGACTACCTGCATCTCCCTCTCGCAACTCTCCTTCAGCTGGGCATTTTCCCGCTCGGCTCGCAGTCTCCGGTCAAGTTGGCGAACACACACTCTTTCCAGACGTGTGGCATCCCAGCAGCAGTCTTTGGTTGACTGCCCTTGGCTTGGCCGCTAGGTTTCTTGTGGTGGCCTCGAACGATCTGCAGCTGCTTGAGCTTCGTCTCCAGCGTCTCCGCCTCGTTGCGGAGTTGGATCAACGTGGTCCGACGCTCGTTTCGCGCCTTGTTCGGGTCGTAGTTGAGCCTCTTCTTCGTCGTCTTCTTCATCCGATCTGGCTCTTCGGTGCTTTGCGCCAGTCCAAACTCGCCGATGTCGTCGGCCATCGCCTCGAGCAGCACTTCGGGGTCCCATTCATCGCCTCCCAACGACGAGAGGTAGCCGGCGTCGTCACTAGGAGAGGGGTCGGACTGTTGCCGCGGGCGCGTCGAAGGGGTTAGCGTAAGTCATCATGCGGTAAGGAGATACTCTTGTGGGAAACGGGAAATTGATTACAGTAATCTGCCCGAGTAAGGAACGCCTGATATATATAAAGACGCAGAATATATAAATTGATGTTAAGTTGAGTATACTTTTCCAATGTACTGATTTAGTTATTTCAAAATGAACTGAAGAGCAGCTTTACCTACGAGTCCGGAATGATTCCAACAGTGGCGTATGGTCGAAGCACTAACCTTTGACCAGGCATCCTCGCACCACAATAGCGCTGTCAACTGGTCGACCTCGTAGGGATTATCTAGCCCTTCACCTTGTCGAGGATGCCCACTTTCTCAGACCAAGTGAGACGGAGACGCTTGGACGGTGTGGACTGCATGGGGGGAGTGGGGGGAGGAGGTGGGCTTGTGGGGCGAGGTGCAAAAGCAAAAGTGCGAGTCTACCACTACGGTACATGTAGTTTGAAGTCTAGTAAGATCGCTAAATGCGTGCCATTTTTCAAACGAGGGTGGAGAGCTGATGATTGGCACTGGATTTTTCACCTTAGTACCTCAGTACCTTGCACATCCCCCTATCGCCACATCGACTGGAAAATAATATTAAATATGTGAGGCTATTAGTTGTACACCCGTTCCTTATTCGGGCAGAATTCTGTAATGAGTGTAATTTGGTGTTGGGAACATTAAATTCATGCTAACTTCAAGTGATGCGGAAGATCAAGCTACATGCAGTGGCTTATCGTGCATCAGCGTGACGACTCTAGTACAATGACCGATCGAGTACTTACAGTGGAATACACACCGCATGATGTGAAAACGCGAGCTCTTTTTCACGATTTACCAGCGTGACGACGCTGTTCCAGCGACCGGTCGAGTAGCAAACTCTCGACCATTTCGTTTCGCGTCGTGATGTCCGAGGGCATGAAGCTGATCAAAAACTTGGTTACCGCCGCAGTTGTAGCATCCTTGGTCAGCCGTGGATCCAAAAGTGCGGCGTGATGACTTCGTGGGAGGACATGCAGGTGCAGTTGTCACTCTCCGTGTCAGGCTTGATCAGCACGTAGCTTTCTGTAATAGACGCCGTGAACGCCAATGGCTCGATGTACGTATTCCAGACAAAGACGACACGGCCATCTTCAATGTGATGCCGCAGAACCTGCTGCACGTAGAACGTCGTAGACGTGTTCGCCTCCACGTCGGCGATTTCGATCCCGAAACTCTCTGTGACGATGTTCTGGGCGATATCTGCTGCGCTGGCCCCTGTAGTTGTGCCAGTATTCCCACCACGCGTCTCCGGTTTGGCGCACGTCAAATGCAAGAGAGTCCGGTCAAAAGCTTCGACCCGCTTGCCTTTCCTAGTGTCACGAAGAATTGGTTCACGTGTCATTGACTGCATCAGCAAAGGCTCGATAGCTCTGTTCATGCACTCCACCTCACGATACGTCGCCTCAACTCCCGCGGATAGCTCGGCAAAGATGAGATCAGCCACATGCTTGATGTAGTCTGGGGGAATCTCAATGCGCTTGGTGCATTTACGCGTTCCAGGATACGCCATATTCCACAGCGCCGGCCGCACACCAAGCAAGTTCTGCATACTCTTGACGAACTGTTTGTCCTTCTCAACGCTCTTCATCAAGTGCATGTTTTCTCGCTCAGCTCTCAGCCGCCGATCCAGCTGCCGAGCACACGCGTCCTTCCACACCGTTCCTGTACCCGCCTCCATCTCCTTCTCCGAGGAAGCTGTACCCCACGAGCTGCGTCCTCCTCGAATCGTCTGCAGTCTCTTCAGCGTAAACTCAAGGTCTTGTACCTCTTCCCTCAGTTTCACCAACTCAGCATGGCGCTCTTTACGAGCCCTGTTCTGGTTGTAGTTCTTCTTCCTCTTCCTTGGTGTCGGCTGTGGCTTGGACGCTTGTTGCGGGCCTGCTGTCTCGTTCGCAGTGAAAAGGCCCAGATCTTGGTCAATATCGCCTCCCAAGGTCGCGAAGAGGTGGGTATCTAATGGGTTTTGATCGTCGTCACTCAGGATAGCGTCCGATTCTCGCAGGGCTTCGTCTAGGAAGGCCAAGGTCTCCTCCAGGGACTCGCCGTCGGAAGCCATTGATGATGATCGTGTCCACCACACCATTCAAACGGAATTGAAGACTTTGTCCAAGATGCGATTCTGCGTGCACATGGAGTAGATCACTGCACGTACGACGATTAGCTCTATTCTATAATAGCGCTGGCAATAGTGTAGCGTCAGCTAAGATACTGTGTGTCGTTTGTTCGTGAGCATCGACAAAAATGTAAGGAGTGGTCCAGGAGGTGAAAATACGTTGTTTCTTATAAGACCAGATCACGTGAATCATTCCAACTCAATACGACACATCATCCTTGCTGGCCGTCGATTCCGTAATGTCGATTTTGTCGTGCCTGGTCCAATAGTAAGCCCTCGACCATTTCATTCCACGATATGATGTCGGACGACATAGAGCTCACCACAAACTTGGTTACTGCAGCTACTGTGGGATCGTTAATCATGCTTGGCTCCAAGAAGTAGGGTGTGATCATCTCGCAAGATGAAATCCGTGAGCAGACGCCGCCGTCGTAAACTTGAGGCTTGATGAGCACGTAGCTTTGCTCGCGGTAGTAGACGCCTCGAATCCGCTTACCCTTAAACATGAATGGCTCGAAGTATCCGTTCCAAACAAACACAATGCGATCGTCTTCGACGTGCCGCCGAAGAATCTGTTGGACGTAGAAACGCACTGACGTGTTAGCCGCGTCGCCGATTTCCCAGCCAAAACTCTCTGTGACGACATCGTCAACGCTGTCGACTTCGCCCCTGTAGCTGTTCCAGTATCGCCACCACGCATCTCCAGTTTCCGCCACCCCAAACGGAACATCATTGTAGCAGAATGCCTCGAGGCGCCTACCAATGATAGCGTCACGTAACAGTGGCTCGCCCGCTGGTAAGCGTGTTAGTAAAGAGCTGACAGCTCTTTCCAAACCTTCGACCTCTCGATAAAACGCCTCGACACCCGCAGCTAACTCCACGAAAATCAAATCCGCCATCTCCTTCATGTATCCTGCAGGAATCTCGATGCGCCTTGTGCGTTGACATATTCCCGGATACACCATGTTCCATAGCGCCGGCCGAGTGTCGAGCAGCTTCTGCATGCTCTTGACGAACTGTTTGTCCTTCTCAACTCCCTTCATCAAGTGCCTATTTTCTCGTTCAGCTCTCAGCCGCCGCTCCAGCTGGCGGATGCATGCGTCCTTCCACACCAATTTCTTGTCCGTCTTCTCCTGTGTGCGACTGGAACCTCTCATGCAGCCGATGATAGTCTGGAGCCGCTTCAGCGTGAACTCGAGATCCTCCACCTCGCTTCTGAGCTGTAATATTTCAGCATGACGCTCCTCTCGAGCCTTGTTCTGGTTATAATTCTTCTTCCGCTTCCTTGACTTCGACTGTTGCTTGGAAAAGCTGAGCAGGTTGAGTTCTTGGTCAATGTCGCCCCACAGAGGCTCATACAGTGGAGATCTTAGCGAGCTTATGTCGGCGTCATCCAGGTTAACGTCGACTCCACGCAGGGCTTCGTCCAGGAACGCCAGGGTCTCGTCAAGCGGCTCGGCCTCCGGCATCGGCGTGCAATGTTGTTGCTGTGCTGGCTACTGTACCTCATCAGGTACAGTAGTCAGCATTGATTGGTCAACATTGAATCTAGTGTGGTGTACACAGATTCGACTTGCGAAAAGATACTTCCGAGCGGGAAGAGACGCAGACCATTCCTTCACGAAAGTCTCAGTGTAGCATGGCGCTGCTGGCGACGCTTCTAGCGGTGAGCGGGCTGCTGGGCTTCACGTGGTGGCTGCTGGCCCACTACAAAGACGCCAAAGTGCCGACGGTGGTGCACGCCGCCGTGTTCACGAGCTGGGCGCTGGGCTTCCTGGGGCTGCTGCTGCTGCCGATGGACTTGGCCACCAATGGACTCACTGCAAGCTCCCAATCGATTGGCGGCACTGCAGAGGACAAAGCCAACTTTAACGAGTATCTGACGGGCTGGAGACTGCTGTACTGGCTCACGTTCAGCATGAGCTGGGTGGGGCTGCCGTTCCTGGTGGAGTTCAGCCAGAACGGCGAGTTCGAGCTCGAGAAGCGCGTCATCAGCTCACTGAGGCACTTGGTCTTCCATTGGTCGGTGCTGGCTGGCGGGCTGTTCATCGTGGCGCTGTACTTGATTCTGGTGGACCACTTGTCGCTCTACGGAGTACTGGGGCTGGCGATGGCGGCTAGCAACACGTACGGACTGCTGTGGGTCATCGCGCTGCTGGGCTACGGACTCGTGGAGATCCCGAGGAGCTGCTGGATGCGACGTCTGGACGGTGCACAGCTTCAGAAACTGCACTTCCAGGCGGTGCAGCTGCAGGACGAGAGGATGGAGGCTCGCTTCGAGTATGACGAGGTGGTTGCCGACGTCCGAGAGGCCTATCAGCGCATGATGCAGGCAGAAAGCGACGCGATTATTCTCACAGGCGAGATGCAGTACGTCAAGACGTGCCTGCTGAAGGTTTTGGCGCTGGTGGAGAAGAGCAAGCCTGCGTTTAGCAGTCTGGACCCTGCTAACGAGGCGAAGCGAGCCAGCAAATCGGCCTCGTTCACTGACGTTTCCAGTAAAATGAAGCGAGCATTTAGCGGTATCGGTCGAGTCTCCGCTCGTAAAGCTCCGACACTGCCGGAAGTTGTACAGCTGCACCGTCGGGTGCGCATTGCACAACTGGAACTGCGTCGGTGTGATCAAGCCTTCCTGGAGCTCTGTATCAACGTGGATGTGCTGGAAGATCGCAATGCGCAGCGAGCGCTTTCGGCCGGAAGTTTGTATCCAGAGACCTCAGCGCTCAACCGCCTGCACAATTTGTTCCTAGATACTCGCCACCAAATTCGTCGCTGGGTCACATCGCCAGTAGCTATCGCCTGCGCTGTCATTACTGGATTCCTCTCGCTGTGTGTGGCGTGGGGTGAACTTACTATGGGCTGGCACGGGTCGTCGCTCTCGCTGTTTCGCTTCTTGATCGCAGCAGAGGCAGAGGAGACGAGCAGCAGTCTACGCAGCGCAACGGAGCTCGTATCAGCCTTGTTGCTCGTGTATCTCGCGTTGTGCTGCTACACAAGTCTCTTCACTCTGCGATTGCCTGGGAAATACGCACTTCGAGCTCACGGCAACTCGACGGAGCTGTGTCTACTCAAGACGTCAATCCACCAGTGCCGACTGCAGTTCGCATTGGGGCAGAATGCTCTGCTCTTACTTCGTGGTGGAGGTCTCGCTGAGGGCACAGCTTTCAGTGCGCTGTTGGCGAACACGCGGGTAGTTCACCTGTTTGGGAGGGGATTCGCTGTCTACGCCCCTCTCGCGATGATCGCGCTGGCTGTGTTCACGCTGACTAACGGATACGCTCGAGTCATGCGCCGGATGGGTATTGAACAGTACGAGCAAGTGATTCCTGGTGATCCTTCGCACGCTGCGTCGATTGCTGAAGGAGAGCGACTTGTGCAGCAAGGACTGGAGCGATTCCGCGTGCTGATCTCCCGCAAGAAGAAGATCTACGAGACGGGAGCCGCCGGAGGTGGAGCCTACGGTTTTGCCTCGGCCGAAGCTGGTACGCAATCACTGTTGGATGATGACCAGGAGAGCTCGCAAGCGGGAATCAACGAAGCTGTTTGAGTTGCTCGATGTGATGAGCACCGCTGTATTGTACTTGTTGAGATTGCCCGAGCCTAAAAAAACACTGTTTCTTTATCACTAAATGGACTTAGAGCTCTTCGTCGGCGATAAATTCATCTCGTCAAGATCGAAATCTAGGTCCATCAGGTCTTCGTGGATCAGCTTGTCAGTCTTTACCACCGTCTTGGAACCCGCTAGTTGAGTGTTTCTCGCCTCGATAATATCACCAACGTCGCTCTGAATCCCGGATTTATTCCCAGGCGAAAAACAACCAGGTTGTTGACGCATGCATTGTCGGAAGAATGCCTCTCGCTCGCGTCGGACAGCCTCACTCTCTTGAAGTTCGCCATCATCCTCATGTTCCTCCTGATGATTTCCACGTTCAGGCCCCACTCGAGCCAGTACGTCGTCTTGCCTCGCCTTGCACTTCACGAGTTGCCTTTGAAGTCGATCGGACTGCTTCCGCTCCTGTTGCAGTTGACTCTTCACACAACGCAGCTCCGCGTTAGCCTTCACCGCAGCGAGTTTGTATACTGGCAACTTGTCTGCGATGTAAGCACGAGCCCGCTGGAGCTCGTCCTGGGAATCCTGGAGCTGACGGTGGAGCTCAGCGTTTTCCTCCTCAAGCTTCTCGATTTGGACATCCAGCTTGAAGTACTCATGCGACCCTATTCGTTGGCGCCCTCCAACGGATGCCTTGTCATCGCAACATGCAGAGCTCTGCAGTTGCTGCCGCTTCTGGATCGTTTTCACCTCCTCCTTCAAAGACTTTGCCAGTGCACGCAGCGCAACGATCTCCTCTTCCTGCCTCTGGTGATCGATCAGAACTCTTTCAAGTTGTTGCCGAAGACGTTGACATTCAGCCACGTGGTCAACGGCGTTCCCCTCGTCACTGCTCCACCTCGTACTGCCTTCCGAGCACGCATCGACTTGACTCTTCTTCAAGCCCAAGATACATGACGTCGCGCTCTTCGCATTCTTCTTCTTCGTCAACTTTTTCGCATTCGTAGGCGCCTTGGACCTCGCCTTGGTATCGTCATTGAACGCTTTGGGAGCAGTACGTCGCTTCATCGAGCTTGGGTTTTAGATCGCGCCGGCCTCGTATAAATAACCGACCAGCACTTTCGTTAGCTAACCAACAGCATGGAGGAAGAGGCTCGATTGCATCACCTCCCTCGGTATGAGAAGAAGCGCTTGGTCAAGGGCTGGCATGCCACGCAGCCTCCGTTCGATCCAGCCCCTTGTGAACCGAACGACGGATCAAACGGGATCACACGTGCAGGCAGCCTGCGATCGCTGTTCGCTACTCCCCCGGGCGCGTTGGAGTACGAAAGTCAGCGGACAGCTACGTGCAGGAGCATTCCGGACTTGTTCAGCGACAACTGCAGTCAACAAACCGAAGAGAAGCTGCCCAAGACGGTCGGTCAGGTGAAGCACGCGTATCGTACGCGCGCTCGGAAGCAAGAAGCGCGTGACGCATCGAAGGCGATCCGCCAACGAGAAAAGTTTCTGGAGGTGAGAAGAGGACCAAAGTGGCGAGAACAGCTCTCAAAACTAAACAAACAACCTCAACAGCCAGAGCTCAGCGAATATCAACAAGGAAACATAAAAGATGAAGAGAATGAAGACGCCGAGGAGGTGAGCGCTTCTTCTCAAGACGAGTCTGGAGGAGAGCTCCAACTGGTGAACCTGCCCGTGGACGAAGTCGTAGTCAACGCAGCATATCGGGACGATACTCTGCGTCAAATCCGCCACCATCTAGCCAACGGCGGCGAAGTCCTGCTCCAAAGCGACTGCGCTAGCTCCAAGGAGACCGTGGGCAGCACTCGCCTCATGCTTCAAACTCTCTGTACGCAGAGCCTCGCGTACTGCGTCCGCGACCAGAACATCGTGCCCGACTCTCTCCTCCAGCCGCAGTCTACAACGCGCTTAACACTCCGTCTGCTGCCCCGCCACCAGAAAATGTAGCCATCTCCACCTTGAAGTTACTTTTTATCTTGTCTTTACAATACAAGAGCACAAAACAAACATGCTCCCCAACCGTAGTACCCCTTACAACTAATAGCACACATCCATCCCAGTCTCACTTCGCAAACCTCCTCCAGCCTGGAATGAACGCGGCTTCGGGCGTGCGCGTGATGGCCGGCGGCTGCCGCCTGATGGGCGTTGCGCTGGTCGTGGACGACATCAGCAAGGGCTGCAACCTAGCCTTCCGGTACCCGGCGCCCCCCGGCGAGAGCGCGTCCAGCTTCCACACGCTGCCAGCGCCGCTGCTGGCCAAGCTCTTCCGGCCCAAGAACGCGCTTTGCAACGCCAGCTTCGAGCTCGTGGTGGACGACCTGCGCTTCGTGAGCCACCCGGTGCTGGTCTCTCGTCGGCTGCCGGCCGCTGCACCCGCCGACGGGTCGTCCTCGACTCCACCTACAGTTATAGAGCAATCTGCTTCGAACGGCACGACGGCATCAACCGGCAACGAGACCACCATGTTCAACATCATCTTTGCTCTAGAAGACCGTCCTCCCCAAGTGTCGAGACCCGCTGAAGCCATGGACGGCACAATTGATCCCCAATTACTGCCATTGCAACAGGCCGATGAGGAGGAACTATTGGCCAGGAGACGCAGCAGCGCCCAGGCCTTCCACACTGTCGCGGCGCAGCTGGCCAATGGCCTTTTGCACGAGGAACTTCGAGTCGGCTTCGTGTCCAAGGAGGTGAGGGAGCTGCTGCAACTGAGGGACGAGTTGGCGCAGAGTGAGCAACGTAATGCTGGGGGGAGCAGTACTGGGATTCCAGGGGTGACCAGTGGCAACAGTATCAGTGCTGCGGTGGCGGCGGGGGCGACGAGTGGGAGCAGTATCACGAGCAATGCTGGAGGAGGAGGGGCAGCTACCAGTGGATCGAGCTTGATGCATCATCATCACCATCGGAAGGACGGGGAGAACGGGTCGTCGACGGTGGAGGTGGACCCGCAGACTTTGATCGACGTGTCGCTGGGCAAGAGCGTGCTCGCCAATGACTTGAAGCGCGTGTTTCATGGACTGGAGGAGTCGGGGGCTGCTCACGTGGTGCTGAATGGCTGGGTCAAGCTGTCGTTGACGCTGACGGATGCGGTCACGGTGAGGATGGCGAGTTTAAGGCCGTACCACACATTGTTGTTGCTTACGGACAAGGAGGATATTCTGAGCAAGCTGCCGGCTGATCATGCGCGACAACTTCGAGATCTGGTGGAGGCGGTGAACCCGCTCAAGAGCTTCCAGGACCTGGCACTGGATACTGGAATACCTATTCACCAGGTCTTCCGTCTAGCTGCGCACCTTGTATATTGGGGGTTTGGACGTATCGTGGACGCAATCACGCTGTACAACATTTACCAGGTCAACTCCAAGGCAGATCTGCACATTACGTCACCGCTGGCACAGGAATTCCGGCGTAAGTTCGCGCCCTATGAACTGGGCGAGGTGCTGTCTACGTTCTCTGGATCGAGGCGAATTGGCGAGTACATGAAGACGTTGTCGACGGCCAAAAAGACCGAGTACATCCACATGCTGATCTGGTTACTGCAGCAACGCTTCATTGTACAGCTCCATCGCTACATTTATTTCATGATTCCGTCCGATGGAGACTACGCGGCTGAGCTCGGTAATGGAGCCGGAAACTCCCTGGGAAGTTCGTCACCCGCCCTAATGGCATCAAGTTTTCGTCGACAGCGAGTCAACAGTAGTGCGACCAACACTAGCGCACCTGGCAGCGTGCCTAGAGCACAGACTCCACCGATGAATCCCGCCGCTATGGCACTACCGTCACCTCCGACTGCTCCATTGGGCGACGATAATCCTGCTGCAGATGGACGTGGAGGAAACAATGTGCCGATGGCCCAAGTTATGAGTGTGGCGAGTCAGTTGTTGTTTACAGATCAAGAGCGCGCATACCTGGCCAAGATTGCCAAGCCCAACCCGGTGTTCACTCTGTTCAAGCGGCTCTGCGTCTACTTCCATGGAGAAAACCACATTGAAGAGATCATGTGGAGAGAGAACCTTTCGCGCGGAGAGCTGCGCACTGTCATGAGCACGTACCAGGATATCATTGTTTGCTGTCTCCACGAATGATTTGATGATGTAAAAAAGCCCGCGCACGTCAAGTGAAAGAAGATGAAAGAGGCTCAAAGACCTCCCTCGATAGCTGTGTTGCAAGGTTCACACTAGCTCGAGTCGCTTGCTAGCTGCAGACCTAGCGTTCAGTCGCAGCTAACTCACCCTTGCGCGTGAGCAAATATTAAACTGTTGATTTGGTTGTACTTGGCGCCTTTGAAGAGCATTTTACATTGCGACGGCAGCAGACTTGGAAGAGGACTCGGCTGCTGCGTCTCGCTCCTTTAGCAGGTCCACAACCTCTAAAATCGTCTTGCGATAGGCTTCCTGCTCCAGCAAAATTCCACTGACGTGGCCCGTTTTGATCGTCCGGAAGTGCGCAGGCTTCCACTGCTCGCGCATTCGCTGATGCACAACAACAGGAGGGGGCAAGTTAGATTTATGGACAGCAGAATCTAATGGTTGAGCAAAACTCACCTCCCACTGAGGCTCCGTGAAGCCAATGTACTCGTCTTCCGTGCCGTATACGAACACGACAGCGTCCGAACGTCGAGGTGGCAGGAAGTTGTCGATGTCCGTGATCGAGAGGAATAGCCTCATGCGCTTCTTCGCTTCCTGGACTGGATCCAGCTCCGCATCAGAGGTATCCAATTCCTCAGCTCCGGTATCAGCACCAGCGGTGGCCAGCTTTTCGTATGACTCAGCCACAGCCTGACCAGCCAGCATTTTGTCCAGCATCTGCAGCTCATGGCGTTTGTAAAGTGAGCGCCAGTTGCAAGATCCTGACAGCAATCCATCAGCGAATACTGGTACAGCCGAAGGTGGCGCTAGCCAAGCTGTGGCGCCGACGTCTCCAGGGAAAACTGAAGCGACCATAGCGGCATGCAGTCCGCCCATGCTGCTGCCTGCAATCACCAGTTGGGAGTAGCCGTGATAGTCACGGAAATGCTCCAACAATGACTTGGCCTCCTCGATCGTGGCTTGCCCCAAAATCGGCAGATCGCTCACTCTACAAACAGAAATGAGAAACTCAGTGGCTAGCCAACAACATCAGGCCTTAATGGGCGGCATTCTACCTTCGTAGCTTGGAGCCCTTCTGCTGAGGCGGTTTGCGCTTCCCGTAAAAAGGTCCTTCCAGAATCTACAACGACAGCAAAATCACAATAAACGATCGTCAAGGACTCAAAGGCACTCCGATAGCACACCTCAATGCCTTCAGCCCCCACTTACCAGAGTAGCAACGCCCTTTTTGGCGAGTGGAATCGCAATGGACGTCCTGCGGTGCAAGAACCCGTGCTCTCCTGTTCCCGGCAGCAGCACTGCGTCACACCCGCACGGTTGGTTGGTTACTCTTTCAAACTTAACTCTTCACCTGAGTCCACTCCACTTACCCACAAGAGGTCTATCCGTCCCCCCGTGGGGCACTCCGCCGTCCTCCCGTTCCCAGTCCAACGGCGTCACGAGCTCACAGAACGCATCCAGGCTCTGCTCTGGTAGCAGCTGCTGTGCGTTACCCAACGTGCTCTGGAACCTGCCTTCTCTCAGCGCGACCTTCGCCACCGACAGCTCCCTGACGCAGCCCCAACTAGGTTCCCCCTCCTTCAGCGACACGACGTCGCTCATGCGTCGGCTCTGCAGCAGCTCGCGAATCCTTTTCGAAGTGTTGAGGTCCCCCCACCCGTCGGAGAAGAAGCCGTTCGGGAACAGCACCGGATTCTGCGTGACTGCGGCGGCCGCGCGGTCCAAGTAGCGGTGGTGCGAGGCCGTGACACCGTCCAGCAGGCGACTGGGAGAACGAAGTAGAGCGGCGAGCAGCCCCCACGGGTGTAGAACCAGAATGCCCGGCGCCTGGAGCTGCAGCAGCCACCGCCAGCGACTCAGCTGCGGCCCGGTGGGCAAACGCATGGACGTTGAGGGCAGGAAGGGGCTTGGGACGGAGCTGGAAGGGGGACGAGATGCAGCTAGTGGCGGTCGTGTGTGGACAAAGCTGTCCCTCTGGTCGGCCGCCGCGTTTCGCTGTTGAAGGACGCGTCCGATTGGAGGAGAGAGAGAGGTACAGCGTACCGCATCTGCATGCAGCGATTCTTCAGCCCTAACTTCTAGAAGATCGAGTTTGACGGGGGATATAGACCTGCGGAAAGAGACAGCGAACGGACGCGATGCGTTTCGAAAGGTCAAATTTCCGTAATTGGTGGTATTGGCAAGTAGCATTTAAGCTCAAACGGACGGCGAGCTGACCGCGAACTGGAAGAGGCCGTTGGTCTGTAGGTGATGCTACAGAAGAATGCAAGTTTAGGAACAGTTTTATCATAGGCTATGTTAATAAATTACATACTTAATTTAAGTAAAGCGGCGCCAATATAAATACGTGAGTGTCCCGAGTAGGAACGGTCACCACCGTTCCTACTACACGGACGACCGTTCGGCCAGCGATCGACTTCTGGAGGATTAGCTGTTGGACGATGCGGTGAGCGGGCAGTCATCCATTTCGGAGGGGCGCTGACTGGCGACGCGTCGGTTAGGTGGCGCGCTCGGCTGCGATGGAAGCAGGGACGCGAGTGATAGGTGAGCAGTGACGCGAAGGGCAGGACGGAGGTCACGAGCACCGCGTGGCTCGGGACGTGAGCTGTGAGGTGAGCCAAGGACGAAGGGGTGGGACGAGAGCCAGGTGAGCCGGTGACGTGTTGAAGTCGGCACGTGAGCCGACAGAGAGCCGAAAGAAGAAGGAAGCACGAGCTGTCAGGCTCCGTGCGCGGTAAGGAAGTAGGGTCAGCCGTGAATCTGCACTGGAGAGAACAAGTTGATTGCTTTTGCATATTAGCTCTGTTTCTCGCTATTTGTGCCACTGCCTAACCGTTCTAGCTTCCATACAACGCTTGACCGTCCCATCCAGGGCACTCGCGACACGTGGTGGAGAAGCAGGGTACGGTCTTCGATCTTCGTTGTGAAGTCTGAACGACGGCAGTACGGGTCAAGTCCTCGCGTCGGTGGAGCTTCGTCTGGTCTTCGGGAGTCTGCCTGGAGTCCCAGTCTTCGCCTCGGACGTGTGAACGGTCTGGATCTGGAATTGTGTCGTGTGAACGGTGCGCTCGGCGCCGCTGTGGGATTGGAGAACGGTACCGCATTTCGCATGTAGAGAAACACATCCATGTCATAGGTTTAGGTTAATTACTGCACTCGAGCCTAAAAACAATGTAAAACCCAAAAACTGGGTCACGCGATCATTTTGTACACAAAATTGGCAAGATGGTTGGCCTAGTCATGCAGATGGCGCGGAGCGATCTCCTCTAGGATGGCGCTTAAGCTAGCAACAAGTCTAGGCGCCATCTACAGCTATGTTGCACAGGAACCACACCACTTAACAAATTATCTACAGCGTTGCTTCTTCTACTACCATCGCTGCAGCAGCCGTGTTGTGCGCTCTTTCGAGCTTGCGCGTTGTGGTTTAACCTCGTGCTCCCCATATCCCGCACTCAGGCGCGCCTCAACTGGGCCCACACCAGGCGCGGCTACTAACTATCACTCCGACGAGGCGTATGCCTCCAAGCGCGCGGGGAGGGGGCAGCGCGACGTTGGCGAGCGGTGCGCAGCTCTTCCCCTCTGCCTTCGCGCGCTTGGAACTGGTGGCTCAATGTGAATGCAAAAATGCGCAAAATTAGGGGTGTATCTCTCTACATGCGATCCCACGGACTTTTCTCTCGCATCTCTGATTGGTCTAAATAAAGGTGTATCTCTTAAACCGCTGTAGCGCTCTACATGCGAAATGCGGTACGCGAAGTACCCCCACTGGTCAAGGTCAAGAAGGTCAAGAAGAGAACGGTCGGAGTCCTTAACGGCCAAGGTCAAGGTCACGTCAACGGTGAACGGGACGCTCGATTCCGCCGGTAATTCTGGTCGACTCGCTCGGAGCCTGAAGTAGTTTGAAGTATGGAAGTTTGAAGTTTGGAGATTGGAGTTTGTTTCGCGCGTTCAAGTGAAGAAGATCGCGTGCTGAAGGTCGAGTGAAGAAGACTTTCTGAAGAAGATGACGGTTGTTGGAGAGCAAGGAGAGAATGGGGATCAGCGGTCCGTGCAAGATAAAGTGGCACGGTTGGAAGCTGAACGGTCGCGGTGGGACCACGTCGGCTCTACTGGGGCAGCGACGCCCGCGATCGTCCGGAGATGCGAGCGGAGTGGACGCGACGGCGCAGGTAGCTACTGCTGCCGGTCGTGACTCGCTTCGCCAGGAAACGAGGGAGGCTCTTTGGGCCGATGAAGACGATGATGAACACAAGACCGCAGATGAACACGGTGATGCGGTCGGGGTTCAAGCAGAACAAGAGCTCGAGATGAAGATGGCTCCATCGCCGGGCCCTGAGGCCGTGCAAACGGTCGAGGAAGACGGTGAGGATGCCGAATTTGATGAAACGGAACAGTACTGGTCGGCGGAAGACTACGGCTACAGTGAATTCGCTGAGTACGAACCGTCCTACTACACGGACTACGTGAAGGAAGAACCTGAAGAAGTGCAGCAGCAGAGGACCCCGAGTGGCTTCATCCCGATGTACACGGGAACGGAGAAGCGTCTGCCTGGAGGCCCTGTATTTGGCTGGAGCGTCGGTGCCCAGCAAGGAGGCTACGGTGGCTGGGGAACGGTGCCGAAGCCCACGGTGAAGATGGAACGGAAGGTGAAAGTGGATCCTACAGTGAAGTCCCAACCTATGAGACCGGTGAAGACCCAACCGACGGGACCGGTGAAGACAGTCGTGCACAACAAAGCACCTGTCAGAACTGCGGTGAGTGCCTCAACGAACGGACGGCCGATGCCTACCCAAGCTCGGAACGGTGGCTACCGTGCCCACATGAACAACCCGACCGTTCGGAACGACCGTGACTTGTCGTCTATGGTCTCCAATGCGATCAAGGTCCTACCTGCTTTTCTACTCGGACACGGCCAGCATGGACAAGGCGCGTGACTTCTGGGAGCTGTTCGAAGCTCACACCAGCCACCTCCCGGACCAGTCTCGGCTGTTAGTGTTCCGACAGCGGATCAAAGGCTCTGAAGCTGAACGGTGGTGGAACAACTCGACTATCAAGACGTTCGCGACTCTGAAGGTCCGATTCCACAACCTGTTCCTCAGCCGAACGGCTGACCAGCTCTGGGAACGGTTGCAGTCCGCTCACCGTGAGCTAGGCGAATCCGTTGAGGAGTGGGGTGACCGTGTGACGGATCTTTGTGACTCGTTGGACTATCCGAACAGGAAGATGAGATATCAGCTGTTCCGTCGCGGACTCCGAAACAAGCGCATATTGGCATGTCTCGACTCGGGACCGGCGCACAACATTCCGGAGGCCTGGGAATGGCTATTGGCCAAGGAGATGTCACGTCCCATTGAAGAAGACGACGAGTTCTCGGACGAGAAGAAGAAGTCGAGCGGGAGCGTTGCCTCGCCCGCGAACGATCCGATGGCGGCTGTGGGCGTGTGTCGCGAGTCACCCTGGAAGGGACGGCTGCCGCTGCGAAAATGAAGTAGGCCGGTACGGACAGGTAAGGAACGGTATGAAATACAACAGAGTCAAATGCAAAGATTCAACTTGTTGTTTCCACGGCAAATTCACGACTGACCAACCTACCCGGCACGGAGCACTTCGCCCCGCGCTCTCTCTTGCTTCTCTTCAACTTGAGCGTCGACACACCGCCGCCCCCGACCCCATGGTCACCTCCTTTCACCCCTCCGCCCTTGGCTCACGTCAAGGCTCACGCCCCGAGCCACGCAGCGCTCGTGACCTCCATCCTGTCTCCTCACGTCACCGCCTACGCGCGGAACACACCACTGCTTCCATCACGACTCTTCGTCCACGCAAATGGCCCGCCGCCAGCTAATCCTCGTAAAGTCCGATGACTGCTCAGTCAGCTGATCCTCGAACAGCTGATCCTCGAGTAGTAGTCCACGCGCTGATTGACAGGCTGCCGGAGGACGGCCGCGACCGTACCTGAGACGGTGACCACAGTTCCCACTCGGCACATCCTCCCCGACTGAGACTCGACGTTCCCGTCGAGCGTCCTCCTCCTCCTTGTCTGCCTTCATCTTCGCGCGCAGGACACGCTGCTCCGCCCTCAGCCCGCTCAGGGTACGCACCGGCTTCGGTTTCCCGACGCACCCGTCCCCACGCCAGAATGCTTCACTCAGGCGTTCGGCTTGCTGCAATTCCTCGACGTCTCGTAGGTGAACGCACTCCTGACGCCGCCTCGTAGCATGGCTGGCGACCCCAGTCGTTGCCAGCACGCAGCTCCACTGCATCACGGCTGCATCAGGGCTCAACCCACCGTCGGCTGTCAGCCCACCGTCCGCCAACATGTAGTTCAGGGTCAGGAGTAGCACGCCCACACCCACCACACTTTCTCGGCCAAGTCATACACGTAGATGACAGTGTAGAACACGGCATACGTCGCCAGCGTTAGGAACGCCCAAAATCCACGGCCCACGCAGCAGGCACGGTCGACCGAGCGCCGACACTCGGCCCTCGATCCGCGCCAGTACTTCACGGTAGACTCGCCACCCAGCTCGAGCACGTCGGGCAGGAACACACACCACAGAGCGTGGTAAGCATCCAGCCACTTGTACAGTAGCCGGCCTAAGCCATCCTTATGTTCACCTCGGGCCTCGAGCACCACCATGGGCGTGGCCCAGATTGCCTCAAACGCCTTCCATCGATGCTCCGCGGACGGTCTGCCTTGCACAGACGGACCGTTCACGAAGCGACGGTACCGTCTTACGCATACCTTAACAGTGTCAGCCATTTGAACACAAAGCCGAACACGGCCCCGATCAATCGCCCCGCAATGCTCCACAAGGGCCTCGTGATCACGCCGCCCACCGCACCAATCAGCACCAGCAATACGGCCGGCCAGTGGTTGCGCAGCACGCACCACACAATCTTCCACACAAACAGGGAGTGCCACAGGCACCACTCGACAACGCCCGTCACGGTTTTCATGTCCGTCATGGAGACAAAAGCGAAATGCCCTCGCCGCAGTTTGCTCCTCACGGTCGTCCACAGCACTCCACGTTCGCAACCATCCTCGTAAGTGTCCAACCGTAACGGGTAACCCACCGTCGCCAGTCTCGTCAATCAACTAGTCAATCACTCGACCGTCTCACGCCAACCGTGCCTCTCCCATTTTCAGGAAGGGAAATCCGCAGCCAAACGTCCCAACTGCCAGGTCGGAACGCATCAGCAGAGGCCGCGGCAACTCGCAGTCTTGCCCTCATTTCAGCTTTCGCCGAGAAGAGAACAAGACTCCCAAGAAGCCTCAGCCACCACCTTCCGCCATGGCCAAGTCGCGAGATGTCAACAAGGAGGCCGTCATACGACGGCTGCGCGCACGCCTCGATCGCCGGTCCCGTGGCGCGGACGCTGAAGCTGATGCCCCGCTCCGTGCCCAAGTGGACTTCTACGTCCGCCTGCGCGCTGCGCTCTTCGCCAACAGCGGCTCCACGAACATGGACGCCGTGGACGCCGTCGCCGTCGCCGTCTTGGCCGACGACACGCTCTTTCCCGTCGAGCTACTAGAGACCGAGACCCTGCCGCCGCTGCCTGACTCGCTGCACGTCGTCGCTGCGCCCCCGCATGACCTGTTCACCGTACCCGCGCCGCAGACACGCTCGTCTGGCAAGCGACCGACCACTAGGAGCGCCTCCAAACCCCCTCCGTCCAAGATGCAGCGCAAGTCCAGGGCCCAGTACCAAGACGAAGACGACGCAGACGACGCAGACGACGAGGAGGGTGCCCCCGAGGGCGACGGCGCGGAGGAGTACGAGTTTCCGCTGCCCGCCAAGTGCCCGGCCACCATCCGTCGCGACATCTCCAAGATCATCAAGCAGGCGGGCACCCAGGGCAAGACTCCTCCGCGTATGGCGTACCCGTGGACCGGTCAGCGTGTCTGGCATGACCCTCAGGAGCACCCTGCGCTGCACGTGGCGCACTGGCGCTTCTGGATGCACTGGCGCGACGTCTTCTTCGCCTGCGCGCTGTACGCGCCTTCTGACGAGTGCAACGCCCGCCGCAAGAAGAAGTCGAACGTCGGCCAGGCACGGCTCGCCTTCATCAGCCTGAACATCGTCGAGCTCGGCTTCTACGACTTTCTGGACGTCTTCGACCTCGCCACACTGTTCCGCAACGACCGTGGCCGCTACGACACCATCATCGCCTGCCCTTGATCCGTACCGTGTGGACGAGGACGGATACCAGTCCATCTCCGATCTCCTCGAGCAGACGGACGCGCTGAACCCGACCAAGCCAGCGCACCTTCGCCTCAGCGACGAAGCCCTCGCCCGCGTCGTCATCGACATCACCGGCGGCAGCCCGCCCAACCCGTCGTGGGTCGGCAACAAGAGCGCCGGCACCCGGAAGGTTCTGCTGGGGGACGCTCGCATCCGAGCCCTCGCCAAGAAGCTCAAGCCGCTCGTGAAGAAGGGCAAGCAACCGTTCCCTGCCCAGGAGGCGTACGACGAGGACAAGGAGTAGCGCGACAACTACTCGGACTTCGAGGACGACGAAGACATGTTCACGGTGCTGCCCCCGACGCCAGATCTCGACGAGGAGGACGACGGCGAGCCCGACGAGTTGGACGAACATCTGCCCGAGACCGAGGCCGACCAAGATCAGGATGACGACGAAGAGCAAGACGACCACGAGGTCGACGAAGACCGCAGTTCGGGCGCCAACGACCCCACGGACGACGACAAGAAGAGTAGCGTCGGCGACGAGGGCGACGACACTTCGTCCAAGAAGAGTGCTGCTCCTCCGGCTTCTCCCAAGTCCAAGTAAGCCGCAGCCGTCATTAGGGACGCGACACCAGTCGTTCATTTTTCTTTCTGCAAATCTGCTAGCGTCCCTCCAATAATTCAAATTCAAAACACGTAATTCCTTTTCCACCTATCTGTTCTTGAGTTCCAAGTGACCGTACCCTCGCCGTACACGACCGTCCCTTGGGACACGAACAACACCCCTTCCGACGCTGCTAAGCCATGAAAAGGTCTTCGTCTTCCACTTCAGCGTTAGCCTCTTCCAAACGGGAACTCCTCCGTAGCTCAGGCAGGCGCTGCTTCCTCCGTTCGGCTTGCTCAAAAGCCGTCACTAAGTCGCTGTACTCGGGCATTAACTCGGCCCGAGGAATCCAGTGACTCTCAAAATTCGCCGTAAGCACCAGGTACTTCACAGCACGGTCGACCACTTGTTTTGCAACAATCTCCAGCAGCGGCGAAGTAACCCCCGTGAGGGCCGTATCCCCGCGACCTATGGTCACCCGTTCCGCGAAACGGGATGCCGGTAAATCCGCTTCCTCCAGCGGACCGTCTTCAACTTCATCACCGCCCTCCACAATACCTTCCGGCACCTCGTCCATGTAGGGCCGAGTCCACCGGCCACGGAACTTCTTCAACCGGTTGACGTTCACCGTGACGATCTTGTCTGGATGCGACGGTATGTCGATCCGATAGGCGTTTTCGCCCACTCGACCAACGACACGGTACGGACCATGCCAAGCAAAGGCCAACTTCTTCGTCCTCGCCTCGCCCCTCTTGTTCCTGAAGAGTTGATAGACCCAAACAGGATCACCGATCTCGTACTGCACAGCCACGCGATCGCCCAGTCGCTGCTCATGTCGGTCCTGCGCCTTCAGGAGCTGCCTCTCGACCAGGTGACGCGAGTCGCGCAAGGTACGGTAGAGCTCGCGACGGTACGCTGCTACCTCATTGCTCTTCCACTTCTTGCCCAGGTTCAGGAATGCGACGTCCAGCGGCAAAACCGGATCGTGCCCGTAGAGAGAAAAGAAGGGCAAGTCGCCCAACGCTTCATGGTAGGACGTCCTGTAGGCGAATAACACCCTCGGCAAATATAGATCCCAATCCGTCTGAGCCTCACTCACGTGCATTTTCAGTGTGGCGCGGCGCCTATCCCAAATCCCGCGAGTGGAAACTTTCCCGGACTTCAATGTCTCATCTTCGGCTCAGAGTATTTTTTACGATCGCTGATTGGTTCGGACGGGTGTGCCAAAATGTTGGTACAATCTCAAGGTCTGCAGAATCCCGGAGTTTCGAGGTCTGGTCTACAAAACAAGAGCATGTTTTCGGGTACCCGGCACCCCTGAAAAAGGGCATTGCTGCGGTTAAGTTGATCCCGTTCCCTGAAGCACATGGGAATGCGTGCGATCCTTCCCTGAATCCTGTAATAAGGTGGAGTTCGGCACGAGTTATCGACCGGTATTCGGGGTGCTTTCCGGATTGCCCAAGATATTCTCAAGATTGCCACTCTATGGAGCCTGCTATCCCGGACTTGCTTCCCACAAAACTCGAGAAGGCCTTCAACCAAGGTTCCTCCCAGACCTAGACTCAAGAATCACGGGAATCCCAAGACTCTCGCGATGATCTCATATCATCTCAAGATCTGAGGTTTACCCACGACGGCGACCCTTCAAGCTTCGATAAAAATCAGGACCAACACTCTGGAGAAAGATCCAGTAGTCAACCCAGAGACCAGGCGTCGCTGGAAAGATCGTCTTTGCATGTAGCCTTTAACCAAAACAGAGTTCGTTTTTCCCTCAAGTGCCGAAGTCGTGTTGAGCCGAAGCCCTGAGAGCGTTCTCCACCAAAAATTCAAAGTTCTTTAGGTAAGGGATCCATTGCGAAAGCCTGGGCGTGAACTTATCTATTTCATATTCTGCACATACGCCGTGTTGGCTTGGTGTGTTATATATTGCGGGAGTAAGCGTATAGTGAGGCTCCTAAGAGTGAGTTGTATCGGTATTAGGCTGTATAGGTCGATATTTGATTGAATTGCTGTTCTCCTCTTAGAGGAGTGGTGCGCGTCCACAAGACTGTCCAAGTGTCTTGGGTTTGGACCCGAAGACTTGGAGATTTGACCTTAGCCCTGGGCCTAGAGAAAGAAGAGAGGACAAGAGGTATCTGTGTGATTGTATATTGTGTTTAACTCTGTATATTTGGATTGAAGTGTTTGTTGGCGTTGACTGGTGTGGATTCGTGAGTCGCGGGGTTGATGCTAATCGCCGATCAAAAGAACCAACCACAAGGGGATACACAAGCGTACGCCTGACCAGCGGTGTGCTGATATTTCTCAAGCAGCTCACTGCGTGGACGATCCTAGCTCTCTAGCTCGTGGTCGTCTGCATATCGAGTCACATTCTCAAGACTTGCTTTTGCTCTACCGATCACAAAAGGCACTCGCGCCTCGTCACATCAGCATGTCCATGAGCGTCCCATTGAAGCGCTCAACCAGTCCTTGAGTCTGCGGATGGTACGCTAAACCGTACAGCTTTTTAATCCCCAGCGTCTGGTAGAAGGACTTCGCAATCTCCGACGTGAAGTTTCGTCCATTGTCACTCGGCAATCGTGACGGCACCCCGTGCCTCGCCACCACTCCATTCACCATTACTTCCACGAAGGTCACCGAATCCAGGCGAAGAACATCAAAGTCCTCGGTCCATCTCGTAAAGTAGTCGACAAATACAAGGATATACTTGTTCCTTCTCTCCGTCACGGGTAACGGTCCCACGGCGTCCACCACCAGCATCGAGAAAGGACCCGAGAGATCCGCCACCGGCATTCGCTGCATCTGGCCGGCCTGCCACGGTCTCGGCCCCTTCCCACTGCCACATCGTGTACACTCGCGGACATACTCCGTGACGTCCTTCCTCCAGCCAGGCCAGAAAGCGTGCTTCCTCACTTTCTCGAGCGTCTTTGTCAGACCCAACTGCGAGGATAGTACGCCAGCGTGACAGTAGTGTAGAACGGTTTCCACATACGGCACAGGCACTACCGGGACGGTCAGGGACCGGGCAGGCCCGACCCGAGCCGGTAAGTGCACCTTCCTCATCAGTAAACCGTTCCGAACCACGTATCGAGACCGCATCCTCACAATCGTAGACCGGAGGAACGGATCCAAGGGTAGGGCTCCGTCCAGCAGAAACGCCACCAGCGCCTTCACCCACGGAACCTCTTGCTGCGCTTGTATATACTGGTCGAAGTCGAGACCGAACCGGTCCACAGGAGTTAGAGGGGCACTCCCAGCGGGAGTGTCACTCACGGCTTCATTAGGCTGGTCAGGACACTCGTCGTCGACACGACCACCGGCACGCTCGCCACCTATACCAGGACCGTCGTCGGCCCCCGCTTGCTCCCCGACTGAAGTCGGAAGCACGTCCTCGACCGTGCCTTCCGGGTTCAGCAAGTCACTCATCGAGAGAGCCGCCACCGTGTCCATAGGTAGTCTAGATATACCGTCCACGCGCCCCATAGAGGTACCAGACTTGTGATGCACCTTAAACAGCAAATTAGAGAGTTCCATTGCCCACCGAGCCAGCTTAGCGTTCGTAGTACGGCTGCCAGGATTAAACACCCACGTCAGCGCCCGGTGATCCGTGTATAAGTCGAACTCACGCTTGTCGAGATAACATCGGAACTTCCTGGTCGCCCAGACGACCCCCCCCCCCAACACTCGATCTCGGAGATGCCGTCCTGCTTCGTGATCCAGTTCTTCTGAGACCCGGTCAACAACTTGCTCGCGTACGCCACCACACGGTTACGACCGCCCACTTCCTGCATGAGGCACGCTCCAACCGCGTACCGTGACGAGTCAACGTACAACTTGAACCGCTTGTTACCGTCCGGATATACTAGGATAGGAGGCTTCATTAGGGCCCTCTTCAGTTGACGAAAAGCACCTACACCGTCCTCGCTCCACTCGAACGGAGCGTCCTTGACCTTCCAGCGTTCCAAGGGCGCTGAAATAGAAGCGTACCCCGAAATGTAGCGACGGAAGTAGCTGGTCAATCCAAGGAACGACAGTATGCCGTGCACGTCCACAGGCCTCTTCACGTTCAGGACCGCTTTTACCTTCTCGGGATTGGGTAGGATACCCGTAGGCGTGACAATATGACCCAAAAAGGCAACTTGACTTCTTCCCCAATGGCAATTTTTCATCTTGAGCTTGAAGCCCGCTTGCTGGAAGCGAGTCAGCACTTGACGAACACGCACCAGATGCGTAGAGACGTCCTTGCTGAAAATCACACAGACGTCGAGATAGACCAGGCAGATACGCCATTTTAGATACACTAACACGGTCTCCATGAAACGCTCGAACGCGGGGACAGCGTTACAGAGTCCAAATGGCATCACTAGCCACTCGTACAGACCGTACTTGCATGTGAATGCCGTCTTGGACGCGTTGTCCGGATGCATGGGCACGGTCCAGTAGCCAGAAGCGATATCAATCGTCGAAAACAGTTGAGCGTCGCACAACACGTCCAGAATATCATCAATCAACGGCATGGGGTAACCGTCCTTCACCGTTACCGCGTTCAACTTATGGTAGTTGATGCAGAACCGTATCCCACCGTCCGGCTTCCGAATCATCAGGACAGGGCTCGCCCACGGACTGTTCGAAGGATGGATCAAATTCAACTCCAGGTACTGTTGGATCTCTGCCTCCATAATCTCTCCTTCAGCCAACGAGACATGGTACGGTGCATGCTTGATCGGCGCGCTGCTGCCGGCGTCAATCTCGAACTGTAGCAGGTCCGTACGTCCCGGCTTCTTCGAGGACTCCACGAACATCGAGCGGAAGCCGTCCAGCTCAGTCTGGAAGAGCTCCTTTTGCTCGGAGGACAACTTGGACTCGGAGAAGTCGGCCTTTATGCCGTCCGACTTGTCGGGCGGAATGTCGGGCTTCGAGGCCTTCACCTTCTCGCCGACGCCCTCCTCACGCTTTTCCGGCACGGACATCGCACTCGCCCCGCCCGAATCATCGCTTTCAGCGGGAACCGTTCCACCCGGCGCCGTCGTTGCCGGCTCAAAAGCAGACTCGGGGATCACGGACGTGCTCGCAACGACCGTCCCCTTCCGAATCCAGTATTCGTCCGTGGATGCATTGCACACCTCGACGATCACTCGGCCGTCCTCCACCGTACACAGCGTTCTCGCTACGCACAGCGTAGGCGGCAGGCCCAACGAGCCTTTGACCAGCACAATGGCCTTATCGGCCACGTCCCCCACCACTCGAGCTCTCACAAGAGCCTGTCCTCGGGGAGGGAGCCACACCGACGTCGCCATCGCCGCCATGTAGGACTCTTGTACCATCGTAAAGCCCGGAGGTAGCACCTCGCCGGAGCTCTTCAGTGTCAGGGAGCGCTCCGCCACGTCAATCACGGCGCCGAACGCGCCTAAAGCGTCAACTCCCAGAATCGCGTCGACATGCAGCTTGTCGGCCACCAACACGCTCAGCGAAATCTCCACCGACCCAAGCCGGAACGACAAGCTGATCCAGCCGCGGATCCGAAGCTTGTGTCCCGACGAGCTCCTGACCAGCCCTTCGTAAGGGTCCAGAGGCTCAGAGGACCGCCCCAGTCGCTTCAGCACGCAACGGTCAACGAGACTTAAGGTAGAGCCGGTATCGGCCAACATTTGAGACGGTAAACAGTCAATATAACCACTTGGAAGTGCCTCAAAGTTGCCAATCGCGCACACCACCCTTCGTCCGTCTTCCACGACACGGTGCACACAGTCTTCAGCGTCCTCATCATCATAGACTCCGAAACCATTCGGTAGGTTCACCGAGACAACGTCCACCAGGCCAGTCTTCGGCAGTGGCGTCCGAGCGGGACGTTCACACCTCATCACCTCGACGTAGTGTGAAGCGTTCTCGTCACGCTCAGGGAAAAGCTCCAAGTCGTCGATCAACTCGGCATACGGCTTGTAAAGCGACGAAAAATCAAACGTGACCGCCTTGTCGGGGCGACGGCGACGGCGACGTCTAGCACTCGGCGTCTTAGACCGCCCCGTACGGGTCCACAGCTCCAACCAAATCCTTCGAGAGTTGTTGTCGTAGTAGGTCCTGATTCAGGAACATAAGCGCTCACCAGATCGAGCCGTCACGCTCCTCAACTCCTTGACACGGTCGACGTGCTTCAGGAGCAGCTCTTTATCGTACTCAGGAACCTTGTCCCGCAGCGGAGGGACTCCCACCGTCGTCGGGAGGTCTCCGCACCTCACGCACCCGGCCTCCATAGTTTCTAGCCTCCTTCAGGAAGCGGAACACAGCTTGCCTTGCCACCGCACGCGCGACCTTCGGGTCCACGCCTCGCACTTCACTCAAGATAGGCACCGCTTTGGTCACCGCAAGGGTCCCACTAGGATCACCCGGCGGACGCACGACGTTCTCGGCCACGACAGACTCGGCGGCCACCTGCATCTCCGCCGAGACGCTCGCGACGTCACTTGGTGACACGATCTCCAAACCTCTCGCGACGCAGGCAGCCAGAGGCGCCTCCTTCGGGTCGGCGACAGCCTCCGACGGAGAGCCGTAGACCACGCTAACCACGGGGCTCCGGAAGTCGCGGTTCGCACGCTTGGCCTCCTCGGACTTGTCGAGCATGTCCTCGAACCAGCCTTGCCAGTGCTCGGGCGAACCGTGCAAGTCAGAGGACGCCTGGTGCGTCCGTTCCACCACCTCCAGCGAGATCCCGAGGATGCGAGCCAACTCTTCCGACGACGGCTCGACTTAAGCCTCAGCATTTCGAGCGACACGCTACAGGAGCTCCACCTCGTCCAGCGGGTACAGTCGGTCCTCGAGCTCCTTGTCATACTCTTCGGGCTCGGGGACGACGTCCGTACCGGCGAGGATGGAAGCCTCCTGGCCCGGTTCACCGTTCTCCATCGCCGTGAGCTCATCGTCCGAGAACAGACGGTCATTACCAGATACGGTTGTCGCCTCCGGCGGGACCGCACCGTCCTCAGCAGCCTCTGCAAGTACGTCTTCTCCCTTCGTCCAGGCCGAGAACAAGCAGTCCGACAAGTCGTACCCTTTGTCATCTAGGGCATACGGCGGCGGCGCGTTGGCGAACGGCGTCGGCACCTCCTCCATATCCTCCTCCTCCTCCAGTCCCGACCCATACGGCGGCGGCGCGACCGCGAACGGCGACGGTACCTCCGGCAACTCTTCCGGGTCCTTCTTCTCGCTCGGCAACTCGGGCGCGTTCGCCACGGTCGGCTCGGCCTTCAACTCGGTCGGCTCGGCCTCCTCTACTCCACCGGTCTTCACGTCGGCCGCCAAGGCGATCGACCCTCCCACCGCGACGGTCGTGTCAGCGGCAGCCGCCGAGATGGCTAAGTTCTCGTTGACCGTATCGTATTCCAAGTCGCCGACCTTCACCGCGAGATCCCCCCCCCCTCATCACCCGTACTAACCACAATAAATTCAGCTTTTTTTCTCGTTTTTGTCCTTGTTTTCTCCATACGAAACTTCATCCAGGGCTGATACCGTTCCGTCCGGCTCCGCCAATACACTCATGCATACATCCACCTTCGAGACCGTCTCCTCCACTTCGTCACGGTCACGATCCTCACCCTCCGAGTCATCCAATAGACAAGAGGAAGGAGTGACTCTCTCCTCCCCTTCCTTCCGCCCTCATCATTGAGGCGGAGAAGTCTGCGCAGCTTCTTGCAGACTCACGGCCAGACCTCGGAGCGCCGCCACTTCGGGGCATCCCGCGAACGAGTGACCGTCCTCCTTGCAAAACCCGCACTTCACTGGCCCTCGGCCACTGTTCCTAGCCACGGGAGCCTGACCACCGGTCCGGCCGCGACTGGGCCCGTCCTCGCATTCCACGGCGATGTGTCCAAGTTCTCCACACTGGTTGCGTATCATCACTTGTCGACAAGTCTCGCGTGAATGGCCCACGTAGCCACACCGTCCGCACACGGGCGCTCCTTCTTGCGTCCGTGAATCAGCACCCATACGAATCCCTCGCGGCCGACCGTTCCCGGGTGGAGCGTTCCCGCCCGAGCCTGGACTCGAAGTCGTGGCCGACACATTCGGCATGCGATTCCTTGGCGAGCGCGGCGGCTGCCACTGATTCCGCATCATCTGCTGCTGCCACTGCTGCTGCTGGGTCATGAACGAGGTCATCGTCTCAGCGAGCTTGGTCAGCTTCGTCGAGGTCTCGGAAGCGGCCGCCGTCGCCAGGCTCGAGGCCGAGCCCGCCCCCTTCTTGTCTTCGAGGAAATCGTCTTCTTCTTCTATGGGACGGGACATTTCCTTGGCCAGCAGCCACTCACAAGCCTCGGGAATGTCTCGTGCCGGGCCCGAGACGAGCGTGGCGAGCATACGCTTGTTGCGCAGCCCGCATCGGAACAACTGGTACCTCATCGGGTAATCCCCAAAATACAGAGTGCTGGGGAAACTTTTGACATTTTCAACCTTTTGCGACCAAACACGGAGTTGTGGGAAAACATATTCCCAAGACCAGCCTGTAGAATCGTAGAGGTAGCCTTCACTGTAGAAAACACCAGAGACTCAAGAGCCCACGTGCTGGTGCACGCCGCTCCGGACGCGCCGCTGGAGAAGACGCTGGCAGTCGCCGCCATCATGGACGGCACACCCTCCGGTGCCTTGCTGTCCACGACCGTGCTGCTGCAGTAGGAGGGCGTGGTGCGCTCGAACCTCGGCCCTGACACTGACACCAGGGACTCGCTGGACTCGCCAACCGTGGCCTCCCTGGGCGAGCTACTGGTCACCAATGGCTCGCTGCGCCCGACGACTGTGAGCGAGCTGCTGGCCACCAGCGCCCGACGACCGTGGGCGAGCTGCTGATCTCGCTGGACTCGCCGACCGTGGCCTCCCTGGGCGAGCTGCTGGCCACCAAGACGCTTGTAGCTACAGGAGACAAAGGGCGTGGTGAAGACGACTTCCATGGCCATTGTAGGCGCGCTGGACACCGAAGGCGAGCTGCTGGAGACCAAGGACGTGCTGGACCCGAAGCCCATGGCCCTCGTGGACGAGCTACCGAAGACCAAGAGCACGGTCAACCTGCTGTTCATCAAGCGTGTGAAGCGCGGGACGCCCGTGGCCGAGCTGTGGTACATCGAGGGCACGGCCGAGTCGCCACTGCACATGAGTAGTTGGGTGTAGTTCGAGATGCATTATGACGGCTAATTGATATGCAATATATTATCCGAGAACTCGAATTGTTTGTATTCCTCGCACGGCCTACGCCTACTTACCGCATGTGTCCTTGCCGGTTACACTTGGTGCAGGTCATTTTTCGCTTCGCCCTGCCAACACTCTGCGTCGTATCTCCACTGCTAGGATACTGTCGCTGCTTGTTGCGACCAGGATTCTGATTCAGTTTCGGGGGCAGATCGTCCTTGTTAACGGCTAGTTCTTCGTCCAGCACAAGTTCGATGGGGCTTCGCGCGTTAGATCCATGTAGCACCTGGAAGGAATCGAGTTTGAAGCAGTCATCTACTACGTCAAACATTTCGGAAGAGCGGTTGAAATGATGCAAAGCCGCTATGTAGTGGCGACAAGGAATTCCCTGTTGGTCGTAGTCGTTGCAACTGCAAGATCGAGCAGTAATATTAACTCGCCGTGTTCGCGCAGGATAGCCACGGAGGTTCTCCACAAAACCCACGTCACCATCGGATGGTCGGACTTTGTAGTAGACTTAAAGCTCTTGTTGCTTCTTAATTTTGGTGTGTGCTCTGTGGGTCAAGCTCGCCTCCTTTTTTATCCACTCTGCGGCTAGTTGTTGGTGTTTGTACTCGCTATCCATAATTTGCTTCATAAAGAACGAGAAAAACCCAAAGGGCAACAGGAGGCGAGGTGCCAGGGAAGCCGCATTCTGCGATTCGACAAAGTTTGTTGTACGCCATCCGTACAGTCGGTTTGACCTGAGAGCTGGGTACAAAACCCACTTGCTGGGGTCAATGCCTTCGATGTAGTCTGCAATGTTGGGCTGTGTCAGTCTTAAACAGTCAAGGCGTGACTTGTATACTTCAGGGCTAGAAGCTGCTTGCAGTCCGTAAAGTACCTTGGCCATATCAACGGGGCACTGACCCTTGAACATCTTGTTTATATTCTGTAGAATATGTCTGGTGCAGAAGCGAACGTTTTTGTATCCAAGAGTGTGGAACGCTGCAAGAATGCCAGTACCTCTGTCTGAAAAAAATGTTAGCTTTCTAAGAGGGACACGTAGACAGCAGAGAACGTAGGCGGTGAAATCCGTTCTCCACAGTCCCAAACAGATCGTCAAGAATCAACTGCTTGCCACGGTAGGCCTCCTTCAAAGGTATGTCCGCGCCCGATAGGGCCTTCACCTGATCCACAATCGTGCGCCCCGACACATTAGGGTCCGATGCCACCGATGTACGAATCGATTCCATAGATCGCAGTTGCGATGCCGCAATTTTAGACCGGCCGCTGCACATGTTGTGTTCAAGGTTGCATTTGCTAATGCGATAACCCCGCTGAGAATTGGACTGTGCACGGCACGCAGCAACCTCAAAACGACAGAGGTCACCTCCTTTGCACTGGTAGCGAAGTTAGGCTCCTCCAGCAGCAGTTGGATCCAGACGCACAGATTTCCCTGTACTTGAGGCAAAAGACTTAATTGCCTTGGCACAAGCACGTTGAGAACCAAACCACTGGCCGACCGATATGAAAGATGTATCACCTGCACTGTTTACACCGTCAAAACCTTCCATCGCCGGGAAAACAACCCGAGCTACCCTCAGATGATTTCACCATTTTTGCTTTTGAAAACAATGGCAAAGCGACTTGAACACTGGACATTTCTAGAAATGGAATTGCTATATTTACCTACACGCACCGTTGTGCCCTCGAGGTACCCCAGCGCGGCCACGGGCGACCCGCGCTTCACGCGCTTGATGTACAGCAGCTTGACCGCGCCGTTGGTCGTCCACGGGGGCCATGGGCTTCGGGTCCAGCACGTCCTTGGTCTCCAGCAGCTCGCCTTCGGTGTCCAGCGTGCCTACAATGGCCACGGAAGTCGTCTTCACCACGCCCTTTGTCTCCTGTAGCCACCTGCGTCTTAGTGGCCAGCAGCTCGCCCAGGGAGGCCACGGTCGGCGAGTCCAGCGAGATCAGCAGCTCGCCCACGGTCGTCGGGCGCTGGTGGCCAGCAGCTCGCTCACAGTCGTCGGGCGCAGCGTGCCATTGGTGACCAGTAGCTCGCCCAGGGAGGCCACGGTTGGCGAGTCCAGCGAGTCCCTGGTGTCAGTGTCAGGGCCGAGGTTCGAGCGCACCACGCCCTCCTACTGCAGCAGCACGGTCGTGGACAGCAAGGCACCGGAGGGTGTGCCGTCCATGATGGCGGCGACTGCCAGCGTCTTCTCCAGCGGCGCGTCCGGAGCGGCGTGCACCAGCACGTGGGCTCTTGAGTCTCTGGTGTTTTCTACAGTGAAGGCTACCTCTACGATTCTACAGGCTGGTCTTGGGAATATGTTTTCCCACAACTCCGTGTTTGGTCGCAAAAGGTTGAAAATGTCAAAAGTTTCCCCAGCACTCCGTATTTTGGGAATTACCCTACCTCATCTGCGGGTTCGGATAGTCCAGCGAGTCGCAGAGGTCGGAGACGCGATCGCCCCACTCCTCCACGGACTCACCGCGTTCATGCTTCGTAGTCTGTAGCCGTTCCCACAGCTCATCAGCCGTTCTGCTCAGGAATTGGTTATGGAACCGTACTTTTAGCGTAGCGAAAGTCTTAATGGTAAAATTGTTCCACCACCGTTCCGCAGGACTGCCTTTGAGTTTCTGGTGAAACACCAGCAATCGCGACTGATCAGGCAGGTGGGCCGTGTGAGCTTCGAACAGCTCCCAGAAGTCACGAGCCTTCTCCATCGTCGCCGTGTCCGAGTAGAACACCGGCAACACCTTCATCACGTTGGACACCATTGATGACATGTCGTACGCGCTGCGAGCCGGGGACCACATAGTCGATACGCGGTTTGGTCCACCGAGGTTCACTGGGGTCGACTGTTTCTTGGCCGCCGGCGCCGCGCCCGGGGTCGGAGTCTTGGCAAGGAGTCACCGTCTTGCTCGGCTCTGCCTTGACTAGCTGTTTGACTTTCGGCTCACCGTGCTCCACCCACCGTAGGCGCCAGGCTGCGCCCCAACACTCCAACCGTACGAGGACGGGTTCGGCAACCGTCTCTCCGTCCCGGATAACCCCGGAATGAACCCGCTCGGGCTACGAGAGGGCACTTCCTCAGCTTTTTCCTTCACGTAGGACCTGTAGAACGGCCGCGAATGCGCCGTCTCGATCGGCACAGGATCGTCGTAGCCGAAACCACTCGACCAGTAGTGCACGGGCCTCGAGAACGCGCCTCTCGACTCTTCGGCGTCATCGTTCCGTAGCTCTCCGGGGCCGGGCACCGCCTCCTTCTCCTCGGGCTCTAGCTCCGCGGGGGCACCGTCTCCTTCACGCTCCTCATCAGCGTCCGTAAACTCACCTTCTTCTTCATCAGCCCAGAGATCTCCCATCATCTCTTGGCGCAGTTATTTACGACCGGCCGCACTCGTCACCTTGGCCGTCGTGCTCGTCCCGCTCCCGTCACCGGGCGACGTCGGCGTCGCTGACGTCCCACCAGTCCCCCTCGCCTTGCGAAGCCGTTCAGCCTCCAGGCGCGCCACTTCTTCTTGCACGGTCCGCTGCTCCGCGGACCCCTCACCTTCTCCAACTCCAGACATCTTCTCCAAACTGTAAACTCCAACCTTCAAACCTCAGGGGCTCCGAGCGAGCCGTAGACCAATTACAGGGGCTCCGAGCGAGCCAGCGACTAATTACACGGGTTCCGAGAGAGCCGTAGACCAATTCCAGAGGCACCGAGCGTGCCGTTCTTCACTTCACTTCCAGACAAGACCGTTCCACAAGTCTTACGCGGATGCCGAGACTCCTTGAAGACCCCAGGGACGAGCTCTCGATCGCGATTCCAACACGCTGCTGTCACCTCGCAAAGGCCAACGACTCTCGCCGCCCGACGTGTCCAGACTGTCCGACCCCCACATCACAGCGAAGCCGGTACCCTGCTTTTCCACCACGTGTCGCGAGTCGCCCTGGAAGGGATGGCTGCCGCTGCGAAAATGAAGTAGGACGGTACGGACAGGTAAGGAACGGTAGGAAATACAACAGAGTCAAATGCAAAGATTCAACTTGTTGTTTCCACGGCAAATTCACGACTGACCAACCTACCCGGCACGGAGCACTTCGCCCCGCGCTCTCTCTTGCTTCTCTTCAACTTGAGCGTCGACACACCGCCGCCCCCGACCCCATGGTCACCTCCTTTCACCCCTTCGCCCTTGGCTCGCATCAAGGCTCACGCCCCGAGCCACGCAGCGCTCGTGACCTCCATCCTATCTCCTCACGTCACCGCCTACGCGCGGAACACGCCACTGCTTCCATCACGACTCTTCGTCCACGGAAATGGCCCGCCGCCAGGTAATCCTCGCTAATGTCCGATGACTGCTCAGTCAGCTGATCCTCGAACAGCTGATCCTCGAGTAGTAGTCCACGCGCTGATTGACAGGCTGCCGGAGGACGGCCGCGACCGTACCCGAGACGGTGACAACCGTTCCCACTCGGGACACGTGGTTGCGGAGAAGATGACGACGTTCATGGCGCAGCAGCAGCAGTGGCAGCAGCAGATGATGCAGAACCGACTTCGAATCCTGGCGACGGAGTGAACGGTCATGGACCTCGTGGGAACGGTCGACCGGTCCGAGCAATCCGTATGGGAGCTGACAGTCGAACGCAAGAGGGAGCGCCTGTGTGTGGCCGGTGTGGCTACGTGGGTCACTCACGAGAGACCTGTCGCCGCCAGTCCATGACGTGCCACACTTGTGGCGTTCACGGTCATATCGCTGTGGAGTGTGAAGCGGGACCCAACAACTACCAACGCGGCCCTGAAACGGTTGGCCGGAACGGTGGTCGTGGCGTTACCAAGTGCGCGTTGCGAGGAAGAAGGTCACCTTATCGGTGCGTGTCCTGGCATTGTGGCACTCCGTGGTGCAGCCCAGGATCCGACTCCTTTGGGACGCCTGAGTACTGGCCAGATTCGTACGGTGATATGCTGGAGAAGTCGGAGGAAGCCAAGCGTGCGAACCGAGACTTCCGGACTCCGGTGGCGAATGTCGTCTATGGTGAACAAGCTGCGTCAAGTGGAACGGTGGGGAAGACCTCGGCGCGGTCAGGCGTCGACAACGATACCCGCAGCTCTGATGTCTCCTCCGAACGGTCGGATTCTGATGATGAAACGGTCACAAGCGTGGTTAACACGGTCGTCGAATCTTTCGTGTGCGAGAATGTCTTGCGCCCTCCCGATGATCCGGGAGGAACGGTCTCGGTGGAGGAAGGGATTCCTGTCCTAAGTGGAGTACAACGCGTCGATTCGAAGATCAAGAGAGCGATCGCGCGTCAAGCTGTGTTCCGGTTGCTGAAGGAAGCGTGTACTACGGAGGTCGAAACAACGGTCGTGAAGAAGTGCTGAACGGTGAAGGAGGAACGGTGGATGTTCCCCCGTTGTGTGGCAAGGAATTGTTCCAAGGAGAACTGAACGGTTTCCACAGCATGTTTGTGGACTCTTCTAAGAAGCCCGGACGGACGGATCTGTTGCAGTTCGAGATCGACACCGCTGACAGTGCTCCGATCAAGCAGCAGCCGTACCGTGTCTTGTTAGCTGAAGGTGAAGTCATGGAAGCGGAGATCCAGCAGTACTTGGAGCTGAACCTGATTCGACCCTCGAACAGTCCGTGGGCGAGCCCGGTCCTGATGATTCGGAAACCGGAGGTGGAATACGGTTCTGCATCAACTACCATAAGTTGAACGCGGTAACGGTGAAGGACGGTTACCCCATGCCGTTGATTGATGATATTCTGGACGTGTTGTGCGACGCTCAACTGTTTTCGACGATTGATATCGCTTCTGGCTACTGGACCGTGCCCATGCATCCGGACAACGCGTCCAAGACGGCATTCACATGCAAGTACGGTCTGTACGAGTGGCTAGTGATGCCATTTGGACTCTGTAACGCTGTCCCCGCGTTCGAGCGTTTCATGGAGACCGTGTTAGTGTATCTAAAATGGCGTATCTGCCTGGTCTATCTCGACGTCTGTGTGATTTTTAGCAAGGACTTCCCTTCCCATCTGGTCCGTGTGCGCCAAGTGCTGACTCGGTTCCAGCAGGCTGGATTCAAGCTCAAGATGAAGAAGTGTCACTGGGGGCGCAGTCAAGTAGCGTTCCTGGGGCACATCGTGACTCCTACTGGGATCCTGCCTAATCCCGAGAAGGTGAAGGGCGTGATGGACGTGAAGCGTCCAGTGGACGTGCATGGGATCCACTCTTTCCTGGGTCTGACGAGTTACTTCCGTCGCTACATCCCGGGGTATGCGTCTATCTCTGCGCCCCTGGAACGGCTGAAGGTGAAGGCCGCACCGTGTGTGGAACGAGGAATGTGAAGCTGCGTTTAGACAGTTGAAGCGTGCACTCTTGAAGCCGCCGATACTAGTCTATCCTAATGGCAAGAAACGGTTTAAGTTGTACGTGGACTCGTCACGGTACGCTGTTGGCGCTTGCTTGATGCAAGAAGTGAACGGTCGCGACCGTGTAGTGGCCTACGCTAGTAAGCTGTTGGCTGGGTCGCAGAAGAACTGGATCAACAACCAAGATGGCATCTCGGAGATTGAATGTTGGGGAGTTGTCTGGGCGACGAGAAAGTACCGCTGCTACCTGGACAAGCGTGAGTTCGATTTGTACAAGGACCACCAGGCGCTGACGTGGGTGTTCAGCCTCGGTAACCGTACGACGAACGCTAAGCTTGCACGGGGCGATGGAGCTCTCGAGCCTCCAGTTCAAAGTTCATCACAAGCCTGGTGCTTCTTTGGGTCATGTTGACGGTCTGTCGCGATTGCCGATGGACACAGTGGCGGCTCTGACGATGAGCGACCTCCTGAATCCTGAGAGCACGGTCGATGACGTGCTTCCGGCTTCAGTCGGGGAGCAGCCTGGTACAAACCGTGAACTTAAGAACTGTGAGGATGTTGCTGGCGAGCGTGCAGATGAACATGTGGATGATGACGAACCTGACCGTCCAAACGAGGACGTTGGCAGCGGTCCGGTAACGGATGTGCCGATATCCACTGTGGGCCGGTTCGGACTCGACTCTGAACAGTTCGTAGAAGCGCAGCAAGCGGTGCCGTGGATCAAGGCTCTGGTGGCTTTGCTGCTGAACGGTGCCTTGCCTCTCGACCCCTTCCTGCGAGCGACTGTCGTCAAGATGGAACGTCGATATGAAGTGCGGAACGGTTTATTGATGCGGCGTCAGCTCGGGTCGGACCTGCACGGTCCTTGACCGTTCCGGTGGTTCCGTTACCGTATGTGGAGACCGTGTTGCACTACTGTCACGCTGACGTTCTGTCATCTCACTTGGGATTGACGAAGACTCTGGAGAAGGTGAGGAGACATGCGTTCTGGCCGGGATGGCGAACGGATGTCACGGAGTACGTCCGGGAGTGTAACCGTTGTGATAGTGGGAAGGACTCGAGACCGTGGCAAGCGGGGCTGATGCACCGGATGCCCGTAGCCGATCTCACGGGACCGCTCTCGCTACTAGTGGTCGATGCCGTCGGACCGTTACCGGAGACTGAACGAGGCAACAAGTACATTCTTGTATTCGTGGAATACTTCACGAGATGGGCCGAAGCCTTCGCAGTTCTCCGATTGGACTCCGTCGCGTTCGTTGACGTCATGGTGAACGGTGTTGTGTCCCGGCACGGTGTGCCTTCACGGTTGTTGAGTGACAACGGTCGGAATTTCACGTCAGAAATCGCTAAGTCGTTCTATCAAACGCTCGGTATCAAGAAGCTGTTCG